TTTGTATGGCACAATTCATACACAAGGCAACTCAAAATGCAAAACCAAACATGATGGAAAGAATCACACAGGACATTCATATACACATAATCACTCTACATTCAAAATATTAAAGAAAAAATATAGTTTTATGCACAGCTAGAGTAGAGTAGGAGAGTAGGGTAGGGGAGAGTAGAGTAGGGTAGGATAGGATAGGGTAGGGTAGGGTAGAGTAGAGTAGAGAAGGAGAGTGGAGTAGAGTAGAGTAGAGTGTAGAGTACAGTGGATTAGGGTAGGGTAGAGTACGGTAGATAAGGGTAGAGTAGAGTAGAGTACAGTAGAGTAGAGTAGAGTACAGAGGAGTAGGGTAGGGTAGCGTACAGTAGAGTAGATTAGGGTAGGGTAGAGTACAGTAGTACCCCCCTGGACTGCCACCTTAACGTGGTGGGGGAGTTTGAGTACTCGGATGATCCTGGGAGCTATGCTGTCTGGGGCTTCATGCCCCTGGTAGGGCCTCCCATGGCAGACAGGTCTCAGGTGACGAGTCAGACAAAGAGCAGTCCAGAAGACACCATGGACAGCACTAACACGAAAACAGTGACGTCGCCCGGCATGGCGCAGCCGGGGCCCCACCCTGGAGCCAGGCCTGGGGGTCGGGGCCCGTATGCGAGCGCCTGGTGGCCGGGCCTTAGCCCACGGGGCCCGGCCGGGCTCAGCCCGAAGGGATGACGTGGGCAGTCCCTCCTGTGGGCCCACCACCTGCAGAGGGGTCCGTGGTGAAGCGGTGCAGAGAGGACTGGGCGGCAGTCGAAGGCGGAGACCTCGGCGACCCAGTCCGCACACACAACATCTGGCTCTTGGGACGTGGAACGTCACCTCACTGGGGGGGAAGGAGCCCGAGCTCGTGGGGGAGGTTGAGCGATACCGACTAGAGATAGTCGGCCTCACCTCCACACACAGCTTGGGCTCTGGAACCCAACTCCTTGAGAGGGGTTGGACGCTCCACTTTTCTGGAGTTTCCCGCGGGGAGAGGCGGCGAGCTGGGGTGGCCATTCTCATTGCCCCCCATCTCAGCCGCCACGTGTTGGAGTTCTCCCCGGTGAATGAGAGGGTCGCGTCCCTCCGCCTCCGGGTGGGGGACAAGTCTCTCTCATTGTTGTGACGGCCTACGGGCCTAACAGCAGTGTAGAGTACCCGGCCTTCTTGGAGTCCTTGGGAGGGGTACTGGACGGTGCACCGCCCGGGGACTCCGTTATTCTCCTGGGGGACTTCAACGCCCATGTGGGAAACGCCAGTGACACTTGGAGAGGGGTGATCGGGAAGAGCGGCCCCCCTGATCTGAACCCGAGCGGTGCTCAGTTGTTGGACTTCTGTGCCAGTCACGGTTTGTCCATCACGAACACCATGTTCGAGCACAAGGGTGTCCACCAGTGCACGTGGCACCAGGACACCCTAGGCCGGAGGTCGATGATCGACTTTGTTGTCGTATCATCTGACCTTCGACCGCGTGTCTCGGACACTCGGGTAAAGAGAGGGGCGGAGCTGTCAACCGATCATCACCTGGTCGTGAGTTGGATCCGCTGGCAGGGGAAGAAGCCGGTCAGACCTGGCAGACCCAAGCGTATAGTGAGGGTCTGCTGGGAACGTCTCGCTGAGCCCCCTGTCAGACGGACTTTCAACTCACATCTCCGGGAGAGCTTCTCCCAGGTCCCGGCGGAGGAGGGGGACATGGAGTCCGAGTGGACCATGTTCTCTGCCTCAATCGCCGATGCGGCGGCTCGTAGCTGTGGTCGCAAGGTCTCTGGTGCTGGTCCCGGCGGCAACCCCCGAACCCGGTGGTGGACACCGGCAGTAAGGGATGCTGTCAGGCTGAAGAAGGAGTCCTATCGAGCCATGATGGTTCGGGGGACTCCTGAGGCAGCTGTCCAGTACCGGCAGGCCAAGCGTGCCGCGGCCCGGGCTGTTGCAGAGGCAAAAACCCGGGACTGGGAGGAGTTCGGAGAGTCCATGGAGCATGACTATTCGGTCGCCTCGAAGAGATTCTGGCAAACCATCCGGCGCCTCAGGAGGGGGAAGCAGTTCTTTGCCAACACCATGTACGGTGCGGGTGGAGAGCTGCTGACCTCGACTGGGGATATTGTCGGGCGGTGGAAGGAATACTTTGAGGTTCTCCTCAATCCCCCCGTCACGTCCTCTGTTACAGAGGCAGAGGCTGAGGATGTTGGGGCGGGTACATCCATCTCCCTGGCTGAGGTCACCAAGGTGGTTGGTAGCCTCCATGGTGGCAAGGCTCCGGGTGTGGATGAGATCCGCCCTGATTATCTAAAGTCTCTGGATGTTGTAGGACTGTCTTGGCTGACACGTCTCTGCAACATCGCGTGGCGATCGGGGGCAGTGCCAATGGAGTGGCAGACCGGGGTGGTGGTCCCTCTCTACAAGAAGGGGGACCGGAGGGTGTGTTCCAATTATCGTGGGATCACACTCCTCAGCCTCCCCGGTAAGGTCTACTCCAAGGTACTGGAGAGGAGGTTACGGCCGATGGTCGAATCTCGGATCCAGGAGGAGCAGTGTGGTTTTCGTCCCGGTCGCGGAACACTGGACCAGCTCTATACTCTCCATCGGATACTCGAGGGTTCATGGGAGTTCGCCCAACCTGTCCACATGTGCTTTGTGGATTTGGAGAAGGCGTTCGACTGTGTTCCCCGGGGTGTCCTTTGGGGGGTTCTCCGGGAGTACGGGGTCGGAGGTCCTCTGCTGAGGGCCATCCGATCCCTGTATGACCGGAGCCAGAGCTGTGTTCGCATTGCCGGCAGTAAGTCAGACCTGTTCCCGGTGAATGTTGGCCTCCGACAGGGCTGCCCTTTGTCACCGGTTCTGTTCACTGTATTTATGGACAGAATATCTAGGCGCAGCCAGGGGTCGGAGGGGGTCCGGTTCGGAGACCACAGGATTTCATCTCTGCTGTTTGCGGACGATGTTGTCCTGTTGGCTCCAACGAACCAGGACCTGCAGCATGCACTGGGGCGGTTTGCAGCCGAGTGTGAAGCGGCTGGGATGAGAATCAGCACCTCCAAATCCGAGGCCATGGTGCTCGACCAGAAAAAGGTGCCTTGCCCTCTGCAGGTGGGTGGAGAGGTCCTTCCTCAAGTGGAGGAGTTCAAGTATCTCGGGGTCTTGTTCACGAGTGAGGGAAGAATGGAGCGTGAGATTGACAGGCGGATCGGTGCAGCGTGCGCAGTTATGCGGTTGCTGTATCGGACCGTTGTGGTGAAGAGGGAGCTGAGCCGAAAGGCAAAGCTCTCGATTTACCGGTCAATCTTCGTTCCCTCCCTCACCTATGGTCATGAGCTTTGGGTAATGACCGAAAGAACGAGATCGCGGATACAAGCGGTCGAAATGAGCTTCCTCCGCAGAGTGGCTGGGCGCTCCCTTAGAGATAGGGTGAGGAGTTCAGTCACACGGGAGGAGCTCGGAGTAGAACCGCTGCTTCTCCACGTCGAGAGGAACCAGTTGAGGTGGCTCGGGCATCTGTTCCGGATGCTTCCTGGACGCCTCCCTGGGGAGGTGTTCCGGGCACACCCCACCGGGAGGAGGCCCCGCGGAAGACCCAGGACACGCTGGAGGGACTATGTCTCTCAGCTGGCCTGGGAACGCCTTGGGGTCCCCCCGGACGAGCTGGAGGAAGTGTGTGTGGATAGGGAAGTCTGGGCGTCTCTGCTTAGACTGCTGCCCCCGCGACCCGGCAACGGATAAAGCGGAAGAAAATGGATGGATGGATGGATGGAGAGTACAGTAGAGTAGGGTAGGATAGAGTACAGTAGATTAGGGTAGGGTAGAGTAGAGAGAGTAGAATAGAGTAGGAGAGTTGAGTAGAGAAGAGTAGAGTAGAGTAAGAGAGTAGAGTAGAGTAGGTTAGGGTAAGGTAGAATAGGAGAGTAGAGTCGGAGAGTAGAGTAGAGTAGAGTAGGGTAGAGTAGAGTAAGAGAGTAGAGTCGGAGAGTATAGTAGAGTAGGAGAGTAGGGCTGGTGTAAACAGGGTAATAGTAACTAACATTCACTTTGATACAAATCTAAATGGAGTGAAGCGACTGGAGCTGGAAGATTTGACCTAGAATTACATTTATACATTTAAAGTCTAACAATAAATTTGCTCTCCCTTCTGTGCAAATGACCAACACCAACTTCTGTCCAAAACTTCTACATCATCTAAAGCAGAGAACTGTGGAGTAGAGTAGAGTAGAAGCGAAGAATTGTGCCTTCTTTGGTTCAGGAGACTAGAGAGAGACCAGAGAAAGACCAGAGAGAGAGACCTGAGAGAGATCTGAAAGAGATCAGATAGAGACCCGTGAGAGACCTGAGAGAGACCTGAGAGAGACCAGAGAGAGACCAGAGAGAGACCAGAGAGAGACCTGAGAGAGACCTGAGAGAAACCAGAGAGAGACCAGAGAGAGACTAGAGAGAAACCTGAGAGAGACGGGAGAGAGACCAGAGAGAGATCTGAAAGAGACCTGAGAGATATGAGAGACCTGAGCGAGACCAAAGAGAGACCTGAGAGAGCACTGAGTGAGACCTGAGAAAGATCTGAGGAAGATCTGAGAGACCAGAAAGAGACTTGACAGATATGAAAGAGACCTGAGAGAGACTTGAGAGAGACCTGAAAGAGACCAGAAAGAGACCAGAGAGAGACAAGAGAGGGACAAGAGAGGGAACAGAGAGACAGACCAGAGAAAGACAAGAGAGACCAGAGAGAGACCTGAGAGAGAGACCAGAGAAAGACCTGAGAGACAGACCAGAGAGAGACCAGAGAGAGAGACCTGAGAGACAGACCAGAGAGAGACCAGAGAGAGAGACCAGAGAGAGAGACCAGAGAGAGAGACCAGAGAGAGTCTATCAATGTTTACGTCCTCGTCCTTGGATCTAACACGTCAGGTGCTGCCAAGGCGAAAACAAGTGCCGCTTTGTACCTGTGCATGTATTTAAAGTTGAATTAGGGAAAGTTTTGGGAGGAGCGATAAACTCACCATCGTCTGAGAGGCTCATCACTCACAGGAACACTCCTTACAACGGATCCCATCAACATGAGGAGCGCGGCGAGGAGCAGAGACGCCCGCAGCCCTGCAAGAAAAACACCCGACTTTAACAGGATTTAAGACTGGACCAGAGAGAAGCAGGTTTAAAACGGCTTTGTCTAAAATCAAGACTCATGAACCTCCTTTCAGATACGCTCTCTTCATTCAAGGCTAGGTTTAAAACAGTCCTCTTTAGTTTAGCATATGGCTAAACTAGTTTGCTGGGAGAAGTATGGTAACTTGAGCACTAGGGGTGAGAACCTAAGGGTACCTCACGATACGATACAATACACGATACAAACTCACGATTTTATCACGATAACAATATCACAATAACGATTTTATCACGATATGACGATTATTGATATATTGGTCAGAAATATAGGGGCTGGTGCTATGTGTACTGGGGTGCAGCTCTGACTGCCACCCCCCCGACCCAGAAATGGATTAAGGGGAAGAAAATGGATGGTCAGAAATATACAATATGCCAATTTATGGCATAAATAAAAGAAAAAATACTCTTTATTTCATTATAAATGGAATGGAGATGCGTAATGTAGCCATATATTAAGTATTGATACAAATTTTTTAAAAAAGAAAATTGTAAAAAAAAAAAAAAAAACATTTTTTTTTTTTTTCTAAATTGATTTTGATACTTGGCAAATGCATATCGATAATCGAATCGCGGAAGAAAGTATCGTCACACCCCTATTGAGCACTATCCTCTCCTCCTTCCTACTTTACCCGTTTAGCATTAATAGGATTTTGACTGTAGTTTGTTCATTGCTATTCACCCGTTGTCCCATTGTCTGTTTCATGGTACGATGACGGGATCTCTGAGCCTGGCCTCCTCCATCTACACCTGCGGACTGCCCCGCCCGACCCGCCTGGGAGTGCTTCAGTCCTGCACCGGACCTGTCCACGTTCAGCGGCCACTGGTCCACGTTCTGTAGCTAGCTTAGGTCCTGGATCATTAGCCTGTCCATCCGGAGGAGCGGATCCCTTTCTCAAATGGGTCTCCCTCCCTGTGGGTTTCCCTAGTTCTCCCCAAGGTTTCTCACTTTTTCCCACTGGGTTTTTTAAGAGTTGCTCCTTGTCGATGCAGGAGGGTCTTGTTGGACAGTTAAGCCTAGTTTATACTCGCGCTGCGCAGAGCTTACGGAGGTGACGTGACGTCACTTGCGCAACGCGTTGGTCACCGCAAGGCCCTTACGTCGCCTGCCGCGCAGCATCGAAATTTTCTAACTACGTAAGGGTCTCCGCTGTGATTGGTCCGTGTGTGTGTATTGGAAAGAAGCATGAAGCGGCTGCAGCAGGAGCATGGAGGAGGCACTATGGAGCAGAGAGCTTTGTGCTTCGAAGGAAAAGCAGTTTGGGCTCAGAGCCTGATATACAGGAGACTGTGGACTATCTAACATATATATAACTTATAAACTGTGCAGTCGTTTGTTTTGCACTGTTCCTGTCTTTGTTTGAATCGTAGCTGCGTTTGTTGCTTTCCTCCTACACTCGTAAATCGTTCATGTTTGTCTCAGATATTTACCACTATTATTGTTTTGCTGTTTGTGCTGAAAACTATTTAATAATAACTATGTTTCCAACAAGAACTGTGTCTTTATTCACAGCATCAGTTGAAATGACTTATAAAATAATGAATCCATAAAACTATCACATAAACCTACAGTAGAAACACGTGTAATGAGCTCAAACAGCTTTGTTTGCTATTGTTGTTCTGAAGAGGACAAAGTAGCAGCGTAAATGGGACCGCTCCTGTGTGATCGCCCTCATGTGGTTTGTTGTGAGATTACAACATTCTCCTCAAAACTCCGTAAGGGGAACGCGCCAGTATAACATCAATTGTGCTTACGTAGGTCCACCGCAACCGCTAACGTAAGCCTCGCCGTGCAAGTATACACTAGGCTTTAGTGTCCAACAGAAAGGATTGGTGATGATCAAGACACTTTAGCATTCTACAACATGTATGGACATTTTCTTCTGTGTGTGCTTTATATTCTTCATGTGTTTTAACTGTTAATTCTCTGATCTGTGTTGGTGATTTCAATGGTTTTGTTAAGTCTCTGAGATTACTTCTGTTGTGACCTAGGGCTATACACGAATAAATTGTATTGTATTGTATTCATATTGGAGCAGATCCCTATCAACGCTAGAAAAAGTCATGAAAACTAAAAATTTGGCAAAATGTGTCTTAATTTGAGCACGTTCTGACTGAGCCTTCAAACAAGATTGGCCAATTGGACAAAGAGCAAAAGTGTATTATTATAAATGGCTTTGTCCCGTTGGAGAATCTAGTTTTATGGCACTTTGGTCTCCTTTAGTGTTGTAAAGGGCTTAATGAATAAAATTGATTGATTGATTGATTGACATTATAATTTTTTGCAGTGAATATGGGCTTTCTTGATGTTTCTGGCCTTCTGGGTTTTTTTTGTAGGAGTTTTAACGACAGTGAGGATCCGGGACATTTGTGGACAATTATTAACATTTATAGACAGTGATCCTCCCTCTCTCTATGAGGTTATATTTTATCTTAGTATAGAGTTTTTGATCATTTATCTTGTGCTGTGTGCTTCTCATTCCTACTGTTCTGTAACTGCTGATGCAACACTGACATTTCCCTGCTGAGGGACCATTAAAGGATCTTTTAATCTTCATGGACCAATGGCTCCTATATGATGTTTGTTATTATTGCATGTCCTTTTTTCAAACTTTTTGATTCTCTGATCTGTTGTTGGTGAATAGAGAACTTTGTAAAGTCCTCCAACACAACAAAAATAGATATAATTGAATATTGGTCAATCAGAATGAACAGGGCTAAGAAGACAAAGTTCCACCCTTGGCGATACGAGTAAGATGATATAAGTGATCTTCATTCATAAAGTGCATTTCAAAGACCAAGGGCACTCAATTTACATTTTTTTTGGCAGATCAAGCCACTGAAAATCACCATCCATTCACTAGCTACATTCAGACCCATCGTACACGCTTTTAGAGGTAGGGCAGTCCTACACAGACACAGGGAGAACATGCAAATGCCACACAGAAAAACCCAGTCTGCAGTTGGAATCAAACCCAGGACCTTCTTGCTGTTATACACAAGCACTAAGCTCAGCCCAGTCCCACCTAGACTCAACCCGTATCAATCCAAAGAGGAGCTTGGAGTATAGCCGCTGCTCCTCCACATCCCACATCCCCATGGTGATGAATTTTATATTTGCTCCGTCAGCTCTCAGTTTCCCATTTTTCGTCAGATCATTCACAGACATTGTCACTTAGAACTAGGGCTGGGCAATAAATTGAATTTAGGCAATTAATCGGCTTTTGAAAAAATTGAATTTGTGAAAATTTTGAAAATTGTGAAATCGAATGAAGGAAATTGTGAAAGTTCCAGCAGCACATTAATGGTACTTAAAACATTAGCGCAGTCTGTACAAGATTTTTATAATATGTATTGGGGGGAAACAAATAAAAAATAGTTTTGAAACTTGATTATTTTTAACGGCAAAGTCTGTCTTTGTGACTTTAATGAAAATCGATTTAAAATCGAAATCATCCAAAGCAGGATATAAAATCGAGATTCTACTTTTTTGCCATATCGCCCAGCCCTACTTCGAACGTATGGAGGTAGATTATGCATTTTGTTGTTTTGTTTTTCTGAATACCAAATCCATGACGACAAAATGAGTCATTCCAACAAGTGTCTGAGTCTGTTTCAGTTTCATGTGATTCTCATTCAGAACTCTCCCCACTTCCCTGTTCCAAACCAGACACAGATGACCGCCATGAGAAGTATGCAACGTCATGGTCCTGCGTGCAAAACAGCAACCTACAATAACCTAATGATAGTACTCTACTCTACTCTACCTCTACCTCTACCCCCTACTCTACTCTACTCTACCCCTACTCTACCTCTACATCTACTCTACCTGTACTCTACATCTACTCTACCTGTACTCTACATCTACTCTACCTGTACTCTACATCTACTCTACCTGTACTCTACATCTACTCTACCTGTACTCTACCTCTACTCTACCTCTACTCTACCCCTACTCTACCCCTACTCTACCCCTACTCTACCCCTACTCTACCCCTACTCTACCCCTACTCTACCCCTACTCTACCCCTACTCTACTCCTACTCTACTCCTACTCTACTCCTACTCTACTCCTACTCTACTCCTACTCTACTCCTACTCTACTCCTACTCTACTCCTACTCTAAGCCAATAATAATATTAATAATAACATATAGCAAGGTTTGTATAGCGGCAAACTAAAACAAATTCCAAGTCTGTTTTTGATGAAAGAACATTGGCATTGCTTCAAAAACATTTTTTTTCACAGTAGGAGAAGTTTAACCTGTTGCAGATTTTACAAATATTAGAAGAATGAGGGTGTCCCAGATTTGAAACCAGGGCGAGGGACTTTGCTGTTTGTTCCAGTCCTGGGGTATTGCAGCGTGAGAAGTTTTGTGGCATCAGCTGCTTTTACAGAGTGTCATAATCATAACATTGAGTTTGTCTCATGATCTACACACAGTTCATGTGAGTCCAGGGTGTTTCCATGTCTCTAACAATGGTAAAAACACAAACCAAAGGTCAAGAGGGTTCTGCAGAGGTTGGTTCATGAGCTAAGAAATATCCCAGATGTGTATTTCTCCATATAAAGTCGTCATGGCCACAATTACAAAATAGATCAAAGTAGATGAATAGAAATAGTTGTTTACAAACAAAAAGGTCTAAAGAGTTTGTATTTGGGAATATGTCTCAAAAAATGTCTTAATTTGTAGAAGTAAGTAAGTAATTTCCAGTCTTTAACTTTTATACTTTTTTATTGTTCTTTGATCCCTGCGGCTTTTATAGCGATGCGGCTAATATGTGCATTTAATTGTGGTAGAGTTAGAGGCGGTTATCAGAGCAGAGTTCATGGACTTTTCATTTGTGACTCCATCAAGTTTTAGCAGCTGGCTCACTCCACACTAAACTGTACCACAGGTCGATCTAACTCCAAGAGACAATAAAATAAATGTATGAACTAAAAATGTTAGTGCCTGAACATTTTTTAATACTATCTAGCCTGTATAGATACACAAAATAATCTCAGAAGGGCAGAAAAAACTATTATTATTATTATTTAAATGGGTAATGGTTGGAGATATAACTATAATCAATATGTTATTATAGATTTTAAATTATGCACACACAAAAATATTATTCAATAACTGCAGACAAACTAGGCGTTACGTCCAAAACAGCGGTCTTGGAGCGCTGTTAATAATACGGGCGTGAACGAATCTGTGTTTAAGTAGTGGCCTCTTCACTGGACAAACAAGCTGGAGACAAAACAAGAGTGGGTCTGAGAACAAAAGCAGTAGCGGCCGTGGACATTTCAGGACTTTTTTTTGTGTCATTGACCAAAATGTAACAAATTGATTAGGGCTGGGCAATAAATCAAATTTAGGCAATTAATCGGCTTTTGAAAAAATTGTGGATGGCCCCTTGAGATTAATCTCTTTTTCGAGGGGGTTCCAGCAGCACATGAATTATACTTGCAATATCAGCACAGTCTGCACAAAACTTGTATAATACGTATTGGGGGAAACAAATTTAAAACATAGTTTTGAAACTTGAATATTGAGTGGAAAGATCAAAAATATTGATAACTTAAGTTACATTCCAATATCAATTTTGAAGGGCAAAGTCTGTCTTTGGTGACTTAAATTCAAATCGCTTTAAAATCGAAATAGTCTAAAGCAGGAAATAAAATAGAGATTACATGTGTTGCCGTATTACACCGGCCTTAACATTGATACAGTTTAGTGTAGAGTGAGCCAGCCACAGGACACTTCGTCAAAACAGAAGAAGGTGAATGAGTCATGGAACCTAATGTCAAACAACTTTTATTAAATCATGTTGTGACCAGTTAAAACAGTCGTCTCATGGAAACCTGCGGCTTATAATTTATTTGCAGATTAAGGTAGCGCAGTTTATATACAAGAAAACTATTATCAAATGATAAAAAGCTTCAACTGTGAAGGCTACAGCCCGTATAATTGATATTTGAAGTAAAATATGTAAGTTAAGCAGTTCTGGTTGTAGTAAAAATACAAACAAGTCATGAGGAGAGATGACTAAATCATTTAAAAATAAAGGATGTGTAAGTACGTATGCATGGTGTGTGCATGTGTGTACGTCTGACCCACTTTTGCAGCAGAGAATCCTGTTCAGTGACATTTACAGTTCCTCTTACTGACTCTATGATGTGGTTAATAATTGTCAGCAGCATTAGACCCGAGTGATGTACAGACACTAGTTTTTTTTATTATTTGTCTAGGAACCACACATGGATAACTGGATAGGGTAGTACTAGCTTGCAGCTGTCCCACCCATGGGCACAGGGGGCGCCAGTGGTACTGCAGACTAAAATCACGTGGGCTACCCAGAAAAAAGTCCCATAGAACTCAATGTAAATTAAAACAGCTCGACCTCAGCTGACAGAGATCCTGCAGATTTCATAAATATCGGATTTTGTGGGAATTTTAGTGTCCCTTGTCATCCTGAAATTTTTTTTTCTTGAATCCTTCAGTTTTCTTTAAATCCACACTTTAATGCCACAAACTCTGCTCCTTTCCTTCCAGCTCTGCTGCTGCTCTGATCAGCAGCTCTGATTGGTCAAAGCGCGGCCGAGCCCCTCTGTGCATGTGCATGACAGCCACACACGTATTTGGCGCATCATGGGAGCTTGTCCACTGCACAGAACCGGGAGGACCAGACGATGCCCAAATATAGGCGAGTTCAGCTAATCTCCCGGTCTCCGTGAAGTCCCATGCGCTACTGAGCACAAGCCATTAATTTGAATAGGGCGCCATCTTGGATCACCGGGGCTTGGAACCACAAGATTGACAGACGCTGTATCGGACTGTTGGAGGTGAAGAGGGAGCAGTGTCTGTAGTCAGAGTTCTCACTTTATCGGTCAATCTACGTCCCCTCCCTCACCTCTGGTCAAGATTAACGGATAAGATCACCAATAAAACGATAACGATAAAACGATAACGATATATATTGCGATAGACACGTGTTCGATATTAATAGAAAACTGGGTCGATAGAACTTCGATAGTTTCACTTCAGTCCGTTAAAAAAAAAAACAGGAACAAAACACAGTAAAGCCGAGTCAGAAGCGCGCGGCATTCTGGGGTATGTAGGCAGAGGCTTCTCGACCTATCACAGCCAACTACAAACCGCAAAACTTTCTGAGAAATGTAAAAACAACAACCACACCATGCGTAGCGTCCATGGATCATGGATCTATCATAATAGCCATGGATCTAAAGATCGTGTTTCAGTGCTGTGTCAATGGTTATGCACGTCCGTGCGAGGAATAGCATGTGCTTGATGCGTTCGGCAAAAGCAAGACATTAACTTTTTCCGGAGCCGCCACGGGGACACAAGACACTCGAAAACAGCCAAAACGGGAGCTAAACCAGGATTAAACCAGGATTAAACCAGGACTAAAGTGGGGGAGACTGTTTGTGAACATTTGGCTCCAGCCTCATTGCCCCGTGACTGTAAACAAGGCTGCTAACATGTGTTAGCCGACACGACAAATGTATTTATTTACGTTTAAAAAATAAATAAAAAGCAATCAATATATATCGTTATCGACCGATATGAATTACTTATATAGTGATATAGTTTTCAGCAATATCGCCCAGCCCTATTACTACTACTCAGACACACAGATGGAGCTTGGTCGGAAGGGCGGATGGCACATACTGTGTATGGAGTGAATGAACGACATGAAGCACGTTTGAGTGTCCAAGAAAGTGCTATATAAAATCTATGCATTCCTATTATTATCATTGTTATTATGAAAGAACCTCAATAGCCACTTAGTGATAGTTGCAGAAGGCCACATACAATTCCACAGAGGGCCGTATTTAACACGCGGGCCTTGGTTTGGACTTGCCTGATATTGTACAACATATATACTTATAATCACAAACCCGAGCTAGAAGAATTACACAATGCAAAAATTACCAGATAACATAGTGCACAGTACACATGCCAACTCCACATAGTACACGGCCAGAACAATATGTACAAATCTTTTTTTTTTTCCTCCTCACCTCTTTTATCCATCAGCCACATGAAAAGCAGCCAGGGCACGAATCCCACTGGACCCCATAGAACCAACACCGCGATGTCAGGTTTGGTGAAACCGAACGCGTGGACTGCAGAGTTCTGTATAGGTCCCCAAAAGTTCCACACCATCCCCTGCATAAATCCCAACAGCGAAAACAAAGTCAGAACCAGCCATCTTCGCTTGTACACTCTGCTATGGCCAACAACTGGGTGCTGTGTTGTTGTTGTTATGGTTGGCAGCACTGGCCTCGGTTCGGCTAAAGACGGCACCAGAAGCGGTTCGCTCTCCGCCTCGGTGCTCGAAACGGCACCCATAGTCGAAATTCCGAAAGTAGACACCTATTGTAATCTTGTCTTTGTGTGTCACAGCGAGAGAAAAACGAATAGCGCGAAGGACAGCAACCGACTGAAAACAAAACAGACCAGGAACATGTCATTTGACCTCACAGCGCATGTGCGAGGTGAAGGTTGCACTCGAAATCATAAACACACTTCCTTCCTCATCCTTCCTTGCTTTTATTTTTTCTGCTTATTAACTTCAGTGGCATAAATGAAACATAAATAACACGTAATACGTCTTAAAATTGCCTTAATGTATCTGTTTTGTCCCTTAAACAGTTATATTTAAAAGACAAGGAAGTAAAAGGAAGTAAGGCAAGTTGGATTTAGTCGATGTGGCGATGAATGGAGAGACTGGAGATGTGTGGCCGCCATTTTGGCTCACAACCCACGTAGAGTAGAAAAGGAAAAAGGCGCGTGCCCAGAGCCAGAATGGAGTTTTTTGCATTGTGCTGTTGCAAAGGCAGAATTTGAAAGTTTCGTCGTGTCACGTGAGGTTTGTTTACTTCCGCATAAACGCCAGCAGCACGTGGAGTGGATGGTGAGTGTTATGTTCTTAAACAGAAGAGCATTTATTATAGGAATGTTGTTTGCGACAGCTCTTGCATGAAGTGCTTAGCTTAGTTCAACGTTTGCACACACATTCCATGGAATAGAATAACTTTATCGTTTGTCATAAGCAGAGAAATCTGTTTTGGCTTGTAAATAGACGTACAAGACCAGAACATACTCTACGACACGAAGTAAAACACGTTTCAATGGGGCACTGTCCGGTTTCCGAAATGTGCTAAAAATAGCTCAGATGACTGCGCATGCGCGCATGTTTCGGACAAACATTGTGTACGACTCGTTGAGTTCTACTGTGTTCTCCGCATACGCGTGTGTATTTATTTGGGCTAAATCATTGAATCATGGTGACAACAAAACACTGCAGTTATGATGCTTGTCGGAGCGATTTCAGATACTCTGAAAAGGACTATATGAAAGTAACATTCAACCCGTTCGTTAAACCACACCATCGGACCAGACCAGGACCAGACCAGGACCAGATCAGACCAGGTGGGTGCTTGTGGTCGGCAGAATTTCTCTCATGAAAAGGTTAAAAAGGGCACATGTTTTTTCAAAACACTTCGCTGGACCAACTGTGGAGCCTCCAGATCCAGTCCTAGCTACGTTTAGCTGGGACTGGACCTGGACCGCTGTATCAGGTCCGTCTGAGCTCTTCTGAATGTAGTTAGCACAAACTTTCTCTTTACACCATTTACCCCCATCAATCCATATTAGTATTGTTTGTCCTAATCCAGAAAGTATACAATTCTCACACCTGAAGAAAGATGAGAGGGATTTTTTTCAACTTTGTGTCTGCTTATTATACGGCTTTGTACCAATTGAACACACAAAATAAACGTCATTCACTACTCATGCCGAAAGGTTTATTTAATGAGTGCAAAGAAAATAGTTCCCAAAGGTTTTCCCGTGGCAGGCGAGTAACAGTGAGGATAGTTAACCTAAAAGCGATCGCTTTAGTCGCATTAAAAAAGTATTTTTGTCATGAAAACCTGAACAGTTAATTCTGAAAACCTCCGTGCACTTGTGTTATGAATGTGTATAATGTATTCTCCCATTAACATTTAAATGTGTTGATTGATTGTCATTTGCGTTTACTGAGTGTGGCTCTGATAGTTTCTCTCAGAGACAGTGGCGTAACCCGTTGTGATCATGGATTTATTATAATATCAGCTGACTGTAGCTAACTAATGATCAAACTAATTACAAAGTGGATAGTGCAAAAACAACTTGATAAATGGAAGTTAATCAGAGCAAAATAAACAAAGAAGGCGCTAGCATTGCAATTTAAATGACTAGATAATGTTAGCATAATCCTCACCATTATCTTTTTATCAATTCAAACTTTCTACCAGTTACTGGAAGACCACGACATTCAAGCCAACGTTATAATTGGTCTACACTATGATCCCTGATGGTTTGATGGTGGAATTTTGCCCCTGGTATATCATTTTCGTCTAAAGTGACAAGTGGTATTTGATTCATTTCGGCAGTGTTTGTCCGAAACATGTGGGCGGGAGTTGACAGGCGGCGGGGGCGTGTCTTAGTGACGTCATTCAGATAGTTCGCTATATGAGTCTACGTTGATTTGCATAATGTGTAACTTGCCATGCACACAGAAATGAGCTGTTATCATGGCTAGTGGCTACAATTTGCATCCGTTAAACAACAGATCCATGGTTAGACCTCTGAAGCTGTACAGGGCAGGGCTTGATTAGTACTGTGATGGGAGACCTCTGGGATCACCAGGTGCCACAGTGGGGAGGTTGTAAAGTGCCAAACTCTTGCTGTCTCCTTTGGCAAGACACCTCACACACATAGAATGAGTCTGGTGTGTGTGTGAAGTGAATGGTTGGTGGTGGTCGGAGGGGATGATGGCACATAGTATCATATATAGTCGCTTCGGTTAGTGTGCCCCAGGGTAGATGAAAACCCAATGTGTAGTATAGCTGATGTTACTGTGTTATCGCGAGATCAGTTAATGAGACGACAGACTGAGGGAGAACTAGCATGATGAACATGAAAGCGTGTGTTAATAAAGTGAGCTAAAGTTGAACTCAAGATTTGTTCCTTTTTCACAACAACACAACATTTTGGCAACGAGGAGAAGGTTTACCAAGAACTCAAAGCAAGAAAGGACGACTCGGATTCCACGTCCATATTGAGAAAGTAAGAAGAAAACTTACAAGTCATGTCGAATGACAATGGCGCCGCGGCAGCAGCACAACCACCCGCTGCACATGAACCCAGATACGCCCAATTGAGCCCGCCAGTACCGCTAAACATCACGGCGTCTGATTTATTCACTGAATATAATCTGTGGAAGGACTCGTATAGTTTTTACGAAGTTGCTAGTGGAGTCATCAATGCAACAGATTTGGTGAGAAAAGCTACATTGCTACATTGCATTGGAGCGCCGACTCAGAGGATTTTTGCTAATCTACCTGGAGTCAAAGGAACACATGCACAGACTGTGGCCGCTCTGGACGCGTATTTCACGCCACGAAGAAATATAGTCCTTGAGAGACACAAGTTTAGGCAGAGAGCTCAGTGCTCTGAAGAGTCAATAGATGCGTTTGTAAATGCATTAAGAGAACTGGCGAAATCTTGTGACTTTGGAGCATTAGAGAATGACATGATACGTGATCAGATCGTGGAAAAATGTGTAATAAAAAAGCTACGTGACAAATTGTTGCAAGAGGATGGACTGAGTTTGGACAGAACACTAACAACTGCAAGAGCATTTGAAGCAGCACAAGCTGAATCGAAACTTTTCACGGAGAGTGTTCACAAGATAGGAGACGAGCGTGTTCGATTCACCCAGAGAAGGAGTGACGAGCGCAGATGGAAAGCAGAACCAACGCGAGGTGGGAGGAGCGACAAAGAGAAAGGCAACAGCACCACCCAGTGTTACAGGTGTGGAAAAGACACCCATTCACCAGATTAATGTGGAGCAAAGACGGCAACGTGTCTCTTCTGTCAGAAAACGGGACACTACGCTCGAATGTGTTTTAAGAAGAAAAAGAAAGAACAAACAGAAAATAAAACTGACAAAAATAAATACAGATATAAAGGAAAAGACAAAACAAAGTCAGGTAAACCAGTAAGAGCAGTAGTACAGGAAAATTCTGATTCAGATGAGTTTGTCCATGCTGTAGATCCTGAAGGTACTGAGACAGTGAAGGTAAATGGACAAAGACTGAAAATGATCATAGATACAGGAAGTGGAAGAAACTTTATAGGAGAGGACCTCCATAAAATGGTTTTTGCTAAAACAAAACTGAAACCAACTAAAAAGAGATTTTATGCTTATGCGCAAACTAATCCACTTAAATGTGTTGGTTACTTTGAGGCAGAAATTAGATGGAAAGACAAAGAAGTCAAAGATAACATCTATGTGATAGAAGGAAAAGTAGAAGCACTGCTAGGCAGAAAAACATGCTTTGAATTAAATATACTTAAAACAGGAGAAACTGTGAACATGGTATCTCAGAAAGAGAGATTTAACAAACTTGTTGAAGAATTCCCACTTGTTTTCAAAGGACTAGGTCAGATTAAAGGGTACAGCCATAAGGTTACAGTGGATGAAAAAGTCCCGCCTGTAGCTCAAGGTTTAAGGAGAGTTCCTTATCATATGATTGAATCTGTAAACCAGGAGCTAGACAAGATGCTTGAACAGGATATAATAGAGGAGATGAATGAAGGATCAGAATGGGTTTCTAATATTCTAATAATACCCAAGAAAGATACCCCCGAAGTGAGGCTGTGTGAGGACCTCAGGGAAGTAAATAAAGCAGTGATCAGGGAAAGACACCCAGTTCCAACAGTAGACAGCATCTTACAGGCAGTGCAGGGAGCCAAAGTATTTGCTAAACTGGACGCAAGGAAAGGGTTTTGGCAGTGTGATTTAGCCCCAGAATCCAGACCCCTGACAACATTCATCACACATAGAGGGTGCTATCGTTTCAAGAAAGTCCCTTTTGGATTATCAAGTGCACCTGAAGCCTATCAGAAGGCTATGGACTCCATGTTATGTGGAATGCCCGGTACAGTCTGCTACATGGATGATGTCGTGATTTTTGGAGAGAATGATGAAGAACTTGAACAGAGACTAAGAAAAGTATTTCAGAGATTTGAGGATAGAGGTTTAACTCTAAATGGAGACAAGTGCATCTTTGGACTGCAAGAGATTGAGATTCTCGGACATGTGATCACTGCAGAAGGAATCAAACCAGACCCGAGAAAGGTTGAGGCAATTTGTAAAGCGCCTAGACCTGAGAATGTCCAGTTACTCCGCTCATTCTTAGGCACTTGTGGATTTCTAATGAAATTCATACCCAATTATGCTAATTTATCAGAACCACTACGGAAACTGACTAGGAAAGGACAGACATGGGAGTGGACAAGTGAAACAGAGAAATCATTCCAAGCAATGAAAGAAGCTTTGGTGAGTGAGCCGTGCTTGGCTTACTTTCAACTAGAAGCACCGACAATTGTGATTAGTGATGCAAGTCCAGTAGGACTAGGAGCTGTTTTGATACAGACACAATCAGATGGACAGAACAAGCCGATAGCTTATGCAAGCCGTTCACTGACTGAAACTGAACGCCGTTATTCTCAAATAGAACGGGAAGCTTTAGGATGTGTATGGGCTGTAGAACATTTTAGAACTTACCTGTGGGGGGGCAAGTTTACTCTGCAAACCGACCACAAACCCCTTATTTACATGTTCAACCCAGAGAAAGCGACGTTGTCACCACCGCGAATACAAAGACTTGGGTTAAGACTATTACTATACGACTACAAGATAGAACACATTGTGGGAAAGGCCAATGTTGCAGATTCACTGTCACTGTCCATTACCAGAGACTGAGTGCAGTGACTATGTAGAGACATTTGTCAACAGGGTGTTGTCAGTGACAATGCATGAAGTACAAGCCATGAGTCTGGAGGACATTAAACTAAAACTTGAAGAGGACGACACATTAACAAAGCTAAAGTCCATAGTGGAGACAAGAAAATGGCCAAATCCAATTCCGGAGGATTTGAAGCCATACAACCGATGTGCTGGAGAATTGAGCACATATGATGGACTTGTACTGAGAGGACACAGAATAGTGCTACCAAAAGAAATGGTGAAACAAGCACTGAAGATAGGACACGAGACTCACCAAGGAGTGGTCTGTACAAAACAATATCTAAGGAGCAGATTCTATTGCCCTAACATGGATCTTGATGTGGAAAGACTGATAAGAAACTGTCCCGCCTATGTTCTTAACCAACCATTACATGAAGATCAACCTTTACAACCACTAGAGTTACCACCGAGACCCTGGACCAAGATAGGTGTCGATCTGGTGGGTCCTATTCAAAACCAGTACATAATAACTGTGATAGACTACTATACTTCCTTTCCAGAGGCTGTAGTAGTGTCGGATATTTCTTCAGCCACTGTAGCAACGGAGCTGAAGAAGATATTTGCAAGATTTGGATATCCCCTGGAAGCCGTCACAGATAATGGCAAGCAGTTTGTCGGACAGTTTTTTGAAGAGTATCTAAAGTCATGTGGAATAAAGCACATCAGGGCTTCTCCTTATTATCCAAAGAGCAATGGTAAAATAGAGAGGTTCCATAGATACTTGAAAAAGGCCTTCAGAGCAGCAAAATGTGAAGGGAAAATATGGAAGAAGGAGCTTCCACAAATTCTGATGGCATACCGATCAACACCACACAGAGTGTCAGGAGAAACACCAGCCATGCTTATGTTTGGAAGAGACATTCGCACTAAGTGTCCAACTCTAAATAAGACCAGTGATATTTCAAAAGAAGAAGGGAAAACAGCTGACGTCAGAAACCATCATGATGAATACAAAACTAAAATGAAACAATATGCTGACCAAAACAGAAGAGCAAAGGAGCACGACTTCAAAGTGGGAGACGTCGTTTACATTGCAAGTATGGAGAAGGGAAAGCTGGATTCAACATTCAAAGATATCCGCTATGTTCTACTGAGAAACACAGCTGATAACTCATTTGAACTGGTCAACACAGAGGATGGATCAAAAGTTATCAGGAATGTAAAACATCTTCGACACACACCAGTGATAATGGACTGTGAGGCTTATGAAAATGCATTGATTGACAGTGCTCAAATCAACAATGACTCAAGGGATGTGCCTATAGCAGAGATCAACCCAGCAATCCCGATGCCACCTGAGCCAGACCCAACTATGTCTGATGTCATCACTACCAGGAAGGGCAGAGTCATCAGGAAGCCAATTCGTTATAGAGAGATTTAAAAATAAAAGACAGTTTGTTTGATTTGTTCAAAGTCAAATAATAATTTAATACTGATATTGAGACTGTATCATTGTATTGAATTTGAAAGTTCAGAACTGATGTTGTATTATGTTGTAAAAACTAGAAACAGCAAATTTCTTTATTTTATTTTGTTACAGAGAAGAGTTTAAATTCTAAACAAGGGAGGAAAATGTAGTATAGCTGATGTTACTGTGTTATCGCGAGATCAGTTAACGAGACGACAGACTGAGAGAGAACTAGCATGATGAACATGAAAGCGTGTGTTAATAAAGTGAGCTAAAGTTGAACTCAAGATTTGTTCCTTTTTCACAACAACACAACACAATGCATTATTATTACAAGCGTTTGGCTTAAGTTCAGGGACACTTTGCAACTTGTCCTTTGCATTTTACCCACCTTGGAAGGCCTCTGGGATGTCAGTCAGGAGCAGTGGTCCAGATGTTGATGCTCTTGGTCAGGAACAAATCTGGAGGATTGTACCTATTGTACATGTTTTAGTGGTAGGGAAACCTGGAGCACTCGGAGGAAACCTACACACCTGTTGGAGACCCCTGACCTGCACACACGCAGGAAGAACATGCAAACTCCACTCATAACGACCCAGTACCTTTTGAAAATGCAATTCTATAAATTATTGTCTGGAGAAAGCCTTTAGTTGAATATATTTAGCTGTGTGTAGGTAAGTGTTATTCCATACACTAATTTCTAGCATTGGAAGGCAGATAATGGAGCGTATGACATTGGAAAACTTTAGATGCATCTGTAAGAACTCCTTCTTTGTCCATTGGGATGAACCTTAAAGAGCTGGTACGACTCGAGGTAGGAACAGTAATAAGAACCACCCCTTGGCCAAACAGAACTAGCGCTGCTGTCTATCACAGACGATAAGCCTACAGCACAAAGCAAATCTTCAGGTTCAGATTGGACTCACTTGTGTGAAGTCTGCTGTGCTCCCGATTGGTTGGAGCGACAATCTGCAGCCCACCGGCCCTTTCTTGAACCAGTTTGACAGCCCTACTTTAGACCCTCTGTAGTCATTATAATCAGTATAATGCGTTAGTCAAGTGTCCCCAAACACCCAGATTATTATGCTAAATACATTTGTGTTGTGGCACTATTGAGCCAGACGAGGCCGCTATGGGCTCATTGTGTTGTGATCAACAGTGGCGCTCGTCGGCTTGAGTAGGAAAGTCCAAGTCCTTCCTGTTCTTACTTTGCTCCTCGCAATGACGCCATTCGAAATTCAACCGAGGTCAAATGAACTGCCCCTGGTGTGATAAATGAAATCGTCTGAATCTAAATTTTAATCCTGCTTGTTTGAACACAAACCTGCATCCACAACTTTTGAGGACCAGTTTGACACACATGATCCGAAGCATAAAACACATTATAATGGTATCTCTGTTGACTTTCCAGACCATGGCGTGTTCCTCAGCAGCGAAGCCCTTCAGTCCAGAGGAGGCCCAGAGTCTGGTCCAGCAGCTGCAGCAGCCGGCCGTGTTCTCAGACATGGCCTCTGATTGGCCCGTGCTCCAATGGAACGTACAGCACCTCTCCAAGTGTCTGCAGCAGAAACTGGTCAAGTTCAGGATGGGCCGGAGGGAGCAGACGCAGAGTAAGGACCAGGCATGGGACCAGGGTGGGACTGAAGAGGGACCATAGCTTTACCATACGCCCAGCTTTATTTTAAAGATGCGTACCTCACTCTCAAAACAGTTTGGTTCCAACTCTAAATGTAAAAAGTTAAATATTTCTCCTTATGTTTAAGGCTTAGAAAGTTATTTTGATTAGACAAAAGAAGCTAGTTCTGCTTAATTACCACATGTTTGGGAGGTAAACTTGGTTGTGTGTCTCTGATCAGCTGTTTTTACTGGATTTGGTCAGATCCCTCTGACTGACCACTTCCATCGCTGTGCTGTTGTTTCTGGAGAAGTGAGTCCCAAGTGTGAGCCAAGGTGAAGGCCCCCTTGTCTCTGTTGATGGTCTGTGTGCCTCGCTTCCTGATTTCAATGGCCTCTGGTATCATTATTTGTATTTATGTTTCTGTATCGTCTCTGTCCATTTTGTGATTTTTTTTTTTCCTTCTGCAGCGGTCAGATATTCTTGTCTTGCTTCTTCCTTACTTTAGATTTCTCTTTCACATTCCTTCTGATGTTCCTATTTTCTGGTGTTGAAAAATCTTCCTGTTTCCCCAAATCTGGTTACAGCTGATCAGAGACACGTCACACCATCAAGTCTCCCGCCCAAACATCTGGTAACTAAGCAGAACTAGCTTCTTTACACTTCTTGTCTTATTAAAGGACAACTAAACCCCTGTGCCCAGCCTTACCCCGCTCACATGAACATTTGAAAAAAGGGTGTTGCTCTGAGGACCAGGGGACACGAATGGGGGCTTAGAGTTGGGCGTGGTCTGGTCTGTGATTGACCACGCCCAACTCATTTAATTTTAAACCACTAGATGTTGCCAGAATACTCCAACCTGCTCCTAGGGCGTGTGTGAGACTTGGCTGCTTTTATACCACAGGCGACACCACTCTGCACTCCAGAGCCAATGGGGAGAACGGGCACCAAATTCAAATGTAGTCCACACAGATGGTTTTAGGCTAAAAAGTTGTATCTACTTTGCAGTAAAATGTCAGAAAAATGACCCAGGACGTGTAGAGGGCACTATAAAAAAACATTAGTGCAGTTCATGAGTTAAAAAAAAAACTTGATTTGGTGTTTAGTTGTCCTTTTTTAGAACATTCCAAGCTTCAAACATAACCAAGACACAATGAACCTTTTACAAGAGAACTGTTGAAGGTGTTGTAATCTCAAATAATAACAGATAATACATATATTAAAAACAATGCAAAATATAACATGTTTTCTACTTTGATAAAATCAGCATGTCACGGTTTGATTTCTTTCACATTTTACTTGTACATTGGGACAAATGGCTTCCAGTATTTATGAATCAAAGTTTGTTACCCGAGCTTTAAATCCTGTTCCTTGTGCGTAAAACCTTGGCCTCTATAATCGTCCAAAATGCTGCTTTTCCTCCAGAGAAAACTACACTGAGGTAATTGTATTCTCACCTCATCTATTCCTACTACAGCCGTTGTCAAAAGCCACAGCACAAACTGGAAACGCATATATTATAAATGTCACCACTCCGCCGGAATATAATGCTTTGCTTAGTGAAACAAAAACACAAACCGCTCCCACAATGATTTATCCTCCTCCTCTAAAAGCAGCTCAAACCAAATTTCACGCTTCCTTGATGATGTATTTGTGTGTGCTTACTGTAATGCCGCTTCAGCCACTTTCCACATAAACGCCGTCATTCAAATTGGATTTTCTCTCATTTTCCACTTCAGATTCAGTTCATCTGCAGTAAAACCACATTGGAATACACGTGTTTGAGGCCCCAGTGTGAAACAGACAAGTACATCAATAAAACAAGTTTAAAAAAGTACAGAAACAGATGAAAACAAGTGGAGATATTTTTGTTCAGAGTCATAAAAACTTGTGGACAGAAGCTGTTAGCATATCCAGATGTCCTGCACTTCAGGGAACAAGATCTTCTGCCGGAGGGAAGAAGCTGGAACATGGCTTTTCTTGATCATTGATTATTCTTAGAGCTCGGTTTAAGAGTCTGGATTCATAAAGAACCCCCAGAATAGGCAGCTCATAGTCCTGTTACGGAGGAGAGCACCTGTCTCTGGGCTCTCCCTCTGGTCTCTTTCTGGTCTCTCTTTCTCTGGTCTCTCTCTGGTCTTTCTCTAGTGTCTCTCTCTCTGGTCTCTCATCTCTGTCTGGTCTCTCTTTACTCTTTGTCTTTGGTCTCTCTCTAATCTCTTTCTGGTATCTCTCTGGCCTCTCTCTCTGGTCTCTCTCTGGCCTATATCTTTCTCTCTCAGGTCTCTCTCTCTCTCTGGTCTCTTTCTGGACTCTTTGTGGACTCTCTCTGGTCTTGCAGTCCTCTTTCACAGCAGAGCACTTTGTTTAGAGCTCTCCTTTCTTTGCCCGTGGTGTTACCAAACCATCAAGCAAACTTTCACTGAAAAAGTTCCGGAAAATTACAACAAACATAACTTTACTCTCTATTTTTATTAGGGCTGTCAAACGATTAATTTTTTTTAGTTGATTTAATCGCATAGTAATGATGAGTTAACTCACAATTAATCGCATTTTTAACATTCTATTTCAAATCCACTCCAATTGAAGTTAAATGAGTTTTTCAAATGTAATAACACACTGTTATTCATACCAAATGTACTTAAATCTGTTTGACTTGCTCACAACCTTCTACTTTTGGGTATAACCAACAAGAGCTGTTAATGAAAGGAAAAATGTAGGTACCCCAGCTTTAATTTTGCGAGTTTGGTTGCATTTCAGCGTGTCTCCTCCTCTCCTCCATCATCAGAGAACATGAGAGAATGGCCCCTGTGCGTGTATATATATGTGTGTATTATATGACCACGTTACCGCTGTCACGTGTCCGCGGCATTCTGAGTGATATTATTATAAATGGGCGGGTCATTCGGACATGCGATTGACTGCCAGCCTATTTCAGAACAGGTACCCACAGAATATTGTGTACAATGACTATCTGATATCCAAAACCAGATTCTGAAAGAATGGACTGTCTACTTTCATCAGCAAAAATAATTTTGTTTCTAGCTTGTTTCGTTCCCTGTAATCCCCAGTCGAGTAGAGGCAAGTTTTATTGAAATCACCAGAACGCTGAAAAAAAAGAGGCACTTGTGCATCTAGCTGTTTTCAACCCATTCATAGAGCAATGCTGCCATCTGCTGGCTCAATAAAATATTGCCTCAAGCCTTACATATTTGATACAACAGACATCTGGGAACGTGAAAATAGCGGGAAACGCAATTGACGTGTTAACACGTCAATTGCAGTTAATGCGTTAATTATTTTTAACGCGTTATTGAAAACGGTAATTAACGTGAATTAACGCGATAATTTTGACAGCCCTCCATCCATCCATCCATTTTCTTCACCTTAATCCATTTCTGGGTCGGGGGGGTGGCAGTCAGAGCTACACCCAGTCCACTTAGCACCAGCCCCTCACTAATCCTCCTGCAGGTGGTGAGTCCACAGGAGCTGAGATCTTTCAGTGGGAGCTTCAGGCAATTTGACAGCCCTAATTTTTATAATTCTTTTTTTCCAGCTCCTCTGTTCGAGACGCAGTGTACGTTTGTGAACGCGACAATGGGAGAGTTCATGCGTTGGGCGGAGGACGGAGAGCGAGGGGAAGACATCGGTTTACTGGCTAAGTTTCCCAAAGCGGAGTACTGGGCTTACGCAGACTACAAGTACATCAAGGAGGTGTTCAAGAGGCGCCCACACATGTTTGAGGTAAGAGCAACTCAATGATACAAAACTGTTATTGCTAAAAGAGCTGTAGGATAAAGTTCAATTTTACTTTTGTATTGCCCTAAATCACAACAACAGTACTGCTTTTATACCTGACGTGTTTCGGTGGTAGACTTCGGCCTTCGTCAGAAGTGAGGGCGGAAGTCTACCACCGAAAACACACACCCAGTTAATATATCCTTTCATTATTATTCCCATATTTTTTTCCGTGTTTTGACATTTCCAATTAAAACGACCTCTTTCTTTCTGGTCTCTCTCTGGTCTCTCTCTGGTCTCTCTCTGGTCTCTCTCTCTCTGGGTAGAAGTCTACCGCCAAAACATGTCAGGTAATTAGGCAGTAGGAGCTTTCTTTACTTTTTTGTCTTAATATAAGGACGGTCTAAGCCTTAAACATAAGGAAAAAATGAACTTTTTACCTTCAATACTTCACTGTGTTTATGTGAACAGCAGAGAGAGGACTAATGTTTATGTGATTAGGGCTGTTGTCAGAGTAGTTTATGGACTTTTTATTCTGAGTCCAAGTTTCATTGGGATGTTATTAAATGGTAAATAAAGTAAATCTGTCGTACAGGTGCAAGGGACTACAGGTACAAATTAGCGCTCCTGCTACAATTCTTCTCTCCGCTGGATAAGGATTGTTTTTTACACTGTCCCTTTAAGGATAACAAATAATACCATACCAATATTGTCATAATAATAATAATTAAATGCATCTGGTAAGTATCATAGACTGTAAATATTAATTATTATTATTATTATTATTAAATATTATTATATTAGTCACGGCTATCTCCACCGTTCAAACTAATGGGCCAAAAATGTGCTCTACTGGAGCTATCCAAAATGGCCGCGAGTGGTCCCGCCCACAAGAAAATTGTGAAAAAACCCATCTGCGCAGCTTCAGCCGGCGCAGCTCCATTCATTTGAACGAGAAACTTCAAAAATTCACAGCGACTAAACCAGAGTGGTCCAAAAAAAATCACCCCCCTCAGCATTGACACACATGTTGTATTGAGCCGGGACCCGCCCCCACTGCTAAGTATACACCAGGGGAAAAGATGAAAGGATCCATATCAAGTTTAAACTGGAGCAGGACTTTTGTTGAAGATGAATTATTACCATAAATATTATGGTTAATCAGTGATCGAGCATTATTAAAGACATTTTTTTTTTTTTATTTAAAGGAGGGGTATGTACAAATCTGGCCAAAAGTGGTACTGCACTCTCCCTGACTCAGGTTGCCAGATATGCAGATGGATCCAGCTGGGCCCATAACACCTTTTTCACCAAGACAGAAATCCTAGTTTTATTCCTTGTTTTGTCGTTAATAATTTGAGAATCATAACGAGGCCTTTTGAACGGCACGGTGGCAGAGTGGATAGCACTCTTGCTTCTCAACAAGAAGGTCGTGGGTTTGAATCCCGGTCAGAACAGGGCCTTTCTGAATGGAGTTTGCATGTTCTCCCCGTGTCTGCGTAGGTTTCCTCCGGGTGCTCCGATATCCCCCATAGTAAAAACATGTACAATGGGTCTACCAAGCGCCTCCTGTACTGGCGATCCTGCTCTCTGTGTGGAGTGAGAGACAAATGCCCAAAAATAACAATTGTAAACCGCTTTGTGACTCTGGTCTGTGAAAGGCGGTATATAAGTAAAGATTACTTATTTACTTACTTTCTTAGTTCTGTGGCCACATGGTACTTTACCAGTGAGATTTTCTCGACGCTGTGAGTTCTGGCAACCCGGATCACAGACTTTCTGATTGGTGAAACAGTGGAGGGCGGGACATCGAAATGAAAACAACAACAAGATTTAGGTGCTGTAAAACTAATTTTGAAATCCAAATATCTCTGAACGACTGTTATCAGTTAAAAATGTATTGGAAAAGAGCAGGTTTTATTAATGCTTTTTAACAGATTAGGGCCATTTCATGATGACTTGACATGAAAATCTTACATATTGCTACTTTAACCTTTTATTTTCCAGACAAGTCCACTTCTCGAGTCCCGGACGAGCAGCAAAAGTAAACACTAGACTGACGAGATAACCGTGTCTTTGGATTAACTAGTTTTAATCTATGTTCAAACCAATTTTGGAAAAGCCCGTCTCTCAAATTACACCCAACGCGACAAAGTTTCTAAGACTGACAAACGATAAACACTCGGGACGTTGCTTCTTGTAATTAAACGGTGGTATTTACAGAAGCCGCACCTTATCGCCTCTGTCCACAGTAAAAACACACACTCCCAGCCCGTCCACAGTAAAAACACACACTCCCAGCCCATATTTCCCTCCATTATTATTCCCCTATTTTGACATTTCCAATTAAAACGTTCAGCTTCGGCCCACGGCGATTTATGATTAGCTGCTATTCTTGTCCGGCAGTGGATTAAAACCTGTAAATAGTCTTACCTCAAAGATGCATTTTATTGGCTCTTATCCACCTGTAATTACAAGCTCCACTCCTCTTTCCAGGAAGACATTTAGACGAGAGGAAATGTGGCAGTTGGAAGAGAGAGAGACCAGAGAGAGAGGCCAAAGAGAGAGAGAGAGAGACCAGAGAGAGAGACCAGAGAGAGGGAGAGACCGGAGAGGGAAACCAGGGAGACCAGAGATTGAGAGTGACTGAAAATTGGCTACAAACAATGCGCGAGGACAATGTGCCCATAATGTGAATTTAAAGATAAATGAAAAGCCAGTTTTTTTTCTCTCGAAACCAGGAAACTTTATGTAAATGAGACAATCCACAGAATTAGTGATGCATGAAACCGTGCTCCCTCACGGTGTGGCTCACCTTTCGTGGCCTCGCTGTTCTGACTTTAAATAATAAATAATTGCACACAAAAAATTACAGAAGAAAACTTTTGTGGCTTTTGTGCACTGCTGTGATTAGATCAGAGGACTGTCTCTGGTCTGCACTCTCTCTCTTGTCTCTCTCTCTCTCGTCTCTCTCTCTCTTTATCTTTTGTCTGCTCTCTCTCTCTCTCTCTGGTCTCTCTCTCCTTCTGGTCGCTCTCTCTGGTCTCTATCTTTTGTCTGTTCTCTCTCTCTCTCCTGGTCCCTCTCTCTGGGCTCCATCTCTCTTGTCTGCCCTCTCTTTCTCTGCCTGGTCTCTCTCTCTCTCTCTCTCTCTGTCTGGTCCCTCTGATGTCTCTCTCTCCTTCTGGTCTCTCCCTCTCTGCCTTGTCTCTCTCTCTTTCTCTTTTGTCTGTTCTCTCTCTCTCTGTCTGGTCCCTCTCTCTGGGCTCCATCTCTCTTGTCTGCTCTCTCTTTCTCTGCCTGGTCTCTCTCTCTGGGCTTTCCCTCTGGTCTCTTTCTCTCTTTGTGTGTCTGGTCTGGTCTCTATCTCTCTCTATCCCTCTGGTCTCTCTCCCTCTGGTCTCTCTATCTCTGGGCTCTCTCTCTCTCCCTCTGGTCTCTGTCTCTGGGCTCTCTCTCGTTCTCTCTGGTCTCTTTCTGTTAAACAGGAGTCAACTTTCATCCGTTGCCGGGTCTTATCCATGTCTCTTCTTGTATCCCGAGAATCCTCGTTACTCTCAGTCCTATCCATCTCCCGCCTCGTACACATCCAGTTTTGAGTAAAGTAATCAGTGGTATGTCTTCTCCAGGACGTGCAGTGGTGTGACTTTGGTTTCGAAGGCCGCGGTGGGAAAGAGAGCACCCTGTGGGTCGGGACAGCAGGAGCCAACACGCCCTGTCACCTGGACTCGTACGGCTGTAACCTGGTTCTGCAGGTGCAAGGACGGTGAGAGAGAATATACACTGATTTATTCACAGTTTATGGACAGAGCTGAGGTTTAGAAGAGAGTCAAGGAGGAAGAGGAGTGACATTGGAGTATCGTTAAAAATCAGAGGATGAGGAGGAAGAGTTGAGGAGTAGGAAAAATATTTTAGTAGTTGTATAGTCACAGCAATGATTCTTGTACTTTTACTAGTACAAGGGAGAGAGGCCAGAGAGGTCAGAGAGAGGGAGAGAGAGGCCAGAGAGGTCAGAGAGAGGGAGAGAGAGGGAGGGAGAGAGAGGGAGAGAGGCCAGAGAGGGAGAGAGAGGCCAGAGAGGGAGGGAGAGGTCAGAGAGGGAGAGAGAGGCCAGAGAGAGAGGGAGAGAGAGGGAGAGAGAGGGAGAGGGAGGGAGAGAGGGGGAGAGAGGGGGGAGAGATAGATAGATAGCTTTTTATTACAGACTCGTAGTCCAGAACACGAGTCGACACGAGAGAGAGGGAAGAGGGAGGGAGGCCAGAGAGGAGGGGAGAGAGAGGCCAGAGAGGGGGGAGAGAGAGGCCAGAGAGGGGGGAGAGAGAGGCCAGAGAGGGGGGAGAGAGAGGCCAGAGAGGGGGGAGAGAGAGGCCAGAGAGGGGGGAGAGAGAGGCCAGAGAGGGGGGAGAGAGAGGCCAGAGAGGGGGGAGAGAGAGGCCAGAGAGGGGGGAGAGAGAGGCCAGAGAGGGGGGAGAGAGAGGCCAGAGAGGGGGGAGAGAGAGGCCAGAGAGGGGGGAGAGAGAGGCCAGAGAGGGGGGAGAGAGAGGCCAGAGAGGGGGGAGAGAGAGGCCAGAGAGGGGGGAGAGAGAGGCCAGAGAGGGGGGAGAGAGAGGCCAGAGAGGGGGGAGAGAGAGGCCAGAGAGGGGGGAGAGAGAGGCCAGAGAGGGGGGAGAGGAGGCCAGAGAGGGAGGCCAGAGAGGGAGGCCAGAGAGGGAGGCCAGAGAGGGAGGCCAGAGAGGGAGGCCAGAGAGGGAGGCCAGAGAGGGAGGCCAGAGAGGGAGGCCAGAGAGAGAGTAGGAGCTATGGGGGGAAAAACTAAACAACCACATGGACATTTTCTGACATATTCTTTTTGAACAGAACTTCACAAAGGTGTTTTATTATAATTAATATTTGACCCACGGCATAAAAAAACAGAGGTTCCTGAACTTTGATGCACACTTTGGCACCGTCGCCTCAACATGTGACTCGTCCGTCTTGATATTTCCTTATTGCTCTACAGAGAAATAAGCAATTTGTCTCAGTCAACTTTTAGGAAACAAAAATCCCAAAATGACACTTGACACAAAGCAGAGAGTAAACCAGCGAGATGCTTCACACTTTCTGATTTAGCAATTTCAGATTTGTATCAAAAACAATGATTCTGGTGTTTGTTTGTCTGATTCTACTGCACTCTCTGTTTTCAAACATTTATTGTAAATCAGATCATTTGTTGATGTGGTTCTTGGTGTGTGACTTGGGAAGGATTGTGCCTGATAAGTTTCCCCAAGAATGATCAGGAAGATTCAGAAACAAATGGTAAATAATCAAATCCAATCAATATAGTCTTGGAGCCCCCACCTGGTACTGGTTAAACTGTCCATTGTCCATACATATACAGTCTCTCGCTGTATGGTCTCCCTCTGGTCTCTCTCTCTCTCCCTCTGGTCTCTCTCTGGTCTCTCTCTCTCTCTCCCTCTGGTCTCTCTCTGGTTTCTCTCTCGCTCCCTTTGGTTTCTCTCTCTCCTTATGGTGTCTCTCTCTCTCTCTCTCTCAGGTCTCTTTCTCTCTCTCTCAGGTCTCTCTCTCAGGTCTCTTTCTCAGGTCTCTCCCAGGTCTCTCTCTCAGGTCTCTTTCTCTCAGGTCTCTCTCTCTCAGGTCTCTCTCTCTCTGTCTCTGTCTCTCTCTTTCTCTTTCTCTCTCTCTAAACGGGAGTCGAGTCATTGACATTAACTTTGATCCGTTGCCGGGTCGTATCCATGTCCCCTTCTTGTATCCAGTTCATGTGCAGACCATTATGTGAATGAGAATTTTGGTGCAAACACTTTATCTTCGAACATTAAGTGAGCAGATTGATACTTTATTGATGGCTGTAGGAGAGATTCAGGTGTCCAGCAGCTGTCCTGAGTGTCCTTGTAAAGCTCTTTTGTGACTCTGCTCTGTGAAAGGCGCTATATAAATAAACATTACTTACTTACTTACTTCATCCTGGGTAACTCCAGACGCCCTTTGCACGACACTGGCCGCTCAGAGGAGTAACCGTAGCAACAGGCGCCTATCACTGCGCTGCCGGACAGAACGTTTTGAGAGATCCTTTGTTCCTTTGGCTGTCAGACTGTACAACAAACCTGTGTGAGTTTAAAATATGCACTTTTGCTAGGTAGTTGGTTAGACATGTTTATAATTGATGTGTTTATATGGGGGTTTTCTGCTGCTGGACTCCTGAATTAAAGTTTGTATCATCTATATCTACTCATTTACTTCATGTTCAAGGGTAAAGTGTTTGGTTCAGCTCATACAGACCATAATGAGTTATGTTTGAGTTGAGCCTTATTTTCCTCAATGTTTGTAATGTCTTCAAATAATATGAGGGGAAAAAAATCGCAGTATTTTGCAGAAAAAAATTCGCAATATTTTACGAATCTCAATACTATAGAATTGTGGCCCAAATGTCACAATTGTATAAGATTCATATGTTTTTGCTAATTCCCGCCACTAGTTAGATTTCAACATTATTGGAACAAATAGTGGTGCACACTGGGGTAGTCTTGCACAATGCTGAGGTTGCCAAACCACATCATCACCTTTAACATGCTGGTTTGGCAACCTCAGCATGAAGAACCAAAACAAACTCCAAAGGATCGTGAACCAGAGCTCGAAGATCATTGGGCAGCCACAAAGATCTCTCCAGTGTTTGTTCGAGGAGCGCTTGGGAAAGAAGGCTGAGCTCATCATTAAAGATGCTTCCCATCCGCTAAACCCAAAGTTTGAACTTCTGCCGTCAGGACGGAGATATCGAGTGATATCAGCTAAGAAAAACATTTTTAAAAACCCCTTTGTGCCCAGAGCAGTGAAAGCGGTATACACCCTTAAGCTTTGAGCAGTCCTGAGCTTGACTTGTCTTTAGGCCGGAGGTGGCCTTGTTGGTTTGTTCTTCCAATTGTTCTGTGAATGTAGTGCCACATGCTATTGTGCTGGATGTGTGTCTTTTATGTATTTTAAGGTGATAACCAAAGGCAATTTTCCACCTTGGTGGACAATAAAGTTTTCTTATTCTTCTTATTCTTATGTGGTTTTACTGCAAATGGAAAATATATTCTTGAATCTTCAAATTTCAAATCAAATTTTATTTATAAAGCGCTTTTCATACATAAGATGCAACACAAAGTGCTTTACAGATTGGTTAAAAACAATCCCGCCGACCCAAGACCCCTCCCCCAGACCACCCAACAGACCCCCCCCAAACCACAGACAAACACACACACACGCGCTCATGAACACTCATACACACACACACACACACACACACACACACACACACACCAGTAAAACAATAAAAACATGATGAGAGACTTGGCAGGGTTCAGATGCAACCAGCTGAAAAAGCGTCATCCAAGGAGCCGTCTGCACCAGGAGCAGAGAGCCGCCCGTAGCCACAGGGGACGACACAGGACCCAGAGGAGACATGAAACCGAGGCCCCAGGCCCCCACCAGGCCCAAGAGTCCGACCCCCGCAGCCACACCGACCACTGCTCCCGGTGCAGAGGGCTCCTCCAGAGGAAACACTGGGTACACTAAAAACAATACAATAAGTAAAACACTAAAATGTGAGACTAAAAGGAACACACAATACATGAATAATAGCAATAGCAATATAATAAATAATAAATAATAAAAGATAAATAGAATGGAATAATAAAAACTAATCAAAAGCTACTCTAAAAAGGTGCGTCTTGAGCCTACTTTTAAAAATATGAACGTTCTCTGCGGCCCTGAGCTCCTCCGGCAGACTGTTCCAGAGACGGGGGCCGTAGTGCTGGAAAGATGCCTCGCCGTGAGTGTGTGTCCTGACTTTGGGGATGGTTAGGAGTCTGCTGCCGGAGGAGCGCAGGGGCCGGGAAGGTTCATAGGATAAAAGCAAATCTGAAAGATAAGAAGGCCCAAGACCATTAAGACATTTAAAAACCATTAAAAGAACCTTAAAATCGATTCTGAAACACACGGGGAGCCAATGCAGCGATTTTAAAACCGGTGTAATGTGGTCCCGCCCCCTGGTCTTAGTCAGAACACGTGCGGCCGAGTTTTGGAGTAATTGAAGACTTGCAATGTTCTTTTTGGGAAGACCAGAGAGCAGGGCATTACAATAGTCAATGCGACTGGTGATAAAAGCATGCATCAGCGTCTCCGTGTTGCCCCGAGAGAGAATGGGGCGGACTCTGGCGATGTTCTTTAGATGATAAAAACCTATTTTTGTGATACTCTTGATGTGAGGAATAAAAGTCAGCTCAGAGTCAAAGATTACGCCCAGATTTTTCACTTGTGATGATGGATTAAAAGAGTGTGATTGGAGTTTTGATAAAAGTTTCTCTCTCTGGGCCTCAGGACCGATGACTAAAACCTCAGTTTTGTCCTGGTTAAGCTGGAGAAAGTTTTCTGCCATCCAGGATTTCAGGTCTAAAATGCAGTTAAAAAGAGCATCCATTGGCCTGGTGTCATCAGGAGACATGGAGATGTACAGCTGAGTATCATCTGCATAACTGTGGAAGTTAATTCCATGTCTCCTGACGACACCGCCAAGAGGGAGCATGTACAGGTTAAAAAGGACTGGACCTAAAATGAATCTTGAACTCCGTGTGTGTGTGTGTGTTTTCAGGAAGCGGTGGCACCTGTTCCCGCCTGAAGACTCGTCCAGACTCTACCCGACCAGGATCCCGTACGAAGAGTCCAGTATCTTCAGTCAGGTGGACGTCCTGAACCCAGACCTGCGGCGCTTTGGGGACTTCAGAGGGGCCCGAGCTCACACCGTCACTCTGCAGCCGGGGCAGGTGCGGCTCCGCTCTCCTACACACGATCAGGACAATATTCTGTGTTTCCAAATCAATGTGATATTTTCCTCACATTTCTACGAGTTTTGATGCTTTAGATACTAACTTTATATTTTAGTGGGGAAAGTTCAAAAGGCTGATTTCGTAAGTGACGGATTATGTTAGCAGATTTTTATCCCACGTAAGATTTGTAGTAGTGGCAGTAGTAGAAGTAGCAGTAGCAGTAGTAGTAGTAGTAGTGGCAGTAGTAGTAGTAGTGGCAGTAGTAGTAGTAGTAGTAGTAGTGGCAGTAGTAGTAGTGGCAGTAGTAGTAGTGGCAGTAGTAGTAGTAGTAGTGGCAGTAGTAGTAGTAGCAGTAGTAGTAGTGGCAGTAGTGGCAGTAGTAGTAGTAGTAGAAGTAGCAGTAGCAGTAGTAGAAGTAGCAGTAGTAGCAGTAGTAGTAGTAGTAGTGGCAGTAGTAGTAGTGGCAGTAGCAGTAGTAGTAGTGGCAGTAGTAGTAGTGGTGGTAGTAGTAGTAGTAGTAGTAGTGGCAGTAGTAGTAGTAGTAGCAGTAATAGTGGCAGTAGTAGAAGTAGCAGTAATGGCAGTTTTAGCAATTAATAATTTTTAAACGAGATAAAACCCTGTCACTCGGGTTCAGATGATAGTTGAACTGGCAACCCCCATGAGAGCCTCATTCTGCTCTCTGATTGGATAATCTGCTTGAAAATACACTTAATATATGTTTGATTTGAACCACTTTTAACAGTGTTTAGTTTTCATACTGGGTCAAATATGATGTGACCTGTTATCTGGCGACACGTACAAAATATGTTTAAAATGAAAACAGTTTGACATGCAGTACCTTTAAACTACTTCAAAACTGAAGTAATCTGATTCAGTTGTTGTTCCACATATTTAACAATTAAATAGTTTCAGTAAAACTCCACGCTGGGTTCTTCTAGTCCCCCCTCCTCCTACCAGGTGCTACACATATAAAGACTCCTACTAATGGGCTATATACACAGGGAGGCGTGATGTCATTTCCTGTTAACAAAGCACAGCCCGTTCACTTCCTGCCTGTGCTATCCTATGGCTGGGTTTTAGTGATGTTTTTTAGTAATTAGATCGATACATTCAGCTGAGACTGACCCAAAAGTGTCGCTGTGCTTTCTCTCTGAGGTAGAGCTTCGACTGTGGCCACTCAGAGAGATTTGTAGACTTTATAAAAACACAATGACAGCACAAATAGCACTGTTGAGTCCAAAAAATGCCCAGTATCCTCAGTTTAGTTCCCGTTTGAGCATTATTTGGGAAACTCGTGTAAACCACTGCTGAACTCCAGTGAAACTCAAGCCATTCCCTGCGCACAGGAAGTGAAGTGGGGCTTTAGCTGAAACGCGGAAGTGGTGCGTGCATAGAGCCGGAAGTTACTACTTCCTGATGATCTCTGTCCTGTTTCTACTTCAAAAGGCTTGAAACCAAATCTTTCAGTTACACAGTAGCGTGTCGGCTCGAGTCTCCTCCTTCACCTCCTCCGAGGGCGGCACGGTGGCTGAGTGGATAGCACTCTCGCCTCTCAGCAAGGTCCTAGGTTCGAATCCCGGTCGGATGCAAACTCCACTTTCTGAGTGGAGTTTGCATGTTCTCCCCGTGTCTGCGTAGGTTTCCTCCGGGTACTCCGGTTTCCCCTACCACTAAAAATATGTACAATAAGTCTGGCATGCGCCTCCTGTTCGGCGACCCCGCTCCCATCTCTGTGTGGAGTGAGAGACAAATGCCCAAAAAATAATAATTGTAAACCGCTTTGTGACTCTGGTCTGTGAAAGGCGCTATATAAATAAAGATTACTTACTTACTTACTTACTCCTCCTTCACCTCCTCTCGCCCTCTTCAGAATAACCTCCTGGTCCTGTGAGTTACCATCGTGACCGGTTTTATTTCATATGCAGCAAAGTTCCCTCAAAGACACACTCTCCCCTGAATGTAAAGGACCAATCAGAGGCCGTCACGGACGCAGTCACGAAGCAGCAACGGGAATGACCCACGACTGATCCAAGGCCGAGGAATCCATAAGAAGTGTCTGATTCGATACAGTCACAGACACGCGCAGGGGAAGGGCTCTGCTGACATCTAGTGGTGAAAGAGGGGACTTCTTTTTTTATATAACTATTGCAGGGGTCTCCAACCTGTAGCTCGGGAGCCACCAGTAGCTCACCACGGTCTGGGTCTTTCTGTGAAACTTGAAGGCCCCTGTGTGCTGAAACATTATAGCCATATACGTGCAGCCAGAAGCTCCTCCTTTCCATTCAAAAGACAGATGGAAAAATCATGTTGACTCATTTTAAATACAGGTGAAACTGGGAATATTGAAATACTGTCGAAAAGGTAGCTCGCCAAAGGATTTAGAAATGAACAAATGAAATAATATACTTAATATTCCAAATTGTATTAACGGCTTATTAAACGAGCGTGAGGTTAATAAATGTTTTATTATATGACTATTTTTAATTTATGCAAATATCAATCTCCGACTTGGTTTTCATAATCGTGCTTTTACCTTTCTGGTCTGTAACAAAGTTGTCAATCTCTTCTTGACTGTTAGGAGTTGTGTTTTCGTCGTCAATTGCTGTTATTACTTCCTCTGGCTCTTCTTTTTTTACCAAGGAAAGATATCAAATGTGATTCGCGCTGCAGATCAATTGTCATGGTAACGGCCCGAGATGGGAAAATATCAGGCCGCAAATCAGCCAATCAGAGCGCGCGTACGATCCTAGTCATATAATAATATTCATTATCATTATTTATTAACGATGCAACAATAAATAAGGACGTTTCCCAATACCAGGCTTGTTCTCACCAATATATCACCAATATTTTTTTTTCCCCAATGCCGCTTAAAGGAGTAGCTCTCTGCCTTTATCGTCCCGGGAAAGTAGCTCTCTGGGTGAAAAAGGTTGAAGACACCTGTTCTATTGTCACCACTTCGAGACACCTTTTTATCTGAGGAAAATGATGAGAATGTGTATATATTTATACTAATATTTTTACATTTGTAGAAGTCTGTCCAAACTCTTTGCTCATGTTCTGTCTCTGTCTCTGTCTCCGGTGTCTCTGCTGCAGGTGCTGTTTGTTCCCAGACACTGGTGGCATTATGTGGAGTCTCTGAGTCCAGTTACTGTCAGCGTCAACTCCTGGATCGAGCTGGTAACTTCAAGTATATATTATTTTTATTATTATATGTGTGTTTGAATAAGTAACATTCTGAGGACAAATCAGAGCCGCACATGTAGTTTTTGAAGAATAATAATAATCCTGGTTTGTTGTTTGGAGGCCGAGGACGACGAGGCCAGAGTCAGTGAAGCCGTGACCAGAGCCGTGGTCTGTGCTTTAAAGTCTGCTCCCAGTGACGACAACCAGGACGAGTGGATCAACCCCACAGAGGTGCCAGAGGAGGGGGCCAACACCACTTTACTACTTTACCAAACCGTTATGGACTTTACCATGTTTTACACCTTGACTGTAAAGTATGATGTATCGGGAAAATGTACTTTCAAAAACACTCTGGCTGCAAACTATGAAGCCTGGATATGTTAATAAGGTCAGAGACACTATAGTCCTTACATGGGTCATATCTGGTTTTACAAAGACAATATCAAAGAATAAACACCCACATCACGGAAAGAGATAAACCAAGGATTCATTAAACTGGAACGAGTACTTTCACATGTCCAGAAGAGCCAGACCAAACTTCCATGAGCACTTCCATATTAGGCTTCATCGGGCTAGCTGCTAGCAGGTTTGCATTGTCCTTCTGTCTACTATTTAAGATTTCTACACTGGAAATAATCCCTTGAAAAAAATATATGTTTCATGACAAACTAAATTTAAGCTAAATAAAAAAAGATTTTAGAGAAAAAGAAAATAATACGAGCCCCTAGTATAAAAACATACTTATCAAGTATTATTTACTTTTTTCTCAAACATTTTTGAGGAAAGTTTTCTTCAAATTTAGCATCACATTCTCATTTTATCTAAAAGTTGTCTGGAAATAAGAAAGAATGTGCTTAAAACATGTTTAGATAACTCTTTTTTTTTTTTTCTCTCTATTTAGATTATGAAGTATTATTGTCTTAAAACTAGTAAAATAATCTTACACGACAAACCACATTCAAGCAACAAAACTTGCCATTCAAAAAATAAGCATCGTTTCTGTTGTTTTTAGTAAACAAATCTGACCGAGACATAACGTTTTCCAGTGAAATCATTTCCTGTTGCTCCTGTTCCAGATCAGGGCGTCCTCCCACGTCCAGAACATGAGGTTCCTGAACCTGGCTCTGACCTCCGTGTCCCAGAGGCGCTCCCCGTCTCCCAGGAGCCTCTCCCCGCTCGGCCGACCAATCAAACGCAGCCACGGCGGACAGAACCTGCCCCCGTCCCCTCCGTTCGGACCTCACCTCACGCCCGTCCTCTGCGGTCCGCCCCCAGACGCCAAAGCCACGGCCACCGCCACGTGTACATGCGGCCGGAAAGCCTTGGAGCCAGGCCTCAGAGTGAACCCGGAGATGGTGAGGCCCCTGAGAGCCCTCAAGTCCATGTCTGTTGTGGATTACAAACGGGAAGGAGAGGATGTGGAGGCTGGCAGTGGCGGCGGCGAGGGAGCCACGGGAGCCACGGTGAGCACTAACGACCTGCTGGACGTCCTGGTGCATCCGGACATCATCAAACATGTGACAGAGATGCTCATCCAGAGACATTCAGGAGGAAAGAGGACGGAACTGGACTAGACTCACATGTACACGTATACTGTACATACACACACATATGTACAGTATACACACACACATATGTACAGTATACACACTTACACATACACGTACATATATACACACACACATATACACTCACAAACATACCAGCACCAAGAACCGGCCCCTGGTCTGGCCTACCTCAAGGTTTACTCTCAGGTCTCTCTTTGGTCACTCTCTCTCTGGTCTCTCTCTCTCTCTCCCTCCCTCTCTTGTCTCTCTCTCTCTTGTCTCTCTCTCTCCCTCCCTCTCTCTCTTGTCTCTCTCTCTCCCTCCCTCTCTCTCTCTTGTCTCTCTCTCTCCCTCCCTCTCTCTCTCTTGTCTCTCTCTCTCGTCACTCTCTCTCTGGTCTCTCTCTCCCTCCCTCTCTGGTCTCTCTCTCTCTTGTCTCTCTCTTTCTCGTCTCTCCCTCTCTTGTCTCTCTCTCTTGTCCCCCCCTCTCTCTTGTCTCTCTGTCTCTTATGAACCCTATGTATTTGTTGTTTTTGCATTTCTTGCGTTTGAACTGTCTGCTGCTCTGATCTGTTGTTTTAGAATCAACAGTTTTTGTCCTCCAAGATAACTACTGTTTATTTGAATTTGGTCGACAAATTTGTACCGGCTTTCCAGTTTCTTTGACTTGGCTCCAAAAATGTAAATCACTCGCGAAAACTCTAACCTCACTTTCTATCACTGACTTTATTCGTGTAAAGGCCTAAATCAAAGCAGCAGTCATCTTGGAAGACTTTACACCGACAAATCAAATAATCAAACAGATGGTTATTATTGCATTTCCCGCATAAATGTCCTTAGATATCAGAGCGATGGAGAGAGAGCGACTTTGGGGAAAGTGAAACCCTGGACTCTTTAGCCCGGCTCTCAACTATCGCTTCTTGTTAACAAAACGAGTATCTTTTCGCCTTCAGTGTGTTCTCCAACTTCCGGGCCATCCATCCATCCATCCATTCCTCGTCGTCGTAGGAAACCAAACACTCCAATTACGATCCCCGCATCACTCAGACGCACATCACCGTCTCCTTTAACACACTTATTACATTGTGCGTCCGTTTAACCGGTCCCACCATCGCTCAGGCCGAGCCAAACCGCCGCTGCCGGACTCTAATACGATTCCCACAATCCATCCACGATTCTGATGGATCGTTCTGAGCGGTCGTAAGTTTCTCCTAACGGTCCCAGCGTCCTCTGAGTCACAGAAGGCCCTGATGCCCCGCCCCCTCTCGCTGCCTCTAATGTCTTTGTCCCGTAAGATAAACACGGCGTCCGCTCTGAATGCTGATCAGGACCATCGTTCAAGGCCGTTTGTGTCCGGAGCTTCGGGAAGGACGCTCCCTGGATGTGAGCGATAAATATAGAATTACAGAAGCGATTTTGATTTGAAATGTGATCATAGAAGTGGATATTTTCGAACGGAAAGGGTATTTATGGATGGAGAGTTCAAAAGGCAAAACATGGGGTATGATTTGGTACCAGTTTGTTGTTTCGTTGTGTGTTTTTAACTTAATTGAATGTATTTTTGTGTAGCACTAAATCTCAACCGCTGTTATCAACAAGGACTTTACGAAGGTGTAGATTCTTCAATAACAGATCAGAGAATCAAACGGTTCGAGGACAGGAAATGCGATTATGACCGAGGAGGCTTTGGTCCATAGGGAGCAGGACGACCAGTATTCACATGTTTATAAATGTCATGGATCAACTCTGTCTTAAATCCTCCTGCAGCGACAAGGAACCAGTCAAAACTCAGTGGGGAAAAGTGAGAAACTTTTGGGAGGAGAGAGGGATCTGGATTGAGGCTGTAGACCCAGGACTGAGGGGACTGAGGCTGTAGACCCAGGACTGAGGGGACTGAGGCTGTAGACCCGGGGCCGAGGCTATAGACCCAGGACTGAGGAGACTGAGGCTGTAGACCCAGGACTGAGGGGGCCGAGGCTGTAGACCCAGGACTGAGGGGACTGAGGCTGTAGACCCAGGACTGAGGGGACTGAGGCTGTAGACCCAGGACTGAGGGGACTGAGGCTGTAGACCCAGGACTGAGGAGACTGAGGCTGTAGACCCAGGACTGAGGGGGCCGAGGCTGTAGACCCAGGACTGAGGGGGCCGAGGCTGTAGACCCAGGACTGAGGGGACTGAGGCTGTAGACCCAGGACTGAGGAGACTGAGGCTGTAGACCCAGGACTGAGGAGACTGAGGCTGTAGACCCAGGACTGAGGGGACTGAGGCTGTAGACCCAGGACTGAGGAGACTGAGGCTGTAGACCCAGGACTGAGGAGACTGAGGCTGTAGACCCAGGGGCAGAGGCTGTGTTTGAAGAATTGTGTATATATTTTTGGGTCTTTTCTGTGATTCCCATCTGAGGAAGAATCACCGAAACTTATTTTTATAACTTTTCTCAGCCCAGTTTCAATAAAGAATTTCTAACTAACGTCCTGGTGGTTTGGAGTTTTTTATCATTTGAATGTTTATATTGAATCAGCCTTTTCCACAGAATCTACAAGTAATGCATAATTTCACAAAACTGTTTTTATCCAAAGAAAATCTCATTCTTCTGCGTGTCCTGAAATCTGTTTTTATTTACTTTGTGCAAATACGATGTAAACAGAACGACCATAAATCTACTTTATACAGAGTTCAGGACAAAATGATCCAAACCACAAAGACTGACACAATAATGATTTCACATGAAACACTGACGGATTAACACTTCATAATCAAACCAAACATTCATCAAAACACGGGAATTCTCAAGAGGAATGGGCAAGAATTCTGCTACATGTGATTGTTTCCTTTTCGCTGATTTGATACAATTGGTTGGAGTGAGGGAGAGAGAGGGAGTGGGGGATGGAGTAGGGTAGAGAGAGAAAGGGATTGGGGGAGAGAAAGGAAGTGGGGAAAGAGAGAGGGAGGGATAGGGAGTAGGGGAGAGAGAGAGAAAGGGAGTAGGGGAGAGAGAGGGTGGGATCAAGATAGAGGGAATGGGGAGAAGGAGTGGGACAGATTGGGATAAGGGGAGAGAGAGTGAGATAGGGGGAAGTGAAAGCGTGAGGGAGTGGGGGGGAGAGAGAGATTGAGACAGAAAAATGCTGTAACGTGAAAAGAGACGGATTGTTCCAAAGTATCTGCTTTTCTTGTTGCTGCAAAATCTGTTCTGGAAGAAAGTCTCAAACACGAAGAACAACACATTTCAAGACATGTTTTTGTCTATTTCTGAATACTGACTCTGTGAGCTCAGTAAATACCAGAGAGAGAGACTAGAGAGAGAGACCAGAGAGAGAGACCAGAGAGAGAGACCAGAGAGAGAGATGAGAGCGAGAGACCAGAAAGAGAGACTAGAGAGAGAGAGACCGGAGAGACAAGAAAGAGACGAGACAGAGAGGGACAGAGAGTCACCAGAGAGAAACTAGAGAGAGGCCACAGAGAGACTAGAGAAAGAGACAAAAGAGAGAAAGAATAGAGCGGGAGAGAGAGACTAGAGAGAGGGATACCAGGAAAAGAGACTAGAGAGAAGGAATAGAGCGAGAGAGTAAACCTTGTAAACATCTAAAGTGCAGTTTGTCACAGCTTGGTGCTCTTTCCTTTTCTGTCCATCTGTAAATTGTCCGACGGTCGCTTCTTCTTCTCCTCCTCGGTGTCGCAGAGTTTAGGGTCCTCCAGGTACGCGCTGCTGAGGTCTTCTGGATCCACGTAGGTGTAGAAGGCGGCCATGATGGAGAAGATCACACACACGGAGAGAAGCAGACCAGCAAACAGCAGGAACTCTTTCCACTGGAACAGGGAGCACAGGTACAGTCACGACACAGAGAAGCACAGGTACAGTCACGACACAGAAGCACAGGTACAGTCACAACACAGAGAAGCACAGGTACAGTCACAACACAGAGAAGCACAGGTACAGTCACGACACAGAAGCACAGGTACAGTCACAACACAGAGAAGCACAGGTACAGTCACGACACAGAGAAGCACAGGTACAGTCACGACACAGAGAAGCACAGGTACAGTCACAACACAGAGAAGCACAGGTACAGACACAACACAGAGAAGCACAGGTACAGACACAACACAGAGAAGCACAGGTACAGACACAGCACAGAGAAGCACAGGTACAGACACAACACAGAGAAGCACAGGTACAGACACAGCACAGAGAAGCACAGGTACAGACACAACACAGAGAAGCACAGGTACAGACACAACACAGAGAAAAGAGTCATGTCTAGTTGAGCCTGTCACTCCCGTATTCGTCCCGGAAACCGGATTCGTCCGGAAGTTCAGTTTGATCCAATAAGCATACGCAGCAGTAGATTACGTCACGGAAGTGGAAGTAAGTATAAAAAACTACCTATTCATGCCTAAACTTAACCAGCCATTCCCATAAAATAACCCCAACCCAGCCTTAACCCTAACCTTAACCATCTTAGTCAGACGCCTAAACTTAACCAGTCACCACTTAAGGACATATTAAACTTTTTGACATGCGCAAACTGAACTTCCGGACAAATCCGGTTTCCGGGACGAATACGGGAGTGACAGCCGTCTCGAGCCAGGCCAACAAGGGCTTCAGAGACAGGAAATGGATGGAATCTGGTCTCTCTCCCTCTCTAGTCTCTCTCTCTGGTCTCTCTCAGGTTTCTCTCTGGTCTCTCTCTAGTCTCTCTCTAATCTCCCTCTCTCTCGTCTCTCTTTGGTCTCTCTCTCTCTTTCATCTCTCTCTGGTCTGCTCCTGCTTAGTTGGATGGGAGCCCCGCTCCCATCTCTGTGTGGAGTGAGAGACAAATGCCCAAAATAAAAAAAAACAATTGTAAACCGCTTTGAGACTCAGATCTGCAGTGAAAAGGCGGTATATAAATAAAGATTACTTATTTACTTACTTACTTGGAATGAAATCCTAAAGCCACAAAGCCCTTTCTCAAACAGACCCCTCTAGTCTCCCTCTCAGACCCCTCTGGTCCAGTTATAGTCTCTTTCACCTGCTCCAGCCCTGCTCCCTCGGCCACGATGAGCACGATGACGTTCCCGAAGGCCACGGTGAGGAGCCAGCCGGCCTGCAGCACCGACTTCATTGTGGTGGGAGACTGGACACAGACACACACAGACACACCAGGGAATGATGAGAGAGGTGAGGGAGGTTTAATTGTATAGCACAGTCCATACACACCTCAAAGTGCTTCACACCGACACAGACAGGCGCCCACACAAATGTTTGTAAGTGTATTTGATTATAAACAGAGTGCAACCTCTTCCTGTTATTTACCTTTGACCATAAATTAAGAGTTGAAAACATTTTATTTTTCCCCTCAATTTTCATACATGGAATTTATTTTTATTGTCTAAGGCCGTGTCTCCCAAAGTGAGGGTATCGCAGCAAGAGGTCATCAAAGCAAAACAAAAAATTGAAATATAATTATTGTATATAAAATTCATAATATTTTGTTTGTAAATATTTGTATTTTTGTATTCCAAAATGGGGTCAGTCATTCACATGTTTGTAGCAGAGGCTGTTCCCCCAAAAGAAAGAACCAGAAGAGGCTATTTTTAACGTTTTCTTCTTGGTTATTATTTCAGGGGCCGCACAGACCCTCAGATTTATTCATTTTATTATAAACAGCTGTGAAATATTTGTAAAATTCTTTCTCATGCAGAAATGTGTGTCATTGATGGTTTTATTAGACCCTCTCTGTGGATCAACTCAGTCCAGCCTCAGTCCGTCCTCAGTCCATCCTCAGTCCAGCCTCAATCCAGCCTCAGTCCGTCCTCAGTCCAGCCTCAGTCCTGCCTCAGTCCTGCCTCAGTCCGTCCTCGGTCCAGCCTCAGTCCAGCCTCAGTCCTGCCTCAGTCCGTCCTCGGTCCAGCCTCAGTCCAGCCTCAGTCTCTGCCTCAGTCCAGCCTCAGTCCAGCCTCAGTCCTGCCTCAGTCCAGCCTCAGTCCAGCCTCAGTCTCTGCCTCAGTCTCTGCCTCAGTCTAGCCTCAGTCTCTGCCTCAGTCCAGCCTCAGTCTCTGCCTCAGTCCAGCTCTCAGTCCAGCCTCAGTCCAGCCTCAGTCCTGCTCAGTTCAGTCCTGCCTCAGTCCTGCCTCAGTCCAGCCTCAGTCCAGCCTCAGTTGCCAGCCTCAGTCCTGCCTCAGTCCAGCCTCAGTCCTCCCTCAGTCCTGCCTCAGTCCAGCCTCAGTCTCTCTCTGCCTGAGTCCAGCCTCAGTCCAGCCTCAGTCCAGCCTCAGTCCTGCCTCAGTCCAGCCCTCAGTCTCTGCCTCAGTCCAGCCTCAGTCCAGCCTCAGCCTCCAGCCTCAGTCCAGCCTCAGTCCTGCCTCAGTCCAGCCTCAGTCCTCTCCCTCAGTCCTGCCTCAGTCCCAGCCTCAGTCCTCCCTCAGTCCTGCCTCAGTCCAGCCTCAGTCCGCTCATCCTCAGTCCTCCTCAGTCCTGCCTCAGTCCAGCCTCAGTCCTGCCTCAGTCCAGCCTCAGTCCTGCCTCAGTCCGTCCTCAGTCCAGCCTCAGTCCAGCCTCAGTCCTGCCTCAGTCCGTCCTCAGTCCATCCTCAGTCCAGCCTCAATCCAGCCTCAGTCCGTCCTCAGTCCAGCCTCAGTCCTGCCTCAGTCCGTCCTCAGTCCAGCCTCAGTCCAGCCTCAGTCCTGCCTCAGTCCGTCCTCAGTCCAGCCTCAGTCCAGCCTCAGTCCGCCTCAGCCTCAGTCTCAGCCGCTCAGTCCAGCCTCAGTCCAGCCTCAGTCCTGCCTCAGTCCAGCCTCAGTCCAGCCTCAGTCTCTGCCTCAGTCTCTGCCTCAGTCTAGCCTCAGTCTCTGCCTCAGTCCAGCCTCAGTCCAGCCTCAGTCCAGCCTCAGTCCAGCCTCAGTCCCAGTCCTGCTCAGTCCTGCCTCAGTCAGCCTGCCTCAGTCCAGCCTCAGTCCAGCCTCAGTCCAGCCTCAGTCCAGCCTCAGTCCTGCCTCAGTCCAGCCTCAGTCCTCCCTCAGTCCTGCCTCAGTCCAGCCTCAGTCTCTGCCTCAGTCCAGCCTCAGTCCAGCCTCAGTCCAGCCTCAGTCCTGCCTCAGTCCTGCCTCAGTCCTGCCTCAGTCCGCCTCAGTCCAGCCTCAGTCCAGCCTCAGTCCAGCCTCAGTCCAGCCTCAGTCCTGCCTCAGTCCAGCCTCAGTCCTCCCTCAGTCCTGCCTCAGTCCAGCCTCAGTCTCTGCCTCAGTCCAGCCTCAGTCCAGCCTCAGTCCTGCCTCAGTCCTGCCTCAGTCCAGCCTCAGTCCTGCCTCAGTCCTCCCTCAGTCCTGCCTCAGTCCAGCCTCAGTCCAGCCTCAGTCCAGCCTCAGTCCAGCCTCAGTCTCTGCCTCAGTCCTGCCTCAGTCCAGCCTCAGTCCTCCCTCAGTCCTGCCTCAGTCCAGCCTCAGTCTCTGCCTCAGTCCAGCCTCAGTCCAGCCTCAGTCCTGCCTCAGTCCTGCCTCAGTCCAGCCTCAGTCCTGCCTCAGTCCTCCCTCAGTCCTGCCTCAGTCTCTGCCTCAGTCCAGCCTCAGTCCAGCCTCAGTCCAGCCTCAGTCCAGCCTCAGTCCTCCCTCAGTCCTGCCTCAGTCCAGCCTCAGTCCGTCCTCAGTCCAGCCTCAGTCCTGCCTCAGTCCGTCCTCAGTCCAGCCTCAGTCCAGCCTCAGTCCTGCCTCAGTCCGTCCTCAGTCCAGCCTCAGTCTCTGCCTCAGTCCAGCCTCAGTCCAGCCTCAGTCCTGCCTCAGTCCAGCCTCAGTCCTGCCTCAGTCCAGCCTCAGTCCAGCCTCAGTCTCTGCCTCAGTCTCTGCCTCAGTCTAGCCTCAGTCTCTGCCTCAGTCCAGCCTCAGTCCAGCCTCTGTCCAGCCTCAGTCCAGCCTCAGTCCTGCCTCAGTCCTGCCTCAGTCCAGCCTCAGTCCAGCCTCAGTCTCTGCCTCAGTCCAGCCTCAGTCCAGCCTCAGTCCTGCCTCAGTCCAGCCTCAGTCCTCCCTCAGTCCTGCCTCAGTCCAGCCTCAGTCTCTGCCTCAGTCCAGCCTCAGTCCAGCCTCAGTCCTGCCTCAGTCCTGCCTCAGTCCTGCCTCAGTCCAGCCTCAGTCTCTGCCTCAGTCCAGCCTCAGTCCAGCCTCAGTCCTGCCTCAGTCCAGCCTCAGTCCTCCCTCAGTCCTGCCTCAGTCCAGCCTCAGTCTCTGCCTCAGTCCAGCCTCAGTCCAGCCTCAGTCCAGCCTCAGTCCTGCCTCAGTCCGGCCTCAGTCCAGCCTCAGTCCTGCCTCAGTCCTCCCTCAGTCCTGCCTCAGTCCAGCCTCAGTCCAGCCTCAGTCTCTGCCTCAGTCCTGCCTCAGTCCAGCCTCAGTCCAGCCTCAGTCCAGCCTCAGTCCTCCCTCAGTCCTGCCTCAGTCCAGCCTCAGTCTCTGCCTCAGTCCAGCCTCAGTCCAGCCTCAGTCCTGCCTCAGTCCTGCCTCAGTCCAGCCTCAGTCCTGCCTCAGTCCTCCCTCAGTCTCTGCCTCAGTCCAGCCTCAGTCTCTGCCTCAGTCCAGCCTCAGTCCAGCCTCAGTCCTCCCTCAGTCCTCCCTCAGTCCTCCCTCAGTCCTCCCTCAGTCCTGCCTCAGTCCAGCCTCAGTCCAGCCTCAGTCCAGCCTCAGTCCAGCCTCAGTCTCTGCCTCAGCCAGCCTCAGTCCAGCCTCAGTCCAGCCTCAGTCCTGCCTCAGTCCAGCCTCAGTCCAGCCTCAGTCCAGCCTCAGTCTCTGCCTCAGTCCAGCCTCAGTCCAGCCTCAGTCCAGCCTCAGTCCTGCCTCAGTCCTGCCTCAGTCCAGCCTCAGTCTCTGCCTCAGTCCAGCCTCAGTCCAGCCTCAGTCCTGCCTCAGTCCTGCCTCAGTCCAGCCTCAGTCCTCCCTCAGTCCTGCCTCAGTCTCTGCCTCAGTCCAGCCTCAGTCCAGCCTCAGTCCAGCCTCAGTCTCTGCCTCAGTCCAGCCTCAGTCCAGCCTCAGTCCAGCCTCAGTCCTGCCTCAGTCCAGCCTCAGTCCAGCCTCAGTCCAGCCTCAGTCTCTGCCTCAGTCCAGCCTCAGTCCAGCCTCAGTCCAGCCTCAGTCCTGCCTCAGTCCTGCCTCAGTCCAGCCTCAGTCTCTGCCTCAGTCCAGCCTCAGTCCAGCCTCAGTCCTGCCTCAGTCCTGCCTCAGTCCAGCCTCAGTCCTCCCTCAGTCCTGCCTCAGTCTCTGCCTCAGTCCAGCCTCAGGCCAGCCTCAGTCTCTGCCTCAGTCCAGCCTCAGTCCAGCCTCAGTCCTGCCTCAGTCCAGCCTCAGTCCTGCCTCAGTCCTCCCTCAGTCCTCCCTCAGTCCTCCCTCAGTCCTGCCTCAGTCCAGCCTCAGTCCGTCCTCAGTCCATCCTCAGTCCAGCCTCAGTCCAGCCTCAGTCCGTCCTCAGTCCAGCCTCAGTCCGTCCTCAGTCCGTCCTCAGTCCAGCCTCAGTCCAGCCTCAGTCCTGCCTCAGTCCGTCCTCAGTCCAGCCTCAGTCCTGCCTCAGTCCTGCCTCAGTCCTGCCTCAGTCTCTGCCTCAGTCCAGCCTCAGTCCAGCCTCAGTCCAGCCTCAGTCTTGCCTCAGTCCAGCCTCAGTCCTCCCTCAGTCCTGCCTCAGTCCAGCCTCAGTCCAGCCTCAGTCCAGCCTCAGTCCAGCCTCAGTCCAGCCTCAGTCTAGCCTCAGTCTCTGCCTCAGTCCAGCCTCAGTCCAGCCTCAGTCTCTGCCTCAGTCCAGCCTCAGTCCAGCCTCAGTCCTGCCTCAGTCCAGCCTCAGTCCAGCCTCAGTCCAGCCTCAGTCCAGCCTCAGTCTCTGCCTCAGTCCAGCCTCAGTCCAGCCTCAGTCCTGCCTCAGTCCAGCCTCAGTCTCTGCCTCAGTCCAGCCTCAGTCCAGCCTCAGTCCAGCCTCAGTCCTGCCTCAGTCCTGCCTCAGTCCAGCCTCAGTCCTCCCTCAGTCCTGCCTCAGTCTCTGCCTCAGTCCAGCCTCAGTCCAGCCTCAGTCTTTGCCTCAGTCCAGCCTCAGTCCAGCCTCAGTCCTGCCTCAGTCCAGCCTCAGTCCTGCCTCAGTCCTGCCTCAGTCCTCCCTCAGTCCTGCCTCAGTCCAGCCTCAGTCCGTCCTCAGTCCATCCTCAGTCCAGCCTCAGTCCAGCCTCAGTCCGTCCTCAGTCCAGCCTCAGTCCAGCCTCAGTCCAGCCTCAGTCCAGCCTCAGTCTCTGCCTCAGTCCAGCCTCAGTCCTGCCTCAGTCCAGCCTCAGTCCAGCCTCAGTCCTGCCTCAGTCCAGCCTCAGTCTCTGCCTCAGTCCATCCTCAGTCCTGCCTCAGTCCATCCTCAGTCCTGCCTCAGTCCAGCCTCAGTCCTGCCTCAGTCCAGCCTCAGTCCATCCTCAGTCTCTGCCTCAGTCCATCCTCAGTCCTGCCTCAGTCCATCCTCAGTCCTGCCTCAGTCCATCCTCAGTCCATCCTCAGTCCAGCCTCAGTCCAGCCTCAGTCTCTGCCTCAGTCCAGCCTCAGTCCAGCCTCAGTCCAGCCTCAGTCCAGCCTCAGTCCAGCCTCAGTCCAGCCTCAGTCCTCCCTCAGTCCTGCCTCAGACCTGTGAGTAGGAGAATTCCAGTCCGGTGATGGAGAACATGACCTCTCCTGCGGTCATCAGGACGTACTGAGGGATCTGCCAGGCCACATGGACGTTGTTGGCCTCGACATCCTCCATCCTGCTGACCACCGGTGCCCCGCCCTCCTGCAACACACACAACCTGGATCAGGAGACACTATGGACTAGACATTCCTCTCTGGTCTCTCTCTCTCTCTGGTCTGTCTCTCTTCTCTCTCCATCTCTCTCTCTCTCTATGGTCTCTCTCTGGTCTCTCTCTGGCCTCTCTCTCTGGTCTCCCTCTGGTCTCTCTCTGGTCTCTTTCTGGTCTCTCTCTGGACTCTCTCTCTGATCTCTCTCCGGTCTTTCTCTCTGGTCTTTCTGGTCTCTCTCTGGTCTCTCTTGTCTCTCTCCGGTCTCTCTCTGGTCTCTCTCTGGTCTCTCTCCGGTCTCTCTCTGATCTCTCTCTGGTCTTTCTGGTCTCTCTCTGGTCTCTCTTGTCTCTCTCCGGTCTCTCTCTGGTCTCTCTCTGGTCTCTCTCTGGTCTCTCTCTGGTCTCTCTCTGGTCTCTCTCTTGTCTGTCTTTATGTTCTCTCTGGTCTTTCTCTCTGGTCTCTTGTTGGTCTCTCTGGTCTCTCTCTGCTCTCCCTCTGTGATCTTTGCTCTCTCTGGTCTCTCTTTCTGGTCTTTCTCTCTGGTCTCTCTTGTCTCTCTCCGGTCTCTCTCTGGTCTCTCTCTGGTCTCTCTGGTCTCTCTCTGGTCTCTCTCTGGTCTCTCTCTGGTCTCTCTCTTGTCTGTCTTTATGTTCTCTCTGGTCTTTCTCTCTGGTCTCTTGTTGGTCTCTCTGGTCTCTCTCTGCTCTCCCTCTGTTATCTTTGCTCTCTCTGGAACCACACAAACTGGATCAGTGAGAAACTATAAACCAGACAAAGCCAAATATACTGAATTACAAACATATATTCAGAAGACTTGACTGAGCAGGTTCAATAATCCCCCAATAACAAAAGACTTATTTAGGATATTTCAAAGTCAAGCAGTGGCATTTCTAATCATTCCACTTCAATTCGGTCATAATTTAAATGTCCGGGTCCCCAGGAGGGTCCTTGGATCGGCAGAGACCCACTGAATCTGCATCTTTTAACGGACTTACACAGACTGATTTACTGTTCACATAAACGACTTCAGTTTCACCTCATAAATGACGTATGTGTAGGAGGCTCCAAAGTCCAGCAGACCCAGGTCCAGACTGGAGCAAGTACCGGACGTCACAGGACAGATCTGAACCGAGGAATATCTGAGGACAACATAAGGAACATTATTTATTTATTGTTTGTTTCATGCTGTCTGGTCTTTCTCTCTCATCCTTCTCTCTCTCTGATCTCTCTCTGGACTTTCTTGCTCTCTCTGGCCTCTCTGGTCTCTCTCTGATCTCTCTCTGGTCTCTCTCTCTCTCTGGTCTGTCTATTTTCTCTCTCTCTCTCTGGTCTCTCTCTCCGGTCTCTCTCTGGTCTCTCTCTGGTCTCTCTCTGGTCTCTCTCTGGTCTCTCCCTGGTCTCTCCCTGGTCTCTCCCTGGTCTCTCCCTGGTCTCTCCCTGGTTTCTCCCTGGTCTCTCCCTGATCGCTCTCTGCTCTCTTTCTGATCTCTCGCTGATCTCTCTATCTCTCCTCTCTCTGGTCTCTCTCTGGTCTCTCTCTCTGGTCTCTCTCTCTGGTCTCTCTCTCTTGTCTCTCTCTCTGGTCTCTTTCTCTGGTCTCTCTCTCTGGTCTCTCTCTCTGGTCTCTCTCTCTGGTCTCTCTCTCTGGTCTCTCTCTCTGGTCTCTCTCTCTGGTCTCTCTCTGGTCTCTCTCTGGTCTCTCTCTGGTCTCTCTCTGGTCTCGCTCTCTGGTCTCGCTCTCTGGTCTCTCTCTCTGGTCTCTCTCTGGTCTCTCTCTCTGGTCTCTCTCTGGTCTCTCTCTCTGGTCTCTCTCTGGTCTCTCTCTCTGGTCTCTCTCTCTGGTCTCTCTCTGGTCTCTCTCTCTGGTCTCTCTCTGGTCTCTCTCTGGTCTCTCTCTCTGGTCTCTCTCTCTGGTCTCTCTCTGGTCTCTTTATCCCACTCACTCATGTCGGTCCACGGTCTCGTTCTGAGACATGGTGATGCCCGGCGCCATCTCAAACTCAACTTTATCCACCGCCACCTTCACACCGTATGTCAGCGTGTTCAGGAACCTGGTCCAAAGAGACAAAATGGAAAAATATTGAGATATGTCAAAGCAATATCAGTCAGAGCAAAGCATAGAAAATATTCTATTTGTTTTGTCCTGTTATTATTATGCATGGGGAGTTGTTGGATCATTTGTTTTTGTCATTTCATTTATTAAAATGTACAGAGGAGGTTTTTCTACTTTTTATTGGTCCTCCCACCTGTCAATCATTCTGGTGATATGTGCTCGTCCAATAAGACCAAAGAGTTTTCTTTAAAAAGTGGAGAGGGCGGTTCTTTCCTAAAATTTGGAAAAGTTCTTCTATATATATATTAATTATTAGAAATACATTTGCATTGTTTCAGTCTTTCGGGGGATTTACACAGTAGGCGTAAACAGCGCGTACGCATTTACTGCGCGCTCTCTGCGCGTAACATTTTTTTGGAGTATCTACACTGACCGTGCGCGCAGGTCCGCGGCTTCTGATGCTCTCCCTGTGTAGTCTATGGAGCAGTGTAGAGGACAGTACGAGCCAGAGGACTGATGTAGAGCAACACAAATCACATGCATGTGTTTGTCTTCATGGTCTCTGTGCGCTGGTTTGGCCAGACGCGAGACTTTATGAAAGAAAAAAAACGATGTCCAGAATCACTGTAAAACCTGCTGCTCCTCCTGCTGATGTTTAGACACAAGTGCTGTGTGTGTAGATGTGATCTAAAGCCAAGGACCGCTAGAAAAATAAAGTTTCACATGAGATTTCAATGGGAGACGCGTTGGTGCGCGCACAAAATTAGAAATCCATCCTAAATTAGAGCGCAGCTTCGCGTCACATGTCCGTCATACGCGCGTATAACGCTAGAAGTGTAAATATCATCATAGGTTGACATGGAAAAAAGTTACGCGCGTCTGCTGCGCGTATAACGCGTACGTGCTGTAACGCGTGATGTGTAAATTAGCAGTAAGCGTCAGTCTCTGCTTCAGTCTCTGCCTCAGTCTCTGCCGCAGTCTCTGCTTCAGTCTCTGCCTCAGTCTCTGCCTCAGTCTCTGCTTCAGTCTCTGCCTCAGTCTCGGCGTCAGTCTCTGCTTCAGTCTCTGCTTCAGTCTCTGCCTCAGTCTCGGCGTCAGTCTCTGCTTCAGTCTCTGTTTCAGTCTCTGTTTCAGTCTCTGCCTCAGTCTCTGCTTCAGTCTCTGCTTCAGTCTCGGCGTCAGTCTCGGCGTCAGTCTCTGCTTCAGTCTCTGTTTCAGTCTCTGTTTCAGTCTCTGCTTCAGTCTCTGCTTCAGTCTCTGTTTCAGTCTCTGTTTCAGTCTCTGCCTCAGTCTCTGCCTCAGTCTCTGCTTCAGTCTCTGCTTCAGTCTCTGTTTCAGTCTCTGTTTCAGTCTCTGCTTCAGTCTCTGCCTCAGTCTCTGCCTCAGTCTCTGCCTCAGTCTCTGCCTCAGTCTCTGCCTCAGTCTCTGCTTCAGTCTCTGCCTCAGTCTCTGCCTCAGTCTCTGCCTCAGTCTCTGCCTCAGTCTCTGCTTCAGTCTCTGCTTCAGTCTCTGCTTCAGTCTCTGCCTCAGTCTCTGCTTCAGTCTCTGCTTCAGTCTCTGTCTCAGTCTCTGCCTCAGTCTCGGCGTCAGTCTCTGCTTCAGTCTCTGTTTCAGTCTGTTTCAGTCTCTGCCTCAGTCTCTGCTTCAGTCTCTGCTTCAGTCTCGGCGTCAGTCTCGGCGTCAGTCTCTGTTTCAGTCTCTGTTTCAGTCTCTGCTTCAGTCTCTGCTTCAGTCTCTGTTTCAGTCTCTGTTTCAGTCTCTGCCTCAGTCTCTGCCTCAGTCTCTGCTTCAGTCTCTGCTTCAGTCTCTGTTTCAGTCTCTGTTTCAGTCTCTGTTTCAGTCTCTGCTTCAGTCTCTGCCTCAGTCTCTGCCTCAGTCTCTGCCTCAGTCTCTGCCTCAGTCTCTGCCTCAGTCTCTGCTTCAGTCTCTGCCTCAGTCTCTGCCTCAGTCTCTGCCTCAGTCTCTGCCTCAGTCTCTGCCTCAGTCTCTGCCTCAGTCTCTGCTTCAGTCTCTGCTTCAGTCTCTGCCTCAGTCTCTGCTTCAGTCTCTGCTTCAGTCTCTGTCTCAGTCTCTGCCTCAGTCTCTGCTTCAGTCTCTGCCTCAGTCTCTGCTTCAGTCTCTGCCTCAGTCTCTGCCTCAGTCTCTGCCTCAGTCTCTGCCTCAGTCTCTGCTTCAGTCTCTGCTTCAGTCTCTGCTTCAGTCTCTGCTTCAGTCTCTGCCTCAGTCTCTGCTTCAGTCTCTGCTTCAGTCTCTGTTTTATCCCCAAACACACACATCTTACCGTAGACGAGGTTTTCCGTCTCCACTTTTCTGTATATAATCTTGAACCTTACAAAACACATGAAAAATATAATGTAATTGTAATAGTTCTTAAACATTACTGCAAATGTTTGTTACCAGTGTGCAGCCAAGCCCCGCCCCCTCAGAGAACACAACGAGACTGTTGGCCGTGGTCTCGTTTAGTGTTTGGACACAGTCAAAGTTGTCGGTTTCGCCCGAGTTGATTTGAAAAGTCAGTTCTTTCATGGAGTCGTGCAGCGGCAGACTGAGGTACATGTCCGGGTCCTGGGACAGAGGACGAGAGAGAACATCATGTACAAATCACAGACACAACATCCCATTCTCTCGCTCACAGGGACAGAGAGAGAGCACATCACCCAGAGAGAGCACATCACCCAGAGAGAAAGCACATTACCCAGAGAGAGAGCACATCACCCAGAGAGAGAGCACATTACCCAGGGAGAGTACATCACCCAGAGAGAGCACATCACCCAGAGAGAGAGCACATCACCCAGAGAGAGAGTACATCACCCAGAGTGAGCACATCACCCAGAGAGAGAGCACATCACCCAGAGAGAGTACATCACCCAGAGAGAGCACATCACCCAGAGAGAGAGCACATCACCCAGAGAGAGAGCACATCACCCAGAGAGAGAGCACATCACCCAGAGAGACCACATCACCCAGAGAGAGAGCACATCACCCAGGGAGAGAGCACATCACCCAGAGAGAGAGCACATCACCCAGGGAGAGAGCACATCACCCAGAGAGAGAGCACATCACCCAGAGAGAGAGCACATCACCCAGAGAGAGCACATCACCCAGAGAGAGAGAGCACATCACCCAGAGAGAGAGCACATCACCCAGAGAGAGAGCACATCACCCAGAGAGAGAGAGCACATCACCCAGAGAGAGCACATCACCCAGAGAGAGAGCACATCACCCAGAGAGACCACATCACCCAGAGAGAGCACATCACGCAGAGAGAGAGTACATCACCCAGAGAGAGCACATCACCCAGAGAGAGTACATCACCCAGAGAGAGTACATCACCCAGAGAGAGAACATCACCCAGAGAGAGTACATCACCCAGAGAGAGCACATCACCCAGAGAGAGAGCACATCACCCAGAGAGAGAGCACATCACCCAGAGAGAGAGAGTACATCACCCAGAGAGAGAGCACATCACCCAGAGAGAGAGCACATCACCCAGAGAGAGAGCACATCACCCAGAGAGAGAGCACATCACCCAGAGAGAGCACATCACCCAGAGAGAGAGCACATCACCCAGAGAGAGAGCACATCACCCAGAGAGAGAGCACATCACCCAGAGAGAGCACATCACCCAGAGAGAGAGCACATCACCCAGAGAGAGAGCACATCACCCAGAGAGAGAGAGCACATCACCCAGAGAGAGCACATCACCCAGAGAGAGTACATCACCCAGAGAGAGCACATCACCCAGAGAGAGCACATCACCCAGAGAGAGAGCACATCACCCAGAGAGACCACATCACCCAGAGAGAGAGCACATCACCCAGAGAGAGAGCACATCACCCAGAGAGAGCACATCACCCAGAGAGAGTACATCACCCAGAGAGAGTACATCACCCAGAGAGAGTACATCACCCAGAGAGAGCACATCACCCAGAGAGAGAGCACATCACCCAGAGAGAGAGTACATCACCCAGAGAGAGAGCACATCACCCAGAGAGAGAGCACATCACCCAGAGAGAGCACATCACCCAGAGAGAGAGCACATCACCCAGAGAGAGCACATCACCCAGAGAGAGAGCACATCACCCAGAGAGAGAGCACATCACCCAGAGAGAGAGCACATCACCCAGAGAGAGAGTACATCACCCAGAGAGAGAGCACATCACCCAGAGAGAGAGCACATCACCCAGAGAGAGAGCACATCACCCAGAGAGAGAGCACATCACCCAGAGAGAGCACATCACCCAGAGAGAGAGCACATCACCCAGAGAGAGAGCACATCACCCAGAGAGAGCACATCACCCAGAGAGAGAGCACATCACCCAGAGAGAGAGCACATCACCCAGAGAGAGCACATCACCCAGAGAGAGAGCACATCACCCAGAGAGAGCACATCACCCAGAGAGAGCACATCACCCAGAGAGAGCACATCACCCAGAGAGAGCACATCACCCAGAGAGAGCACATCACCCAGAGAGAGCACATCACCCAGAGAGAGAGCACATCACCCAGAGAGAGAGCACATCACCCAGAGAGAGCACATCACCCAGAGAGAGAGCACATCACCCAGAGAGAGAGTACATCACCCAGAGAGAGCACATCACCCAGAGAGAGCACATCACCCAGAGAGAGAGCACATCACCCAGAGAGAGTACATCACCCAGAGAGAGCACATCACCCAGAGAGAGAGCACATCACCCAGAGAGAGAGCACATCACCCAGAGAGAGAGCACATCACCCAGAGAGAGAGCACATCACCCAGAGAGAGCACATCACCCAGAGAGAGAACACATCACCCAGAGAGAGCACATCACCCAGAGAGAGAGCACATCACCCAGAGAGAGAGCACATCACCCAGAGAGAGAGAGCACATCACCCAGAGAGAGCACATCACCCAGAGAGAGTACATCACCCAGAGAGAGCACATCACCCAGAGAGAGCACATCACCCAGAGAGAGAGCACATCACCCAGAGAGACCACATCACCCAGAGAGAGAGCACATCACCCAGAGAGAGAGCACATCACCCAGAGAGAGCACATCACCCAGAGAGAGTACATCACCCAGAGAGAGTACATCACCCAGAGAGAGTACATCACCCAGAGAGAGCACATCACCCAGAGAGAGAGCACATCACCCAGAGAGAGAGTACATCACCCAGAGAGAGAGCACATCACCCAGAGAGAGAGCACATCACCCAGAGAGAGAGCACATCACCCAGAGAGAGCACATCACCCAGAGAGAGAGCACATCACCCAGAGAGAGCACATCACCCAGAGAGAGAGCACATCACCCAGAGAGAGAGCACATCACCCAGAGAGAGAGCACATCACCCAGAGAGAGAGTACATCACCCAGAGAGAGAGCACATCACCCAGAGAGAGAGCACATCACCCAGAGAGAGCACATCACCCAGAGAGAGAGCACATCACCCAGAGAGAGCACATCACCCAGAGAGAGAGCACATCACCCAGAGAGAGAGCACATCACCCAGAGAGAGCACATCACCCAGAGAGAGTACATCACCCAGAGAGAGCACATCACCCAGAGAGAGCACATCACCCAGAGAGAGAGCACATCACCCAGAGAGAGCACATCACCCAGAGAGAGCACATCACCCAGAGAGAGCACATCACCCAGAGAGAGAGCACATCACCCAGAGAGAGAGCACATCACCCAGAGAGAGCACATCACCCAGAGAGAGAGCACATCACCCAGAGAGAGAGTACATCACCCAGAGAGAGAGCACATCACCCAGAGAGAGCACATCACCCAGAGAGAGAGCACATCACCCAGAGAGAGAGCACATCACCCAGAGAGAGTACATCACCCAGAGAGAGCACATCACCCAGAGAGAGAGCACATCACCCAGAGAGAGAGCACATCACCCAGAGAGAGAACACATCACCCAGAGAGAGAGCACATCACCCAGAGAGAGCACATCACCCAGAGAGAGAACACATCACCCAGAGAGAAAGCACATCACATTCTCTGTTCTATCTCGCTGATTGCTAGTCTCTTTCTGTCTGTTCTCTCTCTCTGATCTCGCTCTGCTCTCTTTCTCTGGTATCTCCCTCTATTTTCTCTGCCTCTGCTCTCTCTCTCTCTCTCTGGTCTCTTTCTCTGCTCTCTCGCTCTAGTCTCTGGTCTCTCTCTCTAGTTTCTCTCTGCTCTCTCTCACTAGTCCCTCGCTGCTCTCTGTCTCTAGTCTCTCTCTGCTCTCTCCCACTAGTCCCTCGCTGCTCTCTGTCTCTAGTCTCTCTCTGATCTCTCTGCTCTCTCTCTTTAGTCTCTCTCTGCTCTTTCTCTCTCTGATCTCTCTGCACTCTCTCTTTAGTCTCTCTCTGCTCTCTCTGCTCTCTCTCTTTAGTCTCTCTCTAGTCTCTCTCTCTGCTCTCTCTCTGACAGATGGATGTGTTGCTAAGTAAAGCTGGAGTTTCCCTCTGTGAAAGTAGGCTTCTAATTGGTAAATCCATATATTACTCATATCTGGACTGTTAAAAAAAATAACAATATATACGTTTATTATACGGCTCCTCACAGCAGCAGTAGAACGCTCCATTGATTTGAATGTAATTTCAAAACGTTCTACCGGTCATTATTTTCTATAACGGACCTCTCAAAACAATAATGACCGCTGCCCATGGCAACGCTCTCTCTGCTTGTATTTCAAATGCGTGGATAACTCCGCAAGTAGTTCCGGCCACTCCTGAGCTTGCCACGCTCAATAAACACACTTAAATGTTAATCGGAGAATACTTATACATATACATTCTTCACACACGTGCACGGAAATTTTCAGAATTTTCTGGTCTTGTCTTCATGACAAAAATACTATTTCTCTGCGTCAAAAAGCGATCGTGAAAAACCCGGAAGTAGTTCTGGCCGCTCAATAAACGCAAATGCCAATCAATCAACGCAATGAAATGTTTATCGGAGAGTGAATTATACATATCCAGTCTTAATACAAGTGCACGGAAGTTTTCAGAATTTTCCGTTCACGTTTTCATGACAAAAACACTGATGTAATGCGAGAAAAGGCGATCCCGAAAAACCCGGAAGTAGATACCGGCACATTTTAAGATACCGGCACATTTTCGGACACATTTGCAGAGGATCGAATTATGGATTTAGGTTAGGTTTATGTACGGGTCACTCACAGCTGATGTTCAGAATTCTTTGTTCAGTTTTCATGCAGTTCCAGAGAGTTCTAGTTTGGAAGTTGCCAGCCTAACTGTTGCTAGCATAGCCACAATTGTCAAAGCCACACTGCCTGCCCGCGGTTGCCGAGCAACGGGAAAACTTTTTGGGACTACTTTATTTGTTGTCATTAAATAAACTTTTGGCATTCATAAAAGTGATCTGAAGTTTATTTTGTGTGTTAAGTTGGTACAAAGCAGTATAATAAGCGGGATAATGTATAGCATACAGGTCATTATCGGAAAATAAGTACCTTCAGGGCGGAAGCAGACCCCTGCGCGTCGGGGTCCGCTTTGCCCTGTCGGTACTTATTTTCCGATAATGACCTGTATGCTATACATTATCCCTTACATATCTCACCTGCAGGGGGCGGATGGGCCCAGGGACCAGCGGCTTGTTGTGGAGTCTGACTGTGATGTCACGTTCTGCTACGTTCAGCACCTGAAGCAGAGCGCGCTCAGACGGAGCCGGCGTCACCACAGTTTTCTACAAACACAAAAACACAAAAATGTGTTACATTTGATTGTGTTGCGTCAGTATCTGCCACTTTTTCTGCCTCTGCCTCTGTCTCTCTGCCTCTGCCTCTGTCTCTGTCTCTGCCTCTGTCTCTCTGTCTCTCTGTCTCTGTCTCTCTGCCTCTGTCTCTCTGCCTCTGTCTCTCTGCCTCTGTCTCTGCCTCTGCCTCTGTCTCTGTCTCTGCCTCTGTCTCTCTGTCTCTGTCTCTCTGCCTCTGTCTCTGCCTCTGTCTCTGCCTCTGCCTCTGTCTCTGTCTCTGCCTCTCTGCCTCTGTCTCTCTGCCTCTGTCTCTCTGCCTCTGTCTCTCTGTCTCTCTGCCTCTGCCTCTCTGTCTCTCTGCCTCTGTCTCTCTGCCTCTGTCTCTCTGCCTCTGTCTCTCTGCCTCTGTCTCTCTGCCTCTGCCTCTCTGTCTCTGCCTCTCTGTCTCTGCCTCTGTCTCTGCCTCTGTCTCTCTGTCTCTCTGTCTCTGTCTCTCTGCCTCTGTCTCTCTGCCTCTGTCTCTGCCTCTGTCTCTGTCTCTGCCTCTGCCTCTGTCTCTGTCTCTGCCTCTCTGCCTCTGTCTCTCTGCCTCTGTCTCTCTGCCTCTGCCTCTCTGTCTCTCTGCCTCTGTCTCTCTGCCTCTGTCTCTCTGCCTCTGTCTCTCTGCCTCTGTCTCTCTGCCTCTGTCTCTCTGCCTCTGCCTCTCTGTCTCTGCCTCTCTGTCTCTGCCTCTGTCTCTCTGCCTCTGCCTCTCTGTCTCTGCCTCTGTCTCTGTCTCTGCCTCTGTCTCTCTGCCTCTGTGCCTCTGCCTCTCTGTCTCTGCCTCTCTGTCTCTGCCTCTCTGTCCCTTCCTCTGTCTCTGCCTCTCTGCCTCTGCCTCTCAGTCTCTCTGTCTCTGTCTCTGTGTCTCTCTGCCTCTCTGCCTCTGTCTCTCTGCCTCTCTGTCTCTGTCTCTCTGCCTCTCTGTCTCTGTCTCTCTGCCTCTCTCTCTGTCTCTGCCTCTGCCCCTCTGCCTCTGCCTCAGCCCCTCTGCCTCTGCCTCTGCCCCTCTGCCTCTGCCTCAGCCTCTGCCTCAGCCTCTGCCTCAGCCCCTCTGCCTCTGCCCCTCTGCCTCTGCCTCTGCCCCTCTGCCTCTGCCTCAGCCTCTGCCCCTGCCCCTCTGCCTCAGCCTCTGCCCCTCTGCCTCTGCCTCTGTCTCTGCCTCTGTCTCTGCCTCAGCCCCTCTGCCTCTGCCCCTCTGCCTCTGCCTCAGCCTCTGCCTCTGCCTCAGCCCCTCTGCCTCAGCCTCAGCCTCTCTGCCTCAGCCTCAGCCTCTGTGAGAGTTTTAACTGTTATTGTTGTTATGGAAACGTACCACCACGTTGATTTCCACCAGCGTTGCGGCTCCAAACGCCAACGCGGCAAAGATCATTCCCACCGCCATCTTCCTCAGAGGTCTGAACAAGGAGACAGATATACGTTTTGTAAATACACATAATAAGTTACCTCAAATATAAAAAATACAAAAATGATAATTAAAAGTATAAATAAAAGTATTACAGGTAGTACTTTTTCCAAAATAACAGAATACTACACAAAATACATTTTAGGTCATGTATTCAGCATTCTGGAACGGAATACAAGTATTCTACCCAACACTGATTATGCACACACACATATATATTAATATACACACACATATTCATACAAACACACACACGCACAACACTACAAACACACGCTCACACACAGTTCACTAATTTTGGGTGAAATGAAAACGTTGCAAAATCCTCCCAGACGACTGCTGTTGTGACTTCGGGCTTTTTACAGAGTGTGTGTAAACGTCTGCTCCCCGCCGCAGACCTCGTTCTGTAGCAGTAAACAGACTCACGTGACGTTGATTTTACAGCAGCCGACCAGAGGGTAAATGATGAGGTCAAAGATGGGGATGAAGAGCAGGATCATCAGAGCGTTCAGCATCTACAACAGAAACACAAATTAGATTTTAAACTTTTTATCATTTATTGCTTCTTTATCATGTTAAAGTTAGAGATGTTATTATTTTTTTAGTATTGAGTTATTGTTCATTTATCTGGTGCTGTGTGCTCCTCATTCCTACTGTTCTGTAGCTGCTGATGCAACACTGACATTTCCCCTATTTGGCCCCTGGTGTTCCCGGAGGTCTCCCATCACAGTAATAACCAGACCCTGCACTGCTTAGCTTCAGAGGCTTGACAAGATCTGTAGAAAGAGAGAGAGAGACCAGAGAGACCAGAGAGAGACCAGAGAGAGGCCAGAGAGGAAACCAGAGAGAGACCAGAGAGAGACCAGAGAGACCAGAGCGACCAGAGAGACCAGAGAGACCAGAGAGAGACTAGAGAGAGACCAGAGAGCAGTGTTGTGCGTGAACGAGTTCATTTTTTCATGAACGTTGAACTGAACGCAACACATTTTTAAAAAAAGAACTTGAACGTGAATTAGTTCATTTTATGTGTCATGAACGGCAGACATCACTATGAACGTTGGAATCTGTTTTCTCTTTTGAAACGCAACGAGAGAAAGTTCCTCCCTCCTGTATTCTCGCAGTTTTTCCGCCAAAATAAAAAAAATCCTATGGTTTCCACCGTCTGTGAACGCACCCCGACTCTGTGTTGCGGTGCGGCGCTGTGAGCTGGTGCTTTTCACATGTGCCCGAGTCGTGATGAAAACACAGGGTGAGTTAGCGACAGTTTACACAGTTTACATTTGACATAAAGTATAGACACACGCACTGCAGCGCATTACTGTCTGTAGTTTATGAGCAGAGATGGGACAACTCCGTTTGGCTCCCATTGAAAACCATGTAAATCTTTTCTGTTTTGTAGTCATAAGGCTCTCCTCCTGTGGGTGTACAGGACATATATATATATATACCTCCTATATATATATATATAGGAGATATATATATATATATATATATATATATATATATATATATATATATATATAGCTCGTAGTGTGAAAAAAAAGTATTTATTTGACTATTTCACAAAAAATAGTAAAATGAACTGAACTTTGAACTAGTTCAGAATTAAAATTGTGAACTTTGAACGTGAACTGTTCACTTTGAGCATGTATGAACTGAACTTGAACTAGTTCAGAAAAGCTGTGAACTGGAACAACACTGCCAGAGAGACCAGAGAGACCAGAGAGAGAGACCAGAGAGAGAGACCAGAGAGAGAGACCAGAGAGAGAGACCAGAGAGAGACCAGGAGAGAGACCAGAGAGAGACCAGAGAGAGACCAGAGAGAGAGACCAGAGAGAGAGACCAGAGAGAGACTAGAGAGAGACCAGAGAGGAAACCAGAGAGAGACCAGAGAGAGACCAGAGAGAGACCAGAGAGAGACCAGAGAGAGACCAGAGAGACCAGAGAGAGACCAGAGAGAGAGACCAAGAGAGAGACCAGAGAGAGAGACCAGAGAGAGAGACCAGAGAGAGACCAGAGAGAGACCAGAGAGAGACCAGAGAGAGACCAGAGAGAGAGACCAGAGAGAGAGACCAGAGAGAGAGACCAGAGAGAGAGACCAGAGAGAGACTAAGAGAGAGACTAGAGAGAGACCAGAGAGGAAACCAGAGAGCGACCAGAGAGAGACCAGAGCGAGAGACCAGATAGAGAGACCAGAGATAGAGACCAGAGAGCGACCAGAGAGAGAGACTAGAGAAAGAGATCAGAAAGAGACCAGAGAGAGAGACTAGAAAAAGAGATCAGAAAGAGACCAGAGAGAGAGAGAGACCTGCAGGTTGCGCCACATATGGTACGATCACCATACAGTAGTTTTAGCCTCTGATAGTTTTTCTGATCATTTCAATTTGCAAAAAACATATAGTAGTAAGTAATGTTTGCAATTGTAGGTGTACCAGTATTTTTTAGCGGTAGTGGAAACCGGAGCACCTGGAGGAAACCCTGTGTGTTTTACCTGCATCTGATCTGGCTCGATGCTGAAGGCGCTGCCCTGAGAACATAAAACAATTCATCATTTACAGGAACCGTCTTTATCTCCATAAATATCAAATAGATGATGTATAAACGCAGTAACCGCATCATAATCACACTGTCAGACTGTACACAGAGGTTTATGGGAGAGATATGAAGAGAAGAGGATTCTTACAAACGCCAAGTTCATCCTGGTGGCCTGGAGAGTCCAGCGAGAGCCCTGTGCAAGAGAAACGGTCGATTATAAATGTCAAAATCTGCTTTTTAGACATGTTTTTACACATATTGCTTCTTTATTATGCCAAAGGTAGACGTTTTTATACTTCATCATGCTAAAGTCAGAGGTTTTAAACTTAATTCTTGCTTTTTAATTCTGCTAAATTTGGAGATTAAAGATTGCTTCCATATTATGCTAAAGATTTTATTGTATGTTATTTTGTTTATTATGGAGTTTAGTATTGAGGTGTGTTCCCAGTAAAGTGTCAATTGTGTGTGTGTGTGTGTGTGTGTGTGTGTGTGTGTGTGTGTGTGTGTGTGTGTGTGTGTGTATTTTTGATGTTATTATTTTTAAATGACAGGATGGAAGTGATGTAATAGAGGAGGGAAACATGATATGGTTTAATAAAAATAAATAAAATATAGTCAAAGAGAGATGTACTGTTCATCTTTAGACTGGTCCTGCCCCCGATACCACTTATTATAGATCTATGATCACATCCCTCGGTCTGGGAGGGATGTGATCATAGATCTATAATAATAACTAGAGTAATACTAGCTTATAGCTGTCCTTCCCATGGCCACAGGGGGCGCTGTGGTACTGCAGACTAAATTCTGTCTGCAGAACTAAATTAAAGAAAAGAGTCCCATGGAACTCTATGTAAATTAAAACAAGCTCGACCTCAGCTGACAGAGAACCTGACAGAGAACCTACAGCTTTCATAAAGGTCTGATTTCGTGGGGATTTTAGTGTCCCTTGTCATCCTGAACTTTTTTTCTTCTTAAATCCTTCGGTTTTCTTTAAATCCACACTTTACTGCCACAAACTCTGCTGGTTAACTTCCCGCTCTGACTCCGCTGCAGAGTTTGTGGCAGTAAAGTGCTGACAGTAAGGTGCTGTCTCTTCTCAGCACCTTAGCACCACAGCAGTCCTGTCTTGACTGATGCATTAAAAATGCACCAGAGAGTGTTCTCCCAATTACTATTATTATTATTATGTTATTGTGATTGTGATATGTATACCCCAATTGTGTGAGTTTATGTTTGTGTGATGTCTGTACGGGGGTGCATTCCCAGAGTGCATGCAGGAGTGTGTCTGTGACTCCCAGGGTGCATTGTGGGCAAATGGCTGTGTTTGAGAATCCAATTTTATATTTTTTATTTTGTGTGATGTGTGTTCTGTAAATATTTTTATACTGAATTAGTTGTAGATTAGTGTTGGGTGTCATGGAGAAGGTTTTGTTGCATATTTCTGTCCAGTTTTCGTGTGTGAGAGATGTGTTGATCTGAGGTGTATGTGTCTTATCAGTCTTTATGAATTTGTATAATTTTGAAATTAGTTTCTTAAATGCTTGGATTTTCTTTATGTTTTCTAATATTTGTGGAGCATTTAATGGGTTGTTTATTATATTAATTTAACTTTATATTATAGACTTGATTTGTAAGTATTGAGAGTTATTGTTGTCGTGCAGTTTGTCTTTTTCGGAGAGTTCTCTGTACGTCATTAATTTACCATTATGTTCCCAAGAGTGAAAGTGAATAGGTTTACTGTTTGTTTTGAAGTCAGGATTGTGCCAGAGGGTTGTGTATTTACAGGGTGTAGTGGGTGAGTTGTTTAATTTCAAAGTTTTCTTCCAGGCTGTCAGGGTGTTGGAGATGGTTAGAGGAGCTATACCCGTTTCTGCAATGTTTGAATGTTTAGCTCCGCCCCCAACTCGCTCACAGGCTTCTCATTTCCTCTACGCTCACATCCCATGGAGCCATCTAGTTTTATTTGTGATCTGATACACATGCTAACATTAGCATTAGCGCAACTTCTTGTAAGCTGAACAACAATCACTGATGAAATGGTACAAAAGCAACGCACTGCTAACACAATATATAACTGAAAGATTACCGCTAGTTTATCGTCTGAAAGTGGTCCGAGCGTAGATAGTCCGAGCGTAGATAGTCCGAGCGCAGATAGTCCGAGCGTAGATAGTCCGAGCGTAGATAGTCCGAGCGTAGATAGTCCGAGCGTAGATAGTCCGAGTGCAGATAGTCCGAGCGCAGATAGTCCGAGCGCAGATAGTCCGAGCGTAGATAGTCCGAGCGTAGATAGTCCGAGCGTAGATAGTCCGAGCGTAGATAGTCCGAGCGTAGATAGTCCGAGCGTAGATAGTCCGAGCGTAGATAGTCCGAGCGTAGATAGTCCGAGCGTAGATAGTCCGAGCGTAGATAGTCAGAGCGTAGATAGTCCGAGCGTAGATCTTGAATTTCATGCATGTTTTTTGCGTGTTGCGATGAAGGTTCTGTAGTTCTGTAGTTCTGTGGTTCTGTGGTTCTGTGGTTCTGTGGTTCTGAGGTTCTGTGGTTCTGTGGTTCTGAGGTTCTGTGGTTCTGTGGTTCTGTGGTTCTGTAGTTCTGTAGTTCTGTGGTTCTGTGGTTCTGTGGTTCTGTGGTTCTGTGGTTCTGTGGTTCTGTGGTTCTGTGGTTCTGTGGTTCTGTGGTTCTGTGGTCACCTGTTGGTCGAACAGAGCCCAGAACATGGGCAGAGGAATGTACAGCACCAGGACTCGCAGGACCATCTTAATCTCCTGGATCAGACGCTTCTGTGACACATCCAATCACAAACACAAGATTAACAACATTTTCTCTCCACGTAAATGCTGTTTAAATAAACTTCATAAATCATACAGAAACACAACTGTTGGGCAATAACACAGTGTTGTGCAGTCACTAAAAACAGACTAAAACACTGGATAAATAAACTGATTTGGGCAAATGCATATACTTCAATAATAACCAATGAAACAGGTTAAGCTGTGGTCTCTTCCTCTCTAGTCCATCTCTCTAGTCTCTCTCTAGTCTGTCTCTCTGGTCTCTGTCTGGTTTTTCTGGTCTCTCTCTGGTCTCTCTCTCTAGTCTCTCTCTCTAGTCAGTCTCTCTGGTCTCGCTCTGATCCCTCTCGCTTGTCTTTCTCTGTTCTCTCTCTCTTTCAAGTCTAGTCTCTCTCTCTGGTCTCTCCCTCTAGTCTATCTCTCTCTCTCTAGTCTGTCTCTGGTCTCTTTCTCTGGTCTCTTTCTCTGGTCTCTCTCTGGTCTCTCTCTCTGGTCTCTCTCTCTGATCTCTCTCTCTGGTCTCTCTCTCCAGTCTTTCTCTGTTCTCTCTCTCTTTCAAGTCTAGTCTCTCTCTCTGGTCTTTCTCTGGTCTCTCTCTCTGGTCTCTCCCTCTAGTCTGTCTCTCTCTCTCTTGTCTGTCTCTGGTCTCTCTCTGGTCTCTTTCTCTGGTTTCTTTCTCTGGTCCCTCACTGGTATCTATCTCTCTGGTCTCTCTCATGTTAATAACTTTTGTGATTCTCTTGTATATGAACAGTGCTACATAAATAAACTTGCCAACGTGCACATCACCTGCTGATACTGATACTTACAGAGTACTTCTCTTCAGCCCAGTCCAACCAGTGCCTCCTCTTGGGATCATATTTTGAGTTCCTCCAGCGGTTTTTAATGGCAAACTAACAAAAAGAAAACAACAGTCAACATATACAAGAGAGAGCAGAGAGAGAGCAGAGAGAGACCAGTGAGAGAGCGAGACCAGAGAGAGAGAGACCAGAGAGAAAGAGAGCAACCAAGGAGAGACCAGAGAGAAAGAGACCAGGGAGAGATAAGGGAGAGACCAGAAAGAGATACCAGAGAGAGACCAGAGAGAGACCATGGAGAGAGATCAGGGAGAAACAAGGGGCGAGACCAGAACGAGAGACCAGAGAGAAAGAGACCAGGACAGAAAAGGGAGAGACCAGAAAGAGATACCAGAGAGAGAGAGATACCAGAAAGAGACCATGGAGAGAGACCAGGGAGAAACAAGGGAGAGACCAGAAAGAGAGACCAGAGAGAAAGAGACCAGGGAGAGAAAAGGGAGAAACCAGAGAGAGACCAAGGAGAGAGAAAAAGGAGAGACCAGAGAGACACCAGAAAGAGAGACCAGAGGGACAGCAGAGAGAGAGACCAGGGAGAGACCAGAGAGACCCAGTGACAATGTTTTTGTATAAACACAGCAAAAAAAAGTCAAAAATTGCCGAATTTGCCAAAATGTGTCTTAATTTGAGCACATTCTGACGGAGCCTAAAAACATTTGCCAACTTGTTTTTAAAACGATACAAGAAATGTCTGGAATGGAATGAAGAAATAAAGCAACAGTTCTTGAAATGAGACTAAAGGGCTTTGTCCCATCTCGATTTAACACAGAATGAACTGAAATTAAGATATTAAAAAAAACCACTTGATTCGAGATTTTATTACCTCAAATTCTATCATTTTTTGTAGTGAATAATGTAAAGTTTGGGACTGACCCCGATGCAGTTGCAGACTTCCAGAAGCACGTTTCCCTGGGGTGGAGTTTTCTTGTACATCCCACTGCCCCCGATGAACACAACTGTAACAGAGTGTGACATCACCACAGTGTTAGCCTTAATGTGGAAGAGAGGGATAATAAAGACTGAACTGAACTGAACTGAAAGAAGCCCATTTGAACATAAGCTGGAGCCAATTTCCTTATATAGGCATTTGTTTGGATGGTGTTGGCTTAGTGCCAACACTCCCCGTTACGGGAGCAGACGTGTTGCTAAGACGGTTGCTGGGTAAAGATGGAGTTTCCCCCATGAAGGAAGGCTCTGATTGGTCAATCAGACGCCAGCTTTATAAATGTTCTCTCTCTGGTCTTTCTCTCTGGTCTCTCTCTCTAGTCCCTCTCTGATCTTTCTCTCTGGTCTCTCTCTCTAGTCCCTCTCTGGTCTCTCTCTCTGATGTCTCTCTCTGGTCTCTGTCTAATCTCTCTCTCTCTGTTATATTTCTCTGGCCTCTCTCTCTCTCTGTAGTTCCCCTCTGTTCTCTCTCTCTCATCACTCTCTCTAGTATTGCTCTCTCGTCTCTCTTTCTGGACTCTCTCTAATCTCGCTCTGGTCTCTTCCTGGTCCCTTTCTCTGGCCGCTCTCTCAGGTCTCTTTCTCTGGTCTCTCTCTTTGGTATCTCTCTGATCTCTCCATCTCTCTGGTCTCTCTCTCTGGTCTCTCTCTCTCTTTGGTCTCTCTCTCTGGTCTATTTCTAGTCTCTCTCTGGTCACTCACTCTGCTCTCTCTCTCTCTGGTCTCTCTCTCTCAACAACAACAGTGATAAAAAAGCTTAAGCTAACGTCCCAGTGTGTCCGAGTGCAGACAGAGAGTGTTGTTAGTGTGAGGCTGCGCTGAGCACTGACCCTTTATGAGCAAAGACACTGAGACAACAGAGAGCGAGCCTGAGCGAGGACCGTCCAAACACACCAGTGCATCATGGGTAATGTGTCCCATCACAGACCAGCGCCTCGGACACCGTGTCTCACCATCATTCTCACAAACAAATGAACCAGGGCCAGAGCCTCTGTCAACACAAAGTTATGGACTAAACCAGGTCTGAAGCAGCTGTGAAATAATGCGGAAATGTCTCTCTGGTCTTTCTTTGGTCTCTTTATAGTCTCTCTCTGGTCTCTTTCTGGTCTCTCTTTGGTCACTGTCTGGCATCTCTCTTGTCTGTCTCTGGTCTCTCTCTACTCTCTCTCTAGTCTCCATTTCTGATCTTTCTCTGGTCTCGTTGGACTCTCTGTGGTGTCTCTCTCTGTTCTCTCTCCGGTCTCTCTCTCTCTGTTCTCTCCCAGGTCTCTTTCTGGTCTCTCTCTGCTCTCCCTCTCTGGTCTCTCTCTCTCTCTCTGTGTGAACTCCCTGGACTCTCTGTGGTCTCTCTCTGGTCCCTCTCTCTGGTCTCTCTCTCTAGTCTCTCTCTGGTCTCTCTCTCTGGTCTCTCTCTAGTCCCTCTCTCTGGTCTCTCTCTGGTCTCTCTCTGGTCTCTCTCTCTGGTCTCTCTCTGGTCTCTCTCTTTGGTCTCTCTCTGGTCCCTCTCTCTGGTCTCTCTCTGGTCTCTCTCTGGTCCCTCTCTCTGGTCTCTCTCTGGTCTCTCTCTGGTCCCTCTCTCTGGTCTCTCTCTAGTCCCTCTCTCTGGTCTCTCTCTGGTCCCTCTCTCTGGTCTCTCTCTGGTCCCTCTCTCTGGTCTCTCTCTGGTCCCTCTCTCTGGTCTCTCTCTCTAGTCTCTCTCTGGTCTCTCTCTCTGGTCTCTCTCTAGTCCCTCTCTCTGGTCCCTCTCTGGTCTCTCTCTGGTCTCTCTCTGCCCTCTCTCTGCCCTCTCTCTGCTCTCTCTCTGCTCTCTCTCTGGTCCTCTCTGGTCTCTGTATCTGATAAATACCATGTGTGATGATTGCAATTATGGTACAGTAATATAAAGGTGACAGACCTAGAGCCACGACCATGAGAGCAGCTGGAACCCCGAAGGCCAGAGCATAACAGTCTGCTCCAAAACACTGCACATCACCTGGAACACAGCAGAACATACCATCAACAACTGACCATCAACAAGGGACCATTACCATATACTTTACCATAGCAGGGCTCTCCAACATGTTTTGTTTGGAGAGCTACTTTTACACAACAGAAATGGCAGAGCTAAAACTGTAGTCTATCATGGACAACACTCAATACCAAAACACAATACTGTTTAATCAGCCGAAAGTCCACTGGAGGAATGCTAACTTTTTGAAAAATGCTAATAGAGAATTTAGCATTTTACTTTGGACCAGAGCAGAGAAAAACAGTCTGAACCAAGAGGCTTCTCCACCTCAGCTGCTGTGACCTGAAGTGCTCATTTGCATTTTAATACTATTGTTAGCCACTTTTAGAAGTATCTGGAAGAATGCACTTGATTTTTTTCTGAAAAGATTGAGAGTTTTCCTTTTCACTGAAGAATGAAAATGATTTGTATTTTTGATATGTATTTTTTGGGTTGAATTTACATTATTTGGATAGTTAAAGGTTTCAAATGTAATGTCGAAATGTTCAAGTTGAGATTATTCATTTTTGATGCTGCTGATAACGTTGCTGTGTGTATATATGGTTACTGTGTATGTTTGTTTAAGCATATTTTTGTTTATACATTGATTTTTTGTCCATTTTACATTCATTCGTTTGGCATTGAGGAGTATATAGACTCCAGAAGGAGTCGTTATTGTATATTTCAGTAGCTAATGGGTATTACTTCTGATTACTTCTGCATATAGTACAGAGTATATATTACTTCTGAGTATAGTACAGAGTATAGGATTACTTACGAGTATAGTACAGAGTATACGATTACTTCGGAGTATAGTATAGAGTAGGATTACTTCTGAGTATAGTACAGAGTATATGAGTACTTCTGAGTATAGTAGAGAGTTTAGTATTACTTCGGAGTATAGTACAGAGTATAGTATTACTTCGGAGTATAGTACAGAGTATAGTATTACTTCTGAGTATAGTACAGAGTATAGTATTACTTCTGAGTATAGTACAGAGTATAGAATTACTTCTGAGTATAGTACAGAGTATAGGATTACTTCTGAGTATAGTACAGAGTATAGGATTACTTACGAGTATAGTACAGAGTATAGGATTACTTCTGAGTATAGTACAGAGTATATTAGTACTTCTGAGTATAGTAGAGAGTTTAGTATTACTTCGGAGTATAGTACAGAGTATAGGATTACTTCGGAATATGGTACAGAGTATAGGATTACTTCGGAGTATAGTACAGAGTATAGGATTACTTCGGGGTATAGTACAGAGTATAGGATTACTTCGGGGTATAGTACAGAGTATAGGATTACTTCGGAGTATAGTACAGAGTATAGGATTACTTCGGGGTATAGTACAGAGTATAGGATTACTTCTGAGTATAGTACAGAGTATAGGATTACTTACGAGTATAGTACAGAGTATAGGATTACTTCTGAGTATAGTACAGAGTATATTAGTACTTCGGAGTATGGTACAGAGTATAGGATTACTTCGGAATATGGTACAGAGTATAGGATTACTTCGGAGTATAGTACAGAGTATAGGATTACTTCGGGGTATAGTACAGAGTATAGGATTACTTCGGGGTATAGTACAGAGTATAGGATTACTTCGGAGTATAGTACAGAGTATAGGATTACTTCGGAGTATAGTACAGAGTATAGGATTACTTCGGGGTATAGTACAGAGTATAGGATTACTTCGGAGTATAGTACAGAGTATAGTATTACTTCGGGGTATAGTACAGAGTATAGGATTACTTCGGAGTATGGGGGTGATGATGGTGGAGAGCAGACTCCCGGCGTTTATCGACATGTAGAAAACTGAGAAGAACTTCTGCCTCTCGCTGACCTGAAACACAAACACTTTCCATTATACTACGACAATGTGTGACGGACCAGGTTACGCACATGGTGAGACGTTTCTGGTCATTTATCCACACGTGACATTCCAAAGAAACCATAGTTTCACATTGTGGTAGAGGAAACTAAACTGTTAAAAGTCAGATTCTAGTCTTAATAGAGCTACTTTCTCTGCAATTCTGTGGCCTCTTCTGTGGTCTCGCTCTGATCGCTCTCTGGTCTCTAACTCTCTCTCTCTCTCTCAGGTCTCTCTGCTCTCTAGTCTCTCTTTCTTCAATCTCCCTCTCTGGTTCCTCTCTCTCCAGTTTCTCTCTGTCTGGTCTCTCTCTGGGTTCTCTCTCTGATCTCTCTCTCTTGTCTCTCTCTGTTCTCTCACTGGTCTTTCTCTCTGGTCTCTCTCTGCCCTCTCTCTGGTCTCTTTCTGGTCTCTCTCTGGCCTCTCTCTGGCCTCTCTCTGGCCTCTCTCTCCGGTCTCTTCCTGCTCTCTCTCTCTCTGGTCTCTCTCTATGGTCTCCCTCTGGTCTCCCGCTGGTCTCCCTCTGGTCTCTCTCTGGCCTCTCTCTGGCCTCTCTCTCCGGTCTCTCTCCGGTCTCTCTCCGGTCTCTCTCCGGTCTCTTCCTGGTCTCTCTCTCTCTGGTCTCTCTCTATGGTCTCCCTCTGGTCTCCCTCTGGTCTCTCTCTGGTCTCTCTCACATGCTCCTCGTCGAACTGGTCTCCTCCAAATGCAGCCACACATGGTTTGATTCCTCCGGTGCCAAAGGCGATCAGGATGAGTCCAATCATCGACAAAGCTCTGAGAAAGAAATATATATAACATTCATTTTACCGTGAAAGAATAAAACAACTTGAAACTATGAAAAATACATAGTCAGGAACATCACACTTTTGATTTCACATTGAGTCCTGGGTCTACAGCCTCAGTCCTAGATTTTTCCTTCGTATTCTGTAGTTTGCGAATCAACAACTTTGTGAAGTCTCTGAGACGATCGGTTCAGAGATTAAAATCTATACACAAATAAATAAATTGAAATGAGTGAATTAAAACAAATAGAGCAGGACTTTTCCCAGGAGCCAGACTGATTTAGAGCTTATTTCCTTTGGGATAAGAACGCAGCTTGTCAACACTGTTAGCATAATTTGATGACCCACATAGTGTCATGAACAGTAGATCTGTAATCTGTATCACTGTATCTGATAAATAACGGTGAGTTTGTAAAACAAAGGAATAAATACATGCGCAAGAGAGAATCGTGAACCAGTGATGTAAGTATTTTGTGTCTTCAGGCAAAAAAAATATTGAAAAGTTGTAAAACTGGCCCAAAATAAGCATTTATGTATGGACCATTATCAGACACAGAACTGTCCCCCCTAAACACAGCTGAAGTTGGCTGGATGACACTGTGAGTTTAAGACTACGGTGTGTTTGCCAGGTGTCACAGTGGAGCAGTGGTTACCGCTTGTGCTTCACGGTATGAAGGTCCTGGGTTTGATTCCACCTCCAAGCCTTTCTGTGTGGAGTTTGAATGTTCTCCCCGTGTCTCTGCTTTGGTTTCCCCGACCACTAAAACCATGCAGAGTTGCGTTTTCACCGCAGGAACTTTTTGGGGTAATTTTACAGGGCCAGCTCGGTTGCTGCAGGAACCTCCCCCCACAGGGCCATTTACAAGAACTTTTACGGGGACCAACAGAGTCCCTCCTTCATGCTAGGTACTCTGTTGGGCCCTGAAAAGCTCCTGATGGGGCTTTTTGGCTAAAGCTAGAGCAGGGTCTCAGGCTAGTAGAAATCACCAAAACAACCGCCATTTTAAATCCAGTTGCATTAGCCTAGCAGCATTAGCCAAGTAGCATTAGCCTAGCAGCATTAGCCTAGCAGACATAGCCGACACTACTGGAAACAGCAAACAACAACAGCAAGATATACAACAAATGAACGAATGATGAGGTGCAGGCAATGATTCAAGATATATTAAGACACATCAGGGAACCTCGAAGCCCCGGGGAATCATCACACTCCAAAACAATGCAATGAAAAGTAAAAAAAAAAACAAAGACCACAACAACCGGAACAGTTCTGACCGTAAAATAAATAAATGGGTTTTGGCTAAATGAGTTTCGACTATGCTGTGATCGGAACTCATGACGTCGCTGAGGATCCTACTGCAGTGGAGACACGGAGAGGCCGAGGGAGAGGACGACCCCCTCCTTTTACCAGGAACCCCTGTGGTGGAAACGCAACTAATACAGTAGGTCTGAGTAAATGAATGTGGGACAACAGATGCAAATTAGAGATTCCGTAGAGATTTGTTCATTAACACCTAGTTTAGTCCTGGTTTGGTCCTGGTTTCATCCTGGTGTAGTGCCAGTTGTAATCCTGGTTTACTCCTGGTTTAGTCCTGGTTTAGTCCTGGTTTAGTCCTAGTTTAATCCTGGTTCAAACCCAAAACTACAAGCCGTCAAATTGACTGCTCAGGTCACTCACATGTGCATGTTGGTGTCTCCCACTGTGGGAATGGCTCCGACCGACTTCACCACATGGCCGATGACGTAAACAATGGACAGATAGATAATAGTTCTGTGGAAGAAACCAAAATTATATATCTGAAAGAGTGAGAGAGCGGCAGAGAGTGAGTCACTGGATACTTCACTGCACTGGGAGGGAAAACCTTTTGCAATAGCAATGGGAGTAGTAGCAGTAGCAGTAGAATTAGCAGTAACAGTAACAGTAGCAAAAGAAGCAGTGGCAGTAGCAGGAGTAGTAAGAGTAGTAGCAGTAGCAGTAGCAGTAGCAGTAGCAGTAGCAGTAGCAGTAGGAGTAGGAGTAGTAACAGTAGGAGTAGTAGCAGTGGCAATAGAAACAGTAGCAGTAGCATTAGCGACAGTAGAAGTGGTATTAGCAACTGTAGCAGTAGCCTTAGCACTAGTAGCAGTAGCAGCAGCATTAGCATTAGCATTAGCAGCAGTACTCACTTGAACTTGCCCAGCCATGAGTCTGCGATGATAGCTCCCAGGATGGGGGTGAAGTAGCAGAGGCCGCTGAAGGCGTGGTACACGGCAGTCGACAGGTCATTGTCCCAGTGCAAGTACGACAGGAAGTACAGCGTCAGCACCGCTACGGGAGACACCAGAAAGTTGTTGATTCGCCAAAACAGATCAGAGAATCATAAGGGGCAGATGACCAATGTCCATAAATGTGGATAAAGTCCTTAAATGTCCTGGATCATCACTGTATATAGACCTTCTGGACTGGTTCTGGACCGGTTCTGGACTAGTTCACTTAACAGTTAGCATTTGGTTGCCTTTCAAAACACTGTCTTTTGTTGTTGCGGCTGTATAAGTTATGTTCACCAGTTTTAGCATTTATCGGGCGGCACGGTGGCTGAGTGGATAGCACTGGGTCCTGGGTTCGAATCTCGGTTGGAACAGGGCCTTTCTGAGTGGAGTTTGCATGTTCTCCCTGTGTCTGCGTAGGTTTCCTCCGGGTGCTCCAGTTTCCCCTACCACTAAAAACATGTACAATATGTCTGGCATGTGCCTCCTGTACTGGCCCCGGTCCCAGTGTGGAGTGGGAGACAAATGCCCACAATTGTAAACCGCTTTGTGACTCTGGACTGTGAAAGACGGTAACTAAATAAAGATTACTTTTTTACTTACTTAAAGGTGAATGTGACATTTATTTATTTTTTTAACTAGTGAAAACTTTTATTTTGGAAGTGTTTTCAAAATCCCATTTATTTGAATCAATCAGGAGCTGAGTACTCCTGATTGAATCAATCTACTAGTAGTTTCAGAATCTTTGGAGTCGTCGTGATAATGTGAAAGTTGTTTAAACCTCCTCAGAGGGAGGTTTCCTCAGAAATGACCTCCTCTGACCGCACTGTGACTTATTACAGAATTACGAGCTCTTCCTTTGTCACTCATTGACACCTGATTGCGAAACGTAATGTGTTGTTGGGACACACATTTTAGTATCAATCACATCATCTGTTTTTCCAGCCAGGTCGACTTAAAGCTGGGTTACTTCACTTCCTAGTTTCATCATTAATCCATGTTTGTCCCATCAGACCACAACACACCGTCAGCATCTCATTAGGAAACATGTAAGGAAGAGCCCTGTGAGCCACTATTTGACTCTTTGGGCTGAGATCTGATTGGCAGAGAGAGGGCGGTCCTCTATTTTTCACTTTACAGCCTTAAAAAGCGGATCTAAAGATGTGAAAGAGGCCAAAAACATATAAGTAGCATGTGAAGACTAGGGATAGAAGCAAACTTTTTAGAGCAGGGAACTATAGTTAAATGGATTGTATTATTAGTGTTAATTTCTTTTGTGGTTTTAAAATTAGGCAAGTAAGTAAGTAAGTAAGTAAGTAACGTTTATTTATATTGCGCATTTTACAGACCAAGGTCACGCAAAGCACTTTACAATGTTCAGAGTCAGATATTGTTCCAATCGTTCCACACACGGTGATGACAGAAGCGAGTCCAGAACACACTGGACCATCAAAGCCTCTGACCCAACACCATCCATTCACTCTCTCATTTACATTCAGACCTATTGTGCATGTTTTTAGTGGTTAAAACAAATTAACATTTGTTTAATTAATTTTAATTAATTAACATTTGTTTTAACCTTTATTTGAAAAAAAATAAGTATTGATACTTAATATATGGCTCCCTTAGGCAGCTACATTCTTATGTTATAGTGAGTAATTACTGGAAAATCTGCTAGTTTAAAGTTAAAGAATGTATGAAAAAAAAAAATTCTGTTTTTGTAACTTGTCTCAACAATGCACTTTAATTTCTGTTCATATTGATTTTATTGGATGTACTGTAAAAACCCCAGCATATTTACTAAACTGTGCCAATTAAAAGGCATTTTTGATTGTTCACTTTAATGTTTACATGACACTTTATCCTTTCACTTGTATTCTCGTGAGATAATCGTTATCGTGAGCTTTGTATCGCATTGTTTCGTGATGTGAGGTACCCTGAGGTTCCCACCCCTAAGTTTTTATAACAAAATGAAAGGACAAGAGAGAGAGAGAGAGCAGAGAAAATCAAGAGAAAGACCAGAGAGAGAGCGAGACAAGAAAGAAAGAGAGAAACCAGAGAGAGAACAGAGTAAAGCCAGAGAGAGAGAGGGAGCAGAGACACAAAAATCATGTGACGAGGACGCCTTTTACAGCTGCATCAGTCACAGATGTGTAACACTTCATCCTCATTTCACACTTGACTTTTACAGTTTTATTCAGTCTCTTGAAGTTTGTACTAAATGAAAAAACTGTAAGAAAAAGCAATATAGTAGAACTGTGCACAAACGTAAACAATATAACTACATAATACTGTAAACTGGACATACATTATTCCTGGACTGCCATGCCTTCCTGTCTTTCTGGCCCATAGACTGTAAATATTAACAGACATAGTCACGTCTATCTCCGCCGTTGAAACTACTGTGCCATCACTTTTGGTTTCTATGGGGCTTTTCAAAAGGGCCGCGGGGAATGGAAAATGGGAAAAACCGCATTTGCTCATGTGTTAGCCACTGTTCTGTCGAAGTGGTCTGCTCGCTTCTCACGGCAGCCGAAGCAATCCAAGATGGCGGACATAAAGTCTGTGACTTGTGTAAAAAGTTTAGATAAGAACGAATTAAGACACGAATGTCACTTTTAAAGCAATATGAGGCGAGATGTTGATGGTTCCATGTTGTCATATGTGGGTTTTAAGAATCAAAGTTTGGTTTAAGTAGTAACTGCTCCTGAACCACACTGCTGCTGTGTGATAGCAGGACCTTTCCTGTCGAGTTCAGCTGCGACATACGTCATTTTACTGACGTAGGCTGATGACGCGTCCTGTGGCTAACTCGACAGCTAACAGCTATAGAGCAGTCAAAAGCCCGACCGGTCTGTCGGGTTGATAATGGAAATAATAACCCAACTCTAAGTTGGAAGCTATTGGCTGTCGAGGTAGCCACAGGACACGTCATCGGCCTACGTCATGGATCTATAATAATAACTGGATAGAGTATTACTAGCTTAAAGCTGTCCCACCTATAGCCACAGGGGGCGCCCATGGTTTTGCAGACTAAATTCACGCGGGCTACCCAGAAAAAAGTCCCATAGATCTCAATGTAAACTAAAACAGCTCAACCTCAGCTGACAGAGAACCTACAGCTTTCATAAAGATCAGATTTTGTGTCCCTTGTAATCCTGAACTTTTTTTCTTCTTAGTTTGTTTTTTTCTTCAGAGTTTGTGGCAGTAAAGTGTGGATTTAAAGAAATCCACACTTTACTGCCACAAACTCTGGTCATTTCCTTCCCGCTCTGACTCCACTCTATCTACTGCTCTGATCAGCAGCTCTGATTGGTCAGAGCGCGGCCGAGCCCCTCTGTGCACGTGCATTAGAGCCACACACACATATTTTGCGCAAAGTATCATGGGAGCTTGTCCACTGCGCAGAACCGGGAGGACCAGACGATGCCAAAATATAGGCGAGTTCAGCTAATCTCCCGGTCTCCGTGAAGTCCCATGCGCTACTGAGCACAAGCCATTCATTTGACTAGGGCGCCATCTTGGATCACCGGGGCTTGCCTATGTCAGTAAAATGACGTATGCCGCAGTTCAACTCGTATGGAAAGGTACTGCTATCACACAGCAGTGTGGTTCAGGAGCAGTTACTACTTAAACAAAACTTTACAAAGAACTTTGACTCTTAAAACCCACATATAACAACAAGAAAGAAGATGCCATACAAAAGCATTGGGTAATTCCCTTTCCGGGTACACCCCCACCAGCCCGGGGTAGTATTGCAAGTATGTCAGCGCACATGCTAATGGACCTTTTGGAGCCGGTGTTCTGTCGAGTTGGTCTGCCCGTCGAGATGATCTCCCTCAGCTGTTAATGATGTAATGCAAACCTGCGCTGTGCGTCTCACGGCAGCTGAAGCAATCCAAGATGGCGGACATGAAGTCCGTGAATTGCTTTAAAAGTTCAAATACGAACGAATTAAGACATGAATGTCACTTTTAATGCAATTTGAGGCGAGATGTTGATGGTTCCGCGTTGTGATATGTGTGTTTTAAGAGTAAGAGTTTCGTGTAAAGTTTGTTTTAAGCAGTCCACTGCTCCTGTGAAACTACACTGCTAGTGTAACCCAAATCTGGCCGACCAACTCGACAGAACACCGGGACCCGTCCCCACTGATCCGGCCACATAATTTCACCTACATTACAGCGGATGTCCTCCCTTTCAAGGTAACACATTTTTACAACTAGTTCAACCATTTTGTCTGTGATGACTCAAGCGATGAAATGAGGACAGTTAGTTTTATAGGGAATAACTTCAGCTTCATAAGAATGTTTCATTTTGACTGACAGGACATAATAATTAATGATAATGTTATAAAACAGCAGAGAATTGTATGAAAGTAACTGATACATGTCCAAAAGCATTTGTAATCTGTTCAAAGGAGAAACTGCTGCGATGATGTCACACATGACTCCATGTAATGGAGGTTGAACGAATAATTTTGAGAACTTAAAGGCCCTGAAAACTGCAGTCATCAGGCCCCTGCTTAAAAAGAGCAGTCTGGATGCTACGGTACTTAACAACTACCGTCCCATCTCAAATCTGCCATTTATGGGGAAAGTCCTTGAAAAAGTTGTCTACCAACAGCTAAATAGATTTCTTATAATCAACAACTCATTTGATATGTTTCAGTCCGGCTTTAGACCCCACCACAGCACTGAGACTGCTCTTGTCAAGGTTACAAACGATATCCGGCTAAACACTGACGCAGGCAAAGTCTCAATCCTAATCCTGTTAGATCTGAGTGCTGCCTTTGACACTGTCGACCATGAGATCCTCTTACAGAGACTAGAGGACTGGGTTGGCGTCGCTGGCACCGCCCTAAGTTGGTTTAGGTCTTACCTTGAAGACAGGAAGTACTTTGTGGAGATTGGAAACTGTGTCTCAGATCATATGGCCCTGACCTGTGGAGTACCACAGGGGTCGATCCTGGGACCTCTTCTTTTCAATCTCTACATGCTGCCGTTAGGTCAGTTAATACGCAGAAACGAAGTTTCCTATCATAACTATGCAGACGACACTCAGATCTATGTCTCACTGACTGCAGGAGAACATGGACCAGTGGACTCACTCCTTCACTGTATCCAACAGATCAGTGAGTGGATGCAAAACAACTTCCTTCAGCTAAACGCAGACAAAACTGAAATGATTGTCTTTGGTCCCCAGAAACAAAGAGAGAGCGTCATCTGTCATCTACAGTCTCTCTCCCTAAAACCTTCAAACAAGGTCAGAAATCTAGGGGTCTAGGGACTCAGACTTAAATTTTAATAGCCACATCAAATCAGTAACATCAGCAGCTTTTTACCATCTAAAAAACATTTCCAGGATCAAAAACATAGTGTCTAAAGCAGACTTGGAGATTCTTATCCATGCATTTGTCTCCAGTAGGTTAGACTACTGCAATGGCCTGCTCACAGGTCTGTCCAAACAGGCTGTAAAACAGCTGCAGTACATTCAAAATGCAGCAGCTCGAGTCCTGACTAGAACCAGGAAGTACGACCATATTAGTCCGGTCCTCAGGTCTCTGCACTGGCTTCCTGTGGCTCAGAGAATAGACTTTAAAACAGCTTTGCTTGTGTACAAGTCTCTCCATAGCCTCGCACCAAAATATATTAGTGACATGTTAGTCCCATATGAACCAGCCCGGACTCTGAGGAGCACAGGGACTGGACTCCTGTTAGTGCCCAGAGTCAGAACTAAACATGGGGAGGCTGCTTTTCAGATTCATGCTGCTAAAATCTGGAACAATCTTCCTGAAGATGTGAGACAGGCCTCCTCTCTGACTATGTTTAAAACCAAGTTAAAAACTGTGCTGTTTAGCTGTGCATACAACTGAGGGATTTTATATTTTTATCTTTCTTTTTAATGTTCTGTGATTATTTATGATTTTAATGCTATCTTGTTCAGCACTTTGAGTTGCCTTGTGTATGAATTGTGCTATACAAATAAACTTGCCTTGCCTTGCCTTGCCTTAAGTCTGATCTGAGAAAATCACCAAAGCGGCTGCAAAAAAACCAGTAACTGGTTCTGATCCGAGAGACCGGAGAAGTTGACATACCTTTCATGCCATAGTAGGAGAAGCGCTCGCAAAACTCATTCACCACAATGAAGCAGATGCTGGTCGGGTAGTTGGTGCCACACAGTTTCTGCAAAAAGAACAGAACAATACAAAGTTTAGAGGGGTTGTTGCAAGTATTTGAATGAATTAGATAGATAGACAGACGGGTGGAGGAAGGAGAGAGAGAGATAGACTGATAAATACATAGAAGGAGAGATAGACTGACATTTATAGATACAGTAGATCAGTGTCTCCCAAAGTGGGGTCCGCGGCCCCCTGGTGGGCCGCGAGGGTACTGCAGGGGGGCCGCGGGAGGTCATAAAAAAAATAAAATAATTATTTAATGTTAAATTTATAATGTTTTGTTTGTAATATTAAAATATTTGTGTTCATTATTTGACTTGAATAATCCACTGTAATCATTTTTGTATTACAATGTTTGTAGCAGAGGCTATTTCCCCAAAATAAAATAACCAGAAGAGCCTATTCTTAATGTTGTCTTCTTGGTTATTATTTTGGGGGGCCACGCAGACCCGTCAGATTTTTAAGGGGGCCTCGGTGTTACTGAGTTTGGGAATGGCTGCAGTAGATAGAGAAAGAGAGAGAGTGGGAGAGATACAGTGGTTAGATGAGGGATGGAGGAAGAAGAGGGAAAGGAGATATAAATAGATAGATAGATAGAAAGAGGGAGGGAGGTATGGATAGACAGATAGATAGATAGATAGATATAGACACAGACAGATAGATAGTGAAAGAGGGATACTTTATTGATCCCCATAGGGAAAAATCAGGTCTAGCAGAAACACATCCATTCATACTAACAAAAAATACATACTTCTTAAAGTTACTAACTGTAAAAAAGCAAATACCAACATATTATCCCACCTCCGAAGAGAACGACAGAGTTTGAACCAAAATGTTATATCTCGTTCTCATCCAACTATGCGATATTCTTCCAGGACTGTTCTAGATAATCCAAACGGTCATTGGAAAACTTAACATGGGACTGGACATGAGCTAGCTTCACTTTTCGGACTCTGCATCTTAATAACACCATACCCACTGTGCAACATGGGGGTGGAAACATAAGGTTTGGGGCTGCAATTCTTCAAAGGGGATGGTACGACTGATCCATATTACTGAATGGATAAATGAGGGCATGTACTGTGAGATTTGGAGCCGGGGCTGAGTCTTCCTGCACGACAAGAATCCCAAACACAACACACCACCCAGGCAACACAAAGTGGAGTTTGCATGTTCTCCCTGTGTCTGTGTGGGTTCCCTCCAAGTACTCCGGTTTCCTCTAACATTGAGAACATGTAGCTTCCTTCTCGCTCGGGCAAAAAGTCCCCCGAAAAAGAGAGTCTGTAATCTGAGTGGAACTTTCCTAGTTACATTTTGGATCTACATGGAAGAATGGGCCAAAATACCAGCTATAGTCTGTGCTATGCGAAACGTTTGGCCTTCTGTCATTGCCAACAAAGTATTGAGTTCAACTTTAGTTTGCGGTCAAAAACGTATATTGTTATTCAAATAAATTGGTTAAAAACCATACATTGGGATTCCCTGGATTTTTCTCCACTTCATTTTAGAACGTATCAAAACTGATCGAGAAAAACCAGAGACCAAAAATGACACATGCAAAAACTAAACTAGTTAGAAGGATTTTTAAGTTTTGCGGTTTGAAAGTTGGGTGTCCCAGCTTTAAATAGAATACAATTTACAAAACATGGCTGTAATGCTGGACTTCTGTGTCCTCCGTCAGAGAAAATGATCGATCTCGTGCGTCCAAAGAATGCAGAGGCCTTTTACACCAGTTAATGATTGTGAGAGATTAAGGGAAAAACATTCCTATAAAAAATATAATTGTACTTAGAGACGCCGGGAGTGACTCATGTCCAAAAGTCACACGTTTATTTATTTGTTTGTTTGTGTTTCTGCTGCTGTGCATTTCTCCTACGGGGGTTAATAAAGTATCTATCTATTCTATCTATGTATCTGTCTGTCTGTCCATAAACACAGAACTTTTACAACATTGACAACACTGCACACATTTACTTTTACTTAAAGATGGAGCAACAGTAAAGTGCCAAACTGCTGTGTCCTTAGGCAAGACACTTCACCTCCATTGCTTGATGGTGTTCGTGCGTGTGAGCGAATATGCCGTGAGAAGTGTCAATAGTCCTGTTTCCACCTCTACTCGACTCTACAAAGTAAGTAATATTTATTTATGTAGCGCCTTTCACTGCCCAGAGTCACAAAGCGCGTACAGGAGGCACATGCCAGACCTATTTTACAAGTTTTTAGAGGTACGGGAAACCGGAGCACCTGGAGGAAACCAGAGCAGACACGAGGAGAACACGCAAACTCCACACAGAAAGGTCTGGAATCAAACCCAGGACCTTTTTGGTGTGAAGCACTCTACTCTACCCTACTCTACTCTACTCTATCTGGTAATGGTTGCATTCCCATTGGGCATCTGGTACCATATCCTAGCAACCTACATACAACAAACCAGTATTCAGGGAAATTCCTGGGTAGCCATGGCTTCCAGCAGCACTCTGGCCAATCAGTGTCAGTTAAAATAAATAATATTAATACATCATTTAATTAAAGATTATGACATATAAATAAGATTAACAACGAACCAAATAAAAAAAAAATCAAAGTTATGAAACAATGTACATGAGTCATTACAAATCCAAAACTACAAGCCGTCAAACTGACTGCTAAATATCCAACTGTTCCTCCAAGCCCTGTGCGTGGGGACCAGAGCCGTGGACGTAGAGAGAGGATGCGCCTGTTGCATCAGCTTCTCCTCCTCCAACTTTTTTTTCTCGAATCAACTTTAGAAAAAAAAAACCCAAAAACTTCTTTCCAACACATTCCATTTGCACAACAACTGATCCACCGCGCGCACGCCACGTTCCTCTCGCCTTCTGCGGCCATAGAGAACCCCCAGAGCCCAGAGAGAGAGAGAGAGAGACTGGGACAGAATGTACATACGGTTTGAGCCAAAAGTTGCAAACTACAAGACCTCGTTCAGTGAGTTGACTTTACCCCAGGCATGTTTGTCCACTCTCACGGTTCTCTCTCGGGTCCGCTGCTGCTGCTGCTTCTGCTGCGTCTCTCTGCGCCTCTCCCTGGATCTCCCTCCTCTCACACTGCGTCTGAAAGTCCGCCCCACTACTCCCACATCCACTACTCACACCCCGCTCCGAGATCATCCCGCGGTGCGCACGCTGTAGGCATTGCATGTTTACTTGTGAAGCACAGTTCATACACCTTGCAATAGAAATAGTCAGATAAAGCAGAAACAATCCTTGAATAATCAGTCTATTACAAAAATAGTGAAGATACAAAGTTTTAGGGCAGCTAAACTGAATTGTTTTTAACCTGGATTTGTCAGAGAAGAAGTCTGTCTCACATTTTCAAGAAGACAGATTTTAGCTGCATGAATCTGAAATGCTGTCCCCCCATTTTTGTCCTGACTCTGGGCACCAGCAGGAGGCCAGTCCCTGTGCTCCTCTGAGTCCCAGCAGAAGACCAGTCCCTGTGCTCCTCAGAGTCCCAGAAGGAGGCCAGTCCCTGTGCTCCTCAGAGTCCCAGCAGAAGACCAGTCCCTGTGCTCCTCAGAGTCCCAGAAGGAGGCCAGTCGCTGTGCTCCTCAGAGTCCCAGCAGAAGACCAGTCCCTGTGCTCTTCAGAGTCCCAGCAGGAGGCCAGTCCCTGTGCTCCTCCGAGTCCCAGCAGAAGACCAGTCCCTGTGCTCCTCAGAGTCCCAGAAGGAGGCCAGTCCCTGTGCTCCTCAGAGTCCCAGCAGAAGACCAGTCCCTGTTCTCCTCAGAGTCCCAGTAAGAGGCCAGTCCCTGTGCTTCCCAGAGTCCCGGCAGAAGACCAGTCCCTGTGCTCCTCAGAGTCCCAGCAGGAGGCCAGTCCCTGTGCTCCTCAGAGTCCCAGCAGGAGGCCAGTCCTGGTGCTCCTCAGAGTCCCAGCAGGAGGCCAGTCCCTGTGCTCCTCCGAGTCCCAGCAGGGTGCCAGTCCCTGTGCTCCTCAGAGCAAACAGAGCTGCTTTAAAGTCTACTTTTGAGTCCCAGGAAGCAGAGACCTGAGACCAGGACTAATGTGATGGTACTTCCTGGCTTTGAAGAGACCAGCAGCTGTTGCAGTCGTTTAACCTGCTGAAGACAAATGCAAGATAAGAATCTCCAAGTCTGTTATCGACGCTATATTTTAGTTTTTCAGATGGTAAAAAGTTGCTTATGTTACTGGTTTGATGTGGGAGTAGTTTTGGGAAGCGACTCTCTGTTCTGCCCTCTGTTAACACAAAAGGCCTCTGTTGTTGTTGTTGTGAAGGGAAGTGGCTGAAGCTGCAACAAGTCGTGCGTAAAATGGGTAAAATGTGGCCAAAGGAGCCGCGGTCTGTGTGGATGTGACGGCACCGGGGGCTGTGGGAGAGCAGTGATCCCCAACCTTTTTAGACTGTAAGTCCACTAAGTCATTCTCATCAGTGCTTTAAACAGAAAATCAATCAAGCCCAAAAAGTCTGGTAGAGTAGAGCAGAGCAGAGCAGAGCAGAGCAGAGCAGAGCAGAGCAGAGTAGAGTAGAGTAGAGTATGAAATATTGAGACACATTCAATACCAAATGTCAGTATAAAAACAATACATTTTAGAGTTTCTGAGCTTTACAACTAAGTGTACCATGTCTGTATTGGCTGAATTGAAGTTGGCTGGATGACACTGTGAACTTGTGTTTATGATCCTAAAGAGGAGCACATGGGACAGCCTGGGGACGTGCCTGGGCTAGAGCATCCGAGTCAGAGAGAGCGTTCACATCCACTTCTGTCCACTAGAGGGAGCTAACGCACAATGTCTGTCTGTACAGGGCGTCTGAGGACAGTGGTGATGATCCAGGACATTTATCAGCATTCATCAACATTTATGGACATTTATGGACATTGTCATCTGCCCCTAATGGCTCTATAGCCGTGTTTCCACCTTCGGGGTAATTTTCCAGAGCCAGCCCCATTGGTGCGTGTCTTCACTGCAGGACCCTCCCCCACAGGGCCATTTACAGGAACTTCGCCATATGGGGACCAACGGAGAGTCTACTACAAAGTAGATACTCCGTCCGGCCCTGAACAGCGCCTGTTGGGGCCTTTGGTTAACCCGGCGCTGATTGGCTAAAGCTAGAGCAGGCTTTGAGCCAAAAATCCAGCAGCTTTAGCCCAGCAGACACCAATTACTCCCAAAGCCCCAAAATCACACGTAAAAAAGGAGATTTCAGTGCAACTTTCCTGCTTAAATAAAGGTCAATAATTAAACATTAAGAATTACACAACAGAAAAACAGATATATTATTTTAGTGACAATCCATATATCCCAAAGCAAATGGGTCCTATACAGTAGTTTCCACAGTACAATATAGCATTCTTATATAAATACAGTCACAAATTTAGCTTGATCAAATTAAAAGGTGAAAATATGTATGAACCGTGCAAATTGAAGCGTTACAGCATTTAGGAGCTAAATATCAAACTTACAGTATTTACAAATAATTTAGAATATAACATTTTGCGCATCTTTTCAATAAATATTTCGTATCATCCTTAATCACAACAGGTTTTAACAAAGTTGTCCATTTATCAACAGATCAGAGAATCAAAAATAAACTGTCAATTTTTTGATTTTTTTTATGGTAATCTAATAAATTTTTTATTTTTTGCTAATTTGTTAAGATAATTTTGAAATGAAAAAGGCCCAGGGGTCGACCCTTGGGGGACACCACACTCCAAATGCAGCCTTTTCCAAAACAGGGGAAAGATTAAAACCATGAACTGAAACGTGAGGGTTGCAAAAGTATCAACCCCCCTTGTACATGAATTGGGCTGTACAAATATATGATGATTGATTGATCAGGTTTAGAATCGCTCTAAAAACTGGGAGTGCGAAAATGACCAGAGAAAACAAATATTAAATGGTCAAAATCAGTAAAAAGCCAAAATATAGTTAAAAAGGCATGGGATTTGTGAATTAAAACTCTTGAATGTCGTTGTTGTTACTTTCGGCACTGGATTTCAATGAAGTCCTGGTGAAGGTGGTCTATGTGCTCGCCGCTGCCTCTGCTGGTCGCTCAATGAACTGCAGGTGGATTGGTTTTTCGGGGCAGAGCAGGGTGCGGGTGATGGGCTTCACCTCGGAGCCAGAGGGGTCCGGACGCAGCTCGAAACGCTGGATCAACTACAGAAACAAACACAGAGAAGAGAGAAAGAGTTCAGACGGATTGATTCATTCATTGATCTATCTATGTCTTCATAATTAATACATCATATATAGTGTCTGTACATTTGTGCAACATGAACAAACAGGAAGAGAAGGATGACAAAACATGTTGTGTATCCTGTCACACAGAGGTGTAGGGTCGGAGAATGTTTGGGCCTGTTTGCAGTCTGTGTATGTGAGCATTGTAGATAGATAGATAGATAAGATAAATAAGATAGAGAGATAGAGATATAGAGAGATAGATAGATAAGATAAATAAGATAGAGAGATAGAGAGATAGATAGATAGATAGATAGATAGATACTGTATATAGATAGATAGATAAGATAGAGAGATAGATAGATAGATCGACAGATAGAGAGATAGATAGATAGATAGATACTGTAGATAGATAGATAGATAAGATAAATAAGATAAATAAGATAGATAGATAGATAGATAGAGAGATAGAGAGATAGATAGATGGATAGATAGATAGATACTGTAGATAGATAGATAGATAAGATAAATAAGATAGAGAGATAGAGAGATAGTTGCAGCCAGACATCAGATCTACGCACTCTGGTGAGCAGCAGGTACATCTCGAGCTCCGCCACGCGCCGCCCCAGACAGGCCCTGGTGCCGAAGCCGAAGGGGATAGATCCAAACGGGTGCATGAGGGCCTTCTGCTCGGAGCCACGGAGCCAGCGCTGGGGCCTGAAGCAGTGAGGGCTGGAGAACACGGCCTCGTCGTAGGAAGCGGCGTAGTGACACAGGTGGAAAAGAGTCTGCCAAACACACAGAGGGCAGACGTCCAGGAGGAAAAGGACATTAGGAAACGATAACGAGAGGGTCAGGGATAGACACTTGATCTTTATGTCTTTGTTGCTTACTGTGTTTTATTGTGTTGTCAAATCAATCATTGAATTCAGCTTTTATTGCAGATCGATAGACAGGTACTTTATTGATTCCCATTGGAGAAATTCAGGTGTTCTATAGCTGCAAAAATAAAAAATAAAATTGATAATTCTAAAAAGTTAAAAATAGAACTAATCAGCAACAGCTCTTAAGGTCACAGCAGCAGAGGTGGAGTAGCCTCTGGGTGGAGCAGGACAGGTCACAGCAGCAGAGGTGGAGTAGCCTCTGGGTGGAGCAGGACAGGTCACAGCAGCAGAGATGGAGTAGCCTCTGGGTGGAGCAGGACAGGTCACAGCAGCAGAGATGGAGTAGCCTCTGGGTGGAGCAGGACAGGTCACAGCAGCAGAGGTGGAGTAGCCTCTGGGTGGAGTAGGACAGGTCACAGCAGCAGAGGTGGAGTAGCCTCTGGGTGGAGTAGGACGAGTCACAGCAGCAGAGGTGGAGTAGCCTCTTGGTGGAGCAGGATGGGTCACAGCAGCAGAGGTGGAGTAGCCTCTGGGTGGAGTAGGGCGAGTCACAGCAGCAGAGGTGGAGTAGCTTCTGGGTGGAGCAGGACGGGTCACAGCAGCAGAGGTGGAGTAGCCTCTTGGTGGAGCAGGATGGGTCACAGCAGCAGAGGTGGAGTAGCCTCTGGGTGGAGTAGGACGAGTCACAGCAGCAGAGGTGGAGTAGCTTCTGGGTGGAGCAGGACGGGTCACAGCAGCAGAGGTGGAGTAGCCTCTGGGTGGAGCAGGACGGGTCACAGTAGCAGAGGTGGAGTAGCCTCTGGGTGGAGCAGGACGGGTCACAGCAGCAGAGGTGGAGTAGCCTCTGGATGGAGCAGGACGGGTCACAGCAGCAGAGGTGGTGTAGCCGCTTGGTTCTTTTTTTTATGACTTGAAATTTTTTAGTTTTTACAATTAAACAGTAAACAAACAACAATCCACATATCAGATTCAGTCCTTGGCAAGTGACTTAGAGTGAATTGCGACAACATACAACAACAAAACATAAAAAATAAAGGAATGTAACACCGCATAGGTCTGATAACCCATGCAAAGATAATGTAACATCTGTATCCATGATTGTAATAAATATCAATATTAACATGAAAATAAGCAGTAAAAAATAAATAAAAATAAAATAAAAGGGTGAATATAAAAAGTTAAAATTAAATAAATACAAGTAATAATCATATTGATGCCAAACCAAGAGTTGCTGTAAAGTTTGGAAAATGCAGCAGTATGAACCTATTCAGATGCCTGATGTATTTGAGCTGGAAGACGTCATTAATTGAATGTAAATCAGGTAGGGGCCCCATTTGTGGTTATAATCCTCCAATCTATTTAATAGTCTAAAAGATAGCTTCTCTAAAGAAGCTAGTTGGCCTAGGGAAGTCTGCCAGTGAATAAATGATGGAGCTGAAGGAGACTTCCACTCCACTACTAATAACCTCCTTCCCAACATGATCGCTGTTTGGGCCCATTGTGAAAGAGATGAGGGCATGGCACTCAAAACTGAGGGGTCCCCTAGAACGTACAATCTATTACAAAATGGAAAATCATTGCCAAGGATCTCCCCCAGTACCCTATGAACTGATGCCCAGAAAACCTGAACTTCTGGGCACTCCCACAGCATATGCAATAATGTGCCATTATTCCCCTGGCATTTCCAACATTTATGATTATTTGCTAAGCCCACTCTGTGCAGCCTGGTAGGAGTCCAGTATATTCTATGTAATATTTTGAATTGGACTAACCGAGTCCTCAGCTCTCTTGATATTCGCTTCCCATTTCTAAGTATCCCCTTCCATTCAGCCTCTGTAAAAGTATAATTTAAATCTTTCTCCCATGACTGCTTAAGGGGCATCAGTGAAGTATCAGATTCCATTAGTAACATCCTATAAAAAGTAGAGGCTGCATGACCTTGTTTGAATGCCTTCTTTAGATCATCTAAGATGCCACAGGTTGAAGGGGCTACCGCAACAGATCCAAATGTTTTTTGTAGTAAATGTCGCACCTGCAAATATTTCCAAAACTCCTGTCTGGGCAGACTGAATTCCCGAGCCAGGATTTCAAATGACTTTAGTGTGCCATTGTCATATAGATCTCCTAATATTGTCACACCATTTAAAAACCAAGATTTCCACATAAATGGTGTTTTGTTGATACAGAGCTTTGGATTGTGCCACCGACCTGAAGTTTGATTAAGGTGTGTGTTAAATTTAAACATTTGAGATATTTTTTTCCATACTATTTGAAGGTGCGACATGACCGGATGCAGCCTATTTTGAGGAGCAAGGTTCGTGGATAGACAGTAAGATGGAGTAAATGGAGCTGAAACCTCACTCTCAAGAGCAAGCCATGGGGGTGCTCTCTCTGGAGGCATAAACCAGTGAGATAAATGCCTGAGAGAGAAAGCATAATAGTAATACAACAAGTTAGGGATTCCCAATCCGCCACTATCCACAGGTCTCTGTAATTTTTTCATATTTAACCTGGGCTTTTTATAGTTCCATATGAATTCTTTACACAACTTATCAAACTTTTTAAAATACGGTGATTGAATATGTATTGGTAGAGACTGTAGCAAATAATTAAATTTGGGAGTGCAGACCATTTTAATTATGTTTACTTTTCCCCACATTGAGAGGTAGAGCTGATTCCACCGCTCTACGTCTACCTTCATGCTTTCAAGTAGAGGGTCAACATTTATTTTAATAAGGTTAGATAATTGTGGAGGAAACGTAATACCTAGATATTTTATACCTTTTGTGGGCCAGGAGAACATACCAGAGGAGAATAATGCTTTGGGGCAGTGACCAGTGAGTGGGAGGGCTTCAGACTTGGTCCAATTGACCTTATAGCCTGAAATATCCGAAAATGAATTGATTAAGGAGAACAAGGCAGGAAGGGATAGTTGAGGATCAGACACAAATAGAAGAATATCATCAGCATATAGCATCAGCTTATGACAGCTTTGACCAATTGTGATACCTGGAAATTTAGCTTCTCTTCGAACGGCCACCGCCAATGGTTCAAGGGCTAATGCAAAAAGAAGGGGGGACAGGGGGTCCCCTTGTCTTGTGCCCCTTCCTAATTGAAATGATGGACCAATTATACCATTTGTGAGGACAGAAGCTGTAGGACTTATGTAAATCACCCGTATCCAATTGATGAAATTACTACTGAAACCAAAATATTTGAGCGTTAAAAACAAGTAATGCCATTCAACCCTATCCAAAGCCTTTTCAGAATCTAATGAAATGGCTGCAATAGGATTCCGACAATCTTGAACTGCCCACATAATGTCCAGTAACCTTCTAACATTATCTGCTGAGTATCGGGAGCGTATAAAACCCACCTGATCAGGGTGAATCAGATGAGTCATAACACGGTCTAGACAATTGGCCAAAATTTTTGATAATATTTTGCTGTCATAAGAGGTCAAACTAATGGGTCGATAGTTGCGGCAATCCGAGGGGTCCTTATCTTTCTTTAGGATAAGAGTGACAATGGCTTCAGATAGCGAAGGCGGAAGCATTTGTTTTTTAAATGATTCGTTATAAGCATCTAGTAGCATTGGGGCCAATAATTCAGGAAAGGATTTATAAAATTCAGCCGTAAACCCATCGCGACCAGGGGCCTTATTAGAAGGAAGGTGTTTAATTACTGAAATGATTTCTGCTGTAGTGATTGGTGCGTCTAAGCTCTCCATTTGGTCACGGGCTACTTGGGGAAGGTTTAAGCCCAACAGAAACTTAGTGATATCTTCCTCAGAAGCCCGTGACTCTGAGCTATATAGATGAGTATAGAAATCCGTAAAAGTGGCATTAATTTTTTTGGGGGTCTGTGAGGAGCTGCCCATTTGTATCCTTAATAGCAGAAATAGCACTCATTGCCTCTCTTTGTTTAATATATCTTGCCAATAACCTTCCTGCCTTGTCACCCTCCTCAAAGTACTTTTGTCTTGCCCGAAATAGACTAAATTCAGCTTTCTGTGACAATATTGTGTTATATTCATATTTTAATTTTGTTAATTTGACCAAGTTAATTGAAGAGGAATCCCTTTTTAAAGTTTTCTCAGTAATCCCGATCTTTTTCTCCAGATCAGAAAGCCGTTTAATGTTTTCTTTCTTTTTAATTGAGGCCTGTTGAATAATATAACCCCTCAAAAAAGCCTTCAGTGCCTCCCAGGCCACTCCAGCTGAGGGGGCAGAGGGAATATTTGTCTCCTTGTACAGATTAATTTGGAACTCAAGAGAATTTCTAAAAGTGTCCTCCATTAAAAGACTGGAGTTTAATCTCCATCTAGGAGTTTTAGCAATAGCATTAAAAGCGATGAGGGAGAGATAAATTGGACTATGATCTGATAAAATTATATTACCAATACTATTAACAACTGCAGGCATCAGAGATTGGGAAATTAAAAAGAAATCTATTCGCGAAAAGGATGCGTGCGGGGCAGAATTAAAGGTATAATCCCTACCCATTGGATTTTGTAACTGCCAGACATCTACTAGGGCACAGGCATTTGACATTGCTCTAAGTGAATAATTTCCTCTTGTTGTGCGAGTAAGACTTTTACTCCGGTCTAAAGTGCCATCCATCACCTCGTTATAATCACCTGCCAACAAAACGGGATAGTCCCCCAGATCAGAAATCTTTTTTTCCAACTGGCCAAAGAAGGACGGATCGTCGACGTTGGGAGCATAAATATTAGCCAAAATGATAGTTGTACCTTGAATTTCACATAGCATAATTAACATCCTACCTGCCTCATCTGTACTTTGTTTTAAGCATTTAAATTGCAGACCCCTGTTAATTAATGTGGCTACTCCTCTACTTTTGCTAGTTCCACTGCATGAGCCAACAAAGCCCACCCAGCCAAAACAGAGTCTCTGAGACTCTTGACGAGATAGATGTGTCTCTTGGACAAAAACAATATCACATTTTTTAGATTTAATAAAAGATAGAATCTTTCTTTTCTTTATGGCATTATTGAGACCTCTGACGTTCCAGCTCATCAGTTTTAAATTATTAGGTGTTATCATTGATCAAAATGATAAGTGGTGCTGTGAATTTAAATTTATTGGCATCAAAAGAAAAAAATGAAAATATAACTAAACTAAATAAAAAATAACATGGAACAAAGTGAACCCTTCCCCCCTTCTCCCCCAAAAACCTCCCTTACTAAGGTCCGCGAACATACACTCAACTGACGCTGCCCACAGCGCCCCCCTCCCCGCACATTAGTGGGTTGGCAACAAAGTATTATCAAGTAATAAAAATAAAAAAAATAAAAAAATTATAACATGTTAGAACTTTAGCTGCAACAAAGAGCTTTGCATTTATCAAGACAACAGTTGTGAAAAACAACAAAAAATCGTGAATGTTTCCCCTCACCTCTAAAAGTCCTCTCTGCATCTTAGTAACAAACCTTGACAGAAGTGCCGAGCGAAGAGTGACCGCACAATAAGAGTATCTTCATATAGTCCGTGTGTCATCGCGAGCAGTCACTCAGTTCAGCGAGTGGATAAACGGCATGGCTCTCTTGTGGTCTTCAAAACGCATGGGTCCCTGCGCAGTCTTCACCACAAGCACAGCTGGGTAGTTGAGTGAAAAACGAATGTTCTTATCGTGTAAAAGTTTCTTACAGTCCTTAAACTTAGCCCGTTTTTTGTTCAGCATCCTGGAGTAATCCGGGAAGACCATAATGCGTCGTCCTCCCCAAATGACATTCCCCTTCTTCCGTGCAGCTTCAGCGATGCGCTCGCGATCCTGAAATCTCAGAAATCTCGCTATTATGGCTCTGGGGCGGGTGGACTGGTCACCATCCTGGCGTCTAGGAATGGCTCCAAGTCTATGTGCTCTGTCAATCTCCAATCCTTTAGCGAAGTCAATGTCAAACAGCATCGGAATGATTCCCTCCAGGAAAGCGACAGCATCATTATTCTCACACGACTCGGGGAAGCCAACGAAGCGTAGGTTACATCTACGTTCACGATTTTCCACATCATCCAGCTTCTCCCTGAGCACTTCAACCTCTTTGCTAGTAGCCGGTGGATTGGCCTCCAGCCTTTCCTGTGCGTCCTCCAGAAACCCCAGGCGACCTTCCACGTTGCTAATGTGGCTAGCAGGGCCGGAGTGGGACAACATTTCAGGCCGGGAGCTTTTCATCCATTCAGGCCAAACAAGGTTCTAAATTTGGGTTTTTGTCATTGTATTTTGATGTTCTTTATTAGTTTTAAGATTGACTGTCAAAACTTTTGTTTTCTTTATTTTTTTTTATATTGACTGTTTATATAATCTCGGACGTTTAAGGATTGTTGTACGTTGCTTAGCAACGTAACGTTTATGGAGTTTAATGAGAATAAAGACACACACACACACACAATGAACTAAGTGTTCATTAGTGTATAACTATAACAAGCTAATCAATTATTGTTAAAAAAGTAGTAAGGTAAAATCACATCGTTACAGCTCATATAAAAGGAAAAATAAAAACGTGTATGAACCATCAGTTGGAGAGACCACTCATTTCAACCGGGGAAGCTACACTGGGTGCACTGCTAGGCTGGCCTGGCTGTGTAGCCGACGTGTGACGTCACATTTATTTAATTTTGCTCTGGCCCAATGACAGTAAAGCTTTGGCCAGTGTTGTGCCAGTTCACAGCTTTTCTGAACTAGTTCAAGTTCAGTTCATACATGCTCAAAGTGAACAGTTCACGTTCGAAGTTCTCAATTTTAATTCTGAACTAGTTCAAAGTTCAGTTCATTTTACTTTTTGCGAGATATTCAAATATTTTTTTCACTACGAGCTAGAAATCACAATACGTGGTATATATATATATATATATATATATAATTATATATTATATCCTGTACACTGCACAGGATGTTTTGACTCCAATGCAGACAAGATTTACATGGGTTTCAATGGGAACTGAGTTGTCCCATGCGCTGCAGAACGTGTGTCTATACTTTATGTCAAATGTAAACGGCCCTGTGTCACTGACTTACCCCTGTGTTTTCATCACGGCACATGTGAGTCCAACAACCAATGAATAGCACTAGCATATAGCACCGCACCGCAAGTACACTGAGTCGGGGTGCGTTCACAGACGGTGGAAACCGTAGGAATTTTTAGTTTTCGGGGGAAACAGTGCGGAGAATACAGGAGGGAGGAACTTTCTCTCGTTGCGTTTCAAAAGAGAAAACAGATTTCACTCAGTTTTAAATGGAAAACAAATTGTCTGCCGTTCATGACACATAATATGAACTAATTCACGTTCAAGTTCTTTATTAAAAAATGTGTTGCGTTCAGTTCAACGTTCACAAAAAAATGAGCGTGTTCAATGAACACGTTCTTTTGAACTCGTTCACGCACAACACTGGCTTTGGCCTGGGCCTTGCTCATTGGACCAGGCCACCAGGCAGGGTAGGAGTTTGCAAAGACCGTGAGGATGAAATTAAATTAAAAAAATAAAAATAAAGACCGTGATGATAGGGCAGGCCCAGGCCACTTTGACACGCAGGCCACCGGGAGATCTCCCGATGCTCCCGATGGCCAGTCCGGGCCAGGTGGCTAGCAATGTCGACTAGCTTACTCTCCGTGGCACACGTTGTGATGCGAATCTCCTCCAGTTTCTTATCATGGCTGTCAGACTTCTCCAATATAAGCGCATAGAGCTTAGCCAGCTCCCGTGCCACCTCACCAGGTACACTGGGAGAATCCGCAGCGGGCGCCTCCTCCATCCCAGAGCGTGGAGGAGAAGATGGAGGCCTTTGCTTGACGCATGCTAGCATCCTCGGTGCTTTTACTGCCCCCGATCCCCGTTGTCGTGGTCGTTTTGGATGCGCCTCTCGTGGTGTTCGGCATGATAATAGCCAATGGGAGTACTACTGCGTAGGAATGGTCGCGCCCTGTTGCATTAAAATATAAAATAAAGTGCGGGGAAGGCGCAGAGCGCTCTCAAGCAGCCATACTTGCCAAGCGCGTCACGTGACTCCCCGTAGCCGCTTGGTTCTGACCATTTTCTCTGCTCTGGTCCAAAGTAAAAAGGCTAAATGCTTCATTAGCATTTTTCTAAAAGTTAGCATTCCTCCCGTGAATTTTTGCCTGATCCGCTTGGTTCGGACCATGAATCCTCTCTGCTCTGGTTTGGACCAGTGTAAAACCATAAACACTGTACTGCAGCAACATCTCAGGCAGAAAAAAAAACTTTCAAAAGTAAAATTGTTATTTATTTTATACATTTAAAAAAATAATAAATGTTGCTAAACGGGAGAATGACAGAGAAAACAACAAAGATCATAACAATAAAGTAAAAAATTAAGTAAAATAAAATTAGAATAATAGTTGCGGGCCGGATCAAACGGCTCGGCGGGCCAGATTCAGCCCGCGGGCCGCCAGTTGATGATCAGCCGTATAAAGGATCAAACGACTACAATTTGACACAACTCACATCTTTGGGAAACAGATGATTTCCAACGACGATTTCTTTGGCGTAAGAAATGCGAGCGTTTCCAGGAACAACAGGATACATCCTAGAACAGAAAGACAATAACTCAAAACACAGAGACACAGAGAGAGAGAGACAGAGAGAGAGACGGAGAGAGATACAGAGAGAGACAGAGAGAGAGAGAGACAGAGAGAGAGACAGAGAGAGATACAGAGAGAGACAGAGAGAGAGACAGAGAGAGACACAGAGAGAGACAGAGAGAGAGAGACAGAGAGAGATACAGAGAGAGAGACAGAGAGAGAGACAGAGAGAGACACAGAGAGAGACAGAGAGAGATACAGAGAGACACAGAGAGACGGAGAGAGACACAGAGAGAGAGAGACACACAGACAGAGACAGACACAGAGAGACACAGACAGAGACACAGAGAGACACAGACAGAGACAGAGACACAGAGACACAGAGACACAGAGACACACAGAGACACAGACAGAGAGACAGAGACACAGAGAGACACAGAGAGACACAGACAGAGATAGAGACACAGACAGAGACACAGAGAGTCAGAGACACAGAGAGACACAGACAGAGACACAGAGACAGAGAGACAGAGAGACAGAGAGACACAGACAGAGACACAGAGAGAGACAGAGAGAGAGATAGAGAGAGACACAGAGAGAGACAGAGAGACACAGAGAGACACAGACAGAGACACAGAGAGACACAGACAGAGACACAGACAGAGAGACAGAGACACAGAGAGACAGAGACAGAGACACAGACAGAGACACAGACAGAGACACAGACAGAGACACAGACAGAGAGACAGAGACACAGAGAGACACAGACAGAGACACAGAGAGACACAGACAGAGACACAGACAGAGACACAGAGAGTCAGAGACACAGAGAGACACAGACAGAGAGACAGAGACACAGAGAGACAGAGACAGAGACACAGAGAGACAGAGACACAGACAGAGACAGAGACACAGAGAGACAGAGACAGAGACACAGAGAGACAGAGACAGAGACACAGACAGACACAGACAGAGACAGAGACACAGAGAGACAGAGAGACACAGACAGAGACACAGAGAGACACAGACAGAGACACAGAGAGATACAGAGAGAGATACAGAGAGAGAGACAGAGAGAGACACAGAGAGAGACCCAGAGAGAGACAGAGAGAGACAGAGAGAGACAGAGAGAGACAGAGAGAGACACAGACAGAGACACAGAGAGACACAGACAGAGACAGAGAGACAGAGACACAGACAGAGACAGAGACACAGAGAGACAGAGACACAGACAGAGAGACAGAGACACAGAGAGACACAGACAGAGACAGAGAGACAGAGACAGAGACACAGAGAGACACATGAGTGTCGGGCAGACAATCATCAAGGGAACAGTACATGGAGTAGGGATGTGAATCGGTGACCGTTTAACCGGTGGTTGACCGTCACAGCGTTAACCGGTCAAAGCTGTCGGTTAAAAAAACGAAAAGGGGGAGAGGGGAGGTTTTCTCATAACGCTATGTTAAGCCCTATTTGCACGATGTGACGAGCGGGTCTGTCTCTAGCTGTGTGCGCCAATGTATCAGTAAACTTTGGGCCGACTCTCATGCTGCACGCGCCACATATGCACGCACACATGCACACGCACACACGCGCGCACAGACACACACACGCACACACTTTCCCCCTCCACCAGGGCTCCATTGATACGTAACATCCACACGCATCATCTCTCCCCTCTGTTACCGCCTGCTAGTTGCACACTGGTGCGGGTCAGAACTACATTGGAGCTTACATTTACACACACGCACACGCACACACACTGTACACACACACACACATACCGGTCTGTCGCGCTCCTCTGTGTTACGGTGCCCAAAGGATCCTCGCAAATACGCGGCTCCAGTCAAACCTCATGGGAACATGTTTGTCCATGTGAACGAGCCGTCTTTTGCTTAAAAATGCTTTAACCCGCAGCACAGCAGAATGGGAAGATTAAAACAGCAGTTCTCTGTGCGCAAAGGTGCCGAAGCTGTTGCGGGTTTTGGCGCCGCTGTCTCTGCTCTGATCCAGTTGAATGCATAGCTGCACTTATGGAAAGTAAGCAGCTCGAAATGGCTGTTATTTCAAAGAACGTGGACTATTTTAAACTACGTAGTTAACCGGTTTCAACCGGTTAATGAGGCTCGTGGTCGGTCATGAAAATTCATAGTTTTTTACATCCCTGACATGGAGTAAAACATAAAACCAAACCAAGAGAACTAACAGATAAAATACAATATCAGTACAAATCTTGGTCTCACCGCAGTGTCTCTCTGATCACGGCCTTCATGAAGGGCATGCTGGTCATGTCCTCGCTGGTCGGTACTCTGCCTCCAGGGCAGACGCGGCTCACCTCCTGGAACAGCTGCTCCTGGATCTGTGGCTCTCGGGCCAAATGGTACAGAGTCCAGCAGATGGTGTTGGAAGTCTGGACAGAGAGAGGAGAGATGTGTGATCACAAACCATGTGATTCCCTGTTGTCTTGGTGCATTGTGGGTAGTGGTGTGAATTGGCCAAAAATAAGACGATTTGTTAGTGATTTTGTGATATTTGGGTCACAATTGAATGTTATTGTGATTCTTAACATATTGCGATACAGACGGTATTGTGATTTGATTCAGTGATATATTGCGATTCATGTTCCACATATTATTCAAAGACGCTGCGACAGTAAAACTTGAGCGTTTATAACGGTTTGGCCTTTTGTTTACATGGAGACGGTGTTGGACGTGTTGAGAATGCTAGAACTATATCAAGTCTGGTCTCCGTCTAACTCTTGTCTCAGTGACATTTATTATGGTCTGTAAATGAACTGAAGCAAACACTGAGGACCCAGGACCTTATCACAGACAAGACATCGTAGACAAAAACCTCAGATGGAAATGACAAGAGGAAACTCAAAGAAAACACTAAATTGAAACAGATTTAAAGTGGCAATATGTTATATATTTTCATGTAAAGTCATCATTAAAGGGCCCTAATCTGTCATAATAATCAACTGCTCTTTTCCAATACGTCTTTAACTGAAAACAGTAGTTCAGAGATATTTGAATTTCAAGATTAGTTTTACAGCCTCTAAATCTTGTTATTGCCACAGAACTAAAAACGGTCACTTTATGATTCTCAAATCATTAACGACAAAACAAGGAATAAACAAGGATTTCTATCAGGGCCTCAGTCAAAAAGCTGTTGGTTATAGATTTGTTGTTGACAAAACATGGAGCTGGATTTGTCTGCATATCTGGCAACCTGAGTCAGGGAGAGTGGGAGAGGTTGCAGTACCACTTTTGGCCAGATTTTTACATACTGCTCCTTTAAATATTGAAATACTTTGCTCTACTGCATCGATTTAATTGCGTGCACAAAATATGGCGACTGGTGTGTGTCGATAGTCCTGACCGTGTCGACCCCGGCCAGCAGCAGCTCTGTGATGCTGCCCAGGATCTCCTCCACACTCATGGTGTCGCTCAGCAGGAGGTGAGTGAGGTATGCTCCGTCCACCTCCTGCTCAGACTCCACCTGCTGCTCCAGCTCCTGCACCTTCTTCTGGATCAGCTCGTCTCCTTCACACACAACACAAACACACACACAAACACATGAGCCACGGCTTTAAAACGCACACATGATCCAGGATATTTAACAACTTTTATTGACATTTTTCTTTACTTCATCCACGTTTTAGTAGCTTACTTTCTCTCTCTCTGGTCTCTCTCTCTCTGGTCTCTCTCTGGTCTCTCTCTGGTCTCTCTCTGGTCTCTCTCTGGTCTCTCTCTGGCCTCTCTCTGGCTCTCTCTCTGGCTCTCTCTCTGGCTCTCTCTCTGGTCTTTCTTGCTAGCTCTCTCTCTCTGGTCTCTCTCTCTCTGGTCTCTCTCTGGTCTCTCTCTGGCCTCTCTCTGGCCTCTCTCTCTGGTCTCTCTCTCTCTAGTCTCTCTCTCTGGCTCTCTCTCTGGTCTCTCTCTCTCTGGTCTCTCTTGCTAGCTCTCTCTCTCTGGTCTCTCTCTGGTCTTTCTCTCTCTCTCTCTCTCTCTCTCTGGTCTCTCTCTGGTCTCTCTCTGGTCTCTCTCTGGTCTCTCTCTGGTCTCTCTCTGGTCTCTCTCTGGCTCTCTCTCTGGCTCTCTCTCTGGCTCTCTCTCTGGCTCTCTCTCTGGTCTTTCTTGCTAGCTCTCTCTCTCTGGTCTCTCTTGCTAGCTCTCTCTCTCTGGTCTCTCTCTGGTCTCTCTCTGGCCTCTCTCTGGCCTCTCTCTCTGGTCTCTCTCTCTCTAGTCTCTCTCTCTGGTCTCTCTCTGGTCTCTCTTGCTAGCTCTCTCTCTCTGGTCTCTCTCTGGTCTCTCTCTGGTCTTTCTCTCTCTGGTCTCTCTCTCTCTCTCTCTCTCTCTCTCTCTCTCTGGTCTCTCTCTGGTCTCTCTCTGGTCTCTCTCTGGTCTCTCTCTGGTCTCTCTCTGGCTCTCTCTCTGGCTCTCTCTCTGGCTCTCTCTCTGGTCTTTCTTGCTAGCTCTCTCTCTCTCTGGTCTCTCTTGCTAGCTCTCTCTCTCTGGTCTCTCTCTGGTCTCTCTCTGGCCTCTCTCTGGCCTCTCTCTCTGGTCTCTCTCTCTCTAGTCTCTCTCTCTGGTCTCTCTCTGGTCTCTCTCTGGTCTTTCTCTCTCTGGTCTCTCTCTCTCTCTCTCTTTGGTCTCTCTCTCACTTACCCATCTTGAAGAGGTAATCCCAGGAGGCCACAAACTTCCTGTAGACGGGCAGATAGGGCCAGAGGGAGCGGGGGAAGATGATGAGCAGCTGAGAGAGTCGGAACATTTCCCCCACAGAGAAGATGAAGTGTTGGGTGTCCTCTGGGATCTGCTCCAACATGCAGCCCATCCGGGTCTCGAACAGCACCGAGCAAATACCTGCACACGCAAACTATGATCGTTACAAAGACAGAACAAAGCATCACCTTTTCTGAGATTCGAACCAGGTATTACCAGTATTTCCTCTCACATAGACTGTATATACATACAGCACAGAGCAAAAGTTTGGACACACCTTCTCATTCTCGTTTTTCCAGTTTTTTGTTTTCATGGTTATAAAAATTGTAGATTCACACTAAAGGCATCGAAACTGAATTAACTCATGTGGAATTATGTACGTACTAAAGAAAAGTATGAAACAACTGTAAATACTGTATGTCTTATATTGGGGGGCGCGGTGGCTTGCACTCCCAATTCTTAGCAAGAAGGTCCAAAGTTCGAATCCCGGTCGGAACAGGGTCTGAGTGGAGATTGCATGTTCTCCCCATGCCTGCATAGGTTTCCTCCTGGTACTCCGGTTTCCCCTACCACTAAAGAAAAACATGCACACTAGGTTAAATCCTCCAGCTCTGGTCCTGACCAAGCAGTGGTCTCAACATCTGGAGATGTTGAGACCACTGCTCCTGATGTAAGCCTTAGCGGCATCAGGATGGATCAAATGCAGAGGATGAATTGCTCTACGGGGATTAATAAAGTGACGGTCAGTCCTGCATACAGTACAACCCAAAAGTTTCACATTTTCTCATTCAATGAGTGTCCTTTCTTTTCATGACTATTCCTCTCTCTAGGTTTCTGGCTCTCTGGTCTGGCTCTCTGGTCTGGCTCTCTGGTCTGGCTCTCTGGTCTGGCTCTCTGGTTTGGCTCTCTGGTCTGGCTCTCTGGTCTGGCTCACTGGTCTGGCTCTCTGGTCTGGCTCTCTGGTCTGGCTCTCTGGTTTGGCTCTCTGGTCTGGCTCTCTGGTTTGGCTCTCTGGTCTGGCTCTCTGGTTTGGCTCACTGGTCTGGCTCTCCGGTCTGGCTCTCTGGTCTGGCTCTCTGGTTTGGCTCTCTGGTCTGGCTCTCCGGTCTGGCTCTCTGGTCTGGCTCTCTGGTCTGGCTCTCTGGTCTGGCTCTCTGGTCTGGCTCTCTGGTCTGGCTCTCTGGTCTGGCTCTCTGGTCTGGCTCTCCGGTCTGGCTCACTGGTCTGGCTCTCCGGTCTGGCTCTCTGGTCTGGCTCTCTGGTCTGGCTCTCTGGCCTGGCTCACTGGTCTGGCTCACTGGTCTGGCTCTCCGGTCTGGCTCTCCGGTCTGGCTCTCGGGTCTGGCTCTCGGGTCTGGCTCTCCGGTCTGGCTCTCTGGGTTTCTGGCTCTCTGGGTTTCTGGCTCTCTGGGTTTCTGGCTCACTGGTCTGACTCTCTGGGTTTCTGGCTCTCTGGGTTTCTGGCTCACTGGTCTGGCTCACTGGTCTGGCTCTCTGGTCTGGCTCTCTGGGTTTCTGGCTCTCTGGGTTTCTGGCTCTCTGGGTTTCTGGCTCACTGGTCTGACTCTCTGGGTTTCTGGCTCTCTGGGTTTCTGGCTCACTGGTCTGGCTCACTGGTCTGGCTCTCTGGTCTGGCTCTCTGGGTTTCTGGCTCTCTGGGTTTCTGGCTCTCTGGGTTTCTGGCTCACTGGTCTGACTCTCTGGGTTTCTGGCTCTCTGGGTTTCTGGCTCACTGGTCTGGCTCACTGGTCTGGCTCTCTGGTCTGGCTCTCTGGGTTTCTGGCTCTCTGGGTTTCTGGCTCTCTGGGTTTCTGGCTCACTGGTCTGACTCTCTGGGTTTCTGGCTCTCTGGGTTTCTGGCTCACTGGTCTGGCTCACTGGTCTGGCTCTCTGGTCTGGCTCTCTGGGTTTCTGGCTCTCTGGGTTTCTGGCTCTCTGGGTTTCTGGCTCACTGGTCTGACTCTCTGGGTTTCTGGCTCTCTGGGTTTCTGGCTCACTGGTCTGGCTCACTGGTCTGGCTCTCTGGTCTGGCTCTCTGGTCTGGCTCTCTGGGTTTCTGGCTCTCTGGGTTTCTGGCTCTCTGGGTTTCTGGCTCTCTGGGTTTCTGGCTCTCTGGTCTGGCTCTCTGGTCAAGCCTATTTAATAGAAAAAAACAATATGTTTGTAATGGTTCAACATTACATCGTGCCCCCTCCCTTCCTTCACCGCGGTAAAGTCTGCGGTGATAGGGTCTGCACATTAAAAGCAGGAGGCCCATTTTGGCTGTTAATTAGGGTAAAAGTGGAAAGACAAGCTGCAGAGATTAGTCAAAATTCACTTTTAAAGCTTAATAAAAAAATAATATGAAGAGTTTTGCGACTGCTTTCTGTGCTGTTCACTGTGATGCCCTGTACAAGAGTACGCGGGGTCCTGATGACCCAGGCCCTGCTTTCACTGCATTCTCCCTGAAACATCTCGCCATCCTAGCTTTACTCCCCAAATATTTGTCTTGTTTTTTATTTATTTAGATCAAACAGGGAGGATGGTATTTAGGAACATTCAGGACGTAACGAGACAGGGCGGCACGGTGGCTGAGTGGATAGCACTCTCGCCTCTCAGCAAGAAGGTCCTGGGTTCGAATCCCGGTCGGACCAGGGCCTTTCTGAGTGGAGTTTGCATGTTCTCCCCGTGTCTGCGTAGGTTTCCTCCGGGTACTCCGGTTTCCCCTACCACTAAAAATATGCCCAATAGTTCTGGCATGTGCCTCCTGTACTGGCCCCGCTCCCATCTCTGTGTGGAGTGAGAGACAAATGCCCAAAATTAACAATTGTAAACCGCTTTGAGACTCAGATCTGCAGTGAAAAGGCGGTATATAAATAAAAAACTTAAACTTAACTTAATAACAATCTCGAGTAAGTCCAGAGTCTGAAGGAGGAGAATATTTTAAATTGCACTTTGAACTAAGCTTTGAACTTTAAATCTTTGAAACTTCCGCACTTAATATGTAGCAATATTCTTTTTGTAGACTTTTTAAGATTAAAATGAAGAGATCCTTTATTCATGCCACACTGGGGAAATGTCAGTGTTGCATCGCAGTTACAGAACAGTGGGAATGAGGAGCACACAGCTAAAAATACAAATAATCACAAATACAAATAATAATCACTTTATAATAAAATAAAATAAAATCTCTAACTTTATCATAATAAAGAAGCCAGTATAACATCTTTACCTTCAAAAGCAAACTTGTAGAGCTCATTGGCGAGGTCATGGACCACCGGCTGCTGCCCCCTGGAGGACAGGCTGAGGCACTGCACTCTGTGGAGGAAGTCCGTGACCACCAGGTTTATGGTGTCTGTGTACGACGACACGTGTTTGGGCTTCAGCAGGCGAGGGTTCAGGATACTGCGGATCCTCTGCCACTTCTCCCCCATCCTGAAAGAGACGGCAGCCATGAGGGAGAGGGGAGGAGATGGAGATGGGGGGGGGGGGTCTCTCAAGTCTCTCACATAACTGAATAAAGTGGAAAGTGAAGTGCATTTTTTGATATATGTAGAAATGCGTTGTTTCATGAAATATTCACCCGGGATCCTAATCTGTTCTGGTGCAGTGACGACGTTAATGTGACATTTTTTATTTGAAAGTCGAGTGTTTAAATTGTCGGCAGACTCATTTATTTAAATGAGAGCATTTGTGTTTGATTATGTCCATGTGCCTGATGTTGGCCTGTGTCTCTGTATTTGTGTTAATGGTGTCTTTTTAGCCCATGTGGGCGGGGCATCCTTGTATAAAAAGACAATATAATACAAAATATCTATCTATCCATCTATCTATCTATCTACATGTACAGTATCTATCTCTATCTATCTCTGGTCTCTATGATCTCTCAAGTCTCTTTATTTCTCGTGTCTATAAAGTAAGTAAGTAAGTAAGTAATATTTATTTATATACCGTCTTTCACAGACCAGAGTCACAAAGCGGTTTACAATTGTTATTTTTTGGGCATCTCACTCCACACAGAGATGGGAGCGGGGGCTCTCTGGTCTCTCTCTGGTCTCTCTCTGGTCTCTCTCTGGTCTCTCTCTGGTCTCTCTCTGGTCTCTCTCTGGTCTCTCTCTGGTCTCTCTCTGGTCTCTCTCTGGTCTCTCTCTGGTCTCTCCCTGGTCTCTCTCTGGTCTCTCTCTGGTCTCTCTCTGGTCTCTCTCTGGTCTCTCTCGACTCTCTCTCTTCTCTGCTCTCTCTCTCTTCTCTGCTCTCCCTATGCTCTGCTGTCTCTCTCTCTAGCCTCTCTCTCTCTCTGGTCTCTCTCTCTCTCTTGTCTCTCTCTCTCTTTATCTGCTCTCCCTGCTCATTCTCTGCTCACTCTCTGCTCTCTCTTCTCTGCTCTCTCTGCTCCCTCTGGTCTCCCTCACTCGGTCAGGGGCCCGTAGGCCTTGTTCCTCAGCTCCCTGTAGCTCCTCCAGTGGGGCATGTCGGTCCTAACAGGGTGGCGTCCCTCCTGCCTCAGCACCTCCTCGATCAGCTCTGCACTCGACACGTTCACCAGGAGCAGGGGGCCGAACGTGGACTTCCACAGAGGCCCCCAGAGCCGACTGTGCTCCACCTGAAGAGTTTGGGGACATATGACAACAATCACTTAGAATAAAAAAAAAATCATGCTTTGTGGTCATTCTTTGGCGTCTTTAGTAGTAAAAGACTGCCATCTAGTGGAGAAGTGGGCAATTACTTTGGTCACCTTACATTTCCACAAAACCTGCTACAGATTCAAATACAAGACAACATACAACATCTTTTATTTATTTTTTAAATCAGGCCTATCAAGAATTTTTTTTAATCTTTTAACCCTTCATGTATATTATATGATAATTTTGTTTTGTTTTGTTGTTGGTGGTTTTGTATTTTAATATGTAGCACTTTGAGGTTTCATGGAAATGTACAGTAAGGTGCTCTATAAATAAAATGAATAATTATTATTACTACTATTATCATCAAAAGTACATAAAATAACATGGGGTTAAATAAAACTAAAAGTTTTGTTCATGTAATATTTGAGAGATTAGTTTTTTGTCTTTCACCAGACTCTCTTGGTAACTATTTAACTCTTCTTCAGCGGGTCACGGGTCGACCTGCTGTGCTGGGTTTGGCCGGACACCAATGTCATCCGTGCGTGTGTAACTTTCTCTCATATTTTTTTTTACAATTTTTCACTGTATAATGGTCTCTCTCTGGCCTCTCTCTGGTCTCTCTCTCTGGTCTCTCTCTCTCTCTCTCTGGCATCTTTCTTTGTCTCTTTCTGGCCTCTCTCCCTCTGGTTTCTCTCTATCTCTGGCATCTCTCTTTGTCTCTTTCTGGCCTCTCTCTCTGGTCTCTCTCTCTCTCTCTCTGGCCTCTCTCTCTCTGGTCTCTCTCTCTCTCTGGCCTCTCTCTCTGGTCTCTCTATCTCTGGCCTCTCTCTCTGGTCTCTCTCTCTCTCTATCTCTGGTCTCTCTCTCTGGTCTCTCTTTCTGGTCTCTTTCTGCCCTCTCTCCCTCTGGTTTCTCCCTCTCTCTGGCCTCTCTCTTTGGTCTCTCTCTTTGGTCTCTTTTTGGCCTCTCTCCCTCTGGTTTCTCTCTCTCTCTGGCCTCTCTATCTGGCCTCTCTCTCTGGTCTCTCTCTCTCTCTCTCTGGTCTCTCTCTGACCTCTCTCTTTGGTCTCTTTCTGGCCTCTCTCCCTCTGGTCTCTCTCTCTCTCTCTCTCTGGCCTCTCTATCTGGTGTCTCTCTCTGGCCTCTCTCTCTTTGTAAATGTTTTATATACAGGAGACATGAAATCCACAAGAGAAGTCATTATCACATGTCAATCATATTATTCCAACCAAGTAATAACCTAAAACCCTCATCCTCAGGGAAGTTAATTTTGGCCTTTCTTTGCATTATGGTTTCTGTGGGAACTGCCTCTAGCAATATCACAGCTGCTAAACCTGTTCAACCACAAAAGTGGAAATTTAAACGTTATAACATTTAGAGTCAAGATTTGAATAGGATAAATTAACCGTCCATCCATCCATTTTCTTCCCCTTAATCCATTTCTGGGTCGGGGGGTTGGCAGTCAGAGCTGCACCCAAGTCACAGAGCACCAGCCCCTCATTGATCCTCCTGCAGGCGGTGAGTCCACAGGAGGATGGCTGCTCTGTCAGTGTGAGCATAGCCATGATCTTTTTCAGCGGGGGCCTTGGGCAAAGTGGGGTTAAGTGACTTGCCCAAGGACAAGGACAGTGGGAGTTGGTGGAGAAGGTGTCGAGGTGGGAATTGAACCCACGACCTTCAGGCCTAAAGGCTCTACCAACTGAGCTACTGTCGCCCCCATGATTAAACCGTGTTGTGGCGAAATTAGTAGTGTATCTGTCCAATAGGCTTTAAAGCTGGGGTATCTAACTTAAACCCTGGCCTTGGTCTTGTTCTACCCTACCTGACTGATGCCGCTTTTCCAGAGTAACGGTACAGTACGGCTATTTTACATTTCCACTAGTGTTGGGGTCTGGGTTTTCGTACTTTTTTTGTACCAGCTCGCCTGTGGTTCCAGCCGCGCCGCAACAATACCATGAGGTGACGTCGGCCGACTGCCTCACACTGATTGGTTAACGAGTGTCGTCACTGGAAGCGACGTCTGACCCTTTGGTTAAAAAAACTCAACCCTGCGATCTTTAAAACTGGACTCAAACGTACTCTGGACTTTGTAAACTATTGGTTTTGCACTTTACTTTGTTTTTAATAAATCTGTGATTGTATCAAGACTTGGTTTCATTGAGTTGTCTGAACACGTGCAGAAAAGGGGTTCAAAAGTTACGATTTCTTACCATTATGTACTTTTACTACATACATTATATTTGTCAGTAAATCAGTATAACATTGGTCAATTTATGAACAAGGATGGAGACATTTGGAAAATACAAAAAGGTTTTAATTTTGGTCAAAATAAATGTTTAGGCATGTGACATGTCTGTGTCAGACGGACTTTCAACTCGCACCTCCGGGAGAGTTTCTCCCAGGTCCCGGCGGAGGAGGGGGACATGGAGTCCGAGTGGACCATGTTCTCTGCCTCAATCGCTGATGCGGCGGCTCGTAGCTGTGGTCGCAAGGTCTCTGGTGCTGGTCCCGGCGGCAACCCCCGAACCCGGTGGTGGACACCGGCAGTAAGGGATGCTGTCAGGCTGAAGAAGGAGTCCTATCGAGCCATGATGGTTCGGGGGACTCCTGAGGCAGCTGTCCAGTACCGGCAGGCCAAGCGTGCCGCGGCCCGGGCTGTTGCAGAGGCAAAAACCCGGGACCGGGAGAGGAGTTCGGAGAGTCCATGGAGCATGACTATCGGTCGGCCTCGAAGAGATTCTGGCAAACCATCCGGCGCCTCAGGAGGAGGAAGCAGTTCTTTGCCAACACCATGTACGGTGCGGGTGGAGAGCTGCTGACCTCGACTGGGGATATTGTCGGGCGGTGGAAGGAATACTTTGAGGTTCTCCTCAATCCCCCCGTCACGTCCTCTGTTACAGAGGCAGAGGCTGAGGATGTTGGGGCGGATACATCCATCTCCCTGGCTGAGGTCACCAAGGTGGTTGGTAGCCTCCATGGTGGCAAGGCTCCGGGTGTGGATGAGATCCGCCCTGATTATCTAAAGTCTCTGGATGTTGTAGGACTGTCTTGGCTGACACGTCTCTGCAACATCGCGTGCCGATCGGGGGCAGTGCCAATGGAGTGGCAGACCGGGGTGGTGGTCCCTCTCTACAAGAAGGGGGACCGGAGGGTGTGTTCCAATTATCGTGGGATCACACTCCTCAGCCTCCCCGGTAAGGTCTACTCCAGGGTACTGGAGAGGAGGTTACGGCCGATGGTCGAATCTCGGATCCAGGAGGAGCAGTGTGGTTTTCGTCCCGGTCGCGGAACACTGGACCAGCTCTATACTCTCCATCGGATACTCGAGGGTTCATGGGAGTTCGCCCAACCTGTCCACATGTGTTTTGTGGATTTGGAGAAGGCGTTCGACTGTGTTCCCCGGGGTATCCTTTGGGGGGTTCTCCGGGAGTACGGGGTCGGGGGTCCTCTGCTGAGGGCCATCCGATCCCTGTATGACCGGAGCCAGAGCTGTGTTCGCATTGCCGGCAGTAAGTCAGACCTGTTCCCGGTGAATGTTGGCCTCCGACAGGGCTGCCCTTTGTCACCGGTTCTGTTCACTGTATTTATGGACAGAATATCTAGGCGCAGCCAGGGGTCGGAGGGGGTCCGGTTCGGAGACCACAGGATTTCATCTCTGCTGTTTGCGGACGATGTTGTCCTGTTGGCTCCAACGAACCAGGACCTGCAGCATGCACTGGGGCGGTTTGCAGCCGAGTGTGAAGCGGCTGGGATGAGAATCAGCACCTCCAAATCCGAGGCCATGGTGCTCGACCGGAAAAAGGTGCCTTGCCCTCTGCAGGTGGGTGGAGAGGTCCTTCCTCAAGTGGAGGAGTTCAAGTATCTCGGGGTCTTGTTCACGAGTGAGGGAAGAATGGAGCGTGAGATTGACAGGCGGATCGGTGCAGCGTGCGCAGTGATGCGGTCGCTGTATCGGACCGTTGTGGTAAAAAGGGAGCTGAGCCGAAAGGCAAAGCTCTCAATTTACCGGTCAATCTTCGTTCCCTCCCCCACCTATGGTCATGAGCTTTGGGTAATGACCGAAAGAACGAGATCGCGGATACAAGCGGTCGAAATGAGCTTCCTCCGCAGAGTGGCTGGGCGCTCCCTTAGAGATAGGGTGAGGAGCTCAGTCACACGGGAGGAGCTCGGAGTAGAGCCGCTGCTTCTCCACGTCGAGAGGAACCAGTTGAGGTGGCTCGGGCATCTGTTCCGGATGCCTCCTGGACGCCTCCCTGAGGAGGTGTTCCGGGCACGTCCCACCGGGAGGAGGCCCCGCGGAAGACCTAGGACACGCTGGAGGGACTATGTCTCTCAGCTGGCCTGGGAACGCCTTGGGGTCCCCCCGGACAAGCTGGAGGAAGTGTATGTGGATAGGGAAGTCTGGGCGTCTCTGCTTAGACTGCTGCCCCCGCGACCCGACAACGGATAAAGCGGAAGAAAATGGATGGATGGATGGATGGATACTTGCTGTTAGTCTGTCACTCTGTGTCCTGAAAAGGTTTTAGGAGCCAGTTCTGCAGGGGGTAAGCAGAGTCCCCTCGGAGGTAATAACAGCTATCACCGCACCAATGTTACTAGTTACGAGGAGATACTAGGAGGTACTATTTCTGATGGAAAAGCACCCAAACTCTGCCGTACCGTGCTGTGCTGCACCGTACCGTTACTGTGGAAGAGCGGCATGAGAGTGATTACAGGAAGCCATGGTTACCAAGGAATTTCCCTGGATGGTTTGTTGTGACAAGGTACTGCATACTAAAGCGTAATGAAAAACACAATCAGGTAGTTTAAAGCCAAGTAGACTAGAGTAGAGTAGGGCCTAGTACAGTAGAGCAGAGTAGAGTATAGTACAGTAGAGCAGAGTAGAGTATAGTACAGTAGAGTAGAGTAGGGCCTAGTACAGTAGAGCAGAGTAGAGTATAGTACAGTAGAGCAGAGTAGAGTATAGTACAGTAGAGTAGAGTAGGGCCTAGTACAGTAGAGCAGAGTAGAGTAGAGTATAGTACAGTACAGTAGAGTATAGTGCAGTACAGTAGAGTAGAGTAGAGTAGAGTATAGTACAGTAGAGCAGAGTAGAGTAGGGCCTAGAACAGTAGAGCAGAGTAGAGTAGAGCATAGTACAGTACAGTAGAGTATAGTACAGTAGAGCAGAGTGGAGTAGGGCCTAGTACAGTTGTGCAGAGTATAGTACAGTAGAGCAGAGTAGAGTACAGTATAGTACAGTAGAGCAGAGTAGAGTACAGTATAGTACAGTAGAGCAGAGTAGAGTATAGTACAGTAGAGCAGAGTAGAGTAGGGCCTACTACAGTAGAGTACAGTAGAGCAGAGTAGAGTATAGTACAGTAGAGCAGAGTAGAGTAGGGCCTAGTACAGTAGAGCCAAGTAGAGTTGGTGGAAACGAGGCTATCAAACTCAGGTACCCCAGCTTTAAATAAGTCCCATATAAACAGTGATTTACCTGCAGCTGATGCGCGTGTTGGAAATATCCTTTGACAAACAGCCAGTATAACGTGTTCATGAACGAGGGTCCGTGTAAATCCTCCAGAGTCTTTAGTTTGGGCCTGTTTTCCACCACGGAGCTGCTGCCGGTGCTGGTGCTGGTGGCCGTGGAGGCATGGTGCTTATGGTTCTTCTCCCCCCCCGCGGGATCCTGGTTCTTCGCCCCCGGGATCAGCCTCCTCTGCCCGGATGGAGCTGGTCTCGCGCCCCGGTGCCATGGAGCGACCCAGCACCGCCGCAGCATGACGTCTGTGCAAAAAGCGACTCCTCAAAGCAAAATAAAAACAAGAGAAAAACAATCTACAATAGGGTTAGTTTCTGGAGGAAAAAAGGTACAATAGCGCTTTGATTGAAAGAATACGCAGGTTGAAATAGTTCCAACACACGCAGACTTTGAACTGTAGAGAGAGCGAGGAGTTTAGAGGCAGAAGAAGACAGACATGGGAATTGGGAATGGGATTTTAAAACACGAAACTAAGTCACATTTTCAGAGATTTGCTGTGTCTTTCTGCAGCAGAGAAATGCTTTGGATATATGTGAGAAACAGATGACATGCGGTTTAATAACGAAATGCCACTTTATCAAAACAATGGGCGTGGCTAAAGAGAGAGAGTAGCGTAAATAGATCTTAAAGGTACAGGGAAAACGTTAGAGATTGTTTTATTTTATTTTTATTTTTTTTACCAGGGATCTATTACTGTATAATATCGGATTTTACATGACAATGTGAACGTATGTGGATATCTATGGGTTTAGGTTAAGTACTTTGTAATTATTTATTTTGTATTTTTTAATATAGACAACAAAACAGACAGATACATGAACATTCAACAAGAAAACAAATTCTTGAAATACATGAATTCAAGCAGGTTTTAAAGCTACAGATGCACAACAAGTCTAATGGTGCTTTCAGACCGGATCATGCGTAGTGTCGGGTTTCAATGCAAAGTCTATGGTGACGAGCGTTCGGCCGTCGCAACGCACAGACCGCTCGGTTCGCACGAACGGACTGTTCAGTAGAGAAGCACGGACTTGGCGGGAAAGTGAAAAGGGAGGAGCAGGAGCGAAAAATCAACGCCCACAGGAGATGGATTCTGCTCATCCTTTCCTTGGGACGTTCGTGCAGCAACCAATCAGAGAGCAGCAAAGACTGAAAATACTCATAAACAGCCAAAACAGGACCCACACCAGTCTTCACCATAACTCAATCCAGGGTTGACAATGGGGGACTCTGTGCTTGTGAAAATATGTGTTGTCATGCTCTCGTGACCTTATGCAACTGCTCCGAGTGTGTTCGCCGATGCGGAAATTCCGTTTAGTAATATGAAAAAACGTATGGCGCACCTCCGTGAACACATACTACTGTTATATAAAGCCCGTGGAAGGTTTCTGTTCAAAGACACGCTGCAAAGCTGCGTATTGGAGAATATCTGTACACAAGAAGCCGCTAGCATAGCTCTGTTAGCATCAGAGCCGGCCGGCTACTTCCGGTACTTCCGGCTCGCGTCAGGACGTTCTGGTGTGAAGACCTCTGCGTCTGAAAACTAGAGAATGCGTGTCTGGTGAGCGGGGCTTCAGCGTTTCAGCGTTGGCGGTGTGAAAGCCCCGTAAGGAATAAGGACGAGATACGGTTGACAGAAGTTTAAACATAGACTTGAGAATGTTAGATTATTCATTTCATGTCGTAGAGTTCTAACTAATATTTTTAAGTAGAAAACGAATAGAGTTCCAGAGAGCAGAGGGAGAGAGAAAGAGAGAGAGCAGAGAGAGAGAGAGAAAGAGAGAGAGCAGAGCGCAGTGAGAGAGAGAGAAAGAGAGAGAGAGAGACCAGAGAGCTAGACATGAGAGACCAAAGAGAGTAGAAAGAGAGCAGGGAAACAGCAGATAGACCAGCGAGAGAGAGAGAGAGAGAGAGAGACACCAGAGAGCGGGACCAGAGAGACCAGAGAGAGAGACCAGAGACCTGGACCAGAGAGAGAGCGAGAGAGAGAGAAGAGAGAGGTGAGAGAGACCATTAAGAGAGAGAGAGACCAGAGAGAGATACAGAGAACAAGTGCAGAGGAAGAGAGAGAGAGACCAGAGAGAGGGGGAGACCAGAAAGTAAGAGAATGAGAGCAGAGAGAGGACAAAGAGAGAGAGAGCAGAGAGAAACCAGAAAGAGAGAGAGAGACCAGAGAAAGCAGAGAGAGACCAGAGAAACCAGAAAGAGAGTGCAGAGAGATTTTTAGTCACTTCCTCGTCCCATTGTTCCATACAGTCATATCGTGTATAGAGAGCTTTGCCCTGTTGCTTATTTGGACCAGAGCCATCAGAAAACCAACTCTGGATTAAAGGAACACAGAGAACTCTCACTCAGCAGATCATTGATGACGGTGCTGAAACGAAAACCATGAGATCAAGACGTTTTATGATCTGAACATTTGGTCCCTGTTCACGGCCACAGAATACAAAATAGCACTTTTGGCTTTTTGAAATCACACTATGAAGAAAATAAAAGAGATAAGAGAGAGAACAGAGAGAGACTTGAGAGAGAACAGAGAGAGAGAGGCCATAGAGAGAGAAAAGAGTGAGAGACCAGAAAGAGAGACCAGAAAGAGAAACCAGAGAGAGACCATATAGAGAACAGAGAGAGAGAGACCAGAGCAAGAGAGATCAGAGAAAAATACCAGAGAGAGAGATGCGAGAAAGAGTGATCAGAGAGAATCCAGATATCAGAGAGAGAACATAGAGAGAGACCAGGGAGAAAGACCATAGAGAGAGGTAAGAGAGAAACAAGAGAGACCGACCACAGAGAGATGTTTGCAAAAAGACTAGGTTGTGAGGTGGGTGAAATGAGTTGTTGTGACACAGCAGCCCGGGTCTCTCAGTTTAGAAGGAAAGGGATCCAGAACAACCTGAACTCAAGTCAATATAAAACAGACATGTGTGTGCGTAATGTGAGCCCGTATTTCTTCATCACTCTTCATCAAATATTAACCAGCTTTCAGGATACAGACCGTCGCTCATGTAAACTTAATTATAAACAAGTAGAAATATGTTTTATATTAGTGAATGATACTAGTTCTAAGGATGTAGAAGTTGGCTCCAGTCTTTTGCGCAATATTTTAAGCTAATTAAGACTTAACTGTGGCTTATAGTAAACTGAAACTGAAGGAGGACATCATCAGAATGAGACGGTGACATCATCAGAGGGGGACGGTGACATCATCAGAAGGAGGCAGTGGCCCCGTCCCAATACTCACTCTTCCACCCTCGAGCCCCTCATTTGCCCGTTCCCGATGATGGGTGCGAGTGCGTAGGGTGTCCCAATTCTCCAACGAGGTCTTTGGCCCCGCCCCCTTAGCGCCCCTGATCCACACTTCGCCGTAGTCTGTATCTAAGCGGACTCTGGCGAAGGATATTGCCCATAATTCTTTGTGGTACACACCAAAACTTTGGGAAAATGCATTTAAGTGTAAGTTTTGAAATACAGTATATACAGTATGCTGTATGTGTGTAAATACGTTTTTCTGTTACTTGGAAAGAAGCATACATTTATTTACGGACATTCTATGCTAAGAATTTAATAACTTTTTTAAAGCAAGCATTCATATAACATTCAATATAAACTTTACTTAGTACAAGTATAAAAACTGACCAGATAACAGTTAGTTACCCACATTTAATTTAAATTACACAGTTATCTCAAATGACCAAAAACCTATACATTTATTTTAACGTGTGTGGAGCAACTCATTTTGTTTCCCAAAGGGTCAGACAAAATGACCTTTAATTTTTCTTAAGTTTAGGTCTGAAAATGACCATCTCTTGACGAGTCGATGACGTAACCTGCACTGTCCCAATTCTGCCTTTTTTGCACGCTTGTAACCTAGATCATAAACGGAATTGGGACGAAACCGGAAGTAACACTTTCCAATTAGTTTAAGACTAACAAGTCCTTAAGTGGTGACTGGTTAAATTTTAGGTGTCTGAGTAAGATGGTTAAGGTTAGGGTTAAGGTGGGTCTGAGTAAAGATGGTTAAGGTTAGGGTTAAGGTGGGTCTGAGTAAGATGGTTAAGGTTAGGGTTAAGGTGGGTCTGAGTAAGATGGTTAAGGTTAGGGTTAAGGTGGTCTGAGTAAGATGGTGAAGGTTAGGGTTAATGTGGTCTGAGTAAGATGGTTAAGGTTAGGGTTAAGGTGGTCTGAGTAAGATGGTTAAGGTTAGGGTTAAGGTGGTCTGAGTAAGATGGTTAAGGTTAGGGTTAAGGTGGGTCTGAGTAAGATGGTTAAGGTTAGGGTTAAGGTGGTCTGAGTAAGATGGTGAAGGTTAGGGTTAAGGTGGGTTGGGGTTATTTTATGGGAATGGCTGGTTAAGTTTAGGCATAAATAGGTAGTTTGTTATATTTACTTCCGCTTCCGTAAATTATCTACTGCTGACCATTGGGACAGGGCCAGTGCAAGCCCCGGCAATCCAAGATGGCGCCCTATTCAAATAAATGGTTGTGCTCAGTGGCCCTTTGTGACGGCATGGGGGCTGAAAGATTAGTCGCCTGGAACTCGCAAAGATCTATGGGAAACTCGCCTGTATTTGGGCATCGTCTGGTGGTCCTGGTTCTGTGCAGTGGATGATCTCCCATGATGCATAGCGCCAAACATGCGTGTGTGGGTCTCACACCGGGTCTCACACACGTGCACAGAGGGGCTCTGCCGCGCTCTGACCAATCAGAGCAGTTCATTAGAGCGAGAGTCAGATGAGCAGAGTTTGTGGCACTAAAGTGTGGATTTAAACAAAACTGAAGGATTTAAGAAGAAAAAAAGTTCAGGATGAGAAGGGACACTAAAATCCCCACAAAATCCGGCCTTTATGAAAGCTATAGTTTCTCTGTCAGCTGAGGTTGAGCTGTTTTAATATGCATTGAGATCTATGGGGAAAATTTCTGGGTAGCCCACGTGAATTTAGTCTGGTTCAGTCTGCAGTACCGCGAGAATCCCCGAGCACATGAGTTATTCAGCTACAAGCTAGTAATACCCTATCCAGTTATTATAATAGATCCATGGGCCAGTGTCATCGTCAAAGGGGGACAATGACCTCATCAGAGGAGGACTGTGACATCATCAGAGGAGGACAGTGACATCATCAGCGGGGGACAATGGGGGACAATGCCCGCCGCATGCGGAAGTGACGTCACGATGCCTACGAACCATGCCTACGTGGCCTGATGCCTACCAATGGACACAGCTACAGACATCAGACGCTCTGGTCGTTTCATGACTCTTTATTAGATCTGCATGTTTATGACAATAATACAGAAGAGAGGTGTGCTACAGAAATGCACACACACACACACACACTTACACGCCCACACACCCACACACACACCCACACACACACACACACACACTGCAGTATGTAAAGCAGGGAGTCCCAGGTCTCACCCCACAGAGGACACAGATGGACATACAGACGACTGGTGATGAGACCACAACACTGTTCTTCTAGAGTAGACCTGTTCACCTCGAGGCCAAGGGAATAGAACAGGGGCCTCAAATCAGACCAGGGGCCCCAAACACTCTGATCGGCCCTTCTCATTGAACAATTTTGTCTTGTTTAGTCCTGGTTTTGAGATGGTATTAGAAGGACTAGTTTAGAACAAGTCTGGTGCTAGATATTTACTGGTTCACTATATTTGTAGTAAGTAAGTAAGTAATCTTTATTTATATACCGCCTTTTCACTGCACATCAAAGTCTCAAAGCGGTTTACAATTGTTATTTTTGGGAGTGGGGGTGCCAGTACAGGAGGCATTTGAGAGAAACCTATGGATTTTTGATGTCATAAAATCAATCATATCAATAAAATCCTGTGGGACCAAAGAGGCCGAGAGAGAGCATCAGTATCGAGTGTTGTGTATCAAACTCAATCATTATTATATAACTGATTATATGTCCACTGAACCAGGCCAGTGTGTTCTGTGGCTCTAGAACATGTGGAGCAGTCTGCTCTAGAACATGTGGAGCAGTCTGCTCAAGAACATGTGGAACAGTCTGCTCGAGAACATGTGGAACAGTCTGCTCGAGAACATGTGGAACAGTCTGCTCTAGAACATGTGGAACAGTCTGCTCTAGAACATGTGGAGCAGTCTGCTCTAGAACATGTGGAACAGTCTGCTCTAGAACATGTGGAGCAGTCTGCTCTAGAACATGTGGAACAGTCTGCTCTAGAACATGTGGAACAGTCTGCTCTAGAACATGTGGAGCAGTCTGCTGTAGAACATGTGGAACAGTCTGCTCTAGAACATGTGGAGCAGTCTGCTCTAGAACATGTGGAACAGTCTGCTCTAGAACATGTGGAGCAGTCTGCTCTAGAGCATGTGGAACAGTCTGCTCTATAACATGTGGAGCAGTCTGCTCTAGAACATGTGGAGCAGTCTGCTCTAGAACATGTGGAACAGTCTGCTCTAGAACATGTGGAGCAGTCTGCTCTAGAACATGTGGAACAGTCTGCTCTAGAACATGTGGAGCAGTCTGCTCTATAACATGTGGAGCAGTCTGCTCTAGAACATGTGGAGCAGTCTGCTCTAGAACATGTGGAACAGTCTGCTCTAGAACATGTGGAGCAGTCTGCTCTAGAACCCGGGACCTCCCTGCTCTGCAGTGTATAATGTCACAACACACTGGGATCATGCTAATTACAAAAAATATATATTTTAAGGCAAAATGATACAGTTGAGTGACATGCTTGAATGCTGTTCAGTGAGATTACTAAAACTACAGTTACTAGAATCGACACGTCGTCCAAGAGCTGCCTTTGTAGAAGTTTCAACATTCTCACACTTTTAAGCTCCAGACCCGGTCCTGACAGAACTCTGCTTCTCTGGAACTCAAACATCCTCCTAATGTCCACATCTCTGTGCGGAGATGAACCAAAAACTGATTGTCATTTAAAAAAATCAAGCTCTTTGATTAAAAAGTACTTTTTCAATGATTGGAGATGTCTCTCAGACTTCCAGAGAATCAGTCGTCCTGATCACACACACAACAGATGTTTAGAACTCTTTTCTCTTATTAACGATGTAATGTTTATATGAGCAAAAGCACAAAGTGTATAACAGAAAATAAGAAGACATGAAGGAAGCAAAGAGTAAAAGTGAGAGTGTTTCTGATGCCTTCTGCTCAAACAAACTGAATCTGCAAAAATAAATAAACTTGACCTTGACCTAGCAACATTGTAAGGGCCCCTAGCAACACTGTGAGGGCTCCTAACAACATTGTAAGGGCCCCTAGCAACATTGTAATTTCCCCTAGCAACACTGTAAGGGCACCTAGCAAATTGTAAGGGCCCTCTAGTAACATTGTAAGGGAACCTAGCAACACTGTAAGGGCCCCTAGCAACATTGTAAGGGCCCCTAGCAACACTGTAAGGGCCCCTAGCAACACTGAGAGGGCTCCTACCAACATTGTATGGGCCCCTAGCAACACTGTGAGGGCCCCTAGCAACACTGTAAGGGCCCCTAGCAACACTGTAAGGGACCGTAGCAACAGTGTACGGGCCCCTAGCAACACTGTAAGGAATCTTGTGGCTGTTACTGACCAAGAACTCTCCTTCAGAACACATGTAAAACAAACTAAATATGCTGTTTTGTATTTCCTGATGGTTCCTAAGTGAAAATAAAATCCTCACCCCGTCCATGTTAAGGAAGCAGACACAGTGTCCTAATTCAAGGTCCGGCTTAAAACAGTCCTCTTTACTTCAGCAGATGGTTAGCGTATACAACCTAAGTCTAAAAAAAAGACAATTGTAGGTCAAGCTGTGTATGGAGCCCCCTGCTGGAGACTAATGCACAACACCTTCCACCATGCCTGGGAAACGCCTTAATCCTGCAAACCGGGGACTCCGTCCTCCTTCTACAGTCCTGGAACCACAGCCTCAGTCCTGGGTCTACAGCCTCAGTCCTGGATCTACAGCCTCAGTCCTGAGCAGGCCCGTCCTAAGGGCTGTGCGACCTGTGCCGTCGCACAGGGCCTCGCACCACACAGGGGCCTCGCAATCTTCCTTCCTTTTATTTTATTTTATAAATACACTAGTTCAAGGGTCCCCAAAGGGCAGACTGCACTCCAAATTTGGAACCCTAAACCCCTTTCTCTGGACCTCTTTGATTTCGTTTGATCAAAAGAACATTTTTACAAGTAAAGTCAAATTTTCACCAAAAGCGATTTGTAAACAGGCAGGCGCGCGGGCAGCTATGTATGCAACGGGTCCTCCGAAAAAACTGTCAGATAACTTTAGCAGTGTCTGAGTGAGATACAAAGAAAGTAACGGGAATGATCGCAGTGTAGGAGAGATGGATACTCGCGGAGGAGGAGCAGCGAGACAGGTGTGAGCAGAGGAGCAGACCCCTTTGTGTGAGCAGAGGAGCAGACCCCTTTGTGTGAGCAGAGGAGGAGGAGGAGGATCAGCGGTGTGACAGGTGTGTGAGCGCTGCTATTGCCAATGTTTAGTCCGAATATCCACATCAAAAACATATTTTTAAAAGCATTAGCAAACACACTGTATGTCTAGCTTTAGCCCAGCTGGAGTGTTTTTGTTGTGGTCAGAGTGTGTGGAGGAGGAGGTGAAGAGTATTTTGTTGTTGTCAGTGTGGAGGAGGAGGAGTGTATGTTGTCAGAGTGTGTGGAGGCATGGCAAAAACGTTATTTGATGAGAAAAAAATAATATTGACTCCGCCTCATAGCCATTTTGGCGCATTTTGCCAAAATCTAACTATTAGAAGAAAAAGACTCCTTTTGGTTCAATCTTTTGAGTTGCTCTACCATTTTGCCACAGGACGAAAGAGACATGTCAGCTAAAAAGACCGCGACCAATATTGCACGTAGAGTGTGTGTGCGTGTGTACGTGCGCGCGCCAAACGCTGCATAGGAGCGAAGACACTCGGTTACACGCGTGCTGATCTCGTCAAGCACCGCGCGAGGTGGTGCTGAATTCATGTCAAAGATTATAACAGGAAAAACTTTCCTCAGATCTGGGAAAAAAGTGTCAGGGCAGGGCCTCGCGTTTCGAGTTCGCACAGGGCCTCGCACCCCCCTTGGGACGGGCCTGGTCCTGAGTCTACAGCCTCAGTCCTGGATCTACAGCCTCAGTCCTGGATCTACAGCCTCAGTCCTGGATCTACAGCCTCAGTCCTAGATCTACAGCCTCAGTCCTGAGTCTACAGCCTCAGTCCTAGATCTACAGCCTCAGTCCTGGGTCTACAGCCTCAGTCCTGGGTCTACAGCCTCAGTCCTGGATCTACAGCCTCAGTCCTGGATCTACAGCCTCAGTCCTGGATCTACAGCCTCAGTCCTGAGTCTACAGCCTCAGTCCTGGGTCTACAGCCTCAGTCCTGGATCTACAGCCTCAGTCCTGGGTCTACAGCCTCAGTCCTGGGTCTACAGCCTCAGTCCTAGATCTACAGCCTCAGTCCTGGGTCTACAGCCTCAGTCCTGGGTCTACAGCCTCAGTCCTGGGTCTACAGCCTCAGTCCTGGGTCTACAGCCTCAGTCCTGGGTCTACAGCCTCAGTCCTGGGTCTACAGCCTCAGTCCTGGGTCTACAGCCTCAGTCCTAGATCTACAGCCTCAGTCCTGGGTCTACAGCCTCAGTCCTGGATCTACAGCCTCAGTCCTAGATCTACAGCCTCAGTCCTGGGTCTACAGCCTCAGTCCTAGATCTACAGCCTCAGTCCTGGGTCTACAGCCTCAGTCCTGGGTCTACAGCCTCAGTTCTGGGTCTACAGCCTCAGTCCTGGGTCTACAGCCTCAGTCCTGGATCTACAGCCTCAGTCTTGGATCTACAGCCTCAGTCCTGGGTCTACAGCCTCATATGTCTTTGTATGTCCCTGTCTGGAAAATGAATCGCATAAACAACGAATAAACAAAGCAAGACAAATATTTTCTAATTCCAACTAATATTTTCAGTCAATATTGGTGGAAACTTTAAAGTGGTTTTCAACATTCAGATGCAGAGGGCAGTGTTCAGAATGTGAGTTTACACAGACACACACACATGCATGCACACATGCACACACAGACAGACAGGCACACTCATATGGATACACACACGCACATACAGACACACACATGGACAGACAGACGCACACACACACACACACACAGACAAGCACACTCATATGGACACACACACATACATGCACGCACACACATGGACACACACCCACATTTACAGCTGTCAAATTCAGATGAAAATCAGCGCATAACATCTGTTGTGTCGGTGCGTTATATTTATAAGAACAGATTTTTTTCCCTGTGAACTCATTTTTACAATACAAAAAAATACCATAATTTAAAACTTCCAACATTATGAAACAAATGATTTTCCTAACACAATTTTGAAGTCACCCATCACATGTGTGCGTCCTAACCCTATGTATGTGAGCAGGAGGCACACGGCCTGGAGTCCTACGAACAGTCTTATATCCTCATAGTTTCATATTTAGAACAGGATTGGTCACAAAGCAAATAGCAACATGGTCACGACACCAAAAGCTGCAGCTCACCATGTCCCCTCTTCACGGGCCCCTACGACCCCGGCCCCTACGGCACCGGCCCCTACATCACATGTGTGCCCTTCTGCCCTGCACGGTCAGACTGAATATTCTGACTTTTGTCTTTGGAGCGTGGTCTACGGTTTGTTTTCTGGACTATATAAACAGCAGGCTGGTTTCTACGTAATATTGTGAACTACAACAAACATGGTTCTAGATTTAGTGTCTGTGAGATGGGCAGAGGGTCCATGTCCTCAGCGAGTCTCGGATGAGACCATCCGAGTCGTGCCTTAGTCTTGGTTCATGCTGACAATCTTCAGGCGTCCTCGCTCTCTGTAGCCTCCTCCTCCTCCTCTTCTTCTTTAACAACACCTGGCCCCGCCCCTGGAATAGAATTAAATAATAGAATTAAATGGGAGACAATCTTTATTGTCTGCCAAGACATGGATCTTCACACATCACATAAAAAGAGAAACAACTGAAGAAAAATCTTCAATAGTACAGCCATTCCCAAACTCAGTAACACCGAGGCCCCCTTAAAAATCTGACGGGTCTGCGTGGCCCCCCAAAATAATAACCAAGAAGACAACAGAATAGGCTCTTCTGGTTATTTTATTTTTGGGGAAATAGCCTCTGCTACAAACATTGTAATACAAAAATGATTACAGTGGATTATTCAAGTCAAATAATGAACACAAATATTTTAATATTACAAACAAAACATTATAAATTTAACATTAAATAATTATATTATTATTATTTTTTTATGACCTCCCGCGGCCCCCCTGCAGTACCCTCGCGGCCCACCAGGGGGCCGCGGACCCCACTTTGGGAGACACTGCAATAGTAGAAAAGCCCTAATGAAATACATAACGTACAGAATGCATACGTTCATTTCCAAAGCTTGTGATCCACCTCTGAGTTCCACTGCCCACTACTGGCCAGGCGCTAGAAGAACTACATCGTGCCAATCCGGGAAGTACTTAAGGTTGGTTTTTGCGGTTTGCTGCGTCTCTGTGTAAACAGGGCCTTAACGTTTTTGCTCAAAAGATCTCTCTGAAGACTTGCCATAAAGAATTGTTGAGTTGAGTAAAACTGAGAAAGTTTACAAACCCTCTCTAAAAGTCTGGATGTTCATTGATCCACAGTTAGAGTAACTCTACAAATGGAAAGAGTTTGGAAATGCTTCTCTACCAAAGAGTGGCCTCCACCAAAGATGAGAAGAGTTCAGCGCAAAATACTTTAAAAGATCAACCAACCATTGTATAAAGAGCACTTTTCCAACACAAAGTAACACTTCAGAGCTCATATCACATAAGGTATAAAAAGAAGAATTTTATAGGAAAGAACCACCCACTCCACTTTAAAAAATGGACACGTGCAACCTTCTCTCCCTGCTCCAGAGAGACAATGTAGACGAAGATAACTTTTACTGAAAGTGATTTGAAATAGATTTCTTCAAAAAGAATCAAGTACTGTAGAAACTTGGCGACTGAAGCATCAGAGGGAAACCCAACCTGTGCTTTCAGCGCCATCGTGTGAAAGAATCTCCCAAAAACACTCTGGTCTGTTGACGACATACATCAGTGGTGTGTAGCTCTGCTGAGTACTTCCTGCTAAACACAGGACCTTAGGACCTTACCATTATGTCCATCTGATCAGAACATGCTGTATTCCAGGTGTTATCTTTCAGTCAACGGCTGTGGCTTTTTTCCAAATCCTTTCCTGCTTCCTTTTCCCAGCTGAAGGAGGATCCTTCATTAGGGTTTTTTTTCTTGGTGTTTTCTGAGGGAAAACCATTTACCAACCATTTCTTACACTCTTTGTCATGGAGGCAGTATCTGCCTCCATAAGCAGAGATGTCCAGCTTCATGGAGAGCCATAGACCCTCCCTTCCATCCCTTGAGCCCTGAGTAAGATTCTGGGTTACTGCTGAGTTAATTCAATTTGTGTATTTGTGTCTCGCCCTAAATCATAACAGTAGTTATCTCAAAGGACATTACAAAGTTAATTCACCATCACAGATCAGAGAATCAAACAGTTAAAGCACAGGAAGCAATAATGGAAAAGCCCAATGTCAAGATCTTTTTTAAATAATTCATGGAAATACATTATGCACACTGTTTTGTCTCATGTTTCTGTCAGACATGTGCAGACAGCTCACCGTTCCAGTTGGAGTGATCCTGCGGGTCAGGAGGGTTCTCGGAGCTCTGTGATTGGTCAACATCGTGGCTGGGGGAATCGTGTGGTTCACTCTCTGGGTTGGCTTTTGGCTCAGCCTCTTCTTTCTTCTCTTGCTCCTTATTAGCCACCTCTGACAAACAGAAGATCACAGGAGTCATTGTAAGGATCCAGTGACTCTGGAAAAACCCACAAACTGTTAACATTGGTGTTTCTTCACATTATTGCACAAACTACCACCAACGATAATACTTGACGACCAGAACTAAGAACTTGCAGTACCCAGGTGTATGGCAAAACTTTTAAGAGTAACTAAACTTAGACCTAAGAGGACACTTGCAAAAAAGCATAGCAAAGGAAACTGGGGGCATTCATTTATTAGCCTTTCAACAAAGGAGACTGGGTGACGTTCCTAGGAGAAAAAGCAGCAAATCTTCATGCAGCCGGATCAGAGAACATCATCAGCCCTAGCCTGGCCTTATCCATCCGTACACTCCGTTCAGTCATAATTTCACTGCATGTAACGTCTGGGTCTGGTCCCTGGGTTAGTGATTACAATCGGTTGAATTTCGACCGACCAATCAGAGAGCGCGGGAGGCAGGTGTTGTAGTTAGTTGTAGGTGATGTCAAGAGTTTGCGCCGAACGGGCAGGTTGTAGTTTGGCACTGGCGAAGAATGCAATAGTAAAGTAATCTGGTCTGGTTCTATCAAGAAATTGAAGCCGGAGCAAGAGGAATGTTTAGCAAATGTAATCGTTGGAGAAAATTGTGGCGCTACTCCCCACGGGCTCCGTTAGCGGGAAAGGAGATGGCTAGGCTAAATGCTAAATGCTAACGACTCACTCGGGCGCATTACATACGTCACGGTAAACTCAGATCCAATCGTTTCAATCTGGAAAAGGAGTTAACCCCTCCCACCTGTTCACGGAGCTCAATGGAGCACGTCCAGACCTTAGTACGAAATGTCATTTGTACTATGGTGTGGAACGACCAGGCTACATCAGCCCCAAAGTTACAACAAAAAGACTGAATAATCACTTGCTGTGGAATATTATGTACAAACAATGTATACATTTCAAGTCATGCGTTACCGTGCAGTGCCAGCTCTTTCCAACGCTCCTTGTTGCTGACGATGACCCCGCTGAGCCGCTGCCGCAGACCTGGCAGGTCAATGGCGGTCAGAGAGAAGTCCGTCTGCATGTCCTCGTGTCCATGGCGTCCACTGCTGTGCCTCTGGACCGACTCCACGGTCACGGTGCCACTGCCGGTCAGACTACATGGACACACATGAGACACGCACCATGACCCTCTGGACTTTAAATGCAAATGGGACCGTTTCCAAGATGTTTGAGTTCCTGTGTGTTTTATTTGTATTTCCTGATGAATGAATGGCTGAATACTGTGACGCGCCTTTGGGTGTTGTGAAAAGCGTCGTAATGTGAAGTTCTGTGTGTGATATGTTCCTTTTCTCTTGGATGTTGTTGGAAACCTGGGCTGCAGTCCGGGGTTTGTGAGTTCGCAGGTCATTTATCTGACACCCTGCACTTACTGTAGATGGCCACTGTGGGTTGACCTTTTAGTGAAGGACTACAGGTGGGATATAGGGTTAAATCTGTTGTAAATGCACATTGTCCTTAATAAATCAAACTTCAAATTTCAAACAGTGACCCCAGTGAGGCTGCTCAGCGGCAGAGACACGCTCGCCTTGTTCAGCTGTGGATGCCCCGCATGTGTGCCTGTGTCTGGCTATTCTCTGGTGTGGTTAAATACAGGTGGAGAGGGGCTTCCATCTCTCTGATCCTCAAACCAGACTCCCTCAGGTCCCTGTGGTCCCCAAACCAGACTCCCTCGGGTCCCTGTGGTCCCCAAACCAGACTCCCTCGGGTCCCTGTGGTCCCCAAACCAGACTCCCTCGGGTCCCTGTGGTCCCCAAACCAGACTCCCTCGGGTCCCTGGCTGTGTGTGTTTCACCTGGATCTCCTGTTGCCCGACTCTTTGCTCTTGCGGTCCTCTTCGATCAATGGAGCGATGACCTTCTCCATCGTGTCCACCAACACACTGAAGGTGGGCTCCACGATGAAGTCAATGAAACCTACACACACACACACACACACACACACAAACGCGCACACATAGACACACAAATAATTAGGAACTCTACTTATATAAAAGGGAAGTTCAAGTCCAAACTAAAGTCCAGCTCTTATGAAGTTTGTCACACACGTTTCTAAATGTTGAATCTCTTTTCCATTCTGCTGTATTTCAATCATAAATGAGCAATTGTGTTTCAGATTCAGCTGTGGATGGTGGGAATGGATCAGCCTCACTCCTGATTGGTTCTTTGGTTGCTACAAGAGAGTTGGGCTCCACATTCCTTTTAAGAACACATTAAATTATACATAGACATATAGTTTTTCTAAATGGCATCTGTTTTGGAGCTGATCCTCATCCCACACTCGGCTACAGGGACTAAATCCTGTGGTCCCCAAACCACACTCTCTCTGGCCCCTGTGGTCCCCAAACCACACTCTCTCTGGCTCCTGTGGTCCCCAAACCACACTCTCTCTGGCTCCTGTGGTCCCCAAACCACACTCTCTCTGGCTCCTGTGGTCCCCAAACCACACTCCCTCACAGCCCAAATAAAATGATGGCTGATGGTTGACTACAATAAGATTCTTGACAGCTGTAAACTAATAACTTCTCTGTTGTGATTATTGCTGTGTTTTCTCTATTCAGACGTTGTATGTAAATCAAATCTTTAATAAAGTCTTTGTGTTGCGGTGTGGAGTGGAGGTGGAGAGCGACTGTACCGATCTGGGACTGTGCAATCATGGTGGCTTTCCTGTCGCACAGTGGAGAGAAGGGCAGGCCCAGTTTCACCTCTTTATCCCCCTAAAAGACACACACACACATTTGAGACGGCTAATAAGACAGTTGTAACATACATGACAGGAAGGTACCATCAGTAGTTTTTACTCTCATCTAGTGTTGAGATCATATATTGCAGTCCGGGACCACAGTTATGTAAAGAACGACCCGATCAAGAATCTTTTTAGAAAAATAATTATGCAAAAATCTAGAAACCTCCTATTGTTTTAACTGTTGGTGCGTGTGTTTGCGATGTTGACACGTTTGCTGTTATGACGACGGTTTCTAGATTTTTGGGGACTTTTTATTTATTCTGCTTGATTGATCTTTAATTTGACCTTTGTTACTCATCAATTCTGTTGATCGACTGTTACTTGGCAAAATGTATTTGGCAACACTTAAAAAAAGAAAAATACATTAAGTAGCATCTGACTTTAAGCCGCAGCCTTCAAAATGCAGGAAAAAAGCAGCGGCTTATAGTGCGTATGGTTACAGTAAATCCAACTTTTGTCATCATTCATGCCATGCCGTACCAGTTGCCATTCCCAAGCATCGCAGGATGCTTCTGAGGAAGATGGAAGTAAACCTAGAAACCTTTCAAGGTACTAACAGCACTATTGTCCCAGTCATCCTCTGTGGTTTACAGACTGACAGCAGAGGGCGCTGTCAGCCTGTAAACCACACAGGATGACTGGTAGAGTGCGCCTGGAAAGGGCTGCTGATCAGTCATGTGTGAGCTTCTGAGGTCAAGGTATTAATATTGCATCTTACATCCCATCTTACAATTGTCGGATTTAGGAAAACCAGAAAACTAAGGACACGTGATAATCCAGAATGGATTTATATAAACATATACAGACAGTTTGTTTTCAATATTAAGAGAAATGTTTTCCTTCACTGTCTTTCTTGAAGCTGTAGTTTCTCATTAGAGTCAAACTATGCTGTAATTGTTATGTTCATTGTTGGTGATTTCAGGCCAGGACCTGTTTGGAGGCGGGTACCTGTCTGAAGAACTCCTCCATGAGGTTCTGGGTCCAGCGGTAGTGCAGGGGCCAGGCCCGGGCCGGGTGGCTGATGTCTGCGGCATGGAGCACCAGGGAGAGCACCTTCACTTTGTCTAAGCTACACACACACACACACACACATGCACGCACATACGCATGCACACACAGTCAAACAGACACACAAACACACACACACACAGATGTTATGTTTTTGAGTAGTAGAAATGTAACAGCAATGATATTCTCAACGTAACCAGCAGGTGGTGTTAGAGCAGTGTCCTGCCTGAGGCCCCTAGCCTGGGCCCCTCCGTCTGAGGCCCCTCACCTGGGCGTCTGCGACACAGAGTTCCTCATTGTCTTGATCTGCTGGAAGTGACAGGACATGTCTGTGGACATCACCATCTCAATGACCAGGGCCCTCAGCTCTCTGTGGGACACACACACACACATATGTGAGCACACACGTGTACACACAAATGTATACGTACACACTCACCAAGTCATTTACAACATGCACAGGCTTTTCACGTTGTTGATCATATTTGCGGGTGCGTAAAGTTTGTAAATGTACTTCCAGATAATACATGTTTGTTCGTTCAGCAGAATATGTGGGGACAGTTCTCACATGTTGCATTGAAACAACTGCATGCTTTTGATTTGGCCACAAGAGGGGAGTGTTTCACTAACACAGTGCTTCAGGAAGAAGAAAACCTTTTGTACTCCCTTGTCACATCTTTAGTTCAATCAAGAGCAGGGGTGCCCAAAGTGGGGCCCGCGGGCCAAAGTTGGCCCGCCGGACCATTTCAGTTGGCCCGCCTATTGCGCCTAACATTGAACACCTCCGTTGTAAGCTTCTAACTGCGTCCCTCAACCTCACTGAACAAACAGTGACATGTCTGAAATCGCACGGGCGCACCAACACCCTCTGAATTCAGACTGTCCAGTACTTTACTGTTGTATCGAGATACACTCCTCACTCATGGTTCACATCTACTTGCACTAAAATGATTTTTAAAATCAAACACATCTTTCAAAACAATTGGGTGCAAGGCACCTTTATGTTCTTTTTTTTCAGCCTACTATTATAATTTTTTTGAGCAATTCAATGTTTTATCAAATTGAGAGGATTGTGCTGGCGAACTGCCACTCCCCCTCCTCACCGGAGGGAATTGGCGAGTGGAACTATTCACCCGCGCAATCCGCACCCACCCGGTGTGTTAAAAAGACGGACACACACACTTCAGAGTGAGTTCAAGCAGGACAAGCAGGGATCGCAGCGCACAATCCACGTAAGTAGAAGCAACAAATACTGTGCAAAACAAACCCTTCTAGAGCCCCATGAAAGAAGCCGGTAAGCGCCGTCCTCACTCGCGATCAGTGAATGTCAGAACTTACGCGGAGTTTTATGATGCGTTCAAGAGCCCTTTGGAGGAGCGGAAACACGGACTCTTTAACAGTTACTTTGTTTTGATTGTTTATAAATGTTGTACTGTGTTTAGGCAAAACAAAACAAACTCCAGGAACAAATCATGGTTAACTAGTCTGATTTAGTTAGTTTAATATTCAGTTCACAACTAATTGAGAATACTTGTCCTATGTTAAAAACAGAGTTAAAACCTGATCATGTTTAGAAAATGCAGTTAGCAATTATGTTCCCAAATTCATTACTTAATGTTAAAATGTATTGTTTAAAAGTGTGCTAAAACCAGATCTATTGATCAGTGATGTCTCCCCTTTTTGATAAAAGCTAAGATAAAGTAATATGATTCAAATGTAGTTAAAAACTTTTGTTCAAAATAAATATATGAAAATAGACTCTACTTTTGTAAAGTAAATGTCATTAGTACAATAAACCTATACATTATAAATCACTATATAGTAATGCAAAACTGTTTAGAAAAAGGTCTTCAACAAACAGTTTACTGACATGAGCAGGTTAAAAATATAGATTATTTAATTTGGGAGTATGATATTATTTAATATAAATTAGTACTTTCATTTACTAGCAGGAACATTATTTGTTTACAAGTGGCATTTAAAAAACAGTTTAGTTACATAGAAAATGTATGTTTCTGTTCTCTTTTAGAGGTTTTTTATATGATTTTAAGCTGTAAATAAGCCATGACAGAAAATCTCCCTCCTCTGGACCCTGATTACCCGGCCGGAATCTTTCCGTACTGTAGTCTCCTCAAACCTGCATATTTCCCTGGAGTCTCCATTTCACTAAGACTGTTGATTTCATTCATTCAGCTGTGATTTGCACTGCTAGACAATAATTAATGCATTTAATTGAACTTGATCAAATCTACATTTATTTTTGTTTCATGCGAAATATCGGTGTATTTGGCCCGCGGCCGACTGGCAAATTTTTACTTTGGCCCTTGGAAGCAAAAGGTTTGGGCACCCCTGATCAAGAGAGACTCGAACAGATAAAACGGGGTCGTTAGAATTGTATTTATCTGATGGAAAGTGATCCCAAGATATGGAGCAGCAGAGCTATTGTATTGACGGATGAGAATCCTAATTAGAAATATTTTTATTGCCATTGCAAATAAAAGGAAGTCATAAACTGGGAATCTGCTTTGGCTCAATGATTTGCTCAACATTTTACTTTTTGGTACAAACTTGGGAACAACCAACCAACTTGCATTAATAATGGGAGGGACAGGTTAGGTACCCCAGCTTTAATCTAATGAGAATGTGAGTTTCAAAGGGAGTGTAAAAACGGTGATGCAACCTGGGGTCTGGTCCATGTCTTGTCTGGGTCTAGTCTTGGGTCTAGTCTTGGGTCTAGTTCTAGTCTTGTGCTGGTCTCCCACCTCCAGTCGTCCTTGTTGAGGTTAATCAGGATGTTCATCTCCTCGTCCGCCATTAGCCTGTAGGCGGCGCTCACGTGGTGGTTCTCCAGCACTGAGCGGTCGTTGTACAGGATGGCGACCTCCGACCTGCCCCACACACGACACATGCTTTTGTTACAAACCTAACCCATCCACAAACTCTGGTCCAATATCATTTCCTACATGTACGTCTGGGTCTGATCCTAGTGGCTGCAGTTTCCTCGGTTAAATCTCCTCCGACCAATCACTGAGCGGGGGAGGCGGGTGTTGTAGGTCGGTGTTGGTGACGTCAAGAGTTTGCGCCAAATTTGCTGGTTGTAGTTTTTTTTAAACTACAATTATTATTATTTTTAATTTTTGTAAAGCGCTTTGGGTGACCTTGGTTTTCAAAATGAGCTATAAGAATAAACATTACTCACTCACTTACTTACTTAAAGATGCAGTCAGTGATTTTTTCAAGATGCATTTTTTGAAATATTGTGGGAAAACGTCCCTAAATCCTGAAAGTTAAGTCAAGTTATCATGTGTTTTCAAATAGTACTGGAATTTACCAGATGTCTCGTCTCCAATAATTAATAAAAAATATTTTGGAGCGGACCGATAAAAATAAACCAATGGGATTCTGTTTCTCGCGAGTGCACCGGAGTTATCGCATTTTCTAAAACCTAAAAAGGTTGAACAGAAAATGCCAATTTCACATTTGCCGCCCACTCTCCCTGTTGTCACAAAGAAAAGAAAATGCTGGATGTTTGGTTTGGTGGAGAGGCGAGGGGAGGGGGGAGTGGTTTCCAGTTGGTGCTAAGGCTAAGCTAACAACATTGCTTACTGCGTCTTTAATTCTATTTGTCAGCTAATTGGGCAAATAATCTTTTTCATAATTTACATACAAATCAGTTTCATCCCTTTTCATACAATCAAACAAATGTACATACAAAAAATAACAATTGCAACGACTTTTTGAAAACAGTTCTGTGAGTACAGTCAGTGTTTGATAGTGTGTAGTGCGTATTAGTGTGTGTAGTATCTTATGAAGTGTGTTTTAAAGCAGTGTTTTTCAACCTTTTTTGAGCCAAGGCACACTTTTTTCATTGAAAGAATCTTGCGGCACACCACCAGGAGAAAATGTCAAAATATATACTCTGTAGTCTATATTTACAATATAAAGTCATTCTTATCAAAGTGCTTAAATGCAGGCCTTGACATTAAGCTTGGTTTAATATTGCTCAATACAATGAGTTAACAAGAATTTGGGAATAAAGTGGCAATAACTGTGGGGGAAAAAAACATACAAAAATCCACTCTCAGCCCAAAAAGTCAAATAATGACTCAGAGGGCTCTTATGTGTGAAAAATAATGATTAAAACATGCCCTGCTGTGTGTTCTGTTTGATTTGTTCACAATATTTTACTTTTTGCACAAATAACATGCATTTTTATTGCATGGGGAAAATTTAGGTATCCGAGCTTTAAATTCAGGAGTTTTGCGCTTCGGCAAGAGACACTCGCCAAAATTCTCCCCGCTGCCTCTTATGTTGGTTGGTCACGTCCAATTCTCACATTTCTTGCCACCCCGCTACTTGTTAACATTTGGTGGTTGAATCCAAATCTTAAATTTTAAAGTACTTAGCAATCTGCTGCCACCTACTGGCCTGAAAAGGTATTACGTGGTAACTATACAGTTCAAGACAAGTCCGCGCTCGGAAAAAGTGAATGCAGTTATTTTTTGAATTTCTCACGGCACACCATACGGCACACTAGTGAGCCGCGGCACAGCTGTTGAAAAACACTGTATTAGAGTGTGTAGTACCTTGTGAAGTGTGTATTAGAGTGTGTAGTACCTTGTGAAGTGTGTATTAGAGTGTGTAGTACCTTGTGAAGTGTGTATTAGAGTGTGTAGTACCTTGTGAAGTGTGTATTAGAGTGTGTAGTACCTTGTGAAGTGTGTATTAGAGTGTGTAGTACCTTGTGTGGATGTGAAAGTTGTTAGTTGATCCCGTGTGCTCAAAGTCATGGATGGCGGCTGCAAAAACCATGGCCAGAATCTCCAGCTCACTCAACCAGTGCTGGAAACAAATGTTCACTGATAAAACTCAAGAATACATCACATTAGGCTTCCTCTGGGTGTGTGTGTGTGTGTGTGTGTGTGTGTGTGTTTACCATGAGTCCGGTGTGTAGCATGAGGAAGTGTGCGGTCTGTGTGACGTCTGCCGCGTGGATCAGGTTGTGGTACGGGTTCCGGTGTTTGCTGTAACCGGCCTCCAGAGCCTCCACGAACAGCACCACGGCCTGCACCGGGATCTGCGGAAACACAACACACTTCACCGTCAACAGGATCTGGACATTATTACGAATTCAAAGGATCTCTTAGTGAAGACTATATGGATTCAGAATTTCACTCTGAACCAGAGCAGAGAAAATGGTACGAACCAAACAGACTCTGAAAACATCACCCAGAGGAACATCACCAGCGGCCACACCACATCTGCTGCTGCTACACCACCTCTACTGCTGCTGCTACACCACCTCTGCTGCTGCTACACCACCTCTACTGCTGCTACACCACATCTGCTGCTGCTACACCACCTCTGCTGCTGCTGCTACACCACCTCTGCTGCTGCTGCTACACCACCTCTGCTGCTACACCACCTCTACTGCTGCTGCTGCACCACCTCTACTGCTGCTGCTGCACCACCTCTACTGCTGCTGCTGCACCACCTCTACTGCTGCTGCTACACCACCTCTGCTGCCACACCACCTCTTCTGATGCTGCCACACCACCTCTTCTGATGCTGCTACACCACCTCTTCTGATGCTGCTACACCACCTCCGCTTCTGCTACACCACCTCTACTGCTGATGCTACACCACCTCTACTGCTGATGCTACACCACCTCTGCTGCTGCTACACCACCTCTACGGCTGTTGCTACACCACCTCTACTGCTGCTGCTACACCACCTCTACTGCTGCTGCTACACCACCTCTGCTGCTGCTACACCACCTCTACTGCTGCTGCTGCACCACCTCTACTGCTGCTGCTACACCACCTCTGCTGCTGCTGCTACACCACCTCTACTGCCACACCACCTCTTCTGATAATGCTACACCACCTCTGCTGCTGCTGCTACATGACCTCTTCTGTTGCTGCTACACCACCTCCGCTTCTGCTACACCACCTCTTCTGATAATGCTACACCACCTCTACTGCTGCTGCTATACCACCTCTACTGCTGCTACACCACCTCTGCTGCTGCTACACCACCTCTACTGCTGATGCTACACCACCTCTGCTGCTGCTACACCACCTCTACTGCTGCTGCTACACCACCTCTACTGCTGCTGCTACACCACCTCTACTGCTACTGCTACACCATCTCTGCTGCTGCTACACCACCTCTACTGCTGCTGCTACACCACCTCTTCTGATAATGCTACACCACCTCTTCTGATAATGCTGCTACACCACCTCTGCTGCTGATGCTACACCACCTCTGCTGCTGCTACACCACCTCTACTGCTGCTGCTACACCACCTCTACTGCTGCTGCTACACCACCTCTACTGCTACTGCTACACCATCTCTGCTGCTGCTACACCACCTCTACTGCTGCTGCTACACCACCTCTTCTGATAATGCTGCACCACCTCTTCTGATAATGCTGCTACACCACCTCTGCTGCTGCTTCTACACTACCTCTACTGCTGCTACACCACCTCTACTGCTGCCACACCACCTTTGCTGCTACACCACCTCTGCTGCCGCTGCTGTTGCACTTCATTACTATTGTAACAGCACTTTGAGTTGCCCCGTGTATGAATTGTGCTATAAAAAATAAACTTGCCTTGCCTATTGTTAGTCACTTTAATAATTATGTATATATTTATTTGGATGGATGTGTTTCTGCTGCTGGACTCCTGGGTTTCTTCTACAGGAATCCATAAAGAGATCAATATAAGATAGTAGTATAAGCAGGAACAAATTATATTTAAGGCAATCTAAAAAGGTGAGATCTAATTGAGGCATGCTGTCATTCCGAAAAACTGTTTAAAAGGAAAAACCTGTTGATTTGTAATAAACATGTACAAGAGCTAAAATACATGAGCTCTGGTTCTGACAAAGTGCGTCCACATCCGAGAAGAGAGTGGTGCTAAGTGTGCGTCTCTGTGTTTGTGTGTGTGTGAGTGTGTGTGTGTGTATGAGTGTGTGTCTACGTCTAATGTGTGTCTGTGAGTAGCATCCACATTAGATGCAGAGGACACAGAGAAGGGTGATGCTAAGTGTGAGTGTGTATGTGTGTGTGTGCGTATATACTGTATGTGTGAGTGTTACCCTATAGCGGCTGATGAGGTCGTAGCGCGTCAGGAGGTCGTAGACCATGAACTTGAGGGCGTGGTCTCCTGTGGCGCTCTGGAAGGAGAACACGTCGAAGGACCACTGATCCACCACCTGGTCCAATCAGAGAGCAGAGAGTTCATCCAATCAGAGAGCACAGAGTTCATCCAATCAGAGAGCACAGAGTTCATCCAATCAGAGAGCACAGAGTTCATCCAATCAGAGAGCACAGAGTACATCCAATTAGAGAGAAGAATGAGAATCACATGAGTCACAAGTCTGCCCGCTTCAGTTTTTCTGATATGAATTTTTGAAAATAAAACAATGAGGGAGCGCTTTAGAGCCAGGTTAAAAGATTTGGGTTAAACTTGAGCCTGACATCAAGTTTAATGCAAGAGGATGATGATGATCTGTCGAAGAGGAGCGGCTCATGATCAGACAAAAACAGTTTATCTTTGGATCTGTCATCAGTGCAGGAATGTCTGACAGTGACATCTACAGACACTTCAGAACGCAACACTCACCTGCACACTAATGTTTGTGGACCACTGTACCTGGCCCACCTGTGAACCGCTGTACCTGGCCCACATGTGGACCGCTGTACCTGGCCCACCTGTGGACTAACTATAAAAGAGTCCGACCAGTGTCTGAACAGGAGCCAAATGTACAAATGAATCTGTCAAATAAACCAAATCAAATAATATTAGCGCTGACAAGCATTTTATGACTGACTTCACGTGACTCCCGTAGGTCCCATCTATTTCAATCTGGAGAGACTCGAGACAAATATTGCATTAGAGTGAGATTGTAGTAATGATAGCAATAATCGACAATTAAACCCAGCAGACGCATTGACAGGGAACTAATAAATGTATTTCATTCGAACACGAAGCGTTCATTAAGGTTAGCAATTAGGCCTCGGCAGGAATACGTCTGATGTGTGTAGACCAGGACATCTAATAGAAGTTATGAGCTTGTGAAACCCCCCTGGACAAGACATGATACTCTACTGAAGAGACATGATGGGGAGGAAGAGGTGGGTGGGAGACGGGGCAGAGGGGGAGGAGCCAGTGCAGAGGGGGAGGAGTCAGTGTGGCAGGCATGGCGTCTCTTTTGGTCTTCCTGTCTGAATTTACGCTTAAAGGTCCAATATTACACTTTTTGACTTTTCTGTGCTTTAAACATCATTACAGAGCTATTTGACCTTCAGAAATGCCCAGAGTTTTTTTCAATGATTCCATCAAGTTTTAGTTAGAGAGTTTCGTTTTTCTGAATCACTTTGTTATGTAGCATCACTTTCTTACGCAGCTCGAGCTCCAGAAGCCCCGCACAGCCTTTGCCAGAGTATGGGCTCGTGTCTACCACTGTATGTGTTCTCTCAGCGACTTCAAGTGTTAGCATCATGTCAACTTAGAGAAAATTTGTTTTTGATTGCACGGTAACTTTGTGAATTCAACCCATAGATGAAGAATGCGCGAGGGTAGCTGGACTTTCTACTCAAATCTGCAACGAATCTATGTTTCTGCGAGTGACACCAAAGACTGTCTACCATGAAACTGGACCGATCCATGAACCGGACTTACGCAAAAGCTGATCTGGAAACCTGTGTTAAGTGCTCACAGGCAGAGGAGCCCAGACCCAAGCGTTTCAATACAGGGACATCAGCTCTATGCAAGAAACAACTATAATGTCTAAGTTTAGATCATTTTTCTTGGAATCTTCAGCCACTTCTAGAGGTCACTGCACTTTTGCACTTTAGTAGCAATACAAAACTAAGAGGCCCTTTGGAACCTGGTCTTTCTGAGTGAAGTTTGCATGTTCTCCCTGTGTCTGTGTAGGTTTCCCCCAGGTGCTCCGGTGTCCCCTACCACTACAAACATGTATAATAGGTCTGGCATGTAGGCGACCTGGTCCATCTCTGTGTCGAGTGAGAGATACCCACAACAACTGTAAAAAGTCTGTGAAAGGCTCTGTATATCTAAAGATTACTTACTTATTTACTTTCTTTGGCAGCTTGGGCCTAATAAACACATTTTAATCAGAAAACAGTTTGAATTTCTGTATGAGCATTCCCAGGGACTTTTGATGGAGCGGGGTTATGTAACTTTGGGAAGGGTTGCTCTATAGCAGTGAAGTGTTAGGGTAGGATCAGGGAGGTTAGGGTTAGGATTAGGGTTAGGGTTAGGGTTAGTGCTGAGGACAGGTGGGTGGTGAGAGAAAAGCAGGAGCTGTACCTTGAGCGCGCTGATGGCAGTGGGGGGGTAGGTGAGGCCGGCCATGTTGGATGTTCTTCTGTACATTCTGTAAACAGTACATTTCAAGCGAAACCATTTGACTCAGTCCACTCACAAAGATAAATATCACAGTTTGGAGGGGATTGGATTAACACAAACGTTTTGCTTCATGAAATCCCTTTTTAAACCCAATCAAGGGACATTTAGAACAGGAATAACTGTTTGATCAATTGTGAGTTAATAACGTTGGTCAAATATCGTGATCGTTTGGCAGCTGTGATATGAATATATGGGAGTTGCAGTCGATCCCTGGGAAAATCTTGGAAATCTTGGTCCAGAAATGTACAGTGCCTTAGAGCAGCAAAGATACTCCCATGGCCTCTGGTGGAAGACCTAAGACATGATTCCATAGAAATGATTACAATTTTTAACCAGAATGACCAATCAGGGAGCAGAAGGAGTCTCTCTTTGGGTTGCCAGTTTGTTTGGTGAAATGTAGCTGGTTTTGGCTCAATCTGTTTTATAAATAACAAGATTCTCACAAAAGTTTACCATACATGTGTCTAAATAAAAGCAGATGTAGAAATAAGTATAATGCGTAACACACAGTTTGTACCGTTTCTAGCTAAACCCCAGCAGGTGGATTCCATCAGTAATCAATGTTTGTGTGTCACAAGCAGGAACAATATTCTGGCCACAAAAGCAAGACTGGAATTCTAATGACTTTAGTGTGTGTGTGTGTTTTTGTGTGTTTGTGTGAGTGTGTGTCTGTTTGTGTGGGTGTGTTTTTGTGTGTTTGTGTGTGTGTGTGTGAGTGTGTGTCTGTTTTTGTGTGTTTGTGTGTGTGTTTCTGTGTGTGTGTGAGAGTGTGTGTCTGTGTGTTGTGTGTGTGTGTGTGTGTGTGAGAGTGTGTGTCTGTTTGTGTGTTTGTGTCTGTGTGTTTTTGTGTGTTTGTGTGTGTGTGTGTTTGTGTGTGTTTTTGTGTGTTTGTGTGTGTGTTTTTGTGTGTGTGTTTGTGTGTACTTGACACTCACCTCTCCACAAAGATGCCCGCCTGCACTGCGTGGACAATACTCCTAAATTTGGGCTTCTCTTCCGGGCGCCGTTTGGCCACGCCCATCTTACTGCTGAAGGTGCAGGCCAGCCAATCACGGACCTCGGTGGGCACAGACTCCGCCTTCAGCTCGCTCAGCTCGTCCTCCGTGTCCAGCAGTCTCCTGGAGAAGACACATGTTGGACACAAATTACCACAGTGTTCCTCATCAGTCACAGTCCTGGAGTTGTTTTTAGATTCATCCACACTAATACAAGCATGCCCCGTCCCTTCTGTCCAAATATCCTTTTTCAAACTTGTTTCCTAAAGACGGATAAACAGACATCAGAGAGAGAGATAGAGAAAAAAATGGTGTTTCTCAAATAAGTTTCATTACAAGTGTGTGCCACGTTAGATTGAAATTACTGCTCATACAAACAAATCTGCAAAGTCTTTACTGATGAATGCAGCTCCTTTTACTTTTGCACATTTTGTCAGAACCTTGTGGTGTTATATGTACATTAATGGACCACCCCAAAGTAACAAACAATTGTGAAGTGAAAGCAAAATCATACATTGTTTATTTTGTATGTAACAGGTTATAACTCTGCACTATATGTATATTTTGAAAGACTGGTATTGAAGCATTTACAGCATTTACAGCTAGCTAAGAAACATAGCAGCTACTCACTTATTTTGTATATTTTGTGTGCTCCCTGTGTGCTCTTACTACTGTCCTGTCTGTGCGCTGCAACACTGAATTTTCTACACTGTGGGACGAATAAAGGAACTCTTATCTTTTTTTTTCAAAATCAAAAAGAGAAAATTGCTGCCTGCATAAGTGATGATTCAACATGAGTGAACTCTAAATTCCTAATGTTGTTGATCTGTGAGTTTGGGTAGACAGCTGAGTCTTGGTAGATTTGCAGTTGTGCCATACTCTTTCCATTCCTGGTTGATAGATTAAACAGTGCACTGCGAGACGTTCAAATTTTGGGAAACTGGGGATTATTCTCAGTTTCCTTCAGTTTTTTTCAGTTTTTTTTTAGACAGAACAAAGTCAGGATATGGTTTATATAGTCAATGTTATGTCACACACACGTCACACATCTAGAGACATCAAAAGAACATAACACGGATACACAATTGTAGCAGATACACAAACGGGTCAACTATGGATGGCCAGATCAATTGTATAGCTATTATCTCACTCTGTTAGTTAGTATTCTTGGGTTTCATTAAACTGGCCTGTAGGGGGCGAATGAGCAGAGTTGGACGACTCAGTTTTGCTCCCATTGAAAACCATGTAAAGTCTGTTTTGAGTCAAAAGGCTCTCCTCCTGTGCGGTGTACGCTTGTTGGAACAGTCATAATCGGGGACACTCAATTCTAAGGGAGAACTAAACATATTTCTCAAAAGAGTATTTATTTCAGGCATTTTTGGAAAGAAAACCAGAGGAAATTGCTGCGTTTCATTGGGATGGCCTGCAGGGGGCGCTTATCTGGGAAAGCCTTGATCCACCTCGCCCGCCTCATTCCAGTGATTTTTTCAAAGTGTCCTCCTTTATATGAGACCACAGTTGGAACATGAACAAACTCTTGTCTTTCTCTCTATTTGTGCGGTTGCTACAAGCGTACACCGCACAAAAAGATGGCCTTTTGAGAGCGCTTCTTCTTCTACTATATCTCCGTGTATAAACACGGCAGACTGCACCGCCAGGATACGTCACGTCCTGTCCCACGTTTTTTATTCGTGCCACCGCCCTGACCTCACATCAAACCCAAGGACATCCAATGCTTTAAAACGTCCCCACATTGTCAGTCCGGACCTCTTTGGCCTTCATGGTGCTGTTTAGTGACCAACACACTCTAAACACAGCTCTGAGGCCCCGACATATTTACACCGAGAGGAGATGAATGATGTCTGAAGAATACTTTGGCCGGATGTAAGCGTCATTAGGACATTTACAAGGGTTCTAATGACCTCAGAGAAATGTCCAAGCCCAAGTTTTCCTTCATAATAACAATATATCATGTATTATTTTGGTTTCACCTCACATTTGTCTGTCATTTTCTTGTGGTTTTTCACTGAGTTCAACCGGTATCATCACTTCCACGAGGCTGCCTTGCTAAACCTCTTCTCACAACTCAACGGAACTTAAAGTCTTTCCGTGGGTCTTACTTGGTCTCGTCCGTGTAGATGGCATCCAACATGGCCGACGCCAGCTCCAGGTTCCTGCGCAGCTCCTGCAGGTCCACGACTCCCTGGTCCATCTGCTCCAAGACACCCTTCATCCTGGCACACACGGTTAGCATAACACACACAAGATTGATTTCACACGTTTGGTTATAATTATAAAGCTTGTGCAGTGTTGGCTATTACAGGCCTAAATGTGTTGTTGCCTAGGAACTACAGAGCAGAATCCTTGGCTTCGTTTCAGTTAAAACCATGGGAAGGACAAGGTGAAGCTTTGGTCTTACTGCTTGGTTTGCTTCATTGAAAAGTAAAGCCTCTTGATTCATGTCACTCGATTCTGGAGTTAAAATGTCAGGGTTTTAACGCTCTATGTGTTCCACCTGCATTTATTTTAAAATTGTCTTTGTTTCTTCATTATCCCTATTATCCGGCGTGGGATAGCCTCAGCGACAAGGTTGCCAGTTCAATCCTGAGTTTTCATGTTCTCTTTCAGTGTAAGAAATGTATTTACTTTACTGCACTTACAAGGCATTATTATTATTATTATTATTATTTTTAGGCCCAACAGGACATAGGGCCTCCTCGTTGTAACTTTACCCGGATATTCATGCGGTGATTGTGAATGCAACAGTTGCGTTTGTCCTTTTTCAAAGCATGGATCCTATGTTGTGTAGGTTGCCATGGAAACCTATGTTGGGTTATCTCAAGCTTTTCCGGGAAAAAAAAGAAAAAAACTGGTGAAATTGTTGTTGGAGGTGTGTAGAAACAGATTGTTGAGGGCCTGGGAGGCTCCTGGGGCCCTTGCTCTTCAATAATAGCCTTCTATGTTCTGGATGAAAAACAGATTGAATACTTTTTATATGAAATGGAATCACTTGTGACCGTTGTGGTTTATGCACAGATTTATATTTATGACAGTGGAACTTTCTAAGCAATGCTGACCTCAATCGCCATGGAAACAAGAACTCCCCTGTACAGAAAAGTGACACCGGGAGTTTAAAATGAGGACGTTCTTGTAAACAAAGACAACAGCAGAGACTTGAGACACGTTGTTGTTTGTACCTTGTGTGTTATTTCTTTAATTAGATTATTTTTAAATGTTGGTCTTGGCTCCTGTCTGGCTCAGATGGTATTGTTGATGGTAGCACGAGCAGGTCTGCCCCCTCACAGCTGTCTCCTGTTCACATTCAAATCTGCTTTGCCAGATGGTCACATGATGCCAAGGCTGTCAATCATCCCCTGGCAACGGGACGCTCCGCCTGTCAATCATCCCCTGGCAACGGGACTCTCTGCCTGTCAATCATCCGCTCCCCTCACACTGATGCATGAGAGGACGTGACCTGCAGAAACCGCACTAGTATTTGTAATCTTTCTAATCGAGGCAGGTTTCTATGAGTATTTCATTTTTGGTTCGATTTTACAAACTCAAAAACAGATTCCAAAAATTGCAGTCGTATATGTGTTTTTTTACAAACACATGAAAAACAATATGCTGCATTATAAAATTAAACGTTGTCTGTTTTTAATGTTTGTGAAGCGATATGGATTACACTGTAAATTTATGTTTTATAAATACATTTGATTGGTTGTTTGATGTAAGAGGCTCCTCAGTCCTCGGTAACAAAGGAGTGGATTCAGAAGGAGCATTTAAAGATCCTGGAGCGGCCTCAGTCTCCAGATCTCAGCCCTGAGAAAATCTGTGGAGGCAGAGGGACGTCTGTTTTGCCAGAAACAGCCCCAAAACATCCCTGCTCAGGAGGAATGGGCCAAAATACCAGCAAAAGTGTGTGAAAATCTAGAGCTGTGTTCCCACCGCCGATGCATGGACGCACGTTTACTAAATTTCAGCCGCATGAGTTTAGTCAATCTGTCGTTCTGGTGGAAGTGGTGGGCGGAGCTTTGATGCTAACGAGTTCAATAACGTAGTTCCCTATCGGCAAAAACGTTAGCATCACTTGTTTACAGTCACAGTTGAAGACATATATTCACATTGTGTCCCCCATTGTCAGCCCTGGTTTAATCCTGGTTTAATCCTGGTTTAGTCCCGCTTAAATACTGGCTAAATCCTAGTTTTGTCCTGGTTTAATCCTGGTGTAGTCCTGGTTTAATCCTGGTTTAATCCTGGTTTAGTCCTGGTTTAGTCCTGGTTTAGCCCTGGTTTAGCCCTGGTTTAGTCTTGGTTTAGTCCTGGTTTAGCCCTAGTTTAGTTCTGGTTTAGCCCTGGTTTAGTCTTGGTTTAGCTCAAGTTTTGGTTGTTTTCAAGTGTCTTCTTCTTCCTGTTTTGGACCGGTTTGTTTCCCTGTGACCACTTTGCTGCTCTCTGATTGGTTGCCGCAAATGTTCAGTGAATCAGGTCAGAGTAAATAACAAAGAATTCAGATAAACTTTTGTCATAATTTGCAACTAATTTATTTCAAGATGTGATTTTCTGTCTCAAATACCCACTGTTTAAATCCGAACACAGAACAAGCAAAGACGTACCATGAGAACAGAGATGGAACCAGAAAACCTGTCATGTATTTGATTATTTATGGTACCATGTGGAGTTTGTGATGGTTCTAAGAGAGAGAGAGCGTCTCTGCTTCTCGATGCCACCATGAACCTCTGCAGTGTCTTTTGTTGTTGTGCAATTTTATGGATGCAGTCGTAACCATGGAAACGCACTTCCAGGCACCCAGTCGTCAAGACGATGAACAGTTTATGGGATGGAGATGCTACATGCTCCAGTGGCATAATGTGTCTTACATCCTATTGAAATTAGTGAATATCTGGTCCTGGTTCTGGTCCTGGTTCTGGTCCTGGGTCTGATCATGATATTGGTCTGGTCCTTGTCCTGATCTGGCTCTGGAATAGTCCTGGTCTGGTCCTGATCCTGATCCCTATCCTGGTCTGATCCTGGTCTGGCCTTGGTCTAGTCCTGGTCTGGTCCTGGTCCTGGTCCTGGTCCTAGTCCTGGTCTGGCCCTGGTCCTGGTCCTGGTCTGGCTCTGGACTAGTCCTGGTCTGGTCCTGGTCCTGATCCTTATCCTGGTCTGATCCTGGTCTGGCCCTGGACTTGTCCTGGTCCAGGTCTAGTTTTGGTCCTTAACCTGGTCTGGCCCTTGTCTGATGCCAGTCTGGTCCTGTTTGGCCCGGGTTTAAGGGAACGAATGGACATACATTTAAACTTTAATTTAAAGTCTTTGTGTCTGATTAAAACTACTGAGTGGATGAATATGATCGTAGAAAGTCCTGGTTAAGACCTGGTTAAGACCTGGTTAAGTGCTGGTTAAATCCTGGTTCATCCCGGGTCCAGTCCTGGTTCAAGTTACTTACTACTACTTACTACTTACTGTACTTACAGTCCTGGTTCAGACCTTTTCAAGTCCTGGTTCAGTCCAGGTTCAGTCCCGGTTCAATCAGGGTTCAGTCCCAATTCAGACCTGGTTCAGCCCTGGTCCTGTCCTGGTTCAGACTTGGTCCAGTCCTGGTCCAGTCCCGGTTCAGACCTGGTCCAGTCCCGGTCCAGACCTGGTCCAGTCCCGGTCCAGTCCTGGTCCAGTCCCGGTTCAGTCCTGGTTCAGTCCTGGTTCAGTCCTGGTTCAGTCCTGGCTCACTCACCTCTGGGAGGCGCTCTTGTACTTCTGCCTGTGAACACAACAGAAACATACTGTAAACAAGAAGAGGGCCGACAATGTTTGTATTTTATCAATAAAATCAATAAAAAACGTCAGGTCCAAACAGTTGTCTACTATGTTGTCTATAAACTTGGTGTTGTTCCTGATGTGTTGCTCATGATTATATTTTCTATAGGATGGCAGGGGACATGGATGATGGCTCTCTCCAGGGAAGTGTTTATGGACAGTCCTGGGTCTACAGCCTCAGTCCTGGGTCTACAACCTCAGTCCTGGGTCTACAGCCTCAGTCCTGGGTCTACAGCCTCAGTCCTGGGTCTACAGCCTCAGTCCTGGGTCTACAGCCTCAGTCCTGGGTCTACAGCCTCAGTCCTGGGTCTACAGCCTCAGTCCTGGGTCTACAGCCTCAGTCCTGGATCTACAGCCTCAGTCTTGGATCTACAGCCTCAGTCCTGGATCTACAGTCTCAGTCCTGGATCTACAGCCTCAGTCCTGGATCTACAGCCTCAGTCCTGGTTCTACAGCCTCAGTCCTGGATCTACAGCCTCAGTCCTGGATCTACAGCCTCAGTCCTGGGTCTACAGCCTCAGTCCTGGATCTACAGCCTCAGTCCTGGATCTACAGCCTCAGTCCTGGATCTACAGCCTCAGTCCTGGATCTACAGCCTCAGTCCTGGATCTACAGCCTCAGTCCTGGTTCTACAGCCTCAGTCCTGGATCTACAGCCTCAGTCCTGGATCTACAGCCTCAGTCCTGGATCTACAGTCTCAGTCCTGGATCTACAGCCTCAGTCCTGGATCTACAGTCTCAGTCCTGGATCTACAGCCTCAGTCCTGGATCTACAGTCTCAGTCCTGGATCTACAGCCTCAGTCCTGGGTCTACAGCCTCAGTCCTGGATCTACAGCCTCAGTCCTGGATCTACAGCCTCAGTCCTGGATCTACAGCCTCAGTCCTGGATCTACAGCCTCAGTCCTGGTTCTACAGCCTCAGTCCTGGATCTACAGCCTCAGTCCTGGATCTACAGCCTCAGTCCTGGGTCTACAGCCTCAGTCCTGGATCTACAGCCTCAGTCCTGGGTCTACAGCCTCAGTCCTGGATCTACAGTCTCAGTCCTGGATCTACAGTTGAACAGTTTTCTGTGTGAGTGGACCGTGCTGCGGCGTCAGAGACAGATGTTGTGTCACACGTGTCTTCTGCTCTGATTGTTGCGGCGTTTGTGAGCGAACAGCTGTGCTTCAGTCTGTGTGTGTGTCTGTGGGTGTCTGTGTGTGTGTGTGTGTGTGTGTGTGGGTGTGTGTGTGTGTCTGTGTGTGTGTGTGTATTATGAGTCTGTGTGTCGTAGTATCTACATGCGTGTGTCTATCTCTGTTTGCGTGTCTATCTCTGTGTGTGTCTATCTGTGTGCATGTGTGTGTTAGTAGGTGTGTCTGTGTGACTCTGGGTCTATCTGTGTGTCTGTGTGTGTGTCCGTTTGTGGCTGTGTGTGTGCCTCTGTGTGTGTCTAATCTATCTGTGTGTGTGTAGGTGTGTGTGTGTGTTTTATGTTTAATGTTGTGTTGCAAATGGACACATTGATTGGTCCAAACAGAGTGTTTCCATGGAGACCAATCAACAATACTTCAGGTCCTACTTTTGTCCAATCAGGCTCGAGCTCTCGCTGTAAGGACTTTGGTTTCTAATAAACAAGGATGATGCGGGGAAATCCTCAATCCTTAAAACAACAAACCATTGTTTATTATTCAAAAATACATCATAAAAAATTTAAAATATAGAAAACAAGACTTACAGAATCTAATGACCTGTGTCACATTGTGTCTTTATTCTCCATTTAGTAAACAATAAAACACAAACGTTATCTTTGGGCCCACATTGCTGCTTGCGGTTCTACTTGTTTTTCTGTCTGGAATGTGCTGCAGTTTGATATTAAACCGACGATGGAGACGAGCGAGTAACAACACCGAACATGTAACGAGTCAGAGAAGAGAACCTCATTAAAAAGAACAGAAACAAACTCATTTTTATGTTGTTCTTTTAAAGGTGCAGTTAGCGATGACGTTAGCTTAGCCGTAGCACCAACTCATCATCACTCCCCCTCCCCTCGCCTCTCAACCAAACATCCAGCCTTTTCTTTTCATTGTCACAACAGGGAGAGTGGGCGGCAAACGTGAAATTGGCATTTTCTGTTCAGTCCTTTTAGGTTTTAGAAAATCCGATAACTCCGGTGCGCGCACTCGCAAGAAATAATATTTTTATCGGTCTGCTCCAAAATATTTTGTATTGATTTTTGTAGAATATACGCATCTGGCCAATTCCATTACTATTTGAAAACACATGATTACTTGACTACTTTTAAGGTTTAGGGACGTTTTCCCACAATACAAAAACAAATTGGACTGGAAATAATCACTGACTGCTTCTTTAATTATTTCAAGCACCCCAGTAATACCCCTACAGAGAGATCCAAGGGTGCAAACTTCCAACATCAACCACCGCCATCTAACACAATCCTCACAAAGCAGCTGTGGTCAGAGCACAGAGGGAGGGGGTCATCATGGGGGGCCATCATGGGGGGGGCATCATGGGGGGTCAGACCTTTAAAACCTGTTCTCATTATGGATGACTTTAACGTTAGAATGTCAGGTTTGACCAACCCCGGTGATCCAAGATGGCGTCCTACAGGCATTGTCTGGTTCTGCGCAGTGGACGAGCTCCCATGATGCTTTGTGGCAAATACGCGTGTGTGGCTCTCATGAACGTGCACAGAGGGGCTCGGCCGCGCTCTGACCAATCACAGCTGCTGATCAGAGCGGAGCTAAAGCGGGAGACGATCGAGCAGAGTTTGTGGAATAAAAGAGTGGACTTGGATTTGAGAAGAAAAAAAGTTCAGGATGACACGGGACACTAAAATCACCACTTTTATGAAAGCTGTAGGTTCTCTGTCAGGTTCTCTGTCAGGTTCTCTGTCAACTGAGGTCGAGCTGTTGCAGTTTACATTGAGTTCTATGGGGAAAATGTTTACTCCTGTTTAGTCTGCAGTACCGCGAGAATCCCCCGAGCACCTGGTCCTTCAGCTCCAAGCTAGCAACACCCTGTCCAGATATTATTATAGATCCATGGTTTGACCTGTTCCACTGAGTTCATGGAGCTCGTCATCGCAGCTCCACACAAACAGAACCATGTGTCATGTGCTCCTCACCAGGTTCTGAGCAGTTCACGTTTAAGACAGTCCAGAATTTTAGATAGAGGCCTTTAGACCAAAATGGAGGAAAGAGTGTGACGATTTGCACCATTTCAGCATGGACGGATCAAAACAACTCCAGAAACAGAGGTGTAACTAAGTAAAAGAAATGTGGTTTTGCACATTTTGCCTCTTTATGATTATATGTACTATAGGTGCCATGTTGAGCTGAACTGGAACTGATCTCTGTGTGCGTCTGTGTGTGTCTCCTTATGTCTGTATCGTTTGTTGAATGATGTCCTTGTAAATACTGTAAATAGATCACATGATTTTAACTGTCTGTGTGGCAAACATGTTTTTCTCTTTCAGGAGGCACAGGACTATACGGATGAAAAATAGCCGCTTTGCTAATTCTGGCATATTTACAGAAATGTTCATTAACATGCACTGTTCCTGTAATAGATCAAATCAATAATTAAACTGTTCTGCAGAAACCAGGCCTCACTTTTCATTTGACTCTTGACTCACAGATTATCCAGACCTTTGTTCACTAATACGTTTAGGTATAATGTATTTAGAACTTTATGCAGTTACAAGAAAAAGATGCTGCACCAGATTTAGCACCAGCAACTTCCGTGGGACACATGAGGACCCGTTCGTAGTGGACTTAAATGACGCTGATATTTTGGATTCGAAAAGATGCATTTGTGGGACACAGGTGTTGCACAAAGAGCCTGGGAATCCTCTGCTGTGTCCTGGGACTCGGCCCAAACTCTGCAGCACAACATGGGCCCGACTCCAGATCCACACGAGGAGACGCACTCGAGAGGATTACTCACTCCTGAATCATGACTTCATTTAGTTACTCGAGTAAAAGTGCAGCCGTTTGGAGCTAAAAACAACACATGAGGATCACAGCAAAAGGCTTAAAAAACAGAGAATGTGCAAAGGACGGTGAACTAAAGTTTACTCTGTTACTTTGATACATTTCATAATCTGTAATGAATGATGTCACAGTAAAAGGTTCTATCTGAAATTTCAACCATGTATTTTATTTAAAGAATAAGATAAGACAGACTTTATTGATCTCACACTGGACAAATGTACATGTCACATTTGGCAGCATGTTAATTCATTGACTGCCAGCCATTGTTGATGATTTCCCTGATTCTCAAGACCCACAGAATATTTTGTCTATATGACTATGTGAAATATGAAACAGGATTCAGAAAGACTGGATTGTATACTTCCATCCGCAGAAATAACTTTGTTTCTAGATAGTTTTGTTGTCCTGTAATCCCCGGTCGAAAAGAGGGAAGTTTGACAGAAATCACCAGTCTCGGACAAATACATCAATGGCAGTCAATGAGTTAAAGGTTAAAAATGCAGGATATATTTTGTACAATAAAAAAGGTGGAAATAGCAGAGCAGGTTTTTTTCAGTCCAAGTGCATTAGTGGCTTAAAGAATGTTATTGTTCTGTCCTGAAACACACCGGAGCTTGTTTTGGCTTCATGCTAAACTCATAATAATTAGATTACCATGGTTGTATTTATTTGTGTAATAAAACCTAAAATGTGAAATATGATACGGATATGATACACAGAGCACCAGCCCCTCACTGATCCTCCTGCAGCTGCTGAGTCCACAGGAGCTGAGATCTTTCAGCGAGGGCTTCAGGCAAAGTGGGGTTAAGTGTCTTGCCCAAGGACACAATGGCGGCAGTCCTCAGTGGGAGTAAAAAAAAAAGTAGATTTTTTGTGTGAATATTACCTAAAATCAATAAAATAATTAAATGAAACAATAAAAGTGGACTCCCACGGCCTCATTATCATCGTTTGGGTGAATGTGAGAAAGTACTGAGGCTCGGAGCCAAACAATGTCTGTGTGAAATAAATGTATGTTTTTCTCTTTGGTCACAAGGAGCGAGGAGGTCATGTTACGCAGCAGGCCTCGATGTTTGTTTATCAACTGGATTATCTCCATTGTGAGATCATTAAAGTTGTTCTCTCTCTGTGTCTGAGATCATCGTTGTAGAGCGGCTTGTGTTTTCAGTTATTCACATGTAAAATGTTGTTAACTTAAAAACCTATGGGTCTGGGATCATCTACTGTCATCGTCATCACAGACACCTGACAGTTGTGTGTTTCCTGGAGTCATATTTCAATGGAATGATGTCAGTTTGGGGGATACAGAAGAAGGTAAAGCTGTGTTTATATTATATTATCCATATTATATTCTACATTATCCATATTATATTAAGTCTGTGGTTCAGATTACCTTCCTGTAAGATACTGTTCTCTGAGACACGGTCTGTGCTTTTTGTCTTGTCGCTGAGTTTTGCTGCATTGCCACGCTCAGCCTGTATCCATGGCAACAGCTGTGGACCCAGCATGCTCGTGGTCCACAGCTAAGAGCCATGTCACCACCCACCTCTAATATACACTATTATCTGTCACTCTGGCCAGCTCCCCGTAGCCATGGCAACTGCAACGCCTTCACTCTGAGGCCACAGCTCATCAGATAAAGATGCTCACTCTGGCCTCATGCTCCAACTCCTCCATTAGAGGGCGCTGTGCAGTGACTAAGGCCAGCACGTAGTGAGAAACACCAGGAGAGTGGACGGTCCAACCCCTGTGCAGGAGCTCAGGGCCCAGGCTGTGGAGGTGAGACCCACTACTTCCACAGCCACCTCTAGTCTGTATCTCACCCCCTCCTCCTCCATCTCAGGCTCCTCCTTCTCCAGCTCAGGCTCCTCCTCCTCCAGCTCAGGCTCCTCCTCCTCCAGCTCAGGCTCCTCCTCCTCAAGCTCAGGCTCCTCCCCCAGTGAGGTTAGGTTTACATGTCCCCACCAACCCCTAGTGGTCCAAGATGGCAGCCTATTCAAATCAACGGCTTGTGCTCAGTGGCGCCCCACCATGGGCACCGAAAGATTAGCAGAACTTGCCGATATTTGGCATTTCACTGGTCCTCCCATTTCCCATGATGCTTTGCGCCAAATACTATCAAGTATGCCTGTGTGGCGCTCATACTCGTGCACAGAGGAGCAGCGTTCTGAACAATCAGAGCAGCTAATCAGAGACGAGCTAGAGCGGGAGACAAACCAGCAGAGTTTGTTGCACCAAAACAAACTCTGCTGGACGATAAGAGACAAATCCCCACAGAATCCTCCTTTGTGAAATCTGTAGGTTCTCTGTCAGGTTCTCTGTCAGTTGAGGTCGAACTGTTTTAGTTCACATTGAGTTCTATGAGACATCTTGGGTAATGTTCATTAGTTTTATTAAGTCTGCAGTACCGCGCCCATGGGACAGCTAAAAGCTAGTAATAATCTATCCAGGTTATTATAGATCCATGGTCCCCACAGCCAGATGTTGCGTGTGTAGACCACCACCTAGTTTGTTTTTAACCTCTGATTGACTTTTTTAAAGTAAAACTTAAATAACTGATGTGTCAATACATTTTAGTGCAAGTAAAAGAGAAAATTATATTAGATTAGTTAATTCAACAATTGTTCCGACGCTATGTTTAAATCATTTATGACTTTTATAAGAAAATCACGAAGAGACTTCTGTCTGAACAGCATTTATGTTTAGGGAAATAGACCCAAAGGTAACCACCCTTGATTGTTTTGCTTTTCAGATAAAATCATTCAGTATTTTGCTCAACTCTTCCCTACCCCTGCTGAAGAAAAGCAGCCCCACAGCATGATGCTAGCACCACCATCTTTGACTCTTGTCTCACTTATCTCCACCTGTTCTCAGCCCTGCCTACAGTATGTGTCCTTCACTATTCTCAGATTCCATAATGCTTTTCAGGCTCAGGGATCGCTCTCATAAACAAAACAATAATAATGATAATAATAATAATAATAATGCATTGGTTTTATATAGCACTGTTTTGGACACTCAAAGACGCTCCACATGTCATGGCACCTTTTCTCTCCGAAGCTCACATTGTCTCACCTTTTCTGTTCCAAGAGTTTTTAAAGAAGTTGGACTCAGATCGTTCCGATACAAGGCTCCCTCAGACTGGAATAAACACGATCTATTATGTCCTTTGGTTTTTTAAGTTTGAATCATTTAGGTTCCTTAAAACTCTTTGTTTATGTGACTAATGTTGTGCGTCCTGTTTGTGTGATTATTGTTAACAGTTTTACTTTGTCTTTTTCTACATGTTTAATTTTAGCCGAGGGAGGAGTGGGGTGTGAAGAAGCATTTGTTTCATTTTGTTTGTGTGTGTGTGTGTGTGTGTGTGTGTGTGTACATGATTCATCTCAAGGGGCTTTCTTTAATAAACTTAATAATAAACTTTATAATGATTATTATTATTCTTTCACCTAAACTATTACTGTAGCCACAGCTGCCCTGGGGCACACTGACAGGAGTGAGGCAACCAGTCTGTGCCATCGGCCCCTCCGACCACCACCAACCATTCACACACAGACTCATTCTAAGTAATATGGGTGAAGTGTCTTGCCTAAGGACACAGCAGCAGTTTGGCACTTTACAGCAGCAGCCGCCCCACTGTAGCTCCTGGTGTTCCCAGAGGTCTCCCATCACAGTACTAACCAGGCCCTGCCCTGCACAGCTAAATGTTTCTGATGCCGAAATGTTTTTTTTAGGAGAAACTGAACCATTTAAATAGATGGGATACAAGGAAAATGAGAGCTTTTCACGTATGACTTTTCAAAAACAAAACCAAGCACAAACCTTTAGGTGTTGGATTTATCTCATTTAAATGTCACGGTTTAAGGAAGCTATTCTTTAGGCTCGTACATGTTTTAGTTTTAGATTGTGTGAATTGGATCAGTGGCGTACGACCCCGGCCCACAGAGCATTATGCTAACATAGAGGTAGCGTTCTGCAGACTGGTGTGGAGTGGTGCTGGTGCTGTGGGCGGCTGCAGCAGGAAACACTGCTGTCATCAGTCATCTGCATCAGGCCTGAACGCGCACAGCGGCAACAACAGCAGGAGCATGAGTCCAAATTTAAACTCAAAATCAAAAAACGTAATTTATCCGTGAGGAAATTCATTTCAAAGACTTAGATTTCAAAATAAAAAAGACTCGTGAAAGCATCTGTTCCACTTTGCGTTAATCTAGTTTGAAAAAGTCCATTAAAAAGTAAACGTGACAAATATAGATCCTCAGTGTTTCCAAATCCCTGCTGCGGCGCTGTGGGCATCTTTAACCGAGATGTTAAAACAGGAGCATTTCCTGTTTATGTTTTGTCTGATTATTTATTTATCATCAGTGATCGGAAAGCAGGTTACACACAATCACGTCTGATGCTTTGTTTTCTCAGGAAACAGTCGAGGATGACGCCCTGAGTTTCAGAAAAAACTACTTAAATACTTGAGATGTTTCTGCCGCAGACTTCGCCTTCGTCTGTTTTATCAAAGTCTTCCTCTCAGAGCTCATCCTCAGGATCTTTGTCTCATGCTTCAAATAATAAACTCCAGTGACATCAGCGTCTCCCTCACAGTTTCTCTGCTGCGGTGACTTCACCTGCAGCAGACGTCATGTTCAGATGTTCAGTACCTGCTCAAATCCTCTTGGACCTGCTGCCTGAGGGAGGAGCCAAGTCCCTGCTGCCTGAGGGAGGAGCCAAGTCCCTGCTGCCTGAGGGAGGAGCTAAGTCCCTGCTGCCTGAGGGAGGAGCCAAGTCCCTGCTGCCTGAGGGAGGAGCCAAGTCCCTGCTGCCTGAGGGAGGAGCTAAGTCCCTGCTGCCTGAGGGAGGAGCTAAGTCCCTGCTGCCTGAGGGAGGAGCTAAGTCCCTGCTGAGAGGAGCAGATCTCAGCGCAAAAGCTCTGAGCTCTTCCACAGTGTTAAAGACTGCTGTTCTTCAGCAGGGACAGGGAAGATACAGGATACCTCATCAGTATGTCTCCCCCTCATCAGCATGTCTTATCAGTATGTCTCCCCCTCATCAGCATGTCTCATCAGTATGTCTCCCCCTCATCAGTATGTCTCATCAGTATTTCTCCCCCTCATCAGCATGTCTCAACAGTATGTCTCCCCCTCATCAGCATGTCTCATCAGTATGTCTCCCCCTCATCAGTATGTCTCATCAGTATTTCTCCCCCTCATCAGCATGTCTCATCAGTATGTCTCCCCCTCATCAGCATGTCTCATCAGTATGTCTCCCCCTCATCAGTATGTCTCATCAGTATTTCTCCCCCTCATCAGCATGTCTCATCAGTATGTCTCCCCCTCATCAGCATGTCTCATCAGTATGTCTCCCCCTCATCAGTATGTCTCATCAGTATGTCTCTCATGACCGTGAGACGCTGCGTCTTATTCCGCGCGCACGTGAGGTCCTCGTTCACTGTCGTTATTCCAATGGACCGACCGTGTTGCCATGACAACCTGGACCGAGGAGCTTAACAACCGCTGATATAGTAAAGTGTGGTTCGGAGGCGCGTGCCCTTCAATCACGTCTGACACGCGCGCTGCATGAGTGACATGTTATTATGATGAGACAGTAAAGCGCGTGCACGGTCACATTCCGCTGTTCAAAATGCGCGTGTGACGTGACGAACATCAACATGTCGTCCCCGCGCACGTCATACATGAACCTGAGCGCGCACTTACATTCCCCGCAGCCGGTGCAGGACGTGAGCTGGCAGGTCCACGATGTCCTCGGTCCTCTGCCTCTCCAGCCGCTCCAGCCGCCCGTCGGCCGTGCTCTGTGGGGCTGCGCTGTCTCTCATGTCCGCGGTGTTCTGCTGGTCCCCGTGTGACCCCGGGTCTGTCCCCGCCAGAGTCTGTGCGCATCTGTCCGCTCCAGCGGCGCTCATCTCATCCTCCGAGTGCCGTGCGCGCGCGTCTTCGTGCGCGTCTGTCTGCTGCTGTGCTCCCAAGTCTCCTTCAGAGTGATTAGTATTCAGCGCTCCTCTGCTCCCCTCCTGCTCCTCCTCCTCCTCTTGTGCTGCAGTTGGGGTATGTCCCCCTCGCGGCTCCTCGCGGACCTCCATCCTGCAGATGTCTGGAGAAAGTTTACATCTCTGCTGGAGTTTGTTGTCACCGGTTGGAGACGCACGTTCCTCATCCATATTCATGGTCTCTGACGGGAGGACTTGACATCGCAGTGCGCGCTTCTACTGCGTCCCCTCCTCATCTCCATTCTGCATCTCACCCCCTCCCTCCCTCCCCCTCTCTCTCTCTAGCCCCCCCCCCCCTCTCCCCACTTCTCTCTCTAAAGTGAAATGCAGAAAGAAAAGAATGATAGAGAAAAACAACATTATTATTGTAAAAATAATAATGTTAATGCGGCTCAAACTGGTGAAGCCTCTTGTGTGAAACCTTGATCTGATTTAAGTTCAGACATGAAACTGATGTTTCAGATCAAAGTTCTTCGGATTTAGTTATAACCTGGTTTTATTCATCCATAAACTGTGGTCAATTATCATATCACACATTTACGTCTGGATCGGGTCCTAGTGTCTGCAGTTTCTTCGGTTGAATCCCAACCAACCATTTTTCTGCCTGAGATGTTGCTGCAGTTCAGTGTTTATGGTTTTACACTGGTCCAGACCAGAGCAGAGATTTTGAAAAATGCTAATGAAGCTTTGGACTATGCAGCGAAAATGGTCCAAACCAATCGGCTACTCCACCTTGTGACCCGTCCTGCTCCACCCAGAGGCTACTCCACCTCTGCTGCTGTGACCTGAAGGGCTGTTGCTGATCATTCCTATTGTTATCTTTTTAAAATGATTAATTTTATTATTTATTTTTGCTGCTACTGGAATTTCTCCGACAGGGATGAGTAAAGTATCTATCTATCACTCGGGCGCACTACAAACGTCACAGTAAACTTAGATCCAAACGTTTCAATCTGCAAAATGATTTAACCCCTCCCACCTGTTAGCGGAGCTCAAAGGAGAAAAGCCAGACCTTAGTACGAAATTAAATGATTGCAAAGGTGTGGTGTAAGACCAGAATGAATTAGATTTCCTCCAACAATATCTTACATTAGTGTTTGTCAAACAGCGCCCCTGCAGGTTTCGTCTAAGATTACACCTCTGCGCAGTCAATAGTTCAAGAAACAACCAAACACTGAGAAAATCCAGGTCATGATCCATTTTCCAGCATTGATCCTGAAAAAACAGATCCACAGTCTGTGCTCATTCATCTCAATGGAAAACTGTCAGTCTCTTTGCAACACATGGATTTTCAGTCACGTGATGCTACAGAGCGACACGAAAGAATGTGTTTTAGAATGGTTTGAGCCATTTATTATCTCAAGGAGCCTGATGATGGAGGAGCCTGATGGAGGAGGAGCCTGATGGAGGAGCCTGATGGAGGAGCCTGATGATGGAGGAGCCTGATGGAGGAGGAGCCTGATGATGAAGGAGCCTGATGGAAGAGTCTGATGATGGAGGAGGTGCCTGATGATGGAGGAGCCTGATGATGAAGGAGCCTGATGGAGGAGTCTGATGATGGAGGAGGAGCCTGATGATGGAGGAGCCTGATGATGATGGAGGAGTATGATGATGGAGGAGCCTGATGATGGAGGAGCCTGATGATGGAGGAGCCTGATGATGCAGGAGCCTGATGGAGGAGTAGTATGATGATGGAGGAGCCTGATGATGGAGGAGCCTCATGGAGGAGCCTGATGATGGAGGAGTAGTAAGATGATGGAGGAGCCTCATGGAGGAGCATGATGATGGAGGAGCCTGATGGAGGAGGAGCCTGATGATGGAGGAGCCTGATGATGGAGGAGCCTGATGATGGAGGAGGAGCCTGATGGAGGAGGAGCCTGATGATGGAGGAGCCTGATGATGGAGGAGCCTGATGATGCAGGAGCCTGATGGAGGAGGAGCCTGATGATGGAGGAGCCTGATGATGGAGGAACATGATGATGGAGGAGCCTGATGATGCAGGAGCCTGATGATGGAGGAGTCTGATGATGGAGGAGGAGCCTGATGATGGAGGAGCCTGATGATGGAGGAGTAGTATGATGATGGCGGAGCCTGATGATGGAGGAGCCTGATGATGGAGGAGCCTGATGATGGAGGAGTAGTATGATGATGGAGGAGCCTCATGGAGGAGCATGATGATGGAGGAGCCTGATGGAGGAGGAGCATGATGATGGAGGAGCCTGATGGAGGAGGAGCCTGATGATGGAGGAGCCTGATGATGGAGGAGGAGCCTGATGGATGATGAGCCTGATGATGGAGGAGCCTGATGATGCAGAGCCTGATCGAGGAGGAGCCTGATGATGAAGGAGCCTGATGGAGGAGTCTGATGATGGAGGAGGAGCCTGATGATGGAGGAGTAGTATGATGATGGAGGATGGAGGAGCCTCATGGAGGAGCCTGATGATGGAGGAGCCTGATGGAGGAGGAGCCTGATGATGGAGGAGCCTGATGATGGAGGAGGAGCCTGATGGAGGAGGAGCCTGATGATGGAGGAGCCTGATGGAGGAGGAGCCGGATGATGGAGGAGCCTGATAATGCAGGAGCCTGATGATGGAGGAGGAGCCTGATGATGGAGGAGTCTGATGATGGAGGAGCCTGATGATGGAGGAGCCTGATGGAGGAGGAGCCTGATGATGGAGGAGCCTGATAATGCAGGAGCCTGATGATGGAGGAGTCTGATGGAGGAGGAGCCTGATGGAGGAGCCTGTAGTAGGAGCCTGATGAGGGAGGAGCCTGATGATCGAGGAGCCTGTTGTAGGAGCCTGATGAGGGAGGCGCCTGATGATGGAGGAGCCTGATGATGGAGGAGCCTGTTGTAGGAGCCTGATGAGGGAGGAGCCTGATGATGGAGGAGCCTGATGGAGGAAGAGCCTGATGATGCAGGAGCCTGATGATGGAGGAGCCTGATGATGGAGGAGCTTGTTGTAGGAGCCTGATGGAGGAGCCTGTAGTAGGTGCCTGATGAGGGAGGAGCCTGATGATGGAGGAGCCTGATGGAGGAGGAGCCTGATGATGGAGGAGCCTGATGGAGGAGGAGCCTGATGATGGAGGAGCCTGATGGAGGAGGAGCCTGATGATGCAGGAGCCTGATGATGGAGGAGCCTGTTGTAGGAGCCTGATGATGGAGGAGCCTGATGATGGAGGAACCTGATGGAGGAGGAGCCTGATGATGGAGGAGCCTGATGATGCAGGAGCCTGATGATGGAGGAGCTTGTTGTAGGAGCCTGATGGAGGAGCCTGTAGAAGGAGCCTGATGAGGGAGGAGCCTGATGATGGAGGAGCCTGTTGTAGGAGCCTGATGAGGGAGGAGCCTGATGATGGAGGAGCCTGATGGAGGAGGAGCCTGATGATGGAGGAGCCTGATGATGCAGGAGCCTGATGATGGAGGACCCTGTTGTAGGAGCCTGATGAGGGAGGAGCCTGATGATGGAGGAGCCTGATGGAGGAGGAGCCTGATGATGCAGGAGCCTGATGATGGAGGAGCCTGATGATGGAGGAGCTTTTTGTAGGAGCCTGATGGAGGAGCCTGTAGTAGGAGCCTGATGAGGGAGGAGCCTGATGATGGAGGAGCCTGATGGAGGAGGAGCCTGATGATGGAGGAGCCTGATGGAGGAGGAGCCTGATGATGCAGGAGCCTGATGATGGAGGAGCCTGTTGTAGGAGCCTGATGAGGGAGGAGCCTGATGATGGAGGAGCCTGATGGAGGAGGAGCCTGATGATGGAGGAGCCTGATGGAGGAGGAGCCTGATGATGCAGGAACCTGATGATGGAGGCGCCTGATGATGGAGGAGCTTGTTGTAGGAGGAGCCTGATGAGGGAGGAGCCTGATGATGGAGGAGCCTGATGGAGGAGGAGCCTGATGATGGAGGAGCCTGATGGAGGAGGAGCCTGATGGAGGAGCCTGTAGTAGGAGCCTGATGAGGGAGGAGCCTGATGATGGAGGAGCCTGATGGAGGAGGAGCCTGATGATGCAGGAGCCTGATGATGGAGGAGCCTGATGGAGGAGGAGCCTGATGATGGAGGAGCCTGATGATGCAGGAGCCTGATGATGGAGGACCCTGTTGTAGGAGCCTGATGAGGGAGGAGCCTGATGATGGAGGAGCCTGATGGAGGAGGAGCCTGATGATGCAGGAGCCTGATGATGGAGGAGCCTGATGATGGAGGAGCTTTTTGTAGGAGCCTGATGGAGGAGCCTGTAGTAGGAGCCTGATGAGGGAGGAGCCTGATGATGGAGGAGCCTGATGGAGGAGGAGCCTGATGATGGAGGAGCCTGATGGAGGAGGAGCCTGATGATGCAGGAGCCTGATGATGGAGGAGCCTGTTGTAGGAGCCTGATGAGGGAGGAGCCTGATGATGGAGGAGCCTGATGGAGGAGGAGCCTGATGATGGAGGAGCCTGATGGAGGAGGAGCCTGATGATGCAGGAACCTGATGATGGAGGCGCCTGATGATGGAGGAGCTTGTTGTAGGAGGAGCCTGATGAGGGAGGAGCCTGATGATGGAGGAGCCTGATGGAGGAGGAGCCTGATGATGGAGGAGCCTGATGGAGGAGGAGCCTGATGGAGGAGCCTGTAGTAGGAGCCTGATGAGGGAGGAGCCTGATGATGGAGGAGCCTGATGGAGGAGGAGCCTGATGATGCAGGAGCCTGATGGAGGAGGAGCCTGATGGAGGAGGAGCCTGATGATGGAGGAGCCTGATGGAGGAGGAGCCTGATGATGCAGGAGCCTGATGGAGGAGCCTGATGGAGGAGGAGCCTGATGATGGAGGAGCCTGATAGAGGAGCCTGATGGAGGAGCCTGATGGAGGAGGAGCCTGAAGAAGGGAGGAGCCTGATGGAGGAGCCTGATGGAGGAGGAGCCTGATGATGGAGGAGCCTGATGGAGTCTGTTGGAGGAGGAGCCTCCATCATATTGGATTCTGTTCTTGGAGAAACACGTCTGAAATGATATTCGTCTTGTTCTTGATGTTTATTAATCATTATATTAAGATTTTTCACATTGATTCCAACGAAAGCTTGATTTTCATCTTAGACTTTTATGAAGCCTTCGATTCAATCACTCACTTTATTTTTAACAACAACAACAAAAAACGGTTTTGAATCTTTTTTTTCTGCGATGCTATTAAAACAATATAAAATGATGCAAACATGGCGCCTCTCCTCGATTTAGTATCAACAAAAGGATTCAAAGGGTTCCCCAATTTCTCCTTTATTTTTATTATCCTCGCCGACTGTAGATCCATGAATCATGTTGAAGAAATGTTCCTTTGACAGAGATTGGGATGATCCAGTTATCAGACGACACCACAACAATCCCTCATGCGCTACACTTAGTACAAGCCTTTTCTAAATATCTGCAGACTTAATCTCCCTGTAAAAATCTATGCTTTAGGATCTATACGTGAACTCCCAGTCAAAAACAACGTTACATATTTGGTGCGTAATTACTGTATTTCTAAAAATGAAATGGAAAGAAGCTTACTGAACTTCAACCCTTTCACAAAAACACAAAAACCTTTTAAATGAAAATGGAGGTTTAAGTTAAAAATCCTACCTCTATTTGGAATATTTTTTCAAATGTGGGCGGCCTTCATTTTCTTCTCATTTGTAACTAAAACATCAGTAAATTACCAGTCAAACTCTTCTAGCATGAGCGCTTATATTCTTTATATGAAATAACAAACATATACTGTGTAAGAACAGATCCATATTTTATCCAAACTGGCTCTAGAAGAAGGAGCGACAGTGGCTCAGGTGGAAGAGCGTTGGCCTTTGGGTCTGAAGGTCTGAAGGTCAAGGTCTGGTTTGGGTCTGAAGGTCTGGGTCTGATGGATCCAAGGCATCTCTGACTGTGACGGACGCCGCTGTAGGGAAAGCTGGCACCGCTTCGTAAAAACAACAAAAGAAAACCGGCTCTATTTCAAGAAGGTGCTATTTCTGTTCCATCTGCTATTTTTATCTGGAGAAACTTTATCCCTGATGTTGTTTAGAAACGAGGATGGTCTCTGAACCGAAATATATAAATGTATAAATAACAAAATGAAAGATGTCTGATTCAAACGCACACATAGGATTTACCACTAATACATTCATGCAGAAATATTATCAAGACCATAGACTGTGCTTGTAAAAAACGTTCTGGAAGGAGCGCTTACGATTCATAAGAGAAAAACTGACCCCACTTTCCTTTTCAAATTGAACATTTCATTTTTGGTTTTCATGAGAAGAAAACAAATACAGATAAAAGAATGTGTTTGTCATTTACAGATAAAAGAATGGCAATAAACATAATTAAACTGTTTGGCAAATTTTACATCCACAAAAATGAAAATTCCGTATTAGTTGAATGCTTTAAGTAAAATGAAATAATATACTGTATATGTGTCTCCGCCTGACATTACATATATCATATGCTTTGTTTTGTGTGTACTCACTTTGTGCTTTGTAAGAAAGCACAAAGTAACATTCAAACCTGTTACTAAAAGCAAGGTTAATTCTTAGTAATGTTTGGCCTTCCATGTCTAAGGAGGGAAACAGTATTTTAGATTCAAATACTTCTTTATCAGATGCAATGTTTCGAAATTCAATAATTTTTCTGTCTGTCTGTCCCACAGCCAACATGTGGCGTGTATTTGTCATAAACTTAGAAAGTTCAGGTTAAGCTCAAGCAAAGAGAGAGTTCCTCTCTGCTGGATCATCTCAAAGTGCTCCGCTCGGGGTGAGGCCTAGACTTTGGGCTGGATCTGTTTTTCTGTTTTAACACATGTCAGACATCACAGTGCGATATCCATAGAGCAGCAGTCAAAAGAATATAAGCACACCAACATACGCACTATGTTACATGTACATGTCCACCACCAGAGGGAGACAGAGAGTGAGACTGTTGACCCTTCCTCTCCTTCTTCCAAAAGAGTCTCTCAAAGACAGGGTCAGTGAGTGACAGCATCTGCTTTACTGTCTCCATCTGGTCATGAACTTGGTAAAGTCTGGTTTAAGTCTGGTTAAAATCTTGATAGTGGTGTCTACATTTACAGTCCAAAGGTCTACATAATCCACCTGCAGATTCTCTTCTACAGTAATGATCATCTGCAGCGTTCTGCAGGAGGCTGGATGTGTGTACATGGAATACATGTCATTGAATTGAGTGGATTTATCGACCTCTGTCCAGTGGCAGTTGTGGTTCAGCAGATGTTAGATGCATCTGAACTGATTTGTATAAAGCTGGGAAAGGTCACAGAACCATCTCTGACCTTTCAACTGGTGGTTAGCACTGAAGTGATTCTACAACTAATGGGAACACCTTGTCCTGGATTGATATAAAGGAAAAGTCTAGGCATTTCTGAGTTGTTTTCCATTTTCCAAAAGTGGTACACTGCAAGATGAGCTGTGAGACAAATGTTCAGGAATAAACATTTTTTTGAATAATGGTTTTACATTAGAACAGCCTTGTCCAGTTTTACACTTTCAACCCATCATAACATGTTACTCAGTGGCTCGTAGTAAACACTTTCACATGTTACAGGTTGATGAAATGATTAATTTACTTAAATATGTTATTAAAATAAATATTATACGGACTACTGTGAGACAGACTACTGTAAGTAAGTAAGTAAGTAATTTTTATTTATATAGCGCATTTTACAGACCAAGGTACAGACCCAAAGCGCTTTACAATGTTCAGAGTCAGATGTTGTTCCAATCATTCCACACACGGTGATGACAGAAGCGAGTCCAGAACACACTGGACCATCAGCTCCAACACCATCCATTCACTCTCTCATTTACATTCAGACCTATTGTGCATGTTTTTAGTAGTAGGGGAAACCGGAGCACCCGGAGGAAACTTACGCAGACACAGGGGAGAACATGCAAACTCCACTCAGAAAGGCCCTGTTCCTTGTTGAGAGAGGAGAGTGCTATCCACTCGGCCCCACCGTACTGTGAGACAGACTACTGTGAGACAGACTACTGTGAGACAGACTACTGTGAGACAGACTACAGCGCATTTTACAGCGGTCTGTACCTTGGTCTGTAAAATGCGCTATATAAATAAAAATTACTTACTTACTTACTTACAGTAGTCTGTCTCACAGTAGTCCGTATAATATTTATTTTAATAACATATTTAAGTAAATTAATCATTTCATCAACCTGTAACATGTGAAAGTGTTTACTACGAGCCACTGAGTAACATGTTATGATGGGTTGAAAGTGTAAAACTGGACAAGGCTGTTCTAATGTAAAACCATTATTCAAAAAAATGTTTATTCCTGAACATTTGTCTCACAGCTCATCTTGCAGTGTACTACTTTTGGAAAATCTTAATCTTGATCTTAATCTTGATCTTGTACTACTAGTGTACTACTTTTGGAAAATCTTAATCTTGATCTTATGTTCATGGCTGAAACATGGCTTGACCAAAATACAGAAAATGCAGTTTTAATAGAAGCATCACCACCAAATTTCAAATTTGAATCTGAAATACGGGAAAACAAAAAAGGAGGAGGCTTAGCTGCCATTTTGAGAGACCACTTTGTCTCCCATAGAATGTCTCTTGGGAAGTTTCCGTCTTTTGAATATGTGTCTTTTAAAATACAACAAAAACAATCTCCTCCAATACTCTTCATAGTCCTATACAAGCCACCGCAGTCATGTCACAGTTTTATTGATAATTTTACCGAGTTGCTTTCAGTTGTATGCACAGATTTTGATAGTTTAGTTATTACAGGTGATTTTAATATTCATGTGGATAATGTTGATGACAGAAATGCAAAAGAGCTGAGTTCTTTACTTGATACCTTTGGTCTCACTCAGCATGTGAGTGGCCCCACCCACAGCAGAGGGCACACTCTAGACCTGTTAGTTACAAAGGGGGTGAATATTTCAAATATAAGCGTGGTCGATGTTGCTCTTTCGGATCATTTCTGTGTATTTTTTGACATGTGTTTCACTAACAAACCACCAGTGGACTCTGCAACTGTTCGAAGAAGACACATAAATGAAAATACAAGTGAACTATTTATGGGAATGATAAACTTTGAAAATGCATCGTATTCTACTGTAGATGAACTGTTTAACTCTGTCACCTCTAGTGTTTTGAATGTTCTGGATACCGTTGCCCCTGTGAAGGTTAAAATAGAGAAAAATAAGCAGAAGGCGCCGTGGGCTAAAGCAGACTCGGTCAGGGCACAAAAGAGAAAGTGCCGGAGGGCCGAGCGGAAGTGGCGCAAGTCCAACCTCCAGGTTGATTACAAGATCTTCAAAGATAAGTTGTGCGAGTTTAACCGGGTGCTACGTAGTACGAGAGAAAGGTATTTTTCTGAAATGATTGAAGGCTGCAGTAACAATCTGCGTGTTCTGTTTTCAACAGTTAATAGATTAACAAACCCCCCTGTTCAGATGCCATTAGAGCTAACTTCCAAACGTAAATGCAATGAGTTTGCACACTTTTTCAATGACAAGGTTCAAGGCATCAAAAACGCCATTGTCTCCAATCCACAGATAACAATCCAACAGCCAGAAAGGCTCTCTGAGCTAACTTACTTTGCACCTGTAGATGATAAAAATGTCCAAGAAATAATCTCCAGTTTGAGCTCCTCCACATGCAGCCTGGATGTACTACCCACTAGATTTCTGAAGTCTGTTCTGAGCAGTCTGTTACCTTCACTCACACAGATAGTAAACATGTCCCTTCATTCTGGAATATTCCCAAAGGCCCTGAAAACGGCAGTCATCAGGCCCCTGCTAAAAAAGAGCAGCCTGGATGCTACGGTACTTAACAACTATCGTCCCATCTCAAATCTGCCATTTATGGGGAAAGTCCTTGAAAAAGTTGTCTACCTACAGCTTACTAGATTTCTTATAATTAGCAACTCATTTGATATGTTTCAGTCCGGCTTTAGACCCCACCACAGCACTGAGACTGCTCTTGTCAAGGTTACAAACGATATCCGGCTGAACACTGACGCAGGCAAAGTCTCAATCTTAATCTTGTTAGATCTGAGTGCTGCCTTTGACACCGTCGACCATGAGATCCTCTTACAGAGATTAGAGGACTGGGTTGGAGTCGCTGGCACCGCCCTAAGTTGGTTTAGGTCTTACCTTGAAGACAGGAAGTACTTTGTGGAGATTGGAGACTGTGTCTCAGATCATATGGCCCTGACCTGTGGAGTACCACAGGGGTCGATCCTGGGACCTCTTCTGTTCAATCTCTACATGCTGCCGTTAGGTCAGTTAATACGCAGAAACAAAGTGCCTCCTATCACAACTATGCAGACGACACTCAGATCTATGTCTCACTGACTGCAGGAGAACATGGACCAGTGGACTCACTCCTTCACTGTATCCAACAGATCAGTGAGTGGATGCAAAACAACTTCCTTCAGCTAAACGCAGACAAAACTGAAATGATTGTCTTTGGTCCCCAGAAACAAAGAGAGAGCGTCATCTGTCACCTACAGTCTCTCTCCCTAAAACCTTCAAACAAGGTCAGAAATCTAGGGGTAATACTGGACTCAGACTTAAATTTGAATAGCCACATCAAATCAGTAACATCAGCAGCTTTTTACCATCTAAAAAACATTGCCAGGATCAAAAACATAGTGTCTAAAGCAGACTTGGAGATTCTTATCCATGCATTTGTCTCCAGTAGGTTGGACTACTGCAATGGCCTGCTCACAGGTCTGTCCAAACAGGCTGTAAAACAGCTGCAGTACATTCAAAATGCAGCAGCTCGAGTCCTGACTAGAACCAGGAAGTACGACCACATTAGTCCGGTCCTCAGGTCCCTGCACTGGCTTCCTGTGGCTCAGAGAATAGACTTTAAAACAGCTCTGCTTGTGTACAAATCTCTCCATGGCCTCGCACCAAACTATATTAGTGACATGTTAGTCCCATATGAACCAGCCCGGACTCTGAGGAGCACAGGGACTGGACTCCTGTTAGTGCCCAGAGTCAGAACTAAACATGGGGAGGCTGCTTTTCAGATTCATGCTGCTAAAATCTGGAACAGTCTTCCTGAAGATGTGAGACAGGCCTCCTCTCTGACAATGTTTAAGACAAGGTTGAAAACAGTTCTGTTTAGCTGTGCATACAACTGAGGGATTTTATATTTTTATCTTTTTTTTAATGTACTATGATTATTTATGATTTTAATACTTTCTTGTTCTGTTCAGCACTTTGAATTGCCTTGTGTATGAATTGTGCTATATAAATAAACTTGCCTTGCCTTGCCTTGCCTACTGTGAGACAGGACTACTGTGAGACAGACTACTGTGGGACAGGACTACTGTGAGACAGACTACTGTGGGACAGGACTACTGTGAGACAGGACTACTGTGAGACAGACTACTGTGGGACAGGACTACTGTGAGACAGGACTACTGTGAGACAGACTACTGTGAGACCGACTACTGTGAGACAGGACTACTGTGGGCCACGACTACTGTGAGACAGGACTACTGTGGGCCACGACTACTGTGAGACAGGACTACTGTGAGACAAGACTACTGTGAGACAGACTACTGTGGGACAGGACTACTGTGAGACAGGACTACTGTGAGACAGACTACTGTGAGACAGGACTACTGTGAGACAGACTACTGTGAGACAGGACTACTGTGAGACAGACTACTGTGAGACAGGACTACTGTGAGACAGACTACTGTGAGGCCGACTACTGTGAGACAGGACTACTGTGGGACAGGACTACTGTGAGACAGGACTACTGTGACACATGACTACTGTGAGACAGACTACTGTGGGACAGGACTACTGTGAGACGGACTACTGTGAGACAGGACTACTGTGAGACAGACTACTGTTAGACAGACTACTGTGAGACAGGACTACTGTGAGACAGACTACTGTGAGACAGACTACTGTGAGACAGGACTACTGTGAGATAGACTACTGTGAGACAGGACTACTGTGAGACGGACTACTGTGGGACAGGACTACTGTGAGACGGACTACTGTGAGACAGGACTACTGTGAGACAGACTACTGTGAGACAGACTACTGTGAGACAGGACTACTGTGAGACAGACCACTGTGAGACAGGTCTGCGGAGCTGCTGATTGTCTGATCGCTGGATGCAGATTTGGGGAGGGAGGGGCTCTTTTGGGGAGGGATACTGATGGAACTGGAGAAAGTGAGTGAGAGGCGTTCGTCCCAAAGCATCGCCGTGGAAACGCCGCAGAGAGAGGAGACGGAGGAGTGTTTCCGTGGAAACGCGTTGCTGAGAGTGATGGAATTCTGCGTCTGGATTCAAACGTAACTTTAGCGTCTCACAGAGACATTGCACTGACGTCATATGATGATGCTGCCCCCTACAGGCTGCACATGTTTATGTCACACTGCACTGACAGCAGGAACAAAAGAAATATTCATGTTGATGTTGTCTTCATTCAAAACATGAAATAGTCACAAATGTCTGAGTATTGTTAATATTTGAGGCGATATCCTCATTCTTGATTCATGTGTGATACATGTGTGATATTGTAGTAAAGGCTCCTTGCCCTGTCACCTGCACCAGCTCTGAGCCTCTGACGTCAGCGCTGTCCCGGGAGCAGTGAGCTGCTGTTTCTGGCCCTAAACCTGGCATCTGTGCCGCACTTTAATCTCTCCATCTCATTCCCTGATGTGTCATGTGGCCCAGCCTCACGGAGTCACATAAGGACACCTCCCGCATGTTTTGTGTGCGCTCTGCACCTGCGCTGTGGCCCCAGAGCGCATCACGCAGAGGATTCGTGGAGCGTCCCCATGTCCCCTTTGTCCTGTTTCCCCTCTGTCCCTCTTCCCTTTTGTCCTTCTTCCTTTTGGCTTTTGTCCCATTTGTCCTTCATCCCCTTTGTCCTTCGTCCCCTTTGTCCTTGTGACCTTTGTGGTTCTGTTTCTCGCCGTCATTCTTCCTTCTTCTTCTCCACGGACCCAGAACCCCATAAGCTTTCGTTGGACCCATTAAAGTGGCTGTCTGTCATTTTGTGAGCTGCTGTAATATTGCACACAATTTCACATTGAAGCACTTAAGACACAAACACCTTGCATTTACCACATCTGGAGTTTGTGGTGTTTTTGTATTGTGTACAAATGTTAATGATCTTTCATAAAATAATGTAAAAATAACAAAATAAACACTGTAACCTTATTCTAATTTTGTCTTTGTCTTTCAGTCATTTACCTTAACTGTCCAGCCTTAACATGTATCTTTTAAGTTGTTGCCAACATAACAGAGTATAAAGAGTATTTACTGTATTACAAATATAACTGTTATTTTATCATTTTTTTGAGCAGAGTTTCCGCCAGAAAAATATATGAGGGGAGAACGCGAGCGACGCAGGCGAGAACCATTATTGAAAGAAAGTTCTGTGGCTTGTGTTATTTTAGTAAAGGGTTACGGTCCAGCGGTCACGTTACAGCGCCTGCCCGCAGTGACCCAGGTTCAAATAAGGGTTTTTTCAAAGTTTTTCAATACTGGAGTGCACAGTAAACACTCATCTGCTGACAGAGACATTTTAAAATAAGATCAGATAAACTTTATTAATCTCAGATAGAATCACTCAGGCTGTGCAGAAGACAGAAGTGTGCAAACACGTTCAAGGTTAAAAATATAGTCTGTGCAGAATTATGTACAATAAAAAGTAGCAGGTTCTTCAGTCCTAGTGCATCAGTGACTTAAAGTGACTTGTTGTACAGTCTGACAGCGGTGGGGATAAAGGCCCTGTGGTAGCGCTCCTTCTTGCACTGAGGGTGCCTCAGTCTTCCACTGAAGGAGCTCCTCAGCTCCTCCTCAGTCCTGTGCAGTGGGAGGTGTTGTCCATGATGGAGGTGGCTTTGGCTAGCACCCTCCTGTCCCTCACCTCCTCCACAGAGTCCAGGGAGCAGCCCAGAGTGGACCTAGCCCTCCTGACCAGCTTGTCCAGTCCCATTCTATTTTTTAGTAACGCTGACTGCCATGACATGTTTTGACAAGCAGCACTATAATAATGTCAGATATACAACATGTAATGATCAGTCGACACCTGTAGAGAGCAGTATTGCCTCAAATGTGGGAAGAGCAGATAACAGAGACACACACGGGAGCATACACACATACACAGGAGCATACACACACACACATACACACACATACACACACACACACATACACAGGAGCATACACACAGATACAACCACATACACAGGAGCATACACACACACACAGGAGCACACACACACATACACAGGAGCATACACACACATACACAGGAGCATGCACACATACACAGGAGCATACACACACACATATACACAGGAGCATACACACAGATACAACCACATACACAGGAGCATACACACACATACACAGGAGCATACACACACATACACAGGAGCATACACACACATTCCCCAACATTCTCTGAACTGTGTTGGGTAATTAAAAACGTCATGTCCTCGGCGATAAATACTGTTGTGATTTATGACTATTACACAAAAAAATGTGAATGAAATTGAAGGCAGAGTTGTCCAAACATTTTTGAGGTGGGATTCTTGTAGAAATGCTGTACTTGTAGAAGACGAGCCATGACGTCGTTACAGCAGAAGGTTCAACTCTCTCACAGCGGCTTACAGGAGATTTTTTAGTCATGACCTTGGTGTTCTTCTTTGTGGGAGTAGATCTGTGACATCATGGACTTCAAAGGACAATGAGCAGCTGTACTGTACGTAACATCACATAACAAAAACAAACACAAACATATACACATACGTTATAATGCACTTTTTAACCCGGGAACAAAATAAGAGAAAACTTTTGTTTGCCTTCTGCAGTAGATTATCACTTCTGTTTAAACCCATTGTTCATTCTCTCCCCTAGATGACGTCTTAGTTTCAAATTCAATTTCAGTTTCATTTTGTATAGCCCTAAATCACAACAGTAGTTATCTTGGAGGACTTCACAAAGCTGTTGATTCGCCAACGCAGATCAGAAAATCAAACCGTTCAAAGGCAGGAAATGCAATGATAACAAACACATAGAGCCATTGGTCCATAAAGGGACTAAGACCAAATATCCATAACTAAAGGAAAAGTCCATAAATGTCCATAAATGTGGTTGGATGTCCTGGATCAACGTCATTGCAGCTCTGATCAGAAAATTAAGGGTTAAGCTAGGATTTTATTTCAGGAACAAATCATGTTTCACCCTCAGAGCCCGAAAACCCTTAATTGACTATGGTGATGTTATTTATATGTCTGCATCAGCTCAGTGTCTGCAGTCGCTAAACGCTGTGTATCACAGAGCTCTGAGGTCACACATCACTGTGAACTTTATGCTAAAGCCCAGTGGCCTTCACTGGCAGTGAGGAGGTACACACACTGGCAGTGAGGAGGTACACACACTGGATGCTGTTGGTGTACAAAGCTCTTCTTGGGTTGGTTCCTGTCTATCTGTGCTCCCTCCTTCAGAGAACCAGGAGCCTGTACAGTTTACGTTCCAACGATTTTTACCTTCTGAATGTTCCACGTGTCCGGACGGAGCTGGGAAAGCAGGCATTTAGTTATTCTGCTCCCGCTGCAGGAACAGTCTGAGTCAGAACTGAAGTGGTCCAAATTACTCTCGCTAAACGCATTTCGTTCACTTGTATTTAAAAAACAACACTCAACCATTGCCAAGTGCTCATGCTTTTAAACTTTAACTTGTCTTATTGTTGCCTTTAGTTTTTTTGGAAGATGTAAATGTTTTGTAATTTCACTGTTTGTATTTTGTTCTGTTAAGTGCCCTTGACGTTTGCTACAGACCTCTTGGCCAGGACTCCCTTGAAAAAGAGATCTCGATCTCAATGGGTATTTTCCTGGTTAATTAAAGTTTAAATAAAAAATTTAGACCATCCTGCATCGGCAAGGGAAAACTCAGTGGGAAAACTAAAAACCCAGTGGGGAAGAAAAGTGAGAAACCTTGGGGTGGCCCACATTGAGGGAGGGATCCTAGGCCACAGACGGACGGTTGTGGCCTAGGATCCTAGGCTGTGACGGAGGAAATTTCGGTCTTGCATCAGAAGTTATAGAACAGTAGGAAAGAGGAGCACGGCACGCTATACTAATCAAAATGAAACAAAACCTCTAACTCTAGCATCAATAATAAGTATAAAATCTCTATCTTGAAAATAATAACAGATGTAAAAGTTTAACACTTGGCAAAATAAGAGGCAAGTATGAAGTACTGTGTATTCTAGTGCAAGTAAAGTGTGGTTATATGTTAGCATCTGTACATTAGCAGCAATATGTTTACATCTGTACATTAGCAGCAGAGGGGGTATAGCCCACAAGTCAGACAGACAGTCCACAAGTTCAGGTGAGAGACTCAGGGATTCCATCATCAAGGATCTGCTCTCACACTCCCAGACTCTGTGCCTGGTCTGCTCAGATCTGTCCTGTAGTCCGGAACACTCCATCCAGCCGCTCTTCTCTCTTTCAAAGCGTTGGTTGTGCTCCTTCTCCTGATAGTCGAGGACACGAACAATGAACCGGTCTTCCTCCCTCGGGTGATGGGCGAGCAGCTGTCCTTTACTGGGGGTCTCTCCGAACCGTTGGGGCCACCAAGTGAATGAAACAGCGCAGTAGTGATTCTAGTTGGCTTTCGGTCGCTTGGGTTCGTCTAAACTGCGGAGGTTTCTTCATCTTTCTCTATTTTCCAGATGTTTTAACAGTAGTCTTTCGTACTTGCTGCTGAACCTCCATCACCAGCCTTCGTGAGTCCAACCCGCTCAATGACAGTCTTCAAGTAACTGACGGATTTGTGCCACAACTTTATTGATTTGTTCTTGAATTACTTATTTGTGAAGAGTTTTTGTGTTCTGCTCTGAGATTCTGCTGTAAATGAATTGCCCTTTAGGATCAGTCTGTTTGCATGTTTAAATAAGAAAGAACTGTCTCGCCTGCAGTTAGTGCAGAACTCTGCAGCGAGAATCCTGACCCGCACAAGCAGGAGGAGCACATCACCCCTGTCCTGAAAGCTCTTCATTGGCTGCCAGTGTCCTACAGGATACATTTTAAAATTCTGGTTTTAACCTTCAGAGCTTTGCACGGTCAGGCTCCGTCTTACATCAGTGACCTGATCCAGCCTTACACCCCAGCCAGAGCTCTGAGGTCTGTGGATCAGAACCTCCTGATGGTTCCACGCACTCGCTTCAGGACCAGAGGAGCCCGGTCCTTCCAGGCTGTCGCTCCCAAGCTTTGGAACGTTCTCCCGCTCTCTCTGCGTTCTATAGAGTCTGTTGAGTCCTTCAAAAGTCAACTTAAAACTCATCTATTTGTTTAGGCTTTTGCATAATTTTGTCCTGCTGTTTTTACATGGTTGTCTTGGCCTTTAAAAATGTGTATGTCTAATTTATAATATGTCTGTTTTTATACGTGTGTAAAGCGCTTCGTGAACCTGGTCTGTGAAGGGCGCTTTATAAATAAAGTTTACTTACTTACTTACTTATTTACTAGTGTTGCTAAGTTTAGAAACAAAAGGCTTGGGGCAAATTTAACCAAAATATCTCGGAATAAAATGACAACAGTCCAACAACCAGTGCCAGACCAGGGATTTGTGCAATTTAAAAAAACATTTTTATAAGGAAGTCAAGATCTTGTGTTTTGCTTCCTCCCCTTGCCCCAGTCATGGCATATGTAGACCATGAGGTTGCAGCTATAATCCTTTAAATAACATAGAAAGTTTGAGGATAAGGGTCTGAATGGCTCACCAGGCTCCAGAGGTTAATCTCAGAAAAAAAACACAAAAGAATGTGAACAAAAGACAAACAGCTGTGATTAACCAGAACAGGACGACAGGGGGCGCCAGAGGACTACTTCATCAGACTGTTCTAAAGGCCGAGCACATGGTAAAGGCTGCATAAACACTGACGCCTGGCTCAAGCTGTAGTTATGATGTCACATACACTGTAAAAAAATAAAAATAAAAATCTGACTCACTGTAGCCTTTATTAAACAATTCAAGTCATTTCTACAGTTAAATAGTTCTACACACTGTAAAAAGCAACAACAATAGCAAGCAGAAATTGAGTAGCCGTAATCAGACAATCTAAATACTTTTTTTGGTAAAGTTGGATTAATATAAACTTTTTTCTTTTCAGAGCAGATGGGTTCGAACTTGATTAAGCAACGTGTGTGCGCGCGCGTGTGTGTGTGTGTGTGTGTGTGTGTGTGTGTGTGTGTTTAAAAGCATCAATAAAACTGGTCTGAAAAAGCCGAGGTTTGTTCTAGAGCAGTGTATTTCGCGTGTCCAGAGTCACAAAACACTTTCACAATTGAAAACGTCTGAAGGCATTAATCAGGATCATATTCAACAAGAAATGTCTGGATTATCTGTTTTCAGACATGAGACACTGGAGTCATTTCAGTGTCTTTTCAGGTTCAGACTGCTGCAGTATCACCATCACCTGTACCCAGCTCATTCCATACTGACAAATGACTGACTTAAAGGCCCTGTGCCATAATACAGTAGTAGTAGTAACAGAATGTCTTTGATTGGATGGGCCAGAGTGTAATCATTCACAAGACTGTAGCTCTGGGCTGACTTCAATCTGTCCCATAGCCACACTCACAAACACACATAGAGAACCGGAGCACACAGAGGAAACCAGAGCACCCAGAAGAAACCGGAGCACCCAGAAGAAACCGGAGCACCCAAAGGAAACCGTAGCACCTGGAGGAGCACCCAGAGGAAACTGAAGTACACAGAGGAAACTGAAGTACACAGAGGAAACTGAAGTACACGGAGGAAATTGAAGTACACAGAGTAAACCGAAGTACACAAAGGAAACTGAAGTACACAGAGGAAACCGGAGTACCCAGAGGAAACAGGAGTACCCAGAGGAAACCGAAGTACTCGCAGGAAACTGAAGTACACAGAGGAAACTGAAGTACACAGAGGAAACTGAAGTACAAGGAAGAAACTGAAGTACAAGGAAGAAACTGAAGTACACAGAGGAAACTGAAGTAGACAGAGGAAACTGCAGTACACAGAGGAAACTGAAGTACACAGAGGAAACTGAAGTACACAGAGGAAACCGAAGTACACGGAGGAAACTGAAGTACACAGAGGAAACTGAAGTACACAGAGGAAACTGAAGTACAAGGAAGAAACTGAAGTACACAGAGGAAACTGAAGTAGACAGAGGAAACTGCAGTACACAGAGGAAACTGAAGTACACAGAGGAAACTGAAGTACACAGAGGAAACTGAAGCACCCGGAGGAAACCTACGCAAAGAACATGCCAACTCTACACAGAAAGGCCCCGTCTGGAGGTGGAATGGAACTCAGGACTAACCACTGTACCACCGAGCTGCCAATTCCTTCATTCCATTTATTCAGCTCAAATGCTTCACCTCCGCCTGGTTGGTGTTCCCCAGGGTTCTGTCCTTGGATAAAACAGAACATCTTCGTAAGCACCAAATCCATTCTTAAAGGGCCCATATCACGCTTTTTGACTTTTCTCTGCTCAACGACTTTTTTCATCTGTTCATCTCATGGATCTATTATAATAACGGTTCGTCTGCGACACTTCACTGAGACTGCTCCAGTACTACAGGGACAATGGAACTGGACTTACTGAAAAACTGATCTGGAAACATGTGTTATTCCCACGGTAAAAGACGTAACACGGACCCCGATCTGTGAGTACAGTGATGCTAACTCGCCGTATACTTCTGTAAACGAAATTATCAGGGTCTAATTGTGCATCGAGGACATAGGGATTGTCGGATTGTCATTGTCATTGTTGGAAAAAGAACTCATCATGACTTCTTTCAACTTTCAGAGACTAATCCTGACAAGAAAGAACCACAGTAAAATAAAAAGAGGCTTTCACGACATATCTTCACTGGGACTAAAGTGTTCAACCTTTAAACTACATTTTAAATCAGTAAACTCAAACCCTTCTGAGGCACACCCGGCAATCCCTAAAGGCACTCGTGTTCCCAGCACACTGGATGAAAATCTCTGTTTTAGAAGTTCAAAAGGGCCTTCAGCGAACAGAGCAGAGCGCCCCCTGTCTGTGAGTCTAGTGGAGGCCGTTGGCTGCAGGTCTCTGGTACTTCTGCAGCTGCTCCATAAATCCAGGGTTAGGGGCCGAGTTAGGGCGAGCTGTTCTGACCAATGACAGCCCGTCTTCAAAGGACAGGCCGTCATGTGACATCAGGTACCCGACCACGACTGCCGGCGCCCGGGACACGCCGGTGTTGCAGTGGACCAGAACCACACCTTTCTGGAAACACACAAGAGCACGAGGTCATTCAACATTTCAATCAGCAATAGATTTTTCTCCTGCTTCTCCCTCGGTGAAGCTCTGCCAAAAGATATTGTGTCGCCCCCTAGTGGACATCAAACTTTAATATCAGTAAGTGCCTGGGCATGTGGGGCAAGTTATACATAGTTTTAAAGATAATTTGATTAAGAAAACGACCATAGCATGTATTTTTCCATGAACGTTGAACCCTGAATGCAATAAGCAGAAATTTAAAGTTTCTTACACTGAGTCTACGATACAAAGCCTCATTTATTTTTCATCTAGTTTGGTTCCAATCCTAGCAGCTGGACTCATTTTGTTGAAAGAAATACACAAAAATGTATCAAACTCATATTCAATAAAAGTAATTATTTGGTCAAACAATAAAAAAGTCACAGAAAATCAACTACAAACGTTCCACAAATGCTTGGTTCTTGATTTTCCTGCTTTTGAGTCTGTTCTACGAGCCCAAACGTTTCCTTTTTCTACTGTTATTGTTAAAGAATGAGAAGATGGCACAGTGTGAAATGTAGCTGTATGTTTTATTTATTCAGGAGCTAAACTGTGTGTACAAAGTTAAATAGTGTTAGAGGTTTGGCTGCATGTGAAAAGATTTGTTTACATCTTCTGCACACACAAAAACAGGTAAAACATATTGCGGTTTCACCCAGACCGACCTCCCCCAGGTAAACTGAATCTGAGAGGGCCCACTCCTGGGAACCTTCTATGACCCTGGTGTCATCAGCCACAGGAGAGCAGCTTCAGTGACAGATCAATCCACCCTCAGCGTGAGGGAGAGGGGCATCGGGTCTATCCTTCTGCTGCTGTCAGACTGTACAATGAATCATGAATACAGCTGAGCTGACTGGTCTGGACCGTTAGCGCAAACATCCCCTCCCTCTCCCTGTGCGTGTCTCTTGTCCGTTGTGTGTCCGTATTGTTCCTGCCAGAGCTTGGCCCTCCTTAATGGCCAATAGGAGCTCAGGCTGAATAAATTTGCTCCACCAGCTGACCTGCCCGCAGCCAATAAAACAGAAGTGCGACGTCCGAATGGGGCAGTTTGTTTTCAGTACAAGTGCGCCACTCGTGGGAGACAGACTGTTTTAGGAGAGCTGACTGTCCATTTTTGCCATCTTGAACCCTTATTGATTTAGAGACCAGAGAACTTTTTACCTAAAAGAATAGAAGACTTTTGTTACTCCTTTTTGACTCTAAGTTTTGTACAATACATTTTGACCATTTTTGCCATAAAAATAAAAGGCCATGTAATTTACCATTTACACCCGGTTGTTTATGTTGCATTTCCTTTCCACTTCTCAGAGCTAAGTTTAGGGTTGTAACACTGACATTCACCTGTAGGAGGCAGTGCCGTACACTTATGCTGATCATTCACTCTGTATTCTGTCTATATGATGCTCGCTACATCAGCAGCATCTATAAGCAGTCTGAGCAGAGACACTTCACTCTCCCAAGGTCTGCCAATGCTATATGTTATTATTGGCTAACATATAGCATATTCCGGGTCCCATTGGCCTGTGGTGGTATTGCAAGCATGTCAGCGCACATCATTTTGGCAACTTTTGAGCCGGGACCCGCCCCCACTGGCTCCAGCTCATCCGGGGAATCCGGAGGTTCCCAGGCAGCTCCTGTGAGTCCTGGGTCTACCCCTGGTCTCCTCCCGGTGGGACATGCCCAGAGCACCTCCCTCAGGCCCCTGGCTGCAGCCATGGTGGAGGCCAACACTGGGAACAGGTCTGAGTTATTGCCGGTGGTGTCCTTCGCATCATGTCAACTTGAAGAAAATGTGTTTTTGGGAGTAGATATGTGACGACAAAATGTATGGCACGAAGAATGCGGCAAGTGTAGCTGGACTTTCAATCGACGGGAGTCTGCCTTTAAAATCGGCAACAATTCTGTTCATCTGCAAATGACAGTAATAATAATATTTTTATACATTTTATTTCTTAGGCGCCTTTCTGGACACTCAAGGTGGCCTTACGTCACAAGCAAAAAATATATTTAGATAAAATAGAGTTAAAGCAGCATGAACAGAGGATTGTGTGGTTACGATGGTCGTGAGTAGGTTTGTCTAGACACAAAGTTTACATTAAAACTAGACTTACTCAAACGCTTCTTGAAACATGTGTTACTCCCATAATAGAAGACGCTAACAAGGAGATGTGTGAGTGCAGTGCTGCTAACTCGCCGTATTCTACTGTTTACTATATAATTAGGGTCTTATTCTGGGTCGAGGACATAGGGCTCTTTGTGACGGACCATTGTTGGACAATGTTTATTCTCAGGTCTGAAATGACTATGTTAAGATGAAAGCTGAAGAGTTAGCTTTCACGCAGCCTTGTTGACTTCCGAGTTAGCATGAAGCTATGTCTCAGCACGTGTGGGGGGACGGGGAGACGGGCTCACAGGGCAAGGACCATCAGCCGTTTCAATTGAGGCAACATCTATGAAAGAAATGGCTATACTTTGAGTGTTGTATGGTGTAGTATCACCCAAATTAGTATCGCACGAGCTTAGAATGGACTGTGAAAAATGAAGAAGAGCGATATCAGATGCCTGTCTATAGAGGAGCCTTTTTGCTAATATTGACCAAATTTTGTGTCTCCAGATTTCAAAAGCTTTCATTAATGTTTTTAGTGCTTAGTTTGTTGCTCCTCTTCTTGTAATGAACTTTGCAGAACCTGGATGTAATCTTCGTGCGTACGGACTGTATTTGTGGTTGTCTTTTCTGACTATATTATATAAAGCTCATTTACATGGTGCACAAGGGTTTGGTCAACAGTGCTACGACCGCACGTCCTTGACAGTCCCAGCACACACAAAAGCCCCTGCACACACACACTAAGTCCTACGTAAATATTCATGATTATTATTATACCAGTTTATGTGCACTTACACAGGCACGTGTTTAAAATTGTAATTTCAAACTACAATTTAAGACAAAATGCCCTACTTTGTCCTGGGCATTGATAGATCACATGAGTTTTAAATTTCTGAATCATTTCCCACATAAAAAAATCTAAGGTAGATCCTTGTTCACTGGTTCTGGAAAAGTAGATCTTGATCGGATGTAGATGTAATCGTCCAAACACACTTTACGGCCAGGTGGATTGGGCACCAGGCCACTGCACTAGTATCATAAAGACCGACATGCAAATGATATGAACTGTGCAGTCGCTTTTAAACACAAAATAATGGTTGATGACGACTAAAATCATGGTTAGCGACAGCTCGAGTGTTGACAGAGGAGACAGTGAATGACCAGAGTGTGATCGGAGAGCCTCTTGTATAAAACATGTCCAGCTCATGAATAATGCAGGCTGTGTTCCGTGCCCTACTGCCCACACCCATCTACACCTCGAAAGTCAACTCTTTGCACACTTTGACCAAACCCTTGTTACTAGAAATACTTGACAGTATTTCACTGACTTCACTCACTTTGTGAAGATCATCTTTTGCTTCATCCACACTGTGTCTAGTGCAGGTGGTGTAGTTCTACATTCAAACCTTATGCATATCCTCTGCACATCCTCCGCTTTAGAGACAAAGGCTGAAAGTCTCGACCGGATACGACCATATCTGGTTGGCTGTGGTCACCCCAGAAGTTCCAGCACTATCACTGTTTTTAGGTTTCAAACTCAATCCTGTTTATGGCCTTGTACCCTACTCTTCCATATTCTATGTGCTCAAGAAAAAAGGGGTAAGGGGAAAGGTACAAGCAAGGGTAGAGAGAATTCAGATGGGCATCAGAGTTTTTACAAACGATGATGACACTTAGTAACAGAGAATGATACTGTCACAGTATGAAGAGCTCTGACCTCGTTCTGGGCTTGTGTGATGAAGTCGCAGCATTCCTGGATATGAAGGGTCAGGTCTGTGTCGGGCTGGTCCAGAATGCTGACGGTTTTGTAGATGAAGAGCTCCGGGAAAACATTGTCCACTCCGAAAGCCACATTCAGGATGTGAGACACCTGTGGGATGAGACACATCAGCAGATGACACAGCGGCCCACAGGAGAGAGGACTGTAGGACAGAAACCATAGATTCCACTGTTTCTACGGTTTCTACTGTTTCTACTTTTTCTACTGTTTCTACTGTCCGTGACACACGGCCTCCGGCTTCACGGCCTGGTGCCACATGTTCAGTTGAGTGTGGAGGTCCTGTTTGAAGTCCTGTAGAGGTCCTTGTGGAGGTCCTGGTTGAAGTCCTGTGGAGGTCCTTGTGGAGGTCCTGGTTGAAGTCCTGTGGAGGTCCTTGTGGAGGTCCTGGTTGAAGTCCTGTGGAGGTGCTGGAGGAGGTCTTTCTACTAGAACATGGTGCTTGTGATGGACAAACTGTAGCTAGCACAGAAGTCCACTAAGAGAACACCGCTTCAGATCAGGGCCATTTTCCGCTTCACCCCTCTCTAAGAGTCACTGGTGTTTCCCGCATGGGAGTTGAAGTCCCCCTGGAGAATAACGGTTCCCGGTCGATGCACCGTCCACAGGCTCCACAATAGTGAGAGACTCTCCCCCACCTGGAGGTGGAGAGACCCTCTCATTCCTCGGGCAGAGGCAGGTCATCAGACGCTCACACACACTTTTTCTCTTTGATGACAGTCATTACAGATTTCCTCTGCTCCTCTGCAGAGCTGTGGTCAGTCGGCTTCATATTCGATGGTGAATAATACTGTATGTGATACAAACATTGGTACCTTGTGTTTTTGGAGTGTAGTGAAGTCGTGGGCAGCGTCTTGGGAGCCTGAGGAACACAAAGCAGAGCATCAGAAGTGCTCAGATACTGTATGTCTCAAATATGTCTTTTTGTCTGCACAACTTTATTACTCAAAACAATTCTCACTAAAGTAAAAGTCAAATAAAAAGATGAATAAAAATGTACTTAAGTATTGCACCATGAATAGATCTTTTGTTCCTGAGCCGAAGGCCAAACCTGATCCTGCGATGGATCAACAATGATTCCCATTATAAATGTTCAGCACATGATCTTATCCTCACAGATGTCAGGTTTGTCTCACGGAGCCCACTCCGGGTCGCTCTGGTTAAACCTGTGGTGTTAGGGTCATGGTTGTGTCCTCTGCTGGAACTCAGGTGTCTCTCTGACCACACAGGGTTTCAGGTCACGCCCCGTTCACACGAGCCCACGCTAAAGCCACAGTGCCGTATCTAACCATCAGTCCATGTGGCCGTCGTAGTTCTAGATGGTGCTCTTACATATATTTAGTATTATTTGGTTTTGTTATGATTCCAAATTGAATCATCTACAATAATATAGTTTAATAGTTTAGTTTGTGCTGACTCTTGATTTATCAGATTAAAAAGATCCCAAAATAATCCCAGGAAGTCTGTGAGAGCAGAAACTCTGAAAGCAGAAACATGCAAACTCTGAGTGGAGTTTGTATGTTCTCTCTGTGTCTGCGTAGGTTTCCTCCGGGTGCTCAGGTTTCTACTACCACTAAAAACATGTACAATAGGTCTGGCATGTGCCTCCTGTACTGGCGACCCTGCTCTCTGTGTGGAGTGAAAGACAAATGCCCCAAAAAATAACCGCTTTGTGACTCTGGACTGTGAGAGGCGGTATATAATTAAAGATTACTTACTTAGTTACTTAAAAGCACGCTCTTATATTTATTGGTTCATTAAGATCATCTCACATGTTTAGTAAGCTGTGTGCTTAGAGCTGGTGCTTTGCCTCAGGCTCGTGTTACTGCATGGAATCTAACACCGCCTCACCTGAGACGTCACTTTGACCCCAGTTTGTTGGCGTTCAGGTGACCAGAGTTTTACTGTATCCCTCCAGCTGCCAAAACCACACCGTTTGAAGACCGCGCCTCCTCAACACACCCCGGAGTCACAGCTACACACCCCGGAGTCACCGCTACACACCCTGGAGTCACTGCTACACACCCTGGAGTCACAGCTACACACCCCGGAGTCACAGCTACACACCCCGGAGTCACAGCTACACACCCCGGAGTCAATGCTACGCACCCCGGAGTCACTGCTACACACCCCGGAGTCACTGCTACACACCCCGGAGTCACTGCTACACACCCCGGAGTCACCCCGGAGTCACAGCTACACACCCCGGAGTCACAGCTACACAACTTTTAGAACTGATCGGACACAGGGTTTATACAAAGAAAGAAAATATCCACAGCTCAAGAGCAAAGGCAGGTCATACAAATCCGTAACTTATATACTGTACTTCATGCACAATCACATCTAATACACTGGAAAAAATCCCTTGAAAAAAAAAAAGAAACAAAAAAATGAAAATAAGTAAAATACTGCTTAAAATAAATAAAATGCAAAAAACAAGAAAATATGACTTGACGAGATTTCTGAAAATATAAAATAATAAAAATACCCAAATGACTTTATTCTGTTTAAAAAAATAATAATTCTAGTATTATTTACTTATTTCTTAAACCTTTTGAGACATTTTTTCTTAAAATATAGCATCACACATTTTATCTAAACAAGAAATGTTGTCTGGAAATAAGAAAAGAATACTTAAAACATGCTTATAAACTCACTGCTCAGACTTTTTTCTCTTAAAACTATTATATAATAATCTTATGACAAACTACATTTGAGCAAAAGAAATTTAGATATGCATAACCAAGATTTTACTTTTTTCTACTCTTAAATCAGTGGCTTAAACAGACCTTGCTAAAAGACCACGACAATACAAAAAAATATTGGTAAGATTTATTTACAAAAAAAAGTAAAAAATTAAAGCCGCAAGCGGCGTCGAACGGCCCTCGCCGCACCGCGTAACTCCCCGCACCGCGCGCACCCCCCGCACCGCGCGCACCACCCCGTGCCAAGCCACCCCGCCGTCCCGCATCACGTCGCCCCGCACTAAGCCGCACCAAGCCGCAGTGCGCCGCTCCACAACGCCCCGCACCAAGCCGCAACGCGCCGCTCCACAACGCCCCGCACTACGCCGCACCACACCGTACCACGCTGCACCGCGCACAAGAGGTGGCGCCGCCGTGTGATGATTTGTTCCCGTAGCCATAGAAGATTGTTAGTCAAATTGTAATGACTATGATAAGTAGAGCTGGTTTGGCTCCCCATGTAAACTTTGACTCAGTCTTTAGGGGGCGCTAATGGGCCAATTTCAAATATTTCACTTTCACCTGACCTAAACCCTGGAGTTGAACAATGGATTCATGTTTAATGCAAATCAGACTTTGTTCGTGCAAACGGGTGTTGTCAAAAACGGCCAAAAAAATCCTCACATTTTGCCGCTCCGCTGCTCAAACAACGTTTCACTGATCAAAACTCCCTGAGGTCCTTTTGAAGGTTAATGTGTTGAGATGATTTGGAACAATTTTGAGGCCAATCGGTGAAACGGCCGAGGAGGAGTCGCTTTCCAACCGACGTGTATGAAAATGATTGGTTTTCATGTTTCCATTTTGCAGTGAAATTTATGGGCTTCCTGTTTGTCAGAGGGCTTAGCCATAATAAAAAAAATGTCCATGTCTTGACTAGAGGACAAGTGTACCAAATTACATGGTTCTACAACAATTTTGACCTCGAACCCCTCCCATAGGCGTTTTTAAATTGGCTGTTGTAGGTGGCGCTATAGAGCCAATTTCCAAATTTTAACTTTCAAATGACCTAGAACCAAGAGTTGAACCATGGATTCAATTTTTGTGCAAATCAGACTTTGTTTGTGCAAACGGAAACAATGTGGCACGGTGGCTGAGTGGATAGCACTCTTGCCTCTCAGCAAGAAGGTCCTGGGTTCGAATCCCGGTTAGACCAGGGCCTTTCTGAGTGGAGTTTGCATGTTCTCCCCGTGTCTGCATAGGTTTCCTCCGGGTACTCCGGTTTCCCCTACCACTAAAAATATGTACAATAGGTCTGGCATGTGCCTCCCACTCCCAAAAATAACAATTTTGACCGCTTTGAGACTCCGATGTGCAGTGAAAAGGCGGTATATAAATAAAGATTACATACTTACATACATACAATGTTTCTATTGTCAAAAACTGAAAAAAATACGCCACTTTTTGCCGCTCCGCTGCTCAAAAATACCATAAAAAATCCCTGAGGTCATTTTGATGGTACATGTGTTTAGACAATGTGGAGTGATATGGAGGCCAATCGGTGAAACGGCCGAGGAGGAGTCGCTTTCCAACCGACATGTATGAAAACTTTTGCTGTTCATTTTTCCATTTTGCAGTGAAATTTATGGGCCTCCTGTTTGTCAGAGGGCGGAGCCATGATAACATTTCGGTCGTATCTTGACTTGAGGAACATGTGTACCGAATTTCATGGCTCTACGACAAACTTGACCTCTGAAACTCCCATTGGCTGTTGTAGGTGGCGCTGTTCTGGCATTTTTTGAGTCCCATAAAAATAAACACCAAAATATCAAATTTTTCACCAGGTCTGATGTTTGGGCAAAATTTTACAACTTTTCATGCATGTTCAGGGGGTGAAATTAAGGCTCAAATTGCATAATTTGACATCTCTCGAGCAAAAACAATATAGGTTTCAATGGCACGTGATTTATCATTTTAAAGCGTTTGAGTTTACACACGCAACTGTCACATTTGTTTTCACCATTGTGAAAGCAATAGGCCTAATAATAATGCTTTTTTTAATGAGAGTGTGATGCCGCGTTCAGACCGGATCATGCGTTGCATCAACTCTCAATGCAAAGTCAATGGTGACGCGCTCGGGACGTACGGACTGTGCGGCAACATACTGAACATACTTGTAAACAGCCAAAACAGGAGCTACACCAGGACTAAACCAGGACTAAACCAGGACTAAACCAGGACTAAACCAGGACTAAACCAGGACTAAACCAGGACTAAACCAGGACTAAATCAGGACTAAACCAGGACTAAACCAGGACTAAACCAGGACTAAACCAGGACTAAACCAGGACTAAATCAGGACTAAACCAGGACTAAACCAGGACTAAATCAGGACTAAACCAGGACTAAACCAGGGTTGACAATGGGGGACATGGTGCTTGTGAACATATGCGTTCTCATGCTCCCGTGACTTTATGCAACTTTTTTGAGCGTGTTCGCCGACGCGGAAGTATAAAATAAACGTATGGCGCACCTCCGTAAACACATACTACTGTTATATAAAGTCTCTGGAAGGTTTCTGGACACAGAAACGATGCATTATTTGAGAAGAACTTTACACTTTTAAAAAGCCGCTAGCTTAACTCCGTTAGCATCAAAGCCCCCCGCCCCCCCCCCCGCTACTTCCGCCACTTCCGCCACTTCCGGCGCTCGCCACCGCAGCAGGACTTCTGGTCTGAAGACCCCTGCGTCTGAAAACTGGAGAATGTGCGTCCGGTGCGCGAGGCTTCAGCGTTCCAGCATCGGCGGTCTGAAAGCACCATGAGAGAGTGTGTTTTGTGAGAGTGTGTGGTGTGAGAGACTAGTGTGTAAGAGACTGTTGTGTGAGAGACTGTGGTGTGAGAGTGTGTGGTAGGACTCACCCAGCAGCAGGTAGGGTCTGACAGTCCCCACCTGCAGGTCCCAGGACGTGTCGGGGACGTACCCCAGAGCCCTGCCTGTGGGGGCGGGGTCCTCCTCCACCGTGATGCTGGAGCCCTTCCACGTCTCAATGATCCGGCGGCCGCTCAGACACGTGACCCGGGTGCACTGCTTCTTCAGACGGGCTCGAGAGAAGCTCTGGATCTCCTGCGTGAGCGACTGCATCTCTGAGGGCAACACAACACTGCTGAGACTCTGAGGAGCACAGGGACTGGCCTCCTGTTGAGACTCTGAGGAGCACAGGGACTGGCCTCCTGCTGGGACTCTGAGGAGCACAGGGACTGGCCTCCTGCTGAGACTCTGAGGAGCACAGGGACTGGCCTCCTGTTGAGACTCTGAGGAGCACAGGGACTGGCCTCCTGTTGAGACTCTGAGGAGCACAGGGACTGGCCTCCTGCTGGGACTCTGAGGAGCACAGGGACTGGCCTCCTGCTGAGACTCTGAGGAGCACAGGGACTGGCCTCCTGTTGAGACTCTGAGGAGCACAGGGACTGGCCTCCTGCTGGGACTCTGACGAGCACAGGGACTGGCCTCCTGCTGAGACTCTGAGGAGCACAGGGACTGGCCTCCTGCTGAGACTCTGAGGAGCACAGGGACTGGCCTCCTGCTGGGACTCTGAGGAGCACAGGGACTGGCCTCCTGCTGGGACTCTGAGGAGCACAGGGACTGGCCTCCTGCTGAGACTCTGAGGAGCACAGGGACTGGCCTCCTGCTGAGACTCTGAGGAGCACAGGGACTGGCCTCCTGCTGAGACTCTGAGGAGCACAGGGACTGGCCTCCTGCTGAGACTCAGGACTGGCCTCCTGCTGGGACTCTGAGGAGCACAGGGACTGGCCTCCTGCTGGGACTCTGAGGAGCACAGGGACTGGCCTCCTGCTGGGACTCTGAGGAGCACAGGGACTGGCCTCCTGCTGATACTCTGAGGAGCACAGGGACTGGCCTCCTGCTGAGACTCTGAGGAGCACAGGGACTGGCCTCCTGCTGAGACTCTGAGGAGCACAGGGACTGGCCTCCTGCTTGGACTCTGAGGAGCACAGGGACTGGCCTCCTGCTGGGACTCTGAGGAGCACAGGGACTGGCCTCCTGCTGGGACTCTGAGGAGCACAGGGACTGGCCTCCTGCTGAGACTCTGAGGAGCACAGGGACTGGCCACCTGCTGGGACTCTGAAGAGGTTCCAGCGAGTCCTGGGTTGTCCTTGGGGGTTGCTGGAACCTCTTCAGAGTCCAAGCAGGAGGCCAGTCCCTGTGCTCCTCAGAGTCCCAGCAGGACTCCTCCTTCTCTCCCCTCCTCTTCTCACCTCATCAGCTTCTCTCGTGGAGGAGGAGGGAGCTCTAGTCTGTAGCAAACTAACCCTAACGTTTGGCCTCATGGTCCAGTCACCGTCCGCTCTGTGTGCAGCTGTCAATGCTCATGCTCATTGGAGACGACCGGGACTCGACCGGGACCTCTTCCCCAGGAGAGGACCGGGACCTCTTCCCCAGGAGAGGACCGGGACCTCTGCCCCAGGAGAGGACCGGGACATCTGCCCCAGGAGAGGACCGGGACATCTGCCCCAGGAGAGGACCGGGACCTCTGCCTCCACACATATTCATGGAACTGTAGTTACATAAGATACTAATACTTAATTACTATATATATAGTCTAATACTTCATTACTATATATACTCTTTTACTTCCTTACTATATATACTCTTTTACTTCCTTACTAAATATGCTCTAATACCTCAGAACTAACAATACTCTTACCGTACTTGTAGTTGTAGTTTCTTGTGGATGTTGCAGCAGTACAGATCCTCAGTGTGAGCTCTGGGCTCAGGTCACAGCTCTGTGTCACATTACTCTGCTGTGGTCTCTCCTCATCCTCTCTCCTCCCCCTCTCTCCTATGTCCTCCCCTTCTCTTCTATCTCCTCCCCCTGTCTCCTTCTCTCCTCCCCCGCTCTCCTATCTCCTCCCCTTCTCTTCTATCTCCTCCCCCTGTCTCCTTCTCTCCTCCCCCTCTCTCCTCTCTCCTCCCCTTCTCTCCTATCTCCTCCCCCTTGCTCTCCCTGCACTCCTATCTCTTCCTCTCCTCTCCCTCTCTCCTATCTCTTCCTCTCCTCTCGCATCCCCCTGTCTCTTCCTCCTCTCTCCTCCCCCTCCCCCCTGTCCTCCTCCTCTACACCTCCTTCTCTCCTCCTCCTCTCGCTTCCCTCTCCCTCTCTCCTCCTCTCTTCTCCCTCTCTATTATCCCCTCATTTTTCCTCCTCCTCTCTCTTCCCTCTCTCCTCCTCCCTCTCTCCTCTCCTTCCCCTCTCTCTCTCCTCCCCGTGTCTCCTCTCTCTCCTCTCTCCTCCCCCTCTCTCTCCTCTCCTACACCCTCTCCCTCTCCTCCGCGTCACTCGTCTCCCTCCTCCCCTCTCTCCTCTCCTTCCCCCCTCTCTCTCTCCTCCCCGTGTCTCCTCTCTCTCCTCTCCCTTCCTCTCTCCTCTCCCTCTTTCCTCACTCTCTCCTCTCCCTCTCTCTTCCCCCTCTCTCCTCCCCCTTTCTGCTCCCCCCTGTAATGTGTGGTTTGTGAAACAAACGTCTTTGAACAACAGGAGCAGAGCTTCCTGACAGGGAAGTCCCAAAATAACACAACACATGGACACACAACAAACGTATACACGTATACACACAAGTATATACACACACAACACACGTATACACACACAACACACGTACACAGACTATACACACACAACACACGTATACACACACAACACACGTACACAGACTATACACATACAACACACGTATACACACAATTTAGAATAATGTGGAAAAGTTCAATAATGTTGTTTGTATAATAGACAAAGATAAAGAGAACGTCACATGGTTATAAAGAGAACGTCACATGGTTATAAAGAGAACGTCACATGGTCCTAAAGAGAACGTCACATGGTTCCTTCATTTGCATCAATGTTTGCGTCTCTTCTGCAGAACTCACAATATTCAAATATCTGAGACTGGTTTGTTTCAGTGACCTGAGACCTGGAGGAGATGGGACCAGCAGTCACTGTCCAGGGGTCTCCTGCTCTCACTCTATTCTCCCTCTGCTCCCCCTCTGGTCTCCCTCTGGTCTCCTGCTCTCCCTCTGCTCTCCCTCTGGTCTCCTGCTCTCCCTCTGCTCCCCCTCTGGTCTCCTGCTCTCCCTCTGGTCTCCCTCTGGTCTCCTGCTCTCCCTCTGCTCTCCCTCTGGTCTCCCTCTGGTCTCCCTCTGGTCTCCTGCTCTCCCTCTGCTCCCCCTCTGGTCTCCTGCTCTCCCTCTGGAAAGCAGCTTCAGCGAGAGACTGATCCACCCTCGCTGTGAGAAGGAGAGGTTCTGCAGGTCTTTCCTTCTGCTGCGGACAAGAAAGGCGTCACACCATCAAGTGTCACGTCTGACAAACCATGTGGTAATTAAGCAGTAGTAGCTTCTTTACTTTTTTTGTCTTATCAAAATAACCTTCTAAGCCCATTTAAGTTTTATACTGAACCTACTTATATAATTTTGAAGATTACGTGTATGTTGTCGTGAGTCGAGAAGGCATGTCCAAACTTAAGCTAAAGCTTAAGCAAAACAAGACTTTATTCTACTGTGTGGGAAAACGAAAGGGTCGATTCTCTTATTCCTGACCGGGCGGACACGGAGCCTCTGCTGGCTGAAGTGGGAATTGCAACCCCCAACACAAAACATTACAATATTTGTGAACAAAGGTTTTTGTACTTTGCCTCAGACTCACACTAATCACAGCACAGTCTGTGGTTCTGATTACATTACAACTGAATGGCTGCGTCCCATTTACAGTTACAGAAACCCCTTCCTCACGTCATCACGTAAATGCGCAGATGTGAGAGATTCAGATTCAGATTCAGACAGTTGTTGTTCTCTCCGGAAAACTTAATGTCAAGAGTAAACTGAGCAAAAGAATCAGCTGCATGCAGGAGTCTGGACTGTGATGTGAAGTGTGACGCCGTACCCCTCCCCTCTCTTTCCTCTGCCACACACATAGGCGCACACACACACACACACACACACACACACACACACACAACACACACACACACACACACACACACACACACACACACACACACACACACGCGCACTAACACAAGCACACTCCCACACGCACTAACACAAGCACACTCCCACTTTCAGCTGTACTCCACTCTTCCCGTGTCTCGGATCCCTCTAAGCCGCATGAGCTCTCTCCTGGGCCCGCATGACCGCTCCTCTGCTCCGCGCTTGGCTCCCTGGTCCTCCCTGGTCCTCCCCGGTTCTCCCTGGTTCTCCCTGGTCCTCCCTGCTTGTCCCTGGAGTCTGCGCAGTCTCCGCCGCTGGAGCAGAGCCGCTGCCTTCATCACGAGTCAACAAGTTTTCCTTCGTCCTGTTTGTTTTACGCACGGAGGGGAACCCCGCTCTGCGCGTTCCCACGGCGGAGGACTGCGCACTCAAACCCGGACTGGGACTGGGTCTGTATCGCGCGTGGTAGTGTAGTGCATGGTTTTGGCACGGATTTGGAGGATCGCTCTGGCGGCCGCAGGAACCGCAGCATCAGGGCTTTTTGCTTTGGGCACTGGCTCCCGCTTCCTCTGTCTCCGTGGCTGTGGTAAGGACAGAGTCAGCAGGATTCACGGAGGATTTACGCGTGGATATATGTATATAAAAAAACAGAATACAGTGCAGATTAAAGTGCTGGGGGTGAAGATCCCTGGTTGCTATGGTTACGTGAAAGCAAAAGAAGATGATTACCCAGAGGCATTAGAGGGCTGCAAGAACCCACACTCGGCAGGATTTTACTTCATGTGAGCACTTAAAGCTGCAGTACCTAACTTTCTGTCTCAGACTTAAATCAAATTTATCAAAATAACCTTCTAAGCCCATTTAAGTTTTATACTGAACCTACTTATATAATTTTGAAAATTACGTGTATGTTGTCGTGAGTCGAGAAGGCATATCCAAACTAAGACACAAAATGCAGCCCTATGCCTTGTCTTGTTAATCTAAAGTAGTCTTTGCAATCATCCAGCCAACTTCATATCTGCCAATACAGACATATTGTACTCGTTGAAAAAACTCAGGACCTCTATGAATTCAGCCATTTACTTTATGTGCATACACTGGCATTTCTTGTGTCACAAAATCAATCTGTAGCCATTATGTAGCTGGTAAAAATGTGTAATTCAGCCAACTTCAGCTCCGTAATAGCTCATTATAAAGCTCAGAAAAGGCTGAATCCAGTCTGAATGACAATCCGGGTTGTCGGGCCCCTGGACAAGTCTGATGAACTAAAGAGAAAAGCAAAAGAAGATGATTACCCAGAGATGATTAAAGAACGCCGTGTGTCCAACAGAAGCAGTCTGAAGTGAAATGTGATTTTGCAAAAGTCGCATTATGTAAGATTTTCATGTCAAGTCATCATTAAAGGGCCCTAATCTGTCAAAAGGCATTAATACAACATGCTTATTACCGATACGTCTTCATCTGATGACAGTAGTTCAGCCAAGATTTCAAAATTAGTTTTACAGACCCTAAATCTTGTTATTGTTTTCATTTCGATGTCCTGCCCTCCACCGTTTCACCAATCAGAAAGTCTGTTATCCGGGTTGCCAGAACTCACCGGGTCAAGCTAATCTCACTGGTAAAGTACCACGTGGCCGCACTGCGCAGAACTAGAAAAGGTCTCGTTATGATTCTCAAATTATTATTGACAAAACAAGGAATAAAAAGGATTTGTGAAAAAGGTGTTGGTTATAGATTTGTTGTTGACAAAACTCTTGTCTATTCAGCTGTTAGGGTCCCAGCTGGATTCGTCTGCATATCTGGCAACCTGAGTCAGGGAGAGTGGGAGAGGCTGCAGTACCACTTTTGGCCACATGTTTACATACTGCTCCTTTAACAGATGATGTTCTGATGTTTACAGATCAGACCATGACTCCATCTTATTAGAACATTAGCCCTGAGCCTCAAACTCTCTGCTAGCTAGTGACACGGATTTTGTTATTCCATTAATTCCATTGAAAGTTATGTCCCCCAGCTTTAACATTATCTTGAGAATAATGACTTGAATGAAATGTATGGATGAATATAGAGATTTAGTCCAGTCCTGTTTCCGAATTCTGGGAGAGAACTATAAACATGTTGTTTCAATCTAAAAAGGGATGCACCGATGCCACTTTATTCAAAACTAATACGAGTACCTTAATTTGCCGATACCGAATACAGATACAAGTGCTGCATTGTGTTATCTCTGGGAATTCATAAACCTAATACAATTGACACTCAAAATGTTTTATTTCTCATTTCAACAATGAGAGAATACTTTAACAATTAAATATTTTATCAATTGTTTTAACAGTCAACAATAAGAGCCGCTGTAATATTCCACTCATGCCAATGGTACAAAGAAATAGCTCTGGTGCTCGCAAAGGTGCTATACTTTTCTGCTATACTAGTTTTCAGATATTTGATGAAGTTGCTGGTGTTATACGTGTTTGTTTTGGACTCACCTCGGGACAGTTTAGACTTAACAACGTACAGTCTGCTTTAGTCTTGTCTCTTGTTTACTTTTAAAACCTGCCTTATGGCTGACATCCGTTTACCGCTAAGCTAGCGACAAACGCTTTATCGCAGCCAGCTTTGGGAGATCACCATGGCAACACAGCTGTCTGCTGTTGTGACGCTAATGTAAGCCTACGGTATCGACCTGATACCCGATACCAGTATCGGTATCGTTTCATCACTAGATAAAAGAGGGATGAAATGAGAAAGAGTTGAAGAAATGGCACAAGGCTCTGTACATATGACCTCCTGATGATAAAAACTCTGTTTCCCATGAACCATTGCGTCATGACGAGCCTGAGCTCGATGACACAGATAACACAATCATTACATTATCAAAGGCCTCATAGAATGATCCTGGGACCAGCGAGCATTCTGGGTATTGTAGGTGTAGGATGAAGATCTCGTGGTTAAGCATATTTTTCCAAAGCGAGATTGATCTCAAAGTTTGCTTTGTTTTCACAACCGAAGCTGAGTTTACAGAAGTAAAAGGAGGTTTCACACTTCTTTGAAGCCGCCTGTGAGTCCAGGACAAATTTCCTACAGGACAAAATGAATTAATCTTGAATCTTCTTTGTGCGTGTTTTGGGTGTTTTGTTTGAAACAATAAACAGTTTATACAGATTGATAGAATTACAGCGATGTGGCCATGAAACATGTTTGCTTCTGTCGGTGCTTCACACATTTGCAAGAGGCTCAGATAATGAGAAAGATAATGATCTTTCCTGGTAACTGGAAATGTCAATAGTCAAATTCTAGTCTAAATTTAGTCTGTAATTCCAGGGCAGTTTCAGATCCTCTTTGTTAGAACATCGGCGGTGGCAATATTCAAAAACATGACAATGACGTTGGTCTTTGTGAATCTTATCACTTTCAAATAGTGACCTGGGAAAGATCTTTGGACATTTTCTATTTCAACGCTTCTCTCAAAGTTGATTTGGCACCTGTTCAAAATACTGAAATAGAACATTTAATTAAACCGTCCCCAGCCTGAGGGTCGAGAGGGCGGGTCTGAACCAGGAGGACTGATATCAGTGTGGTGCCAGCTAAAAACCACTGCAGGTCGGTTTCTGATAAGGAACAATGTTTTGCATCAAATGTGTCTCTCAATCCTTTCTTAAGCACATATATGGATTCTGATTCTGATATCTGCTAACCTGGAGTGTGTCACAGGATGTAAAAGTGTGTTAGCAGAAATACTCAGAAATATGAGAGTGAATGGACTACACTATAAATGTATTATTATTATTGTTGTTGTTGAACTAAGACTTCTGCACAAGAGAAAAACATCCTGTTTTGTATAAAGCAGTAAAGACAATGACGAAATAAAGAACATTTGGTTAGATGCTCATCAACTCCACTTGATCAAAGACCTACCTTACATTATGTCAAACTGTCAGACACTGTACCATCTTTAATATAACAGACATATCTAATAATGGAACATGAACCTGTTCTAACACTGTACAAACACTGTTCCACATCCACATCAAGACAACATCATGTTTTAATAGTTTCTGAGAACAACCATGTATTTCATAGGTTTTATTAAAAAGAAAGAAAACTGTTGAACTGTTGCTTTTTGAAGCTTGGAGTCTAATGATCATTAGATGTTGAACTTTGTCCATCGTTGCTCTGCAAAACTCTGATCCTCGCTGTCTCATACTTTCTATCAACCAACTGCACTTTTTACACGTGCTGTAGATTATATTCTGTGTCTGAGTGAGAACAGTGTGTGGAGGAAAGAGCTGTGTACAGAAGCCTTGTTTGGACAGGTCTGTGCAAACACACTGCACTGCTGCTTTCATGTGACTGTTGGGCTTTAATCCTGGCGGCTTTGAAGCAGCAGGGGAGAACCTCCCACTGGGGGGACACCATCCCCACCTGGGGGAGACCCTCCCACAAGGGGGTGGGTCCTCAAGGGGCTGGCAGGGCTGGAAGAGCACATCTTCTGGGGTTTTTTTATCTAGTTTTGCGGTTGTTTCCTCCATATTGAAACTACAGACGGACTAAAACAGACTTTGATAGTCTGTGTTAAAACCTTTGCTGAGAAGAAGTTTTATTACTCTATATTTCTATCATGACTGACCACCGTCGTGTGTGTGTGTTGTAGTGACCCTGGCACCTGCTGACCCCCGCCCAGAGGACCTGTAGAAGATGGCGGCTCAGCGTATCCGTGCGTCGAGCAGCAGTAATCCGGTCCTGCCCCGCTGCCGCTCCGAGGGGACCCTCATCGACCTGAGTGACACCGTGTCCGAGGCCTCGCTCACACAAGTCACAGGTCAGGCCTTGCTCACAGACACATCCAGGGTCCAAAGTTGGGTTGAAAAATTCTAAGATGGAAATTTCCATGGGAATTAATGGGAATTAACTAGGAATTTGGCAAAAAGATTATTAAGGGCACACGTGTGAGCCTGTGGACTAAACAAAATATTGATGATATTACAGGGAAATATATTTATCTAAGAAATCTAAGTCTACGTTGTACCTCTCCACAGTGCCTTCTCCCAGTGCCTTGCGGTTGGATTCCACCACTTCCTTCAGTGCAGCCCGAGAAGTAGTGGCCATCAAGGACTACTGCCCGTCCAGCTTCACCACGCTCAAGTTCTCCAAGGGGGACCGCCTTTATGTGCTGGACTCTTCTGGAGGCGAGTGGTGGTACGCTCATAACAACACCGAGATGGGCTACATCCCAGCGGCCTACGTCCAGCCCCTCAACTACCGCGACTCCTCATTCAGCGACAGCGGTATGATCGACACCCTGGGAGACATCAGCGAGGACCCTGCCAAAGAGCTGGACCTTCTGGGAGAATGGCCTGGCGGCATCCTTAAACCACAGTTCAAAAACCCTATTGTTCACAGCTCCACAAACCCCTTTCTCAACACCACACTGGACCAGAACAGCAATCAAAGCTCTGTAGATCTGCTCTTCTTTGACACTCCTCCTGCAGACTTTGGAAGCAGTGTTTTGAGCCCACTCACTCCGGCAGGTTTTGGCCCATCCACGCGCAGGGACAACCCATTTTTCAGGAGCAAGCGATCTTACAGTTTGTCGGAGCTGTCCATCCTGCAGTCTCAGAGCGATAATCCACAGACTACGGGTGGTTTCTTTGGGGCTTTGAAAGCTCCTGCGCCTGAGCAGTTCCAAAGCAGAGAAGACTTCAGGGAGGCTTGGCTAACTCATCGAAAACTGGCCAGGTCTTGTCATGATTTGGACTCACTCGGACAAAATCCCGGCTGGGGTCAAACGCAACCTGTGGAGACCAATATCGTTTGCCGGTTAGATCATTCTGGCGGTGCGGTCCAGCTTCCGGATACAAACATCAGCATCTTTATCCCAGAAGGCCACGTTCTACCAGGAGACACGCAGCAGATCTCCATGAAAGCTCTACTGGACCCTTCACTCGAGCTGAACAATGACCGCTGCACCACGGTCAGCCCGGTGGTAGAGATCAAGCTAAGCAACATGGAAACCAAGAGCACGCTGACGTTGGAGATGAAGCTGTCTGTGGTGCTGAAGATGGAAAGCAGACAAAGCACAGAGGTCCTGTGTGTGCGAAGCGACTGCAAAGAAGGCCCGTACACCCCTGTCCCCCAAGCCTACATTTACGGAGACACAGTCCAAGTCAGCCTAGATAATTTGGAACCTTGCATGTATGTGTGTGTGGTAGCTCAGTCCAAGTCCCTGGCTGTTGACACCACTGTTTGGGAGCAAGTGGTCAAGAAGATCACGCTTGGAGTGTATGGACCTAAGCACATCCATCCGCTCTTTAAAACCGTTGTGGCCATTTTCGGTCATGACTGTGCTCCAAAGACGCTGCTGGTGAATGAGGTTGGGAAGCAAGCCCAGGCAGCTCCTACTGTGTCTCTCCAGTTGTGGGGGAAGCACCAGTTTGTCCTCTCCAAGCCCCAGGACTTGTACGTTGGGGTCTACTCCAACATGGCTAACTACAAGGTTAAGCCCAGCGAGGCCAAGGTGGTGCGGGGCTTCCAGGTCAAACTTGGCAAAGTCAGCCACCTGGTCTATGTCATCTCGTCACAGAGCGCAGAGGAGCTGTCTGACTTCACCCTACGTATCCAGGTGAAAACCGATAACGACCGGATTCTCGCACAGTTTTGCGTTCAGACCCCAACTGCACCTCCCAAAGCAGGGCCCAAGAGCTCAGTGCAGCGTAGGTTCCTCAAGAAAAAAGAGGTGGGAAAGATTGTACTTTCTCCACTCGCCATCACCACAAAGTATCCTGTGTTTCATGACCAAACAATTAATAATCTGAAGTTTGGAAAGTTAATTAAAACGGTCATCAGGCAAAATAAGAACCAGTACTTATTGGAATATAAAAAGGGTGACTTTGTGATGCTCCTTAGTGAGGAGAAGATCAGGCTGAAGGGCCAGCTGTGGACCAAGGAGTGGTTTATAGGATACTGTCAGGGAAAAGTGGGTCTGGTCCACGCCAAGAACTTGCTGATTGTTGGAAAACTGAAACCCATTTACTTCAACGGGCCTGAGCTCACCACGTCAGTGCTGCTGGAGCAACTCTTAAAACCTTCCAAATTCCTGACTTACATCTACGCCTCAGTGAGGACGATCCTGATGGAGAACATTGGGGACTGGAGAGCCTTTGCCGACGCACTGGGGTACAAGAACCTACCTCTGACACACTTCTGCAGGACGGAGCAGGACAGCGAGCCTGAGAAAGTGGCCTCTGTGCTCGAGAAACTCAAGGAGGACTGTAACAACGCTGACAGTAAAGAGAGGAAGTCCTTCCAGAAGGAGCTGCTCACAGTGAGTCTGCACCACACACACTTTATACTCATAACAAACTCAAGAACAACTGTGTCACCAACTGAGATCTTTAGAAAGTCCTATCGACTTTAGAAAGACAATCTCTGTTCCAATATGTGACCCACACTCACTTTTATTGGGGCCAAAATATGAAATCGCAAGAGCTGATTGGGGCCAAAAGTATAAAAGAAATTTACTTTTATTATCATTACTTGTTTTTGACAAATTGATGAGTTTTGAGCTTATTTTCTGGTATTTTTTAGTTCAACCATAATTGGGCCAAATATCAACAAGATATGTAACTGAAGACTGATCAGCCTCATTTAGTTAAAATGTCTAATTTAATCTGCTGAACAGGCATTTTAACTAAATGAGGCTGATCACGGTTGTTTTTTTCTGAGGGAAAAAAATCTTTAAAATATAGAATAGTAAACAGGCCACAGTCGCCCATTACCATCAAAACCTTAAAAACGTAATGTAAAGTCTGTAACTGTAGTGGAATACGTACAATGAGACTCAACAGCTGTAGCAGAGTGCGGCGGACAGGGCCAGGCTGAACATGGAGCCGGCTTTATGAAAAATGTGTGTGTGTTTAGTGTGTGCTGTGTGTGAGTGTATTTAGTGTGTATTTTCCGGAGTTTTGTTTGGTTTCCTTCCGTCAGCGTCTGGGCGGAGGGGCTTATCTCCCTCCAGAGAAAGAGGAGGAATGTCAGGCATTTGAGTGGGCAGAGGCTGGAGCGAAGAGGGGGGGTGAGGGGGTGGTGGGGGTGAGGGGAGTGGAGGGGGTGAGGGGAGTGGAGGGGGTGAGGGCGGTGAGCGAGGAGGTTGGCGTGAGTGAGATGGTAGGGTGAGTGAGGTGGTGGGGGCGAGGGCAGGGAGCGAGGGGGTGGGGGCGAGGGCGGTGAGCGAGAAGGTGGGGGTGAGCGGGTGAGTGAGGTGAGGGCGGTGGTGGGGGTGACAACTTTATGATTGTGTATTATGTTTAGAGTGGTCTGTATTACACACAATCATCACAACAGATGTGTTTCCACCTGCACCTGTTTAAAGATGACCCCAATCCCACCTCATCTACAGTGTGTGTGTGTGTGTGTGTGTGTGTCTGTGTGTGTGTGTGTGTGTGTGCAGGAGGGATGCTGGGCGATTCTGTGTGTTTGTTTCTCATTGGAAGTCGATACTTTCTCAGCCTGTGATGTAGACATGTGACTGTGATTGACAGGTGTCAGGCTGTTAGCTGGGTTTTCAAACTGGGGTTCAGGTCCACGGAATGTTTTTAAAAGTCATGATTATGTTGTTGTGATACTGTATAGAAACCCAAACACAATTTAAATTTAAACAAAAATACACTAAACCAGCTGAGACAGTCCCTCTGTGTCCTGGGTCTGGAAGCAGGAATAGTATACGTTTATTCATCGAACTGAATTTATATATATATAAAGATTATCTGAACTCGTCCATATTTGGGTCTGGTCCTCCCGGTTCTGTACAGTGGACGAGCTCCCATGATGCAAATACGAGTGTGTCTCTCGTGCACATGCACAGAGGGGCTCGGCCTAACTCCTGCTCATCAAAGCAGGAGTTAGATGACAAGGGACACTAAATCCCCACACAATCCGACCTTTATGAAAGCTGTATGTTCTCTGTCAGGTTCTCTGTCAGCTGAGGTCAAGCTGTTTTAGTTTACATTGAGTTCTATGGGACTTTTTTTTTGGGATCCCTCGTGAATTTAGTCTGCAGGGCTGCAACAACGAATCATTAAGTGTTTGCAACAAATTTCGGACGGAGATCACCATTGACTTTGCTCTGAGACTCGTCGCAGCCTGATCCGGTCACACACAGCTTCAGAGTGTACACACTTTGACATGTTTGTGTCTGACAGTGCCACTCTTTATAATTCATCATTTATTCAATGTTCTGACTGCTCGGGTCCCTTTTAAACAACAAAAAATACCAATATTTTGGCAGATACTGCATAGTATATTTTTGTTTGTTTTTTGTGTTGGTCCACAAAATAAAGGAATAAAAAAATGGAAATTAAAAATGTGTTTTGTTTTTTGATCCGATTCATCGATTAATCTGAGAATTCAACCTATTTATCTATAATTAAAATAATTGTTAGTTGTAGCCCTAATCCAGATATTATTATAGATCCAGTACAGTGCTGCCCCCTGCTGTTCAGACTCCAACACTATACTGTCATTAAAATGTTAATTGTCTGTCTGTGTGGTGGATCCTCTCTTTGCACGTGATGATTCTAAATGTCGTGTTTTTGCCTTTTGATATTTACACAATTTGTCATTAAATATCAAAAACACACATGTGACTTCACTTTTCAAAGCTACAAGTTGTGTTTGTGGAGAGACGAGTCTTCTCACTCTTTTTAACCATTAAATCAACCATAATGGAGGAATGTATGTGTTTTAAAACAAGCGGAGCAACATCTCAGTTACAGTTACAACATATCTATTAGAAGAAGCTGTTTGGATTCGTAAAACCAAAGCAGATGAAGTGTGAGGGAGAGTAAAGACAGAATAAAGCCTGTTTCAAACAGTATCTTGTCCCTGGTGTGAGTCTGTCTCTGTTCCACAGGCTCTGCTGAAACTGGACTGCCAGGGGCTGGTGGCTCGGCTCGTCCTGGACCTGGTGCTGCTGACCACAGCGGTGGAGGTGGCCGGACGCTGGAGGGAGCTGGCCGACAAGCTGGTCAAAGTGTCCCGGCAACAGATGGACGCGTACGAGGCCCCGCACCGAGACAGGAGCGGAGTGGTGGACAGTGAGGTAGGACAGAGGACAGAGAGGTGGAGAGTGAGGTAGGACAGAGGACAGAGAGGTGGACAGTGAGGTAGGACAGAGGACAAAGAGGTGGATAGTGAGGTAGGACAGAGGACAGAGTGGTGGACAGTGAGGTAGGACAGAGGACAGAGACGTGGACAGTGAGGTAGGACAGGGGACATAGAGGTGGACAGTGAGGTAGGACAGAGGACAGAGAGGTGGACAGTAAGGTAGGACAGAGGACAGAGAGGTGGACAGTGAGGTAGGACAGAGGACAAAGTGGTGGACAGTGAGATAGGACAGAGGGCAGAGAGGTGGACAGTGAGGTAGGACAGAGGACAGAGAGGTGGACAGTGAGGTAGGACAGAGGACAGAGAGGTGGACAGTGAGGTAGGACAGAGGACAGAGTGGTGGACAGTGAGGTAGGACAGAGGACAGAGAGGTGGACAGTGAGGTAGGACAGAGAGGTGGACAGTGAGGTAGGACAGAGGACAGTGAGGTAGGACAGAGGACAAAGTGGTGGACAGTGAGGTAGGACATAGAGGTGGACAGTGAGGTAGGACAGAGGACAAAGAGGTGGACAGTGAGGTAGGACAGAAGACAGAGTGGTGGACAGTGAGGTAGGACAGAGAGGTGGACAGTGAGGTAGGACAGAGAGGTAGACAGTGAGGTAGGACAGAGGACAGAGAGGTGGACAGTGAGGTAGGACAGAGGACAGAGAGGTGGACAGTGAGGTAGGACAGAGGACAGTGAGGTAGGACAGAGGACAAAGAGGTAGGACAGAGGACAGAGTGGTGGACAGTGAGGTAGGACAGAGGACAGAGAGGTGGACAGTGAGGTAGGACAGAGGACAAAGTGGTGGACAGTGAGGTAGGACAGAGGACAAAGAGGTGGACAGTGAGGTAGGACAGAGGACAAAGAGGTGGACAGTGAGGTAGGACAGAGGACAAAGAGGTGGACAGAGAGGTAGGACAGAGGACAAAGAGGTGGACAGTGAGGTAGGACAGAGGACAAAGAGGTGGACAGAGAGGTAGGACAGAGGAAAGAGTGGTGGACAGTGAGGTAGGACAGAGGACAAAGTGGTGGACAGTGAGGTAGGACAAAGGAAAAAGTGGTGGACAGTGAGGTAGGACAGAGGACAAAGAGGTGGACAGTGAGGTAGGACAGAGGACAGGGTGGGGGATAGTGAGGTAGGACAGAGGACAAAGAGGTGGACAGTGAGGTAGGACAGAGGACAGAGAGGTGGACACGGTAGGACAGAGGACAGAGAGGTGGACAGTGAGGTAGGACAGAGGACAGAGAGGGGGACAGTGAGGTAGGACAGAGGACAAAGAGGTGGACAGTGAGGTAGGACAGAGGAGAGTGAGGTAGGACAGAGGACAGAGAGGTGGACAGTGAGGTAGGACAGAGGACAGAGAGGTGGACAGTGAGGTAGGACAGAGGACAGAGAGGTGGACAGTGAGGTAGGACAGAGGACAGAGAGGTGGACAGTGAGGTAGGACAGAGGACAATGAGGTGGACAGTGAGGTAGGACAGAGGACAGAGGGGGGGACAGTTAATCACAATTAATCGCATACATTTCATTGTTAACTCGTGATTAATTGCATTAAATCTCATATTTGTCCCTGTTTTAAATGTCCCTTGTTTATGTTTGAAAAGGGACAAAGAAAAAAGTTTATGTCGATCCAATCTGCTCCAAAAAGAAAACATTTGGATTTAGTCTAATATCATCTCAATCTCTGCTTTTGTTATGACTTTTTACAGAATATAAAACTATTGAACGCAGTAGAAAAGACTTGAATGAAAACATAAACAGATTCTTATTAGATGATTTAAGTCAGAGTTTATATGACGACCACCGCAGTGAAAATGACGCCTGCTGTGACTTACAGAGTGTCGTCTTTAGAAGAGAAAGATTCAAAACATAACATTGTGCTGAAGAGAGAAACATAAACTAGTTCATGATTCTACACCTGATGTACTGATGTGTCTGCTGCATGTAAACATATTGATCCATGTCTCTGGTGTCCAGGCCATGTGGAAGCCAGCGTACGACTTCCTGGTGACGTGGGCGGGGCAGATCGGGGACAGTTACCGGGACGTCCTGCAGGAGCTGCACTTAGGACTGGACCGGATGAAGAGTCCCATCACACGACGCTGGAGACACCTGACAGGAACCCTGATGCTGGTCTACTGCCTGGACCTGCTGCGGAGCCACGCCTTCAGCCCTGCTTCAGGACCACGCCCCCAGGACCACTGTGCCGTATGAGGCCACGCCCCCTGGACCACTGTGCCGTCTGAGGCCACGCCCCCAGGACCACTGTGCCGTCTGAGGCCACGCCCCCTGGACCACTGTGCCGTCTGAAGCTCCGCCCCAGGACCACTGTGCCGTCTGAAGCTCCGCCCCAGGACCACTGTGCCGTCTGAGGCCACGCCCCCAGGACCACTGTGCCGTCTGAGGCCACGCCCCCTGGACCACTGTGCCGTCTGAAGCACCGCCCCAGGACCACTGTGCCGTCTGAAGCTCCGCCCCCAAGACCACTGTGCCGTCTGAAGCTCCGCCCCAGGACCACTGTGCCGTCTGAGGCCACGCCCCCAGGACCACTGTGCCGTCTGAGGCCACGCCCCCTGGACCACTGTGCCGTCTGAAGCACCGCCCCAGGACCACTGTGCCGTCTGAAACTCCGCCCCCAAGACGACTGTGCCGTCTGAAGCTCCGCCCCCGGCAATACCTGGAACACACCTCGGTCTCTCATTGTCCTCTTTGTCCCGGGACTCCGCTCACTCAGGTTTTAAACTGTGTGTGACATCTTTGCATCTGTAAAGACTGTATTTTCTATCGATTTACTGGATCTTCAATTTATACAGTGCCTTGCAAAAGAGACGATACAGCATAAACGTTTGAAAATGTTGCTATGTTACGACTGCAAACAAAGATTTTATTTAGGATTTTACGGGAGGACAAGTGAAAGAATGTTTTAAACCACTCCATTGTATCTTTATGTTTAGGGAAATGAAGAAAGGCAGGTCCATAGCATGATGCTGCCACCCCCATACTTACACAGGGGATGGTGCACAGAGGGCGTTTTTAGCCAGACATAAGTTGCTTCTTCCACGTGTCGCATTTGTCACTTTGCTTCTTGAGGCTTTTCTTCAACACTTTCTTTTGATAGATTTGTGTTTGACTAATATTTGCCAAAAAGTACAGACTCCCCCAGATGAGCTGGTGGAAGTCTGCAGCTCCTCCAAAGTAACCATGAGCCTCGTGGCTGCATCTATGATCCATGTTGCTGTTCGAGCTATGAGTTCGGGCAGACAGTTATCTGTTGGTAGATTTGAAGTGGTGCCATACTCTTTGTGTTCCCAGATGATAGATTGAACGGTGCTCTATGAGACGTTCAAAGTTCAGGAAATGTTTGTAAAACTTAAAGCTATTTAAACTCCTCCTCCCTGTACCCCCGACCCTTCTGCTGTGCTGGACTTCAGGATGGACTCTCTTCATGAGTGGAGACACTGTGGGCTCTGTTTAAAGGGGAATTATATCAGATTCTGATGTCTGACACAACACAGGGCCAAATGTAGCTTAAATTCTGTATCCTCTGAGCATAAAGTACAAAGGTAGCCCTGATTAGCACCTGTGGTTTCCTTTTCACAATATAACACTCAACACCTATGTGCATTGGACTAGTTTAGAAACACTGTATAATGTCAAAAGAGTAAATGAGGAGAAGAAATTAGGATACATGTTATTTTAAATCACATATAGATGGATAGCAGAGCACATGACTCTTACTGCTGCAGCTTCACATAAGAAGAGTGTAGATCCATGGTTTAAACACACCCACTTTTCACTTTTAACTGGATTCATGCAGATATTTGTGGATTGTGTCTCATGGATTCACAAAAGGAAGGCAAAGGCAAAGACTGAGTCCGTGTTTGTAATCCATGACTGGACGACCTCCTCTGCTCAACCCTACAAGCTTCTTTCACATATGTCTAGTCTTTTCCTGTTTGGAGCGAAGAATATCCTCATTTATGAATTCATGTCAGTCCATGAAGACGTTTGACCAGATTACTTCCATCGTGATGTTATAAACCACAGGCTTTGATATCCAGTCTCCTCCCACCTGTCACTCAGACAAGCTGAGCACTTTCAGCACAGGTGGAAAAGGGTGCTCTCCTCAGACACAGGCTGTATGTTCTATACTCACTCAATCTTAGTCCTCATTAGAAGCCAAACTCCACTTTTATGTTATAAACTCCTCCTGGATCGACGGAGAACAGACAAGGGTTGTTAGTCTTTTGATTTGTGGTTCCATTGGGCCCAGAAGTTGTTACAAAGTTGCAATTCTCAACTGGTTTGGTCCAGATTCACACCTGTGTTTTTGCAAACAAATCACTCTCCAGCTCCAAAGCCCGACTGGAGTCCATCGACCCCAGACCTGCTCCAAAAGCTGGTCTTCGGTTCAAAGCAAACTGTGTTGTAGATCAGTTCTTTCTGCCTCCTTCTGAAAAAGCCTCGTTGCTTTTTGTTTGTGGAAGACACTAACGACAACAACACAGTTGTGCTTTAGTTCAACTTTAGTGTCAAATTCGTATTTTATTATTTGTGCCAAGGAAAGTTAGAGCATTTTCAAATGATATTTTAAAGCACTCAGAGACATGCTGTATGGTCACTTATTTCTAAAGTCTAATGAATAACAAAGTAATAGGAACTATGACGTGAAAGCTAATTTATCAAATGTTTTGTCTTAATCCAAAATGAAATGCGGCGTAAGACACTGTCTGTAAACATGTGTTATGTGTTCTGTCATCTTTAGGAGGTAAACTGGTTCTAGTGTGAATAAAGTGCCAATAGTGAACGCAGTGCTGGTCACAACAAACACTACACTTGTAGAAGTCGTTTATCGTCATGTCGTCACCAGACGAGAAGCTTTAATGATTTCTGAATAGCTGGGGCGACTCCTGTTGTGTATGTAAACAATAGTTTGTAGAACAGGCAGAATATACACAAGCTCCGGAGTGTGTTGTGGTAAAAGAGAAAATGCCTGAAAAACACTTTATCCACCAAAAGAAGAAACAGGACATTTCCTGAGCTGCACAGTGTTCTGCCTCAGGTGCGACCATAGACTGTAGGAGGAAGTGGAGGTGAATGTCCCCTGGAGTCCATGTCTGGCTCCTGGAGTCTGGCTCCTCTGGATGAGTCCCAGGTGTCTGCTCTCTTCCCAACAGCACCAGGACGCAGGACAGATACATGACAGCAAAGTATTGAAATAAACATTTGATAAACTTTAAAGTGTGGATTCGTTTCTCCATGTTTTTTTTTTTGTCATTCCAGGAATTTTGTGTGTGTTTCAAAACAAATAATGCATCTTATTTCAGCCGTATTGTCACTTAAGTAGGAAGGGCCTGGGGTTGGATTTTCCCGTTTATTCTGTATGACATCGAAATGGGATTGGCCTGCGCATCGCTCCCACGCTCTCTGATTGGTCGAGACGCTGGGGTGGGCGGGCTCCCCTTTGTTTGGCTGTGAGTCCGTGCGCACGAGAGCAGCGGAGGAGCACTGATCCCCAGGCCGACCCTCCACAACCCTCTCCCGGACTCCTACCTCTCCCACCTCCGCTCTCTTTCCTCCAGCTGGCCCCATGCGCACGGTCCTCCAACGCGGCCAAGACTTGAGGCGATCGCGCGTAAAGAAGACGTAAGAGAGACGCGCATTCCTCCAGTGGTGTTTGTAAACAGCTGGAATGCGGCTGTTCTTCTTGGACAATAGTTGCAGAGCACAAAGGGCGTGTGGGAACGCTGAGCTGGAACTTTACGGACCTGTTTTGTGGATTATTTGAGTTCTGGGACTGACTCTAAGTTTCTGGAAAATCCAATTTAGCAAACCACAGAAACGAGCCCATTGAAAAAAGGCAACAAGTTGAGACTGTGCTCGTGAGATGCGCGCTCCTGTGACTCTGGACACTTGACACTAAAACCTAATGGTGTGTATGTGGATGTATGCGATGCAACAACAGTTAAAATGACTGCTCAAAGGAATATTCTGGACCAGAGGACTAATGAGTAGATAATTTTCATTTTTTTTCTCAATTATAGTTTTAATAGGAATGTGCCTAAAATAAGGAGGATAATTGGGGTGGAGCAATTAGAGGTGTAGTGGAGGATTTTCTCAAATGTTAGGAAAGAACCGCCCTCTCCAAAAACTCTCTGGTCTGGTTTGACGAGCACGTATCTCCAGAATGATTGACAATTAGTCTTGATGATCCACCCGGAAGTAGAACATTCTCCTTATTATCTTATACCTTTTAAGATAATAAGTAACAGACACAGAGGGAATAACATTTCTAAATATTTTTTGTAGTGAAAGATTACAAGCGCCTCTTTTATGACTTGAAAGTGAAAGTAAAAGGCCAAAGTTGTCGCACTTGTGTAGAGATGGGCGGGAGCTTGACCTCCTTCCAGTCCCTGCACATCGTCCTGCTGGGGCTGGACTCTGCCGGGAAGACCACCGTTCTCTACCGTCTCAAACTGAACGAGTTTGTCAACACGGTTCCCACCATCGGCTTCAACAGTGAGAAGATCCGTCTGAGCTCCGCCAAGGGCCTGAGCGTGCACCTGTGGGACGTGGGCGGTCAGGAGAAACTGCGGCCGCTGTGGAGGTCGTACAGCCGCGGCGCCGACGGCATCATCTACGTGGTGGACTCGGTGGACGTGGAGCGGCTGGAGGAGGCCCGCGGAGAGCTGCATAAGATGGCCAAGCTGAGCGAGAACCAGGGAGCTCCTCTGCTGGTCATCGCCAACAAGCAGGACCTGCCGCGGAGCCTGCCGGTGGGGGACGTGACCAAACGGCTGGCCCTGGAGGAACTGGGGCCCCACACGGCGTACCACGTCCAGCCCGCCTGCGCCATCATCGGGGAGGGTCTGCACGAGGGTCTGGAGAAGCTCTGCCACATGATCATGAAGAGGAGGCAGAGCACAAAGAGGAAGTGACCCGGGAGTGTGGACTGTAGGTGTGGCCCATACCTGTTAAAGGAGGGTCTGGGTCTAGGACTAGGGCTGGGGCTGGGCCAGGGCTGGTATGAAGCTGGACTAGGGCTGGGCTATTTCTGGTATGAAGCTGGACTAAGGCGGAACTAAGTCTGGAATGAGGCTGGACTAGGGATGGGCCAGGTCTGGTATGAAGCTGGACTAGGGTTGGGCCAGGTCTGGTATCAAGCTGGACTAGAGTGGGACTAACTCTGGTTTGAAGCTGGATTAGGAATGGGCCAGGGCTGGTATGAAGCTGGACTAGGACTGGGCTAAATCTGGTATGAAGCTGGACTCGGACTGGGCTAAATCTGGTATGAAGCTGGACTAGGACTGGGCTAAATCTGGTATGAAGCTGGACTAGGGCGGGACTAAGTCTGGAATGAAGCTGGACTAGGGCGGGACTAACTCTGGAATGAAGCTGGACTAGGGTGGGACTAAGTCTGGAATGAAGCTGGACTAGGGCTGGGCCAGGTCTGGTATGAAGCTGTCAAGGGCTGGTCTAAATCTGGATGAATATGGACCTTTTATGAGAAGGGATTGCTCCAATTCCCAGTGCACTTTAAGACCAACCTCGATCAACAAGGAACCACAGTGGACTTTTAATTTAGGGGACCACAGGGAAGTCCCAGGACACACCACAGGGACTGTCTCTCTGCTGGTCTGCAAAGGCTCAACATTCCCCCAGATGAGCTGAAACAGGGAAGTGTCTCTGCTCAGACTCGGAGGAAGAAGAATAGATAAACCTGCACTAGTTTCAGAATAAACCTGGTCCCAGTTTGGCCTGGACCACAGAGACACTGTTTAGTATTTGATTGACACCTGTACCTCAACATTTCTTTTTCTAGTTTTCTAGTTACTTTTTTTGTCCATAAGCAGGGTTTCCAAACTGTTGTATTGAAATAGACCTCAGAACGATAATCACGTCACGATTGCTGCAGTTTCCTTCTGTTCTGAACCAGATGCAAGAGATTGTCCTTGTTTCTGATACTTGTGTGTGATACTTATTTGCATTTGAGCAGATGGTAAAGAATAATGACAGATTTACTAAAGACACATGCGCTGTACACCATTTAGTGATTATTGAAGCCGCGATAATTCACATCAAACGTCCAGAATATGAAGTCTGTGTGACGTGGTTAAAACGACTGTGCTCCTCTGAACAGACTTCGGTCTATAAAGTCTGTCCAGAGGAGAGCTGTGCATCAGTTGTGAACCCTCAACCCAAAAAGTTCCAGTTATAAACTCACGACAAATGAAAAGTATTCTGCATGATCAAACTCTTTCCTTCAGTCGATTCTTTTTAGATTTGACAGAAAAATGAAAAAATATCTGTAAAATGTTTCTTGTGTTGTGACTGATATTTAAAACAGGACATTTTAGTTAGATTTTTTCCGACGGGTATCGATAAAGTGTCTATCTGATCTATTATATATATGTATATTTAAAACGGACAAATGTTACGCACAACTTTTGTCCGTTAACATTTATATTGAGACTCTTTCAAACTGCAGGCTCTGAGCGACGTCATAGTGGTGCAGTTTTACAGAGCTGAGTCACAGCTTTAGAGTCAGTCTAAAGTCACCGCACAGCCTCCTTTGTGACAGGTCGGGGGTCAGAGGTCAGGGAGTGGGTGGGGGAGGGGTCCACACATGCTGCTGCTCTTACAATGCCCTGGGTTTATTGGTTTATTGCCGTCTGTTCAGCGAGAGCCACATTCAAATAGACTCAAAGCAAAAGGACACAGACTTATAGGATGTCAAAGTTAAAGATGTCAAAGATTTTATTCTAAATTATCCATTATCCTCACAGGGTAAATCTCAGAGTCATTGCCCCCAAAACACAAAATAATCAAAAAGCAAAAAATATCTCTGTTTTTAGAGAATGAATGAATGAATAAACTCTAGTCACTCTTTGCACATCAATCCTAACGAATCTCTCAGATGTTTAGGTCAAAACCTGCACAACACAATGTTTCACCGATCCAAGCGACTTCTCCCGCTCTGCTGCTGTGTCCTGAAGTGCTGGAGCATTTTAATACTATTGTTATTTACTATTTTTAAGAATGATCATTTTATTTGTTTTGTTTATTTGAAGGGATGTGTTTCTGCTGCTAATGGACACCTGCATTTCTCCTCCAGGGATCAATAAAGTATCTGTTTATCCACAGAACAAAAAAATATGTTGTTCTTTTCAAGCTTATGAAGCAAACAGTCAAAAACTTCCAAACTCCCCTCATCCACACTGAGACATTTCTGAGGAATATTGTCCAAACATATGTTGAATGCTGATAACAGAACGATATGGAGTAAATGTCTTATTTTACTGTGTGTAGCAGCTTTTGAAGTTTAAAATGTTTACTAAAGATGTTTATCAAAAAAAGCTTCAGCCTCATCTTTTCTCAAAACACTTCAGTATCTTGTTGGTAAGTGCCTGAAACTGTTAGAATAAATTAGTAAACAGAACAAAACTGAGACTAGGGAATGGATCTATTATTATCTCGGACCACTTGACAGACCAGAGTGACAAAGCCGTTTACAATTGTTCCCATCTCTCACTCCACACAGAGATGGGAGCGGGGCCAGTACAGGAGGTGCATGCCAGAACTATTGTACATGTTTTTCAGTGGTAGGAGAAACCGGAGCACCCGGAGGAAACCTACACAGACACAGGGAGAACATGCAAATTCCACTCAGAAAGACCCTGTTCCCACCGGGATTTGAACCCAGGACCTTCTTGCTGAGAAGCGAGAGTGCTATCCACTTTTGGGTTAAGGTTAGGATTACTGTAGCCTGGCCTGCATGTGACGTAGTTTGTACTATGGTGTGGTACGACCAGGCTAGGATCAGGGTTAGCTTCAGTGTTTTTGGGTAAAGGTTAAATAGATCAGGGATATGGTTAGAGATTGCTTTGGTGTTTAGGGTTAGGTTTGGTGTCCATGGATTGGGGTTAGGGTTGGTAAATTAGGGACGGGATTAGCTTTAGCACTTTGAATTCATTACACTTATTATATTTGTATCTATAGTTGTAGCTTTTTCACTGTACAGGAGCTAACGTCACACATGCCTCAGTCTGATCTCACTTCAAACCTGCTTTTGTGACTGCGTGTGTGTGCGTGCGTGCGTGCGTGTGCGTGCGTGTGTGCGCGTGTTTGTGTGTGTGTGTGTGCGTGCGTGTTTGTGAGAGTGTGTGTGTGTGTTTGTGTGTGCGTGCGCGTGTGTGTGCGTGTGTTTGTGTGTGTGCGTGCGTGTGCACTTGTTTTCAACTCCTGGTGGGTTCCATAACCTGAGATTCCGCTCACGTCATGGGGACTGGTTTTACGTGGTGGGGCCCGAACACCGGACCCCACTGGTCCAAGCTTAATAATCAATGGGTAATGCTTTTCTAACGGTCCTTATGCAGTCTCTGTAAAAATATGGAAAGGACCCCTGGAGGTTTACTTTCCTGAAAAAAGTGTGTTATGTGTCGGAACCCTGGTGGTGGGTTGCGGGATATCAAGGAGGGGCACACTGGGGCAATTTCAGTCCAGCAGGCTGGAGCCAATCATGGAGCAGCACAACAGAGGAAATCAGGTGTCAGGCTAGAAAAAGGTGCAAGTGTGTGTGGTTCATTAGGCTGCAAGAAATCATGGAGGAGCACACTGAAGCGCACGCTTACAAACCACTGGTAAGTGCTGACTACAAGTCATGACTTCAAATTGTTATATAGAATGATTACAAATTATTTGTTGTTTGTGCAGCTTAGTCAAGAGTCCCTAATTGATGAAGTCGACTCAGATTCTGACGATTTAACTGTCAAGAAGAAACCTGTAAAAAAGTATGGAAAAAGAAAAATCAAAAACACTTTTCTTCAAGACTTGGAAAGTGACGAACCAAAGGCAAATAAGATTGTTATCATGCAGCTGCAAAAGAAGAAAAATGGGGGGCGAGTTTACAGCAAGAGACACTTCTGCCTCTACTGTTCAATGTCCTGCCACAAAATGTCCCGTCATTTGACTAGAAAACATGGAAATGAAAGTGACGTAGCCAGAGCATTGGCTCTACCTGTGAAATCTAAAGCACGTAAACTTCAGTTTGATTTGATCAGGAATAGTGGAAACCGTGAGCACAATTTTGAGGTTTTAAAGGCCGGCATTGGAACTTTAGTCCCAGCTAAACAGCCAAATTCCCCAGTTAAATCCAGTGAGTTTTTGCACTGTATAGACTGTGGGGCATTGCTTAAGCGAAAGTCGCTGTGGAGGCATGTGGCCAGGTGCCGGCTTTCACAGAAAGATGCCCAGGCTAAACCAGGTAGAAGTAGGGTCCAGTCCCTCTGCTCCCTAGCCCAGCCTGTACCGGAGGGCATCAGCAAAAAGCTGTGGTCTTTAATTTCGGCAATGCATCAGGATGAGGTCACGGGTGTTGTCAAAGCAGAAAAGGGGATTCTGAGACTCGGAGAGCACCTGTACTTAAAACACGGGCATGATAAGACTAAGCATGATTACATTAGGCAGAAAATGAGAGAAGTCGGTAGGTTAATTAACGAAGCAAAAACCGCAGGGAAACTGAAAACAATTAAGGATTTCTTTATTCCTTCCAACTTTAACCATGTGATTGATGCAGTCAGGTCTGTGGCTGGATATGATGAGGAAACAAATCAATACAAGACTCCATCCTTGGCCCTCAAACTCGGCCATAGCCTCAGAAAGCTAGCAGATATTCTTGAATGTGACTCAAAAATGGAGCATTGTGTTGATGAACTATTTATTAAAAACCTCCAACGAAGCCGGCTGCTTTTTGAGAAGAGGTGGGACGTCTGTGTTTCTTCTGCTGCCCTACAGACCCTCCGGCAAGCCAAGTGGAACACTCCGGACCTGCTCCCTCTGACTGAGGACGTTAGAGCCATGCATGCACATATTGAGGTATGTCGACCTGAATATGTGCAAACCCTAATAAGTGAGCCAACGTCTAAGCATTGGTCTAAACTGGCAGTTTTGACTCTTTGTGAGGTCATCATTTTCAATCGAAGAAGGGAAGGTGAGGTTTCAAAGATGCCACTGACAGCCTTTACCTTAAGAAGTAAGACTGGGATCCATTCTGACATTGCTCTGGGACTGTCCCAACTTGAGAAAAAGCTGTGTCAGCATTTTCAACGCATTGAAATTAAAGGGAAAAGAAGTCGGAAAGTGCCGGTTCTTTTGACTCCTGAAATGATTGCTTCGATGTAGGTGCTGGTGGAGAACAGAAGGGCCTGTTCCATCTCTGACCATAACCCATACTTCTTTTCCCGCCCGGGCGCAGACACCCACATCAGGGGATCAGACTCCCTACGCCAGGTAGCCAAAGAATGTGGTGCGGTGCATCCAGAGATGCTATCCTCAACCAAACTTAGAAAGCACATAGCTACTATGTCTACAGTTCTCAATATGAAAGAGAATGAGATGGACATACTTGCCAACTTCCTCGGCCATGACATTCGCATCCACAGGCAATATTACAGACTACCAGAGGGGACACTGGAGCTGGCCAAAATCAGCAAAGTGTTGATGGCCATGGAGCAGGGAAGAGTGACGGAATTCGAAGGAAAGAGCCTCGACCAGATACAAATTGAGCCTGAAGGTAATTCTTGATATTATTAAAATATGTATGATTTTTTTCCCCTAAAGGCCACTTGTATTTTTATTTTCTGTGCGACAGGGAGAGCAGTAGAGATCCTCTCACAAACGGACGGGCTAAAAGAAACTTCAAGCGGAGAACCTTCAACCATTCATCCAGATGCACCCCATGGTAGTGGCAGTGCCCCTTCTGGTAAGTGTACCAGGTGGGGGATTACAGCCAGGCTGCTTGGTCCTAACCCTGGGAGTGTATATTGCTAATATATTTTTATTTCTCTCCCTAGAACGTGTAAGAAAGCCATGGTCTGCATCTGAGGTGAAGGCTGTGGAGAAGACCATGACACCTTTCATACAGACTGGAAAGGTCCCTGGGAAGTCTCACTGCCTGGCCTGGCCTGGCCTGGCCTGCATTAATGCCTCACCAGATGACCTTAGACATCGGACATGGAGTGGCATTAAATTCTATGTCAAAAATAGAATCACTGCAATTCGAAAACAAAATCTAAAATAAAATTCCTTTAAAATAGTTGTTTGGTTTCTATTGACTGTTTTGTATTACTTAAAGTAGTCCCAGTAAAAAAAAATTATGTCTATGGGTCCCATTCTGAACGGCCCTGTCAAAGGGACCCACCAGGTAACAAAAACGTGTATGTGTGTGCGTGTGTGTGTGTTTGTGTGTGTGTGTGTGCGTGCGTGTTTGTGTGCGTGTTTGTGTGTTTGTGTGTGTGAGTTGTCTTGTCGTATACCATCGGTGGTAGTTACCGTGTGGTGATTACTGTATGTAGCGTACAGTAAACCTAATGAGATGGATTGACTCAGTATGGTCTAGTTTCTGTCTCAGTGTCTGTTATGTGTGTCGGGGTGAGGGGGGTTTGGATTAATATTTGCATTTTGCTTCCTCCAACCCCTTTTCAACCCCTGTACGTGCTTTTGTTTCATTGTTTCCTGTGAAAATGATGTGTGCAGGTTTTGAAATAAATATTTCATTCATTCATTTAATGACTGCAAAAAAATAAATACAAATTGTTCCCAAAGGTTTTGCCGTGATCTAGGTACAAGGACAATGAACATAGAATTGTGAACATCAGCGTTGAGTGACCCCAGTATAAACTCAACCTAAATCTATGACCAGATCCTCTGCAAATGTGTCCTAAGATGTCATCATCAAACTTTTATTACAGACTCATGGTCCAGGATTAGACAAACACATATATATACATCACAACAATAAGCCTCACTCCTCAGAGCAAAGGTACCAGTGTCTCCATAGATCTGACTGGACAGATAAAACTGTACATCAGACATCGAATGGCCTGAAGTGTCCTGATTCCAACTGAAACAAACAAAGTACTTGCACTTTCCCATCTTGGCCTTAAAATTACAATGTTCTGATAATGTTAATTGTCACTTCCGGGTTTACGGCGATTGCTTTTGTCACATTAAAACAGCAATAATATGATGAAAACATAAACAGATCATTCTGAAAACCTCTGTGCATGTGTATTCAGAATGAAAATGTATAATGTATTCTCCCATTAACATTTAAATTTATTGATTTAATATTATTTATGTTTATTGAGCGTGGCTAGCTCCGATAGCTTCTCTTGAAGAGATAGAAGTAGTTTTAATAAAGTATCTATCTACAGTACAGACCAAGAGTTTGGACACACCTTCTCAAAGAGTTTTTTTATTTTCATGATTATGAAAATTGTAGATTCACACTGAAGGCATCAAAACTATGAATTAACTGAATTATGTACGAAAAAAATAAAATATGAAACAACTGAAATATGTCTTATATTCTGGTTCTTCAAAGTAGCACCTTTTGCTCTGATACTTCACTCTTGGCATTCTCTTGATGAGCTTCAAGAGGACCTGAAATGGTCTTCAACAGTCTTGAAGGAGTTCCCAAGATGCTTAGCACGTGTTGGCCCTTTTGGCTTCACTCTGCGGTCCAGCCCCAAAACCATCTGGACTGGGTTCAGGTCCGGTGACTGTGGAGTCCAGGTCATGTGGCCCAGCACCATCTCTCTCCTTATTGGTCAAACAGCCCTTTCACAGCCTGGTGTGGGTCTACAGTCAATAGTCATGAAAAGAAAGGAAACTCATTGAAAGTGTGTCCAAACTTTTGGTCTGTACTGTATGTTATGTGCCTGGATTGGGTTGGTTACCGTGGAAACCCTGGTCATCTAGAACATCCATATCAACTGGTTGCTATGGATACTATGTGATGTCATTCTGGAATGAGTTAGGGTTATCCCACTTAGGGGGGCCTGATTATCCCACTGACATTACATATGACGGTGGACGGTGGATACAATTTTTATCTCAGCAGCAGTAGTACGGAGACAGAAGACAATGGGGGGTAAAAATTCCAGAGTGAGTAAAAAGACCCAGAATAGTTCTAAGAAACTGGAGGTCAGTGTGAATAATCAGTATTCACCAACTGTGGCTTCAGAGGCCGATTGCAAACTGAGGGAGCAGCCGGAAAACCGCAGCCTGGAGAAAAAGACACCGGACTTTATGAAAGTCTGCGAGCGTCTGTTTCAAGACGGAGAGGTTTTGAGGGAACGGATGCATGCAGCGATTAGGGAAAACCAAGAGCGCATCTCTAACCTTAAAGAGATTAAGGCGAAAGCAGAGAAGGACGAGACCAGCAGCGACGAAGCAGCGGATCAGGAAGAGGAGACCTCACCGACCAAAAGTAATGTAGAGAGGAACTGCGCGCTGGAAGCTGAGGTCCAACGTCTTACTTTAGAAATGAGAGAAACTAAACAGGTTCATAAACAGGAAGTCCAGTCTCTGGAGACACAAAACAGGAAATTGACCCAAGAATTTGAAAGTTTTAAGTCAAGATCAGAGGAAAAACTGAAGGAAAGCAGGAATGAAATAGTGAGAATTCGTGCAGAAAACAGAGACTTGGCCGAACAATTCGAGGAAAATAGGTCAGAATCAGAGAGAGAAAAGTCTCACCTGCGGACTGAGCTGGAGTCACGTAGATCTGATTCTCAGCGGTGCCATAGAAATGTAGCGACAGATTTAGAAATAAGAAATGCACATTTAATGGAGGACTTAGAGTTCTACAAGACAGAACTTGATGACAGAACACGGAACTACGGTTTGACATTTGCAATTTTTAAAAGCAAGATTGATTCTCTGGAGAAATACGCGAGTCGTCTGGAACAGAAACAGCGACATCACAGTGGTCTCCAGACTGAGGTAGAGTCCTTCAGAGTAGAGACCTCAGAGATGAAAGAAGCTCTAAGCTCTAAAATCACTGAACTGGTCCGACAGAGACTGAAGATGGACGAGGCAGAGAAGAGAGAGCAGTCTCTCCAAAAAACAGTGAGCCTCCTTCAAACTGAAAAGAGAGATTTGTCCGAGGAGTTGCTAAGGACAAAGTCTCGCTTAAACTGGTTACGAAACACAGGCTTCGACTGTGAGTAAGAGTTTAACTTTAACATCCATCCAGCCATGTTCTTCCGCTTCATCCGTTGGGCCGGCAGTCTGAGCAGAGACGCCCAGACTTCCCTGTGCACACACACTTCCTCCAGCTCATCTGAGGGAATCCCAAGGCGTTCCAAGCTGTGGCTCAGTCCCTCTGTGTCCTGGGTCTCCTTTTGGTCTCCTCCCTCTGTGTCCTGGGTTTTCCCCTGGTCTCTCCCCGGTTTGACGTACCCAGAACATTTCCCCAAGGAGGAGACCGTGAGGTATCCGGAATACCTCAACTGGTTCCTCTTGACATAGAGATCCAGCAGCTCTACTTCGAGCTCCTCTTGTGTGACTGAGCTCTTCTTTAAGGGAGCAGCCACTCTGCAGGGGAAGCTCATTTTGACGCTTGTATTCGCAACCTTCTTCTTTTGGTCTTTACCTAAAGTTTATGACCAAAGGAAAATCCACCGAGAGCTTTGCCTTTCGGCTCCAGAACTTCAGGGAGAACGAGGCCCGAGATTCTCCCCTCCTCTTTTTGATCTGGTCTGAAGCTTTAGAATCTCCGGCTGAAATGACCTGGACTCATGAGATTCTTGGCATTTGGTCTTCGGTTGAGGGGGATATTCTACTTTCACTGCTACTTCCTTCTTTGCATGTGTGATGGCGAGCCAGGCCAAGGTTAGAGGGTAAAGGTGATAGGAGCAGGGACTTTTGTTCAGGTTGGGGTTAAGGCACAGGTGTCCAAACCGGTCCAGAAAGGGCCGCCGTATCTTCAGGTTAAGAGTGAGCTTACTTGAGGAAATGGGTGGAGTCTGCTCTGCTCCTGCTGGGTCTGATAGAAAACCGGCAGCCACAGCGGCCCTTTCTGGACCGGTTTGGACACCTCTGGGTTAAGGGAAGGGTTTTGTGGCCATTCTCTAAAAGCAGGAAGATTTTAGGAAGTGGTCCAAACCCTGACCATGACCTCACCATAACTAGGTTAACTGTTCTTATCTCACCTGAACCCTTCGCTGAACCTGATCCTGACTCTAAATCACAAATAGAAGAAGCTTTGAAGGATATTTCCCTGAGCACGGGATGAAAATCCAGGATTCCATGGATCCCCAAAAGTTTCTCTGGGGAGAGCAGGAAGACCATGGACCAAAGACTTGAGGACAGAGGTTTCAGAGAAGTCCTCCCTCTGAGCAGGACCAGGATCATTACAGTTACTTTTCCAGAGATACAGCTCTGACTGCAGACGCTGCTCCCTCTGAGCCGGACCAGGATCACTACAGTTACTTTTCCACTCCTCAGACCAAGATCCGGGAAAGTCTCTGAGCTGGAAGCTCTAAACTTTAGTCATTTGTCTCAGTCTTTAACTGAGACTAAAGACCTTATGTTTAAGGCTTAGAAGGTTCTTTTAAGAAGACAAAAACTAAACTAATTAACTAATTAATGACCTAATGTTTTAGGTCAAGTATTAGCCTTCTTTAATTTTTGTCATATTAAAAGAACTTTCTAAGTCTCAGACACAACAACAGGGCGGCACGGTAGCTGAGTGGTTAGCACTCTGCCTTCTCACCAAGAAGGTCCTGGGTTCGAATCCCGGTCAGAAAGGGCCTTTCTGAGTGGAGTTATCATGTTCTCCCCGTGTCTGTGTAGGTTTCCTCCGGGTGCTCCGGTTTCCCCTACCACTAAAACATGTACATTAGGTCAAATCCTGACATAAGGAACCAACAGCAGAGATTTGGACTCGAGCTGCTGTTGACCATTGGCTGAGGATTATTTGGAATAAACTTTAATGGACTGTTAAAATAAAATACTTCAAATATGTTTTCATTTCATTTTTCTGTGTTTATAGAATTATAGAGTCACATGGACTGTTCCAACACTCCCCTCTCACCTGCACATGGACTGTTCCAACACTCCCCTCTCACCTGCACATGGACTGCTCCAACACTCCCCTCTCACCTGCACATGGACTGTTCCAACCTCTCCCCTCTCACCTGCACATGGACTGCTCCAACACTCCCCTCTCACCTGCACATGGACTGTTCCAACACTCCCCTCTCACCTGCACATGGACTGCTCCACCACTCCCCTCTCACCTGCACATGGACTGTTCCAACACTCCCCTCTCACCTGCACATGGGCTGCTCCAACACTCCCCTCTCACCTGCACATGGACTGCTCCAACACTCCCCTCTCACCTGCACATGGACTGTTCCAACACTCCCCTCTCACCTGCACATGGACTGTTCCAACACTCCCCTCTCACCTGCACATGGACTGCTCCACCACTCCCCTCTCACCTGCACATGGACTGTTCCAACACTCCCCTCTCACCTGCACATGGACTGTTCCAACACTCCCCTCTCACCTGCACATGGACTGCTCCACCACTCCCCTCTCACCTGCACATGGATTGTTCCAACACTCCCCTCTCACCTGCACATAGGCTGGCTCCAACACTCCCCTCTCACCTGCACATGGACTGCTCCAACACTCCCCTCTCACCTGCACATGGACTGTTCCACCACCACCCCCCCCTCTCACCTGCACATGGACTGCTCCAACACTCCCCTCTCACCTGCACATGGACTGCTCCAACACTCCCCTCTCACCTGCACATGGACTGTTCCAACACTCCCCTCTCACCTGCACATGGACTGCTCCAACACTCCCCTCTCACCTGCACATGGACTGTTCCAACACTCCCCTCTCACCTGCACATGGACTGCTCTAACACTCCCCTCTCACCTGCACATGGACTGTTCCAACCTCTCCCCTCTCCCCTGCACATGGACTGCTCCAACACTCCCCTCTCACCTGCACATGGACTGTTCCAACACTCCCTGTCACTCCCGTATTCGTCCCGGAAACCGGATTCGTCCGGAAGTTCAAAAAGTTTAATATGTCCTTAAGTGGTGAGTGGTTAAGTTTTGGCGTCTGATTAAGATGGTTAAGTCTAGGGTTAAGGCTGGGTTGGGGTTATTTTATGGGAATGGCTGGTTAAGTTTAGGCATAAATAAGTAGTTTGTTTTATTTACTTCCGCTTCCGTCCAGATTCCGTGACGTAATCTACTGCTGTGTATGCTCATTTGATCAAACTGAACTTCCGGACGAATCCGGTTTCCGGGACGAATCCGGGAGTGACACTCCCTCAAGCCCCGGCGATCCAAGATGGCGCCCTATTCAAATGAATGGTTGTGCTCAGTGGCGCTTTGTGACGGCATGGGGGCTGAAAGATTAGCGGAAGTTGCCTGAAATAACTCGCAAAGGTCTATGGAAAACTCGCCTGTATTTGGGCATCGTCTGGTCCTCCCGGTTCTGCGCAGTGGATGATCTCCCATAATGCGTTGCGCCAAACATGCGTGTGTGGGTCTCACACCGGGTCTCACGCACGTGCACAGAGGGGCTCGGCCGCGCTCTGACCAATCAGAGCAGTTCATCAGAGCGGGAGTTAGAGCGAGAGCCAGACGAGCAGAGTTTGTGGCACTAAAGTGTGGATTTAAACAAAACCGAAGGATTTAAGAAGAAAAAAAGTTCAGGATGACAAGGGACACTAAAATCCCCACAAAATCCGACCTTTATGAAAATTTCTGAGTAGCCCACGTGAATTTAGTCTGGTTCAGTCTGCAGTACCGCGAGAATCCCCTGAGCACATGAGTTATTCAGCTACAAGCTAGTAATACCCTATCCAGTTAATATAATAGATCCATGCACTCCCTTCTCACCTGCACATGGACTGGGAACACGTCACATATGAAACTAAAGCTGGGGTGCCTAAATTTCAAACCACGAAAAAATCATCTACTCCTAAACTTGCATACACACACTTTATAAAAAGTGTATTATTATTATTATTATCTTGTGTTAAAAGAATCAGTTCGAGTAGTAACCAGACAGATTATGACTGAGAGATTATGACACTGATCAGACAAAAATATTGCGACAGAAGGGGTGGGGGACATGTTTGTGAACTCCAGGTTGCTTCTTCATTATGCTGAATCTAGAGATTATACGCTTGCACTGGAAAACAAGCTACAAGTCCTAAATAGCTCTGAAACGTTGTTTTGTACTTCACAATGTAATATTTCTTGCTTTTTTCTACCTGAGATGTTGCTGCAGTACAGTGTTTATGGTTTTGCACTGGTCCAGACCAGAGCAGAGAAGATTCATGGTCCGAACCAAGTGAAAAATCCACTCAAGGAATGCTAACTTTTTGAAAAATGCGAATGAAGCATGTAGCATTTTACTTCGGACTAGAGCAGAGAAAATGGTCCGAACCAAGTGGCTACTCCACCTCTGCTGCTGTGACCCGTCCTGCTCCACCCAGAGGCTACTCCACCTCTGCTGCTGTGACCCGTCCTGCTCCACCCAGAGGCTACTCCACCTCTGCTGCTGTGACCTGTCCTGCTCCACCCAGAGGCTACTCCACCTCTGCTGCTGTGACCTGAAGGGCTGTTGCTGATTATTACCATTGTTAGCTTTTGTTTTTAGAATTGTATTTATTTTTGCTGCTACAGGACACATGAATTTCTCCTACGGGGATCAATAAAGTACGACAGTGGGTCAGTTGGAAGAGAATTGGTCTTTGGTCCTGAAGGTTGTGGGTTCGAGCCCACCACGAGACCAACTTCACCACGCTGACTCCTGTTGTTGTGTCCTTAGGCAAGACACTTTGCCTGAAGCCTCCGCTGGAACATCAACTCGAGGGGTGAGAAAAGTGATCTGTAATAAACTAGAGACATGCAGAGAAAGCAGGGCCGACTTTGGGCGAGAGCGGAGCCGGACGATCTGATCGTGTTTTTATTTTTTTACGATTATGTTTGTGAAAGATGCATGTGGTGTGATACGTTTTTTTGTCAAAAGTCGAACTCCCAAAGCAAAGTGATACGAAACAAGGAGACTGCACATACATACACACAAGACTGCACACACACACACACACACACACACAAGACTGCATGCACACACACACACACACAAGACTGCACACACACACACACACACAAGACTGCATGCACACACACGCGCACACAAGACTACACACACACACACACACAGACACACCCACACAAGAGTGCACACACACACACACACACAGAGACACACAGACCCAATACTGCACACACACACACACACATAGACACACAGACCCAAGACTGCACACACACACACACACACACACACATAGACACACAGACCCAAGACTGCACACACACAAATGACAGAGAAGACGTGGAGACGTGCACAAAGCGCACTCCCCCAGCAGGTGGCGCTGTTGTGTCACATAGAATCTACATAAACATTTTTTTTTTAAACACAGAGCACAAGATATAGTAAAAACATTTAAAAATAAAATCACCCAAGTTAAAAACCTTAAAACATTAAAATCACAGATGGGATAAATAGCCATAGTGCATAAAAAAGATTAAAGATAAAAACAAAGATAAAATCATTCAGATGTATGCACAGCTAAACAGAACTGTTTTCAACTGTTTTCAGTAGACGCCTGTCTCACATTCTCAGGAAGGTGGTTCCAGACTCTAGCTGCATGAATCTGAAACGCAGTTTCCCCATGTCTACAGTAGTTCCAACTCTTGGCACCAGCAGAAGTCACTACACACACTGTGTCTATAGTACACACCTTCTCATTTTTTATTTTTTTTATTTTCATGATTATGAAAATTGTAAATTTTCACTGAAGGCATCAAAAATATGAAATAACTCATGTGGAATCATGTACGTACTAAAAAAAAAAATGAAACAACTGAAAATATGTCTTTTATACTTGCTCCTTTTGCTCTGATACTGCTTCACTCTTGGCATTCTCTGGATGAGCTTCAAGAGGACCTGAAATGGTCTTCAACAGTCTTGAAGGAGTGCTTAGCACTTGTTGGCCCTTTCCCCTTCACTCTGTGGTCCAGCTCACCCCAAAACCATCTGGACTGGGTTCAGGTCCTAAACCATCTGGACTGGGTTCAGGTCCGGTTACTGTGGAGGTCATGTGGCCCAGCACCATCTCTCTCCTTATTGGTCAAACAGCCCTTACTCAGCCTGGTGTGGGTCTACAGTCAATAGTCATGAAAAGAAAGGAAACTCATTGAATGAGCAGGTGTGTCCAAACTTTTGGTCAGTACTGTTTGTGTTTACACTGTTATCTGTAAATTGGGTCAATTGTATGGACAAGTGGGACAAGTTCCATTTTCACTGACCATTCAGGATCTAAACAATAAATCAGTGAATTGAATGGTAACAGGTCTCTTTCTGAAACATCTCCTGTTTTCTAATAAGCTTAGAATAGAACAGAACTTTATTGTCTGTTCAATTGAGAATAAATTTTTCTTTCAACTCACACATTTAAAGGTCATTCATTAAAACACACACATTTATCTTGTACTGGTCTGATTTGTTCTTAACATTTACAATACTTTTTCTGTGCACAAACGAACCACTCATTTCTCTGTTTCTGTTTGGTTTTCCTGTAAACACACAAGAGTGAAGCACATTGGCTGAGTACGGAACAAGAATGAATGGAGAACACTTGAATTGAAGACCCGCAGGGGGAGGAGCCTGCAGCCAATGAGAGCAGAGCCTGGTGCCTCAGAGTAGCCCACTGAGCATCAGGACCTGGAGCAGGACCAGGAGCAGGACCAGGAGCAGGACCAAGAGCAGGACCAAGAGCAGGACCTGGAGCAGGACCAAGAGCAGGACCTGGAGCAGGACCAGGAGCAGAACCAGGAGCAGAACCAGGAGCAGGACCAGGAGCATCACCAGGAGCAGGACCAGGAGCAGGACCAGGAGCAGGACCAGGAGCAGGACCAGGAGCAGGACCAGGAGCAGGACATGGACTCCAAGATCCTCTACTTCTCTGTGAACGGACGCCCAGAGCAGGCAGAGTTCCCTGTGGACTGTGCACCTCAGGACCTCAAAGGTACCGCACCAGCATTAGTAGTACCAGCAGCACCTGTAGCACCAGTAACACCTGCAGCACCAGTAGCACCAGCAGCACCTGTAGCACCAGTAACACCTCTAGCACCTGTGGCATCTGTAGTACCAGTATTACCAGTAGTACCAGAAGCAACTTCAGGACCTAACTCACAACTGTGTCTGGACTGATGTCATTGGCTCAGTGTTGATTTCAGAGATGTGTGTGTGTGTGTGTGTGTGTGTGTGTGTGTTTGCGTGTTGGTGTGTGTGCGTGTCTTTGTGGTGTGTGTTCGTCTGTTTCTGTGTGTGTGTTTTGAGGTGTGTGCGGGTGTGTGTTTGCGACTCTATGTGTGTATATGTTTGTGGGTTTGTATGTTTGTGTGTCTGTAGGTGTTTGTGTGAATATGTCTGTGTGTGTTTGTGTGTGCGTGTGTCTGTTTGTGTGTGTCTATGTGTGTATGTGTGTGTGTGTTTGCGGGTGTGAGTGTATGTATATTTGTGTTCGTGTCTATGTGTGTGTGTGTGTGTGTGTGTGTGTGTGTGTCTGTCTGTGTGTGTGTGTGTCTATGTGTGTGTGTGTGTGTGTGCAGCTGCCTCTGACAGCTCTTTTACATTCACTGTTTCCATTTGTCGAGCACTCGTCCTGATCCGAGCACTCACAAACATTCGTCTCCTCAAGGATCTTTTCTACTTTTACTTAAAGGTCCAGAGGAGGATTTTCCGTGTGGATCATCTGGATCCTCCAATTGCAATCATTCTGGTGATACGTGTTCCTCAAATAAGACCAGGGAGTTTGGTTCCAGATTGGTGGAGGAGAAGGCGGTTCTTTTCTAAACTTTGGGAAAATCCTCCTTTATACCTTTAAATAATGTGCAATATGGAACCACACTACTTCTTACACACACACATCAGACATGGTTGGTGGTGGTGGGAGGGGCTGATGACACAGACTGGTTGCCTCGCTTCTGTCAGTGTGCCCCAGGGCAGCTGTGGCTACAATAGTATTTTATCACCACTGTGTTTGGAGTGAAAGAATAATGACATCATAGCGCTGTATAAGACCAATGCATTATTGTTATTAAGTTTGAAAGACTGTCTTCTTCTACTAAACCCGTGTTTTTGCAGATCTGTTCCGTTGTGCGGCTGAGGCCGGACCTCACGACATTTTAAAACTCTACAACCCCAAAGGAAACATCATCAACATCTCTCCCAGTCTGGAGCCCAACACTCCCAGCTCCTGCTACAAGCTGGAAGTGGTGGCAGCCGACTACAACAACGAGCCCTTGGGTGTGTGTACTGAGGCATCATGGGAAGTGTAGTCCTGCATGAGCTAAGTGTTGCTGTTTGGACAGGAGCGGAGCTGGCAGAGGTGATGGGCTTTGACCTTTCGTCCATGGAAAAAAGGTAACAGAAGCACCAGCCCTAGGTTCTTACGCAAACAACACTAGAATCAATAAAAAAAATTAAAAAAAACAATAAAAACGCTACAATCAACTCTGGGAAAAGTACTAAAGGCATTCCCTCATTTAAAGGTCTACAGGAGGATTGTCCACCATTTTAGGAAAGAACCGCCCTCTGCACTTTTTGAACAAAACTCTCTGGTCTTATTTATAATGCATCGGTTTTATATAGCACTTTTTTGGACACTCAAAGACGCTTCACATGTGTCATTATTCATTCACTCCAAACACGGTGGTGATAAACTACTGTAGCCACAGCTGCCCTGGGGCACACTGACAGAAGCGAGGCAACCAGTCTGTGCCAACGGCCCCTCCAACCACCACCAACCATTCACACACACACCAGACTCATTCTCTTATTTGAAGAGCACGTATCACCAGAATGATTGGTAAATAGGAGAACCAAAAGTCTTGATGATCCACCCGGAAGTATCCTCCTATTTACCTTTAAGTAAAAGTATAAAAGTACGAGCTTTTGTAAGTAAGTAAGTAGGTGATCTTTATTAAGTAAGTCAGCTGTGTTAAGCTGTATTTAAAGCTGGGGAATGAATGAAGGCATCTGATTGGTCAATCCTTTTAGCTTATATCTGGATTTATAAAAACGATATCAAAATACTAACACCAGGATCATAGAGAGAACTCAACCACAGATTTTGAAACCCAAAATGGTGAGTGTGACATAAACAGTTACTGAGCAAGAGGTGTTTAGTTGTTTAATGTGAGTCAATAGGAGCCAGAGCGAGAAGGAGCAGATCTTTGTCCATGAGCACTTCCCTATCTGAGGTCTGGGGGATTAGCATAATTTATCATTAGCAAACAAAACAAAAACAGCAACACGTCTATCCTAGTTACAAATACTCACTCCTAATGTACCCGAGGACAGGGGTCTCCAACCTGTGGCCCGGGAGCTACCAGTAGCTCGCCAACTCCCTTTCAGGTAGCTCTCCAAAGGATTCAGGAATTTAACACATGATCTTGAATCATTCACTTCTGAGTTTTTACATCTGTATTTTAACTGTGGATACTGGTATAGTGGTATATTCTGAAGTATAATGGTATATTCTCAAGTATATATTCTGAAGTAATTGGACTTATTATACAGTCTACAATTGCATTATGACTGCTTTAAGAAGTAGCTCTCTGCCATTTTTGTTTGGAAATGGGAGAAGGCTGGAGAGCTCTGCCCTGGGACCACTGTGGACCTCTGTGGACCTCTGTGGACCACTGTGGACCTCTGTGGACCTCTGTGGACCTCTGTGGACCTCTGTGGACCGAGGGCAGAAGCGTTCAGGGCGTGTTGGTGATTGGACAGGGAAAGGTTTGGTGTCGGTGACTTTTGTGTTTGCTGGAAATGGCAGCAAGTTCTGTTTTGTGTTTTATAATTGTTATTTTTCTGCCTGAGATGTTGCTGCAGTTCAGTGTTCATGGTTTTACACTGGTCCAGACCAGAGCAGAGAGGATTCATGGTCCGAACCAAGTTGAAAATCCACTGGGGGAATGCTAACGTTTTGAAAAATGCTAATTAAGCCTTTAGCATTTTACTTTGGACCAGAACCAAGCGACTCCACCTCTGCTGCTGTGACCTGAAGGACTTTTGATTATTTTTACTATTGTTATCTTTTTAGAATGAGGATCTGTGTGGTGCTGGTGTCATGGTGTTGTGTTCAGGTTGCAGGGCCTGGAGAAGAGGATCCTCACAGAAGGAGGGGAGACTCCAGCTGTGGTTTATGAGATGAAGAAACAAGTGGATTCCTTTAGAGAAAAATTAGAGGTGTGTATCTGGGTGTTTGTGGACATTTTAGTGTATTAGTAATGCAACTATACTTAATCATGTATTCACTCATTGGCTGCCATTGAAGGGGATTTCTGTCAAACTTCCCTCTTTTTGACTGGGGATTACAGGAGAACAAAACTAGCTAGAAACAAACTTATTTTTGCTGATGAAAGTAGACAGTCCAGTCTTTCAGAATCTGGTTTCATATTTCACATAATCAGAGCACATAAAAATCTGTGGGTCTTGAGAATCAGTGAAATCATCAAAACGGCTGCTTCACTGACTCTCAAGAGTTAGTGATGTCAAAAGCAGTAAGTGTCCGTCTCCTGACTCTGGTCTTTCCTGCAGAGCGTGGAGCACCTGAGCTGGCTGGGACTGTTCAAGGATCTGTCTGAAGGAACACACAAGCCGTCTCCTTTCTACCACAAACGAGCCCTGAGGAAAACCCGAGAGGAGTGTGACCATGTGCGCGACAAGTTCATCCAGATGAGGTTTGCCCCGACGACACTTTCCCGTACCTGTGCTCACGTCTCTGTTCTGCTGCTGTAGCATCTTGTAAAGGTGCGACGGTTTGTCTTCAGAGATTGTTGTCTGCATTCCGAAAAAGTTTGAAAAGTGGTGAAAGAGTGAGTTAAAGTATGTGGAATTTCTCTCATCTCTAACTAGTCTGCTCATTCTCCTCTCATTCAATCAATCAATCAATAAAATGTTATTTATAAAGCACTTTTCATACAAAAGATGCAACACAAAGTGCTTTACAGTTTGGTTAAAAACAATCCCGCCGACCCAAGACCCCTCCCCCAGACCACCCAACAGACCCACCCCAAACCACAGACAAACACACACACGCTCTCATGAACACTCATACACACACACACACACGCACACACACACACGCACGCACACACACGCACACACACACACACACACATACCAGTAAAACAATAAAATCATGATGAGAGACTTGGCAGGGTTCAGATGCAACCAGCTGAAAAAGCGTCATCCAAGGAGCCGTCTGCACCAGGAGCAGAGAGCCGCCTGTAGCCACAGGGGACGACACAGGACCCAGAGGAGACATGAAACCGAGGCCCCAGGCCCCCACCAGGCCCAAGAGTCCGACCCCCGCAGCCAAACCGACCACTGCTCCCGGTGCAGAGGGCTCTTCCAGAGGAAACACTGGGTACACTAAAAACAATACAATAAGTAAAACACTAAAATGTGAGACTAAAAGGAACACACAATACATGAATAATAGCAATAGCAATAAAATAAATAATAAATAATAAAAGATAAATAGAATGGAATAATAAAAACTAATCAAAAGCTAATCTAAAAAAGTGTGTCTTGAGCCTACTTTTAAAAATATGAATGTTCTCTGCGGCCCTGAGCTCCTCCGGCAGACTGTTCCAGAGACGGGGGCCGTAGTGCTGGAAAGATGCCTCGCCGTGAGTGTGAACCTTCCCGGCTCCTTCCCAGTATCATAGCCATTTTTATCCCTATGATACTGAATATTTCCTATTTCTGCCTATTCTCTGTAAATCCAAGAAATTCTTAAAGCTGTGTCATTCCTCACTCGAACATGATCTATCACGTCACAAAAGTAGTGACCTGGGCCAAGTTTTTCAGCTTCGAGATGTCCGAATAGTTTTTCCTGACGCCCAAAGACACTCCACAACATGAGTGTGTTTTGGCTGTAACACAAAACGAATGAAGAAGTCTGCACTCGGCTCCCACAGCGTACTTTTGTTAACAGCCTTTGAACAGATCCGTGAGTGGACGCAAAACAGCTCCAGCTAAACTCAGACAAAACTGAAAGGATTCCCTATGGGACTCAGACTTTAATCTTAACAGCCACAGATATTCAGTCAAATCTGCAGCGTTTTACCATCTCAAAACACAGGGGAAAAAAGTGTAGAGCAGACCTGGAGATTGTTGTCCTGTATTGGTCCTCAGAAGGTTAGACTGGATAGATACTGTAGATAGATGTTGAGGGTTCTATGTGGTGATATGTGGGTTTTAAGAGTACAAGTTAAGTGCAAAGTTCAGTTTAAAGGTTCAGTAAGCTTAGCCGTAGCACCAACTGGAAACCACTCCCCCCTCCCCTCGCCTCTCCACCAAACCAAACATCTAGCATTTTCTTTTCTTTGTCACAACAGGGAGAGTGGGCGGCAAACGTGAAATTGGGCATTTTCTGTTCAGCCATTTTAGGTTTTCGAAAATCCAGTAACTCCGGTGCACTCGCGAGAAACAGGAATAGGATGAAGGGGGTAAACACATCCCATTGGTTCGTTGGCGATGAACGAATCGAGACTATAGGCATCTGGTAAATTCCATTACTATTTGAAAATGCATGATAACTTGACCACTTTTAGGGTTTAGGGACATTTTCCCACAAAAATGCATCTGGAAAAAATCACTGCCTTCATCTTTAAGTAACTGCACCTGTCAATCAAACTACGCAGCGAGGAGTCTTGTGCTTTGATTTGAGTTCAAGATAACGAAAGTGGTTCATCCAATCAAACTACTAGGATCTGGCGAGAGTCAGGCTAGATTTATTCATCCCCGTAGAGGAAACGCAGGTGTCCAGTAGCAGCAAAAACACATGTATCCATTCTAACAAAACAGGATCAGGCAAAATCCGGTTGGTTCGGTCTGTGAATCCTCTCTGCTCTGGTCTGGATCAGTGCAAAACCATGAACACTGTACTGCAGCTAGAAAAAAGCATGAAAAATAACAACTGTAAAACACATGCTTAGGACTTGCTGCCGTTTCCAGCGCATTCAAAAGGGTACTAGCTCGCCAAACCAGTTAAGAAACGGCTGCAGTATATTCAGAACGCTGAGGAGCACAGGGACTGGCCTCCTGCTGGTGCCAGAGTCAGGACTAAACATGAGGAGGCAGCGTTTCAGATTTACGCCGCTAAAGCCTGGAGCAGTCTTCCTGAAAATGTCAGACAGGCTTCTTCTCTGTCAATGTTCATATCCAGGTTAAAACCACTTCTGTTTAGCTGCAAATACAACTGAGGGATTGTATCTTCACTCTTTTAATGTACTGTGGTTGACATGCCTTGTGTGATTTCAACGTTTTGATTCAATTCAATTAAAAAAAACACAGAAACACAAGATCTAAATATAAATGCAGTAAAAGAGCAGAAATGCGATATAAAATACATGAAACCGGTCTCCAAATCAGCTAAAAGGCGTTGTGTACGAACTGTGCTATACAATTAAACTTGCCTTTCCTCATTTGGTGAGTGTACCATTTTTCCGGACTTTCTTAACTGACCTCATACTTTCCTTCCAGCTCCTTGGAGGTGTCAGAAGAGGTCAGGCAGTATCTAAAGACCCCAACGTTTGACAACTGGTAAGATGAATGATTTGGGAGAAACACTGGTTCTGAGTTAGCCTGGTTTTACCATACCCTCGTACATCCCGGGAAAAAAAGATTTGACCGGAGTTTACGGATGGCAAAGGCCAGGCTAGTTCTGAGTAGAAAGAATTCGAACATGACTTTCAGGACTTCAGCCCAACAACCCTGCTCAGACTGCTGCCCCCGCCACCCGGCAACAGAATCAGAATCAGAATCAGAATCAGAATCAGAATCAGAATCATTTTTATTGCCACGTGAGTAACAAAGTTATCACTTGGAAATTGTCTTGGCAGAGAGCGTGCCACTTCGCCATTTGCGGCGCTGTGTGCAGCAAGAAACAGCAGAGAGCAATAACATTCAGGTAACAACAGACAGTTGGATAGAAAACATTGTGCTTTGTATAAACCACGGATTTTTTTCACGGGATGAGCACCTCCGGCCTGCCGGTCCAATGTGGCTGTCAGAGGGGGGCGGGGTCAGGGAGGGGGTGAGTCGGAACTCCAGGAAAAAAAGACAAAAACAGGAGATAGCAAGCCGTTCAGAAGCAGGAGCGGACTAAGACACGTCCTTGCACGACGAAGGAGGAAGGAGGAAAGAGATAACAGATAAAGCGAGAAAATAGATGGATGGAACTAAAACCTAACTATTAAAATCAATACCAGAAAGAATAAGAAAAAGTAATTGTGTGAGTGCGCCCAGGTCTCGGTATGGTTGTGTAGTAGTCGGAACAGTGGGCGTGTCCCAGACGTACAGTATGTCAGAAGCAGAATATCCTCTAAAATCTTCAGTTTTGTGGATCTTTTCAAACACAGAAAGTTTGGCTTGGTCTAGATCTATCTCCACCGCTTTTTTACTGCTTTGCTGAACGATAAAACAAGCTCCAATGGTACTCTCTAGTTCTCTGAGTCTGTGTTTCTGCGACACCACAAGGGTTATAATGAATAGTAGAATGGCTGCGTCACCGATTTATAGCAATTTTTCTGTCACAAAATGCCAAAATTGTAAATGTTCTGTTACATTGATGTTGCCTGACACCAATGACTAATAATCTGAGACAAACAGTATCTGAGTTTGCCGTTTTCTGCACCAGAGACCATAATATTTAGCCTGGCCTTATCCATCCGTACTCTCCGCTCAGTCATAATTTCCTGCATGTAACGTCTGGGTCTGGTCCCTGTGTTTGCGATTACACTCGGTTGAATTTCAACCGACCAATCAGCGAGCGCGGGAGGCGGGTGTTGTAGTTAGATGTGGGTGACGCAAAGAGTTTGCGCCGAACGAGCAGGTTGTAGTTTGGTACTGGCGAAGAATGCAATAGTAAAGTAATCCGGTCTGGTTCTATCAAGAAATTAAAGCCGGAGCAAGAGGAATGTTTAGCAAATGTAATCGCTGGTAAAGATTGTGGCGCTACTCCCCACGGGCTCCGTTAGCGGCAAAGGAGATGGCTAAAGCTAGGCTAAATGCTAAATGCTAACGACTCACTCGGCGCATTACATACGTGACGGTAAAATCAGATCCAATCATTTCAATCTGCAAAAGGAGTTAACCCCTCCCACCTGCGTACGGAGCTCAATGGAGCAAATCCAAACCTTAGTACGAAATGTAATTTTTACTATGGTGTGGTACGACCAGGCTACATAATATCAAACTGTAAACACATATTTTAAACATACTAAATGTAAAGTAATAGTGAACATTAGAATATTGTAATAAAAACCACATTATCGTAGAAATACCCAGTAATGAATGTTCTAACAGTGACCGCAGATGAACCTCAAATGAAACGACTGCTGCTTTTTGTGATCAATCCTCACTTCAGGTAAAACACCTGTTTCCAGTCTCTGTGTCCAACAAACCGCTCTGTTCTCCTGCTGCGCTCTCATCTGCGTCATCTCCATGTGAAAAGGCGCTCATCAAAAGGCCGTCTTCATCAAGGTCTAATCAATCGGTGCGTCTTCAAGAGGCCATTCATGAAGCATTCACTGGAGCTCGGCTTTTGTCGGTCTCGAGCTGCAGCTTTCAAACACACAAACACACAAACATCAAGGCTGTTTTTGTTCTGTTTCATATAACCTGACTTCCTCATTCAATGGCTCGTATAGTTTTCGCACTCATTCGCACTGCTCACAAACAGATAACAGTATTCAATATGGACTCGGGAAAGATCTTAACCTCAGGAAAACTGGTTCAGCCACAAACTGTGCAGAGATCACACGTGGCTGGAACTGCTCATGTGGCTCAGGTCCGGAACAATCTTTATCTTTACTCTTTTTAATGTAATTATTCATGCCTTGTGTGATTGTTTAGTGTCTTGTTTTGTTAAGCCCTTTGAGTTGCCCTGTGTATGAACTGTGCTATACTAATAAAATGGCCTTGCCTTGAACTGACCTGGTTCAAAAATGTCACTCCTGCAATTTAAGTCACTTTATTCTTGTATTGCCCTAAATCACAACAGCGGACTTAACATAACCGCTGAAATCACCAACACAGATCAGAGAATCAACAGTTAAGACACAAAGAACAGAGAACACATGGTATTGGTCCTTAAGCCTAGCGTACATCGACAGAGAAACTGGGGACAACTAGTTGCAAGGCGGCTTTTGGCAACTGAGAGGAGATGATGGGAGATGATCAGTTGGCGAAATCGGTCGATGTGCGCGCTCTTACAACTGGAGATGATCAGTCGGTCTCCAGTTCCAGTCAGTTGCCCGTGTTCTACTTTTCGGCAACTAGTTGTCCTCAGTTGCCCCGATGTGCGCGCTCCATGCGCCGCTCCAACAACGTGTGTGTATTGCGTGTATTGCGAGCCCGCAACAGTTTGTTGTCAGAAAACACACTGTAGTTGAGGCCAGTTGCTGTCGATGAGAGACTGGCCTGCGACTCAGAGTTGCCCGTTTTCGCCAGATTGTCGATGTGTGCGGGGCAGCAACTCAGAGGCGACGGATATAATCAGTTGCCAGTCCGATGTACGCTAGGCTTTAGGGAGAGACCATAAATCTTGTAGAATGTTGAGTGTCCTGGATCATCACCACAGTCGTTTCTTGTTAGACCCTCGAACTGTCTGACAGACTCCTGCATCGGCAAAGAAAACGTCTAAAACCCAGTGGGAGAAAAGTGAGAAACCTCTGGGAGCAGGTGACAGACAGACATGAGAATGAGGTAGAGTGAACATGCCGTGTGTCTGTTTGCAGGCAGTGGGAGGACGCAGAGATCATGGTGCTTCTCCAGCTCATGTACACAGACCTGGACTTCATCACCACCTTCAACATCGAGCCCGAGGTCCTGCGGGAGTTTCTGTTCGAGGTGTACCGCCGATACAACCACATCCCCTTCCACAACTTCAAACACTGCTTCTGCGTGACCCAGATGGTGAGGGCAGGAGGCCAAGGCCATAGAGGAGAACCCTGCTCCATGTTCTTACTTATGTTGATGGGTATATGACGCTCGAGGAGCCAGTGTTTTAGAACAATATTTGGCAAGACATTTTTGTGGCCTAAAAACATTCTTAACATGTGGACTCCCACAACTACAACTCCCAGAGCCGTCGGTTTGACTGCTCTCTTTCAAACCAATGGGATTCTGAGAAATTGTCCCAAAAATATTTCATTTTTTTGACAGATTTATTAAAAGTAAGTAATTTGTGAAGTTTTTTCTTTTCTTTAATCATTACTCACTTTTACTAAGTGCTAGAACTTATGAATACAACTTGAAATACAGCAAAAAGCAGTTTGTTGAAAGGCTAATGCTAACTGCTAGCAAGTAAACATTGTGTTGCTAGGGTGAGCAGTACTGGCTCTATGGGAGGTAAAGGATGAGCCTTTATTCAAAAGTGTAAGAAAATGTCATCAAAATAATGACATATAAATAAATTACATTTAGAGACAGAAAAAGCCACAAATGAAGACGAAAAACGTTCATATGTCCAAGTGTTTACATTTACAAAACTAAAGGCCATCACAGTGCTCTGGATTAGTTCTAGTGTTAACGGGCCCTCGGCCTTCAGGCGCACTAGGGGAAAATACATCATGGCGCCCCGTGTACATGTGTAGAGGGCATGACAGTGAAGTGTGCCATAGAAGTAGTCGCAAACCTCTTTCAGATGTTTTAATAATTCCCTTTCCACTTTTACTGTAAGTAACAGCCAACATGTCTGTGATGGTGCGTGTTGCAGATGTACGGCCTGATTTGGCTGACGGACCTGAGGAGTCGGATGGACAGTGTGGACCTGCTCATCATGCTGACCTCGGCAGTCTGCCACGATCTGGACCACACCGGCTACAACAACGCCTACCAGGTAAACACTGAGCCAAACACAAGAACACATGTAATAACAATAATGCAGTGGTTTTATATAGCGCATTTTTGACATCACTCTTTCACTCCAAACACGGTGGCGATGAACTACTACTGTAGCCACAGCTGCCCGGGGGCACACTGACAGAAACAAGGGCACCAGTATTGGCCCCTCTGACCCCTCCAACCATTCACACACACACCAGACTCATTCTAATGTGGGTGAAGTGTCTTGCCAAAGGACACAACAGCTGTTCAGCACTTTACAGACGCAACCGCCCCACTGTGGAACCTGGTGTTCCCAGAGGTCTCCCATCACAGTACTAACCAGGCCCTGCCCTCCTTAGCTTCAGAGGTCTGGTCCCTGGATGTGAAAACCAAAATAGAAGTCAGTAATTCAACTCCTCCCTCTGGTGGTAGCATCTGGATTTACACAAGCACCTTCATACTTGGTTCATTATATATTTTCTACTTATGACATTAAGTCACATTCTAAAACATGAAATGGTAAAGTACAACAGTCTCATTATCTTTTTTAGCAGTGGAACAGTTTAAATGACAGAGATATATTTCCTTTCATTTCTCTTCAACTCATCAGAAGTTTTTGTGTCAGATAAATGCGCGGACAGAGCTCGCACTTCGGTACAATGACATCTCTCCTCTGGAAAACCATCACTGCGCCGTGGCCTTCGAGATCTTGGAAAAGGTGTGTTTATTATATTCTTCATTTCTCAGAATCAGTGGTTTGTGAGTTTCTGTGTTTCATTTCAGACAGAATGCAACATCTTCAGAAATGTGCCTTCGGAGCAGTACAAGCGGATCAGAGAGGGCATCATCAAGTACGTAAGGAACTCAGTAAAGTGTCAGTATCTGGACTTTAACAGGTCTCAAAAACTAAATTTACTATTATAGACTGGAAAAAACAAACACAGACATATCAACGAGATATTGTGGACAAAATCTAAATAAATGATTGACTAATACATCTTTGGAAAAATGTTTATCAACCAGATCGGCCTCTTGATAAGGCGGCTGTGACAATAAGAAGTCCTCAGTGACAAAGCGGCAGATAAACTCCCACAGATTAACATTAACACAACATAAATAATCAATAAACATTTAAATGACCCTTGAAAAATGTGTAACAGACATAATAATAACAATGCATCGGTTTTATACAGCGCTTTTTTGGACACTCAAAGACATGTCATTATTCATTCACTCCAAACACGGTGGTGATAAACTACTACTGTAGCCACAGCTGCCCTGGGGCACACTGACAGAAGCGAGGCAACCAGTCTGTGCCATCGGCCCCTCCCACCACACACACTAGACTCATTCTAGGCAATGGGGATGAGATAAGATAAGATAAGATGTGCTTTATTTATCTCACATAGGAGAAATGTACATGTCACATTTGGCATGGATAGAAACACTCAGATTGTGCAAAAGGAGGCAATGTGCAAACATGTTACATGCAGGATATATGTACAATAAAAGTGACAATAATTATGTACAACAAAAGTGACAAGTGTCAATTGGAAACAGTGTCAATAGTTGTGCAGGTTTTTACACAGTGATCATTTAAAGTGACTTATTGTACAGTCTGACAGCGGTGGGGATAAAGGCCCTGCGGTAGCGCTCCTTCCTACACTGAGGGTGTCTCAGTCTTCCACTGAAGGAGCTCCTCAGCTCCTCTACAGTCCTGTGCAGTGGGAGGTGTTGTTCATGATGGAGGTGGCTTTGGCTAGCACCCTCCTGTCCCTCACCTCCTCCACAGAGTCCAGGGAGCAGCCCAGAGTGGAGCTGGCCCTCCAGACCAGCTTGTTCAGTCTGTTTCTCTCCCGCTCTGTGCTGCCCGGGGCCCAGCACACGACAGCGTAGTAAATGGCAGAAGCTACCACAGAGTCATAAAAAGTCCTGAGCAGAGGCCTGCTCACTCAGGCTGTAAAACAGCTGCAGTACATTCAAAATGCAGCAGCTCGATGTCCTCCCCCTGGATGTTCAGCAGCGTGTGGGAAAGTGGTTTTCTCCTGAAGTCGATGATCATCTCCTTGGTCTTACTGGTGTTCAAGCACAAGTGGTTGCGCTCAGACCAGTCGACAAAGTCCGTGATAACCGACCGATATTCCAGTTCGTTCCCCTCAGACACACAGCCCACGATGGCGGAGTCGTCGGAGAACTTCTGCAGGTGACAGCTGTGGGTGTCGTGTGTGGAGTCTGAAGTGTAGATGGTGAAGAAAAACGGTGAGAGGACAGTGCCCTGAGGGGCCCCAGTGCTGCAGACTACCACCTCAGACTCACAGCTGCGCAGCCGCACGTACTGTGGTCGGTCTGAGAGGTAGTTGATGGTCCATGCAGTGAGGCTACTGTCCACTCCCGCGTCCTCCATCTTCCCCCGCAGCAGTGCCGGCCTGATGGTATTGAAAGCGCTGGAGAAGTCGAAAAACATGACCCTCACAGCGCTCCCGGCGGGCTCCAGGTGGGAGAGCGTCCTCTGTAGGAAGTAGATGACGGCGTACTCTACTCCGATGTTGGGCCTGTAGGCGAACTGCAGCGGGTCCAGGGTGGGGCTGACCACGGAGCGGAGATGGGTGAGGATGAGCCGCTCCATTGTCTTCATCAGGTGGGAGGTCAGTGCGACTGGTCTGTAGTGAGCCGGTTCCTTGGCGTGTGCTGTTTTAGGAACCGGGATCACACAGGAGGTCTTCCACAGGACAGGGACCGTCACCAGGCTGAGGCTCAGGTTGTACATGTAGCTGAGGACCCCAGAGAGCTGGTCTGCCGAGGTCCTCAGCAGCCTGGGACTGATCCCGTCCGGTCCTGCGGATTTCCTCTGCTTCAGACGCTGGATCTGACTCCTCACCTGGTCCGGTGTGATGGAGAGGGGGGGGGGGGGGGTGTATTGTCCGAGGTGGGGGCTGGGGATGCGGGGGCAGGAGGGCCCGGGGATGTGGGGGCAGGAGGGCCCGGGGCAGCCGAAGGCAGTGTCCACTGGGCGGTCTCCACTGGGCTGGGGACGTGTGAAGAGGTGGGGGCAGGATGGAGAGGGGGGAGAATCAAACCGGTTGAAGTACTGGTTAAATTCATCCGCCCGGTGCTGGTCTCCATCCGCTGTTCCTCTGGCACTCTGTCCAAAGCCGGAGATGTTCTTTGGGCCTCTCCACACGTCGCGGGCGTTTCCTTGGGTCAGCTTCTGCTCCAGCTTTTTCCCATATTCCCTCTTGGCCCTCCTGATCCTCTTCTGCTCCTCCCTGTCCCCTGAGATGAAAGCCCTTTTCTTGAGGTTCAGGAGGGCTTTAAGCTCAGGGGTCACCCATGGGTGGTTGTTAGAAAAACACCGCACCTTCTTAGTTGGTACAGTGTTATCCACACAGAAGAGAATATAGTCTGTAATGCAGTGTGTCAGGCTCTCCATGTCCTCACCATGAGAGCTGCAGATCATTTCCCAATCAGTGTTTTGAAAACAATCTCTCAGCATCTCATCCACATCATCGCTCCACACTTTTACAATCCTCTTCTGCGCTGGATTTCTTCTCACCACTGGTGTGCATTCCGGAGACAGACGGACCAGGCTGTGATCAGAGCGTCCGAGAGGGGGGAGGGGGGAGGAGGCGTATGCGTCCCGGACATTAACATACAGTAGGTCCAGAGTCTTATTGCCACGAGTTGGGTACGTGACATACTGTCCCACGCCTGGTTAAAGTGTCTTGCCAAAGGACAATGTGCAGTTTGGCACTTCACAGCCGCAGCCGCCCCACTGTGGCACCTGGTGTTCCCAGAGATCCCTTGGGTCTTGCCAAGGACACAACGACAGCAGACAGTGGGAGTTGGTGGAGAAAGTCTTGTGGTGGACTCGAACCCATGACCTTCTGGCTCAAAGGCCAATGCTCTACCAACTGTGCTACTGTCGCCCCAGATTAAAGTATTCAAAAGATTATAACTCAAAAACAAAATTTACTATCATAGACTAGAAAAAAAGATTTCAAACACAGACATATCAATGAGATATTGTGGATAAAACCAAAATAAAACATTGACTAGAACTTCTTTGGTGAAATTGTAATCAGCCACCTCAGCCTCTTGATAAGGCGGCTGTGACAATAAGAAGTCCTCAGTGACAAAGCGGCAGATAAACTCTCATAGATTAACATTAACACAACATAAATAATCAATAAACATTTAAATGACCCTTGAAAAATGTGTAACAGACATGATGGTTTCTGTCAATTTTGTTTTAAAATAAAAAAAATAATAATAATCAGGATCTACAACATGAAAGTAATCACATTGTTTCTACTCTAAAAAAAGAATCTATTTTTATATAATCAAATGTGGATCTGAAAACAAACTTGAGCTCATTCCATCAAAGAATCTTGCTGCGGACAAAATACCAAGACACAGGACCCAGAGGAGATATGAGGTCGAGATTTTTCAATTCAATGTATTTATAGTAGTTTTCTCAGAGAACTTCACAAAGTTGTCAATTTGCCAACACAGATCAGAGAATCAAACACAAGAAATGCTATGATATAAAACACACAAAGCTGTTTGATCCATAAGTGCAGAGACCAATGTCCATAAATGTTGATAAATGTTGAATGTCCTGGATCACCACCGAATGAAGGCATCTGATTGGTCGATCCTAAGTCAATATTTGTCACTGTCCATCTATACACAGTCTATGTTTTGAATTAAGAGACAGTGGATCATGGTTAAAGTCCGTCACATCTGTGTGGTTTAAAAAAGACTCATTGAAGCTGTATCAGTGAAGAGTGTGTGACAGGTGAGAACAAGTTTAAACAAATGCCTTTGGTTTCGCTCTTTCCTTTTGTGTTCAGATGCATCCTGGCCACAGATATGTCCAGACACAATGAAATCCTCGTCAAGTTCAAGTCTCTGCTTCCCACGTTCGACTTCAGCAGCAAAGATCATCGAGATGTGGTGAGGCAGCAGAGAGGTGGACTGACACACACACACACACACACACACACACACACACACACACACACACACACACACACACACACACACACACACACACACACACACACACACACACACACACACACACTCCACAGTAAAGATTGTTTGTGTCCAGTTAATGATGATCCTGATCAAAGTGAGCGACATTTCCAACGAGGCTCGTCCCATGGAGGTCGCTGAGCCCTGGCTGGACTGTCTGCTGCAAGAATTCTACAACCAGGTCTCCCCATCCTGCATGTACACACATAGGGGGTACACACACAGGGGGTACACACACAGGGGGTACACACATATACACGCAGTTGTTGATGTTTTTAACTGCTGCATTCTTATTGTGACCTGTGACCTGACATGTCGACAAATATGCCCAACCTCTTAACTCATGAATTTTAAGAAACAATACATATTTAGCAAGTTTAGCAGCATAGTTCCACACCCTGCGGTGTGAATATCGTGAGATCAATCATGTTTATCTTTTAAGAGAGTTTTAAAAGTATCTTCAGGATGCAACAGTTTGATGCGGAACTTGTGTAATATTGATTATTGATTATTCTGTACTTTTGTTGCCAGAGCGATGTGGAGAAGCTGGAGGGGCTGCCGGTCACTCCCTTCATGGACCGGGACAAAGTGACCAAGCCCTCGTCCCAAACCGGCTTCATCCGGTTTGTGCTGCTGCCGCTGTTCATGGAGCTGGCCAACCTCTTCCCATGTCTAGAGGTAAATATGATTATGGGGTTTTCTAATTCTAATCTACTCCTCTGTTTGCTGTAACATTTAGAGAATCTGATGATCAATGAGATAATAACCCAATAATGATCCATATGTGAAGGAGAGGTTACGCAGATCTTTCCTTCCTGCTGCTGTCAGACTGTACAACAAACAATGAGGACTAACGAACACTGCCGACGTGATCTCACATGTCACGCATCGGTGCAAAATCTTGAACTAATGTCAGAATGTGAAATATTGAACAAAATGTACCTTACATACTCATCTGCGCACTATTAACTTCAGTGTTTTCCTTTTGCTTGCCTAGACCAAAGTTACAGAACCTGAAGCTTTTATACTAAACCTAAAACACAGTCTTGCCATTCATTAAGTACAGCTTTACACTTTACTTTCATTTCTGCAACACACTTTCTCCTGCTCACTAAACACTGGGTCATACATTAGACACGTTGTTCATAAATGCAATGCTGTGTTATCATTGGGAAAAAACATCCATTAAAAATACCAAACACATGAACACATTGTGCGATTGGAAACATTGAATTTACAAAACGCGACACACATAAGCCAGACATACCCAGGCCTCAGCCATTTTCAGAACTTTGCAAGTGAAGCAGAGAGTCCAGCCACACCTCCATCATCAGGACAATCAGATGGAAACATGTCTTCAACTCTTTACTGCAGACTGTATCCAAAGTATTTACGATATAGTTATTGTTCTTTAATCTTATGAAGTGATGCAACACTGACATTTCCCACTGTGGGACGAATAAACTATCTCTTAATCTCTTATTCTCCATCTTTCCAGCTCTGATCTTTTTAGATACATGGTGCAGGTGTTAGCAGACAGAGGGTCCAGATGTTAGCAGACAGAGGGTCCAGATGTTAGCAGACAGAGGCTCCAGGTGTTAGCAGACAGAAGTTCCAGGTGTTAGCAGACAGAGGGTCCAGATGTTAGCAGACAGAAGGTCCAGATGTTAGCAGACAGAGGGTCCAGGTGTTAGCAGACAGAGGGTCCAGATGTTAGCAGACAGAGGGTCCAGGTGTTAGCAGACAGCAGGTAGCTTGTCTGCACAGTTTCCATGTGTTGAGTATGTCCATGTGTTGAGTATGTCCATGTGTTGAGTGTGTCCATGTGTTGAGTATGTCCATGTGTTGAGTGTGTCCATGTGTTGAGTATGTCCATGTGTTGAGTGTGTCCATGTGTTGAGTGTGTCCATGTGTTGAGTGTGTCCATGTGTTGAGTGTGTCCATGTGTTGAGTGTGTCCATGCGTTGAGTGTGTCCATGTGTTGAGTGTGTCCATGTGTTGAGTGTGTCCATGTGTTGAGTATGTCCATGTGTTGAGTGTGTCCATGTGTTGAGTATGTCCATGTGTTGAGTATGTCCATGTGTTGAGTATGTCCATGCGTTGAGTGTGTCCATGTGTTGAGCATGTCCATGCGTTGAGTGTGTCCATGTGTTGAGTGTCTCCATGTGTAGAGTGTGTCTATGTGTTGTGTGTGTCCATGTGTTGAGTGTGTCCATGTGTTGAGTGTGTCCATGTGTTGAGTATGTCCATGCGTTGAGTGTGTCCATGTGTTGAGTATGTCCATGTGTTGAGTGTGTCCATGTGTTGAGTATGTCCATGTGTTGAGTGTGTCCATGCGTTGAGTGTGTCCATGTGTTGAGTGTGTCCATGTGTTGAGTGTGTCCATGTGTTGAGTGTGTCCATGTGTTGAGTGTGTTGAGTGTGTTGAGTGTGTCCATGTGTTGAGTGTGTCCATGTGTTGAGTGTGTCCATGTGTTGAGTGTGTCCATGTGTTGAGTATGTCCATGTGTTGAGTATGTCCATGTGTTGAGTGTGTCCATGTGTTGAGTATGTCCATGTGTTGAGTGTGTCCATGCGTTGAGTGTGTCCATGTGTTGAGTATGTCCATGTGTTGAGTATGTCCATGTGTTGAGTATGTCCATGCGTTGAGTGTGTCCATGTGTTGAGTATGTCCATGTGTTGAGTGTGTCCATGTGTTGAGTGTGTCCATGTGTTGAGTGTGTCCATGTGTTGAGTATTTCCATGTGTTGAGTATGTCCATGTGTTGAGTGTGTCCATGTGTTGAGTGTGTCCATGTGTTGAGTGTGTCCATGTGTTGAGTATGTCCATGTGTTGAGTATGTCCATGTGTTGAGTGTGTCCATGTGTTGAGTATGTCCATGTGTTGAGTGTGTCCATGCGTTGAGTGTGTCCATGTGTTGAGTATGTCCATGTGTTGAGTATGTCCATGTGTTGAGTATGTCCATGCGTTGAGTGTGTCCATGTGTTGAGTATGTCCATGTGTTGAGTGTGTCCATGTGTTGAGTGTGTCCATGTGTTGAGTATTTCCATGTGTTGAGTATGTCCATGTGTTGAGTGTGTCCATGTGTTGAGTGTGTCCATGTGTTGAGTGTGTCCATGTGTTGAGTGTGTCCATGTGTTGAGTGTGTCCATGTGTTGAGTGTGTCCATGTGTTGAGTGTGTCCATGCGTTGAGTGTATCCATGTGTTGAGTGTGTCCATGTGTGTTGAGTGTGTCCATGTGTTGAGTGTGTCCATGTGTTGAGTGTGTCCATGTGTTGAGTATGTCCATGTGTTGAGTGTGTCCATGTGTTGAGTATGTCCATGTGTTGAGTGTGTCCATGTGTTGAGTATGTCCATGTGTTGAGTGTGTCCATGTGTTGAGTATGTCCATGTGTTGAGTGTGTCCATGTGTTGAGTGTGTCCATGTGTTGAGTATGTCCATGTGTTGAGTATGTCCATGTGTTGAGTATGTCCATGTGTTGAGTGTGTCCATGTGTTGAGTATGTCCATGTGTTGAGTGTGTCCATGTGTTGAGTGTGTCCATGTGTGTTGAGTGTGTCCATGTGTTGAGTGTGTCCATGTGTTGAGTGTGTCCATGTGTTGAGTATGTCCATGTGTTGAGTGTGTCCATGTGTTGAGTATGTCCATGTGTTGAGTGTGTCCATGTGTTGAGTGTGTCCATGTGTGTTGAGTGTGTCCATGTGTTGAGTGTGTCCATGTGTTGAGTATGTCCATGTGTTGAGTATGTCCATGTGTTGAGTGTGTCCATGTGTTGAGTATGTCCATGTGTTGAGTGTGTCCATGTGTTGAGTATGTCCATGTGTTGAGTGTGTCCATGTGTTGAGTGTGTCCATGTGTGTTGAGTGTGTCCATGTGTTGAGTGTGTCCATGTGTTGAGTGTGTCCATGTGTTGAGTATGTCCATGTGTTGAGTGTGTCCATGTGTTGAGTATGTCCATGTGTTGAGTATGTCCATGTGTTGAGTGTGTCCATGTGTTGAGTGTGTCCATGTGTTGAGTATGTCCATGTGTTGAGTATGTCCATGTGTTGAGTGTGTCCATGTGTTGAGTATGTCCATGTGTTGAGTGTGTCCATGTGTTGAGTATGTCCATGTGTTGAGTGTGTCCATGTGTTGAGTATGTCCATGTGTTGAGTGTGTCCATGCGTTGAGTGTGTCCATGTGTTGAGTATGTCCATGTGTTGAGTATGTCCATGTGTTGAGTATGTCCATGCGTTGAGTGTGTCCATGTGTTGAGTATGTCCATGTGTTGAGTGTGTCCATGTGTTGAGTGTGTCCATGTGTTGAGTGTGTCCATGTGTTGAGTATTTCCATGTGTTGAGTATGTCCATGTGTTGAGTGTGTCCATGTGTTGAGTGTGTCCATGTGTTGAGTGTGTCCATGTGTTGAGTATGTCCATGTGTTGAGTATGTCCATGTGTTGAGTGTGTCCATGTGTTGAGTATGTCCATGTGTTGAGTGTGTCCATGCGTTGAGTGTGTCCATGTGTTGAGTATGTCCATGTGTTGAGTATGTCCATGTGTTGAGTATGTCCATGCGTTGAGTGTGTCCATGTGTTGAGTATGTCCATGTGTTGAGTGTGTCCATGTGTTGAGTGTGTCCATGTGTTGAGTGTGTCCATGTGTTGAGTATTTCCATGTGTTGAGTATGTCCATGTGTTGAGTGTGTCCATGTGTTGAGTGTGTCCATGTGTTGAGTGTGTCCATGTGTTGAGTGTGTCCATGTGTTGAGTGTGTCCATGTGTTGAGTGTGTCCATGCGTTGAGTGTATCCATGTGTTGAGTGTGTCCATGTGTGTTGAGTGTGTCCATGTGTTGAGTGTGTCCATGTGTTGAGTGTGTCCATGTGTTGAGTATGTCCATGTGTTGAGTGTGTCCATGTGTTGAGTATGTCCATGTGTTGAGTGTGTCCATGTGTTGAGTATGTCCATGTGTTGAGTGTGTCCATGTGTTGAGTATGTCCATGTGTTGAGTGTGTCCATGTGTTGAGTGTGTCCATGTGTTGAGTATGTCCATGTGTTGAGTATGTCCATGTGTTGAGTATGTCCATGTGTTGAGTGTGTCCATGTGTTGAGTATGTCCATGTGTTGAGTGTGTCCATGTGTTGAGTGTGTCCATGTGTGTTGAGTGTGTCCATGTGTTGAGTGTGTCCATGTGTTGAGTGTGTCCATGTGTTGAGTATGTCCATGTGTTGAGTGTGTCCATGTGTTGAGTATGTCCATGTGTTGAGTGTGTCCATGTGTTGAGTGTGTCCATGTGTGTTGAGTGTGTCCATGTGTTGAGTGTGTCCATGTGTTGAGTATGTCCATGTGTTGAGTATGTCCATGTGTTGAGTGTGTCCATGTGTTGAGTATGTCCATGTGTTGAGTGTGTCCATGTGTTGAGTATGTCCATGTGTTGAGTGTGTCCATGTGTTGAGTGTGTCCATGTGTGTTGAGTGTGTCCATGTGTTGAGTGTGTCCATGTGTTGAGTGTGTCCATGTGTTGAGTATGTCCATGTGTTGAGTGTGTCCATGTGTTGAGTATGTCCATGTGTTGAGTATGTCCATGTGTTGAGTGTGTCCATGTGTTGAGTGTGTCCATGTGTTGAGTATGTCCATGTGTTGAGTATGTCCATGTGTTGAGTGTGTCCATGTGTTGAGTATGTCCATGTGTTGAGTGTGTCCATGTGTTGAGTATGTCCATGTGTTGAGTGTGTCCATGTGTTGAGTATGTCCATGTGTTGAGTGTGTCCATGTGTTGAGTATGTCCATGTGTTGAGTATGTCCATGTGTTGAGTATGTCCATGTGTTGAGTGTGTCCATGTGTTGAGTATGTCCATGTGTTGAGTGTGTCCATGTGTTGAGTATGTCCATGTGTTGAGTGTGTCCATGTGTTGAGTATGTCCATGTGTTGAGTGTGTCCATGTGTTGAGTATGTCCATGTGTTGAGTGTGTCCATGTGTTGAGTATGTCCATGTGTTGAGTGTGTCCATGTGTTGAGTATGTCCATGTGTTGAGTATGTCCATGTGTTGAGTGTGTCCATGTGTTGAGTGTGTCCATGTGTTGAGTGTGTCCATGTGTTTGCAGCTCCACATCATAGACCCGGTACGGAAGGCCCTGGGCTACTACACAGAGATGGAGAAGGCTCTAGAGCGCGCCAAGAGCTGCTCCTCCTCAGCTGACCCCCAGGGGGCTCCGGAGGCCCCCAAAGCAGACTGCAAGTGACGGAGCTAGCACCATGTATCTGATGTATTTAATGTTATGTTCGCACTGATCAGCGAAGCCAGGATCCTGAGGCCTGTTGCTAAAAGCGGTGTTGGCACACTCGTTGTCAATTAAGTTCTGTTTTTACATCCTTTGTCCCCGTACAGAAATTTGTCCTGCATTTGACCCATCCTGGTGCCACTAAGGCTTCCGTCAGGAGCAGTGGTCGCCGTAGTAACAGCTGGGGACCCATCGCCAGATGTTGGTTCTCGGATTGGTTAGGATTTTTACCTATTGTGCATGCTTTTAGTGGTAGGGGAAACCAGAGCACCCGGAGGAAACCTGCACAGACACGGGGAGAACATGCAAACTCCTCTCAGAAGGACCCTGTGTTTCTGCAACACGCAAAGAAACAGGAAACTCAGAGAAAACTTGAACTTACACCAAAACCATCGGGCTTCAAGCAAAAGGCCACAGGGTATTGATCAGAAAGGTTTTTTAATACATATTTATTTGCAAGAAATAGAGAATATTTGCACAGTTGTGGATTATGAAAGAATAAAAACGTGTCTATTCCGACATTCCTGATATGATTTTATTTCAATATGATTTAAACTTGTCTTTGTCTGTAAGAAAATGTGTCCAGGATGTGTTCTTGGTCTGGAGTTTCACACAGTATTTCATTAAACTTACTTTTCCCTAAAGCCTGCATTTTCAGTTATTGGTCATTATGTTTCACTAATGGTGCTTTCACACCGCCAACGCTGAAACCCCAATCACCAGACGCACATTCTCTAGTTTTCAGACGCAGAGGACTTCACACCAGAACGTCCTGACGCGATCCGGAAGTACCGGAAGTTGCCGGCCGGCTCTAATGCTAACAGAGCTATGCTAGCAGCTTCTTGTGTACAGATCTTCTCCAATATGGGGAACGGGCTTTATATAACAGTAGTATGTGTTCACGGAGGTGCGCCATACGTTTTTTTTATATTATTAAACAGTATTTCCGCATCGGCAAACACACTCGAAGCAGTTGCATAAGGTCACGAGAGCATGACAACACATATTTTCACAAGCACAGAGTCCCGCATTGTCAACCCTGGTTTGAGTTCTGGTGAAGACTGGTGTGGGTCCTGTTTTGGCTGTTTACGAGTATTTTCAGTCTGCTAATGTCCCCGTGACCACTTTGCTGCTCTCTGATTGGTCGCTGCACGAACGTCCCAAGGAAAGGATGAGCAGAATCCATCTCCTGTGGGCGTCCATTTTTCGCTCCTGCTCCTCCCATTTCACTTTCCCGCCAAGTCCGTGCATCTCTACTGAACAGTCCGTTCGTGCGAACCGAGTGGTCTGTGCGTTGCGACGGCCGAACGCGCACCACCATAGACTTTGCATTGAAACCCGACACTACGCATGATCCGGTCTGAAAGCACCATTAAAGCTGCACTAACTGACTTTGAGATTTTGAAGCCGTGGCCTCGCTGGCCTCTCTCTTTCTGCTCCCCTCCCCGCACCCACGAAGCTATCGCCCCCCACACACACTCACTGTTGTTGACGGAGCTAGCATCTCCCAATATGGATAATACATGGATATGGAATTGCACGTGGATGGCGTGACCATAGAACGATAGAACCGGGAAGTGCGGAGGCTGTTTCGCTGTGTAAGCAGTAACCGGTGACCAGGTTAGCTCCGCAGCTTGTTGTGCTAACTCAGCCGTCTATGCTAACGGACCTGTAGATTTCTCACGAAAGTGGGGGCTAGCGTTGCGCTGTGATTGGTCACAATCTGCGATCCGAAACACATTCTCTTCCTTGTTTCATCAAAACTTGATCTAAAATATAATGTCACGCCAGCACAAATCTGCGCTACTTTTTCTTCAAAAGGACGTATATCCCAATGCACTACATGGACATGGATAGCACTTTTGTAATGAATACAAAATAAAGTCAGTTAGTGCAGCTTTAAAGCTTCTTATTCAGGGACGGGCCACATTGGGTTATTATCGTTATTACTCTTGAGAACTGGACCTTGTTCATATGGGATTTATTTTGCCAGATCAAAGTTAAAAGATTTTGACTTTAAAGTAAAAAAAAACAAAAACAATTTTAATCTTATAATATTATGAGAATAATCTTGAAATAGTCTTTTCACATAAATGCTCTAAATGCTTCTCAATGGATTTACTCTTTTCATTAACACTCACACTGTTGGTTTTCAACGTTATATACAAATAATTTAATAAATTCTGCATCCGGGGTCTGTCGAATGGAGAAAGTTTCTTCAGACTTTTGGTGCAGCTGTACAACATACCTGAATGAGTTAAAAACATGCACTTTTCTTAGGTAGTTAGTTAGAAATGTGATATTCTGTGTGATATATTGTTTGTCATTACCATTTCTACTTAAACTTTTTGTCATTTCATTTTTACATTGTTGAGTGAGCCCTCTGTAGTGTAGTCGATTTTATAATACATCCATGAGTGCAGTGCATTAAAAATAGTGGGTAGAATTATCATTATGGGAAGGATGAGAAAGGCGATATTCTTTGACATTTTTGAGTGGTAGCGTTTGTGCTCACGCAAATCTAGAAAATCACAATCAAAGTATTTCAGACAAAGTATATTTTCTTGTTTCAACATCAACACATCTACACCAGGTTATCTTTTAAGCGTTATCACATTTTCCTTTTAGCTTTTGCCAGTTCTAAGAGGGTGTAGTGCGCGTTCCGTCCAGCAGGAGTCGCTAATGCTCACAGGCTCATGCTGGCAGAAAGGCCACACGACACTCAATTCAACAAGAGGAGGCCCCGGCGAAGACTCAGGACACGCTGGAGGGACTATGTCAATTCAACAAGATTTCAAGATTTACGCGTATATTCCAGGCGTCCCAGGCAAGTTTTTCCACATTTACTCATTTATAATCCACCATGACATGTGTGTTTGGATTGAAGTCGCACCTGATGTCTGTGGGACTGAGGCAGCTGCTGTAGTTTGGGAGTGAAAAACTTTAAATGTGTTTGTAGCAGTTTGTTTACACGACAATATGTACGTTCTGCTCACACTTTTCCTCATCCATAGCTCTCTCACACACACACACACACACACACACACAGACACACACATGAGCATGCAATAGGTGTGTTCATGTGACATCACAACATTCCAGAAAATAATTTATAATTGCTGTGTCGTGCAGCTGAAAAATCTGTCCTGGTGACTGTGAGAAGTGGTCAGATTCTGATCCTAGTTTGGAGGGAATATTTATTTTTCCTGGAACAACCCACATAGAACACAAATATGTACGGAAGAGTTTTTGTCATAAATGAGGTTGATTTTTTTTTTTCCATTTGAATTTTTTAACCATGAAAAAGCAATGTTTGAAAATGTTTGTCTTTGTATTTCTCTCACTACAAAAATCAGTTTACAAATTTCAATGTGATTTAAATTTCAAAATGACAAATTCATCTTTTAAATATATGTTTACTTTGGTGCCTCAAATTTCGATGCACTGTGAATCTCGATGAAAAAAGAAAAATAATGTATTCCGATTTTGATTAATTTGAAACATCTGGAATATTTTTTATCTGGGAATTACAGTCACTGATTATCAACTGATTTTAATATCAAAAGTAAAAAAAAAATCTCCTTTCAAACTTCTGATGCATATATTTTCAAGCGATAAAAATACAATGCTAAAATAAATAAACATAGGGCGGGGCATAGGGCCATAAGACAGGAAGTGTTCGTTAGAGCGATAAAACGTCAAGGTTGAGATTAGGGCATACAGGACTAAATGATACATTGAGAATAATAGGGAAGCATGAGACAGGCAATTGTGATGTGTGCAGGACAAGGGAAAATGTGGAACACGCCATTATTCAGTGCCCCAGATATAGAGAGTATAGGGAGCCATTTAAACGAGTACTGAGAAGTCATAAAATTGGATTTTGTGTAAAGGATATATTGAAAGTTTGTGATAAAGAGGTTGTTAGAAAAGAATTGTTTAAGTTTCTGAAGAAATCTGGGTTGGAAGGTAGGATTTAAGGCTAGGATCTAGTTGTTGTCTGTGGGGGCCATCCTGGCCCACACTCCACTCCGGAAGGTGGCAGTAATGCACCAAAAGTTGTTTGCCAACTGCCATAAAACAACACGAGAAGAAGAAGAGAGCGATAAAACAGACACATAGGAGCTTTGTGCAGATTTATATAATTCTTATATGAGTGAAAACTACCGTCAACAGCAAACGCCGTGAATGAGTGTCAGGATGTTAGACACACAACATTCTCACTGTAACACAAGTCTGATACTTTTAGACTAGTGTTTCTAAGAGTAAAAGGTTTGTGTAAAGTTTAGTTTAAGTAACTGCTCCTGTGTGATAGTAGTTCTCTTGTTGAGTTGATTTAACTGACGTAGGCCGAGGACTAACCTGACAGCTGAATTAATAAACAAAATCTAAGTTGTAAGCTGTCGCGCCTCAGTCCTGGGTCTACAGCCTCAGTCCTGGGTCTACAGCCTCAGTCCCTGGATCTACAATCTCAGTCCTGGGTCTACAGCCTCAGTCCTGGATCTACAGCCTCAGTCCTGGATCTACAGCCTCAGTCCTGGATTCTACAGCCTCAGTCCTGGATCTACAGCCTCAGTCCTGGATCTACAGCCTCAGTCCTGGATCTACAGCCTCAGTCCTGGATCTACAGCCCTCAGTCCTGGATCTACAGCCTCAGTCCTGGATCTACAGCCTCAGTCCTGGATCTACAGCCTCAGTCCTGGATCTACAGCCTCAGTCCTGGATCTACAGCCTCAGTCCTGGATCTACAGCCTCAGTCCTGGATATCTACAGCCTCAGTCCTGGATCTACAGCCTCAGTCCTGGATCTACAGCCTCAGTCCTGGATCTACAGCCTCAGTCCTGGGTCTCTTGTCTCAGACCTGGATCTACAGCTCATACATTGAATTGAATCGATTATTTTGTCTTTCTAAACTAGTTTTGTTCTTTTAGCAGGTCATACTTTGCCTTTTTTATGATCTG